GTAAGGATGGGCGCAGCTCGCAAAACCATTTTTTGACGGCAATAATTTGGCGTGTAAATCGCAAAGAAATAGCAAAAAATTTTTCTTTGTCATCTAATCATTATTTTTCGCACTGATCCATCATCTGTTGCAATTCTGATCCATCAAGCTGGGTAAATATTGCTTTTATGAGCTTCTTTTGATCAATCTTTATATAATTTCCGTTCTCATGAACAAAAGAGGTTTCCAAACACTTTTCTCTGCACGCTCCTCGAAACAAATGGCCTCTCGCAGCGTCGCTGAAACGCTTTTCCATCGAAGGGTGGGCGTTAGAAAGGAGGGACGCGGCCTTTATATAAATCCATTGTTCTATTTGGTTCCTCAATCAACTTTTTTGGGGGTTTGCTTATTAGGCTAATAGGGGAGGTGATCCAAGCTTTATTGTCGGAACTTGAAGAGAGTTGGGACAAATTTAAATTGGAATTTTTGGAGCTCCCAGTGTTTGGTATTTTTCTATTCCCTCGGCAACAAAAATCGTTTAAAATCTCAGTTGCTGTTGCAAAGCGCAAGCTAACAATTTTCAGGAATTGATGCGTGGCTTTTGCCCTACGAATTAAAATCGCCGAGAGCGTGAGACACTTCCATTTTAGGCTGAGCTTGTAGGCATGTTTAGAAAGATATCTGGCCTACAGTTGAGTAGATATAACTAGTAAATTTCGGGCCAGGCCAAGCCAAATTTTGAAGGGTCTGGACGAAAATGAGACTGAGCTTTCTCATGCCAAAACTCGCAGGAAAATGCCAAATTTTCCCCAATTTTTGGACCAAAATAAGTGCAAAAGTTTCGGTTGTTTCTGCAAAGCGCAGGCTATAACTCGTAACTATGTAAAGTACGTTAAAGGGGTATAAATTTGCGCGCCAATTTTTTTAAAATTTTACTTTGTTGTGGAGTCTCAAAAGTCCTATTAATTTACAATGAATAATATTTTTTTATTTTTGAAAATTCTAAACATTCTGACGTCTATCTGAAGCGCAGATTCAGCTGATTGTTTTCTCAAATTGTTGTTTTTTTTTTGGATCTGGAACGCATAACTATGCGAAGCGTCCGCAATCTGTGTAACGCGAATCCCTTTGAGATTTGTCACATGTTTTGTAGATAAAAAAAGGAGATCTGGAAGTGATCAAGGGGCGGGGAATTAAGAAATATCATTTGGGCTTTTAGAGAGCAATAAAAAATTGACTTCTTATGAGTAAAAAAAATTTGGGAGGGTTGACTCTATTTTAGAACTTCTTCAAATTGAACGCTCCAAGTTTTTGCACACATATCGGTTTGTCGGGAAAATAATGAGGACACTGTCAAATAGAAAATCGCATCGTGTCACGGCAAAATCAGATTGTTTTTTTCAGTTCAGCGACACGATCGGCGCAGCAACATTGTGCTCATTATTTTCCCGACAGACTGATAATTACTGTTAGGCCATAAACAGGAATTTTTATTTTTTATTTTTTCTATTTTTTGGGATGCTTCAGAAGAAATTTGTACCTTCAATTTTAACCATCCCAAATCATAATGCATTTTCTTCCGCATTCCCCACGAATAACTATACTTCACGTGCCCCGTAAGTCACCAAATTCCCCTTTCTCAACGTTAAACTCCCCCAGAACCAACAAATTCCCCTACAAAACCCTGTGATTGATGGCGTTGCAACTAGTGTTTTTGTTACAACGCAATCAAGTTATTGGCAATAGAGTCGGCGAAAAAAGTGGTGGGAGAAAGTAATAACCAAATAAATTGTACGATCTCCGAGAAGTTTAAATTCTTCAAAGTACATTCAAATTGTACGATTTAGAAAGTAATTTTTATTAATAAAAATTAATAAGGAATTGAGCTGCAAACGAATTTTCCATGTAAATTTTGTTGTTGATGGAAGGTACCCTCAAAAATTTTTTTTTTTGGAAAAATGTAAGTTAAAATTTTTGATGGTTTTTACTATAAAAAAAAATGAAATTTGACAACAATTTAGAGTACAATTTTTTCACAATAAAGCGTATTTGAGATTTTTAGATTGAAAAATGAAGAACAGTCATCATTTTTTCTGAAAAAAAAATTTTTCGGCCATTTTTTGATGACAAACAAATTCGTTTTTTTGTTACAGTATATTACTATGCTTCTCTAACATACTACTGATATTTTTTCTAATCAAACTTTTTTTAAATTTTTTTTGGAAAAAAATTTTTGGAGATTTTTACTATCAAAAGAAATTACAGGGTGTCCAGAGAAATGTGCCGGAAAGTTTTTGTCGATTTCTTGTCGCTCAATAAAGATATCCGAAAAATTCTTTTTGCAGGATAAAGAAGAATTTGGGCGGTTTTTTGTCCGAAAGAATCATTTTTTCCGCCAGCGCGGAAAGTAGTGTATTCGGCGGAGACTTTTGATCGCTTTTTCGGCCATTATCCCCAAAAACATAACCCTTTTTTCTAATCATATTACTCATTACCCATTTGACCAAACACCACTCCCATTTCCCGCCTCAAATTGTCTGTAAATTTTCAATTTTCTGTTGAAAAATCAGCTTTTCATAAAAGAAATTTAATTGTATTTTCGCCGAAATTGAACGATTGACCGAGAAAGTGACTTTTGCCCTAAAACAAATCAAGGAACTCATTAATCACGAGCGAAAGTTTTTCTTGCGATCGCTGTCATATAAAGCCCTCCAGAAGCCCGAATTTCATGTGAAAAAATTGTTGGGGTGGGTTCGAATTTATTTCGAAAAGAAACTTGGGTTCATTGAAAAATTGAGTGTCATAAGACTTAAGGAATTTGGAGAACTTTAAAAGCAATGCTTCGGGCTACGAGCATTGCCTTCTCTGAGGCTGGAAATTTTTGTAATTGTGGTTGGGTTACTGTAACAAATTTTTTTGTAGAAAAATTTAATTCTCAAATTTTGATGAGGCTTCAAGGGAAATTGTGATTACAATTTTTTGAAGTTCAACGCGAGATTTTTAGCTCACGCTTTGCAGAAACTATGCAAGAAGGCGCTACGACTTTTTCGGTTCAGCGACAGTTCGGGTCAACGATACTATGTATCGCTTCAGTTCGTCGTTGCAGGAGAGGCTAGGAGAAGGCTTAGTTAGTAGAAATAATCCGATTGATGGGGCCCTAGAATAGCCTATTTTTGTTTTTTGCTGCAGATTTTTTGTCTTGTATACATATGTTACAATAACTCAGGGTAAAGAAAAATAATGTTAATAATAGCTAAAATTATAATAGAAAAGTGGAGATATTGGAAGTCTTCGCCGAGTCTCCGCCGAGCCTTCGCCGAGCCTCAGCAGACTATCGCACTTCCTACAACCTGTTTTTGGATGTCTACCTGCCCTACGCCCGTATCGATTGATTTTGCGTTAACCCGAAATATCGTCAACCCGAAAATTCGGGACGCGTGCAAGAATTGCCAAAAATAAAATTATCCGGTTTTCCACAGGTCTTTGTACGTATATAATACATTTGAAATATACGAGGAAAGCCACGTGAATGGTCTATCTGATCTTTCGTTCATGTTTTGACTAGCGCTTGCTTCAGGCGACGACCACAAAGTCGTCAAAGGCATCGTTAATTGACTGGCGCCATTGAACTCCGATCAATTACAAACTCGGCTTATTTTAAGCGTTCCCTGCGATTGCAAAGATTCTTGAGTATCTCGGCTGTAGCTACAGATCGTTAGCTAAAATTTTCAGTGAATTACTTTTGGAGTGTGTTGAATTTTTGTACGAAATTTGATACTAAAATCAAGGGATATTTGGGATGTTTTTTGAGGTTGTCTCTTGGTCCCTCTTACATAAAAAATTTAGTATAGCATTTCCTATCGGAACCCTTGGGATTTTCAGAGTTCAAAATGTCATCTATTTATATCCAAAATTTGAAAGAAGTCACAAAAAGGTTGCCCTTAAAATCATAAATTTTCTTTGATTTGTCACCTTCATCAACCTTTTTTTGATTAAAGTTAATTACAAAAAAATAGCTTTAAGCTGACATTTTCACTATTACAGCGTCCCTAGAGACTCCCCAAAGTACCTTGAGGTGTTTACCGGGGGTCTCCCAAATTCCTTTGGGGCCTGTTGCCTAAGGGCAAGTGAAAAGCCATCGGGTCATGAGCACTTGAACGCTGTAAACCGGGCTCAGATTGTTATATAGCGGTGTAAAATTCCTTCAATGTTGCGAAACGACCGCCCTTTGTGAAGCGGGTTCTCTTCTGTTTCGGGGGTTTAATAAATAACATTTTACGTTATAGATACGATTGAGTCATTTTCGAGATTCGGAGGGGAAGTTTCGTCTAATCGTAAATTTGTTGGACTAAAAATGAGAAATTCGTAGTAATTAGGGGGTTTGGGAGGGCTGAAGTTTTGGCTGGAGAAATTTTTAGCAGCCGGGGAAAAATTTTGTAAAGTGTGGTAAGGGGGGACCAAGGCAAAATTTTTGAGGTATGCCCTTCGGATTTTGGAAAAATCTGCCACAAATTTAGATAGGAATGTAAAATCTATGCGATTTCTCCAAAAAATGCTTCGGCCGCTGGATCGGCCGCTTTAATTTTTCTTACGAAAAATTATGACGTCATTTACGTCATATAAATTTTCTGAAAATGCTTTACGGGCTCTATCAACCACTTTTTTACGTCTATCAACTTAAAAATCATAAGAAAAAAATATTTTTTATCAGCTTTTGGTCTAAAAATCGACTTTGTTCTGCAAAATGCAAGCTAAAAATCCCAGATATCTCACAGAAAATTGTGTTATAAACTTTTCCAATATATAGACTTTCTCATATTAGTCATACCCCAGATGGCGCAACATTCCAAGCGAGTTATTAGCTCGCAACTCCGCCCACAATCCTATTATATATATGTGTTTTATATCGGAAGATTTTTTCAGACTGTTCTCTGATCAAATTAGTTGGTTTTTTAACGCGTAATAATTTTTTTTCGTTAGCTTTATTTTAAATATAAATTGGTATTTCAGAAAAAGCAATCATGCGTTTCCTCGTCGCTCTAATTTTGGCCCTTTCCTTGGTTTCTTTGGCCAATTCTTCCACTCTGAGACAACTCTTCGAAGAGGAGAATTTATTGGACAAGGAGAACACCAAGCTCTCAAAACGCGCCGTCGAAGTCAGCAAAGAGTCGAGTGAGGAGGGATCTGGCGAGAGAGTAATCAGAGAAGCTTCCGGAGAGGTAAGGAATATACTTTTTTGAAATTATACTTTTAAAAATTTGTAAAAAAAGTTTTTTCATGGACTTTGAAGAAGCTTGGCAGATCGAATTTTTAAATTTTAAGATTTTTTTGCTATTTTTAGCTCGCGCTTTGCAGAAATCACCGATTTTTTTACGTTGAAAATTTCCCACTTTTTTTACAATTTTTAATTTGAAAAAATCAAAACTGGAAGTAAGATTTCTCTACTAAAAAACATATTTTTCCCGACTGGGATTTGAAAAATTGATGACCAAAAAAAATTTTTCTCAGGTTTTCTCCTCATTTTTCATAATCTCCCCTTTACAAAAATCGTTGATATCTCAGTTCTACTGGCAAAGCGTGAGCTCAAATTTTTAGGGATTAATTTATAATACATCCAGACAATCTATGGAAAATTTGAGTAAATGATTACGATCGGTCTTCGAGTTACACCTCTTTCTTATCTGATCTTCATCAATATTTGATGTTTAGTCACCTTTTCTTAAGATGAAGTTGGTCATCTTTGAAGCTTTACAAAAACCGTTAAATAAGTCCTTGCTGTACGAAGGGTATATCATCAGATAGAATTTTCAACGTCGTTTCATAGCATATAAATAGAAATTGCAAAATCGTATTCCCACCTGTAAAAAATGCCGGACAAAAAAAACGGCGGAGTCATACTTTTAGACCTAATATATGTAATTCAATTTTTTATTTTATTTTTATTTTTGATAATAATTTTTCTTTTTCCAGGAGGTCCGTGAGAAACGAGAGGTCGAAGGCTCCGGCGCGGAGGAGGGCCGAGTTCGTCGTGACACTTCAGAAGGCGAATCCATAGAAGACGCCATCTTCAAGCGCGATGTGGAGGGCTCGGGTGTGGCGGCTATTCGCATTCGTCGCGATGCCTCTTCGGAATCCTCGGAAGAGGTCGAAGGATCGGGCCATGGATCTGGCCAGGCTGTCCATCATTAATTGAAAACATAATTTGAGATTCTACTATAATTTTTTTCAAATTTTGCAATCTTTTTCCCCATTTTCTGTAAAGTAGAGGCACTCTAATTATGACGTTTCGATTACATTTAAATTTGGCAAAAATATTCGAAATTTTGGCCTAAAAATATCGACGAATATTTGAAAAACCCAAGCTAAAACTTTTTAATATACCATGGAAATTTTTTTATCTATATTTGGCCATGTTTTCGTTTAATCGAAAATTCATAATTGCAGTGTTTCAAACTTTTTTCAAATTTCGCAATGTTACTCCTCATTTTTTGACATTTTTTTTATTTTTAGAAAATATTTGTCTTATTTTTGCCTACAAAAAATCAGGGTATTCTAAGCTGCGTTTTGGTAGCATTTACTTGTCTTTTCTCTTAATTTGTTGTACGTTTTCGACATTCCTTTGGCTTTATTTCGCTTAATTTTGGTAACTTTCACTTGTTTTTTTCACTTTTCACTTAAAATTTTTTTAATTTTGAATAAACAATCTTCGTGAAAAATTTGTGAATTCTAAACCCCTTTAATAACGGCCTATTTGGACGATAAATTCAGGTTCAACATTTCATTTAACATGGAGGTCTAGCCTGCGTCCCGGCACGAAAACAAACGCCTTTCAACAATATTATTTTCTCGCCGGAAAATTGTCTGTTTCTGTCTCTTTGTTGGTTTCGTCAAGTTCTCGGCAGATTATTTTACATTTACAGTCGTAAATTTGTCAGGAATCATGTCAATAAAGCTGGCAGAGTAAGTTCAACTTTTTTTTTATTGTTTTTATGGGCTTAGATCGTGATAATTTTGATTGACAAGGAAGAATTAGAGGCGCTAAGAGTTGATAAGCTTCTTCTATTATAATCAATTGGTTTTGGACATTTTTAGAGGGAATTTGATATTGATATATCTAGTATAATATAATGTTTGACGTTAGACTACTTTATTTTTGGTGAATTCGATATTTTTAGCATCCTCCCGGCGCCGGTGAATGCTCGAGACGATCTCAGTTCTGAGGTAACCAGAGATAGTTGGTTTAAAGGACGAGAAGATGCCTTGTCGAGTGAGATGAAAGCCGTCGTCTTGAAGGCAGTTCCAGCATACGGCCAACGTCAAGGATATGTCCCAAGAACACCCGAGGTTAGTCCTTTCTATTTTTTGTTTTATTTTTAGATATGAATTCAGTCCGAAGATATATTTTTCTTGATTTTCAGGACTTTGGAGATGGCGGAGCTTTCCCTGAAATCCACATTGCCCAGTTCCCTTTGGGAATGGGTGCAGAAGGTGGTGTGGTCAATAAGAATGCTCATAACAAGACAATCGCACTGCAATATGACAAGGATGGGAAGCTGCGGCATGATGCGATTGCTCGGATCGGGCATGGCAAGGATAAGATTGTCCACACAAAACTGCAGAACACCAAGCAACGAGTGATTGATCCCGAGGATCCGGAGCTTCAACGGCCCAGTCAGGAGGAGATCGAAGAGACTATAAGGAAGACCAAAGAGCAAATCGAGAAAATCACCAACGCCAAAGTTGCTTCAGCGCTCCCAGTTCAACATGCCAAAAAGACCGAGCCCGCCCAATATATTCGTTACACACCATCTCAACAGAATGCCGAAGGGGCAACTCAACAGAGGATTATTCGAATGGTCGAGGCACAACGTGATCCAATGGAGCCTCCGAGATTCCAGATCAATCAGAAGATACCCAGAGCTCCGCCAAGTCCTCCAGCTCCGGTTTTGCACTCGCCTCCGCGGAAGGTGACGCAAAAAGAACAAGCGGATTGGAAGATTCCACCGTGTATTTCCAATTGGAAGAATCCCAAAGGTTTCACGGTGGGGCTGGACAAAAGATTGGCGGCCGACGGCCGAGGTCTACAGCAAGTTCATATCAATGAGAACTTTGCCAAATTGTCGGAAGCCCTTCAATTGGCCGCCAGAACGGCGAGAGAAGGAGTGGAGGCCAGAAATCAAATGGAGAGGAGAATTGCGGACAATAAGAAGCTGGAGCAAGAGAAGAAGATGATGGAATTGGCCAAGGAGGCGAGAGCGAACCGCCAGAACAAGAAGGTGGATGAAGAAGAAGATGAAGCCGTTCAACGAAGAGATGAGATCCGAAAGGAGAAGATTGGTGAAATTAGAAGGGAAAGGAATCTAGTTAGAGGACGGCCGGATGCAGCGGAGAAGCTGAAGCGAGACAGAGAGAGGGATATCAGTGAAAAAGTGGCATTGGGATTACCTGGAACTAAAGATAAGGGCGGAAGCGAGACTCAATTTGACCACCGATTGTTCAATAAAGACGCCGGAATGGATAGTGGAGGCATGGATGATGAAACTTACACTGTATATGATCAACCGTGGAGAGCCGAAAGCAATGTTCAGAGCATATACAGACCACGTAAGTTGGCTTAGACATTAATTGAGGGATTTTTGGAAATCGAGTTTTGAATAGTGTAGCTATAATACTTTTTAAGGGACAATTTTTTGTCTACAGGAAGTTTATTGCCTTAAGGTTTGTTAGGATATATTTTTTGGATATTAGAATAACTTTTTTTGACATCAATATGTACCTAGTATAATATAAAATTTTCAGGAAAACAAGCCGAAAATCCCTATGGTGATGATCTGGATGAAATTGTCAAACAAAACAGATTCCAACCCGACCGCGGATTCAAAGGAGCCGAACCCGTCCCGGGAGCTGCGCCTCGAAATGGACCGGTCGAGTTCGAAGCGGATAAAGATGATATTTTCGGTATTGGCGAGCTCTTCAAAACCAAGGACAAGGAAAAAAGAAAGGACACTGAAGACTCAGGACCATCGTCCAAGCGAAGCAGACATTAAGATCGCCGAGTTTTTGGGATATGATATTATTTTAGTTGAACCTGATGATATTTTGGTCTGTTATCTAATTTTATTCACTCGTCTACGATGGATTTGGGTTTGGTAAGATGAAGAAGTTGTTTATAGCCTCCATTGATCACGATACTCTGTAAAATCATTGATTTACACTTTGAATTTAGAAAATTCACTAAATATTTGTGGTTTTTAATAAATAATACTGTTAAAAGTGTTATTTCTGAAGGATAAATGTCAATTCTTCGATGGTATTTGATGAATCATGGTAGTGGAAGTTGTATGTATAAGTAAAATTCAGCCGAATGCTAAGGCTGACTTCATTATTCGCCCCAAAATCACTTCTAACCTCCATAAAGCTGAGGTCGCCCCAAATTAAGCCTTGGATTGGATTGACTACGTTAAGGCTGCATAGCGAACAGAAGCCAGAGAAGCTCTATGATGTCAAAGACAATATCTACACAGTCCCAAATGCGCTATGTGTTGCGAGGTAAAAAGAGGTGTCTAGTGCAATATAACAAGTCAATTTTAATATATGAAGTGAAAAGATTATTAAAATTCAATTTAACTTGGTGAAAAGGGATGTTTTTATATAGTATCTCCATTAAATAAACGTGTTTTAGGATCGCCCTAACCCCAGTAATTGGCTATCTTGTCGTAACGGAGGCCCATCTGGCCGCTTGTAACCTATTTTTGATCGCCGGATTCACAGACCTCATTGATGGCCAGATTGCGAGACGTTTCCCAAGCCAACGGTCGTTTCTGGGAACTATGCTGGATCCAGTTGCGGATAAATTGTTGATCAGCACACTGTTTGTTACTCTGGGATATTCCGGCTTAATGCCAAGTAAGTTTTTTGGTCGTAGGAGGTCTTTGAGAAGTCAATATTTAAAGCTTATTTTTTGAAAACGGTATTTGATGAATGTATCCTGTCATACTACCTTTTACGAGCTTTAAAATGGTATATAACACAGTGATTTAACCACTGAAAATTTTGGTATATCGCCTATTTTAGAGGGGAAGAGAAAGAAAAATTTTGGATGAAACTTACAGGGGAAGTACTTCAAGTGTGACGCTCAGATTTTCTTTAAATTTTGCACACACATCGGGTATGGACTAAATATCAATTCCTGAAAGTTTTAGCTCGCGCTTTGCGGGCGCCGCCGAGATATTGAACGATTTTTGCCGCCGAGAGAGCACGCTCAACGTGGAGAGCGGTCAGAGAGAAAACCGTTTTTTGGCCATAACTTTGGCAGTTTCGTGCGGAAAAATTTGATTTTTTGTAGAAACATTATTCTTTACGGTTGAAATAGGCATGAAACTTTTCGTGCCGAAATTCGGCAAAAAGTCCCAAATTTTCGCCGACTTTCGATCTAAAAATCTCGGTTGTTTCTGCAAAGCGCGAGCTAGGATTCCCGCATATATCTTAGAAAAAATTATTCTAAATTTGTGCCAAGTTTCATCAAAATCTGAGCGTCACACTTCAAGTACTTCCCTTGTTAGTATACTGAAAGTTGGCGAAAATTTGACACTTTTTACCGAATTTCAGCACGAAAAGTTGCATACCTATTTCTACCATAGAGGGTAACGTTTCCACAAAAAATAAATTTTTTCCGCACAAAACTAACAAAGTTATGGTCAAAAAAGTGTTTTTCTCTCTGACCGCCCTCCACGTTTAGCGTGCTCTCTCGGCGGCAAAAATCGTTCGATATCTCGGGGGCGCTTGCAAAGCGCGAGCTAAAACTTTGAGGAATTGGTACTTAGTTCATGGCCGACGTGTGCGCAAAATTTAAAGAAAATCTGAGCGTCGCACTTGGGGTACTTCCCTTGTGAGATTTATGTTACACTACCTATAATTTCAGTCCCTCTAAGTGGCCTAGTGATCCTCCGAGACGTCCTGCTCTTGGCTGGCGCTTTTCGACATCGTTTCCAGACTTTACAACCTCCAGTTACCCTCAAAAGATACTTTGATCCTTCCATTTCTTCTATTGAAATCAAACCCACATTCGCCAGCAAGTTGAATACGGTCCTTCAAATCTTCTCCGTGGCGGGAGCACTAGCTGCACCAGTCCTTCTTTTTGAACAACACCCCCTTCTTATCTCACTATGGTAAGAAAAAAAATTTTTGTGTAATAAATTTACACATTTCAGGCTACTTACAGCGGCTACCACAACTTACTCCGGATACCAGTATATTGGGGGCAAAGCAATAAAGCACGTCAAACCAAAAGACGTCAATTAGGTCCTAGTTTATATTTTGTCGATAATTATTTGATAAAGTTTATCAATTTTCCGAGAAATTATTGTTTTGCTGTTGTTTGGAGGATTCCCCGAAATGTTTCATCGTATGAAATGTCGTTTTTATTTTTGTAGAAAAACCTTGTGTTTTCTGCTGTTTTATCCTTTTTAGCGTCCTGTGTTGGCTGTCCTCTCGTAATTTCTGTAGCGATTTGGTCTGTCGAGTTATCTGACAAAGAGCCTCTCTCCAAGCCAAAGTGCAATGTCGGCAGATCCGCGAATGCAGGATTTACGTGACTGTAAGTTTATTTTTTTATTGTTCGTTGGGTTTTAGGCTTCCTCGTCGTGCAATTCAGCGCATAACCGGTTGAACTAACAGTAAATTTACGTATTTAGTTATAAAACGTCAATGGATGTCGAAGATCGGCGAGCAGGTGCTTGGCGGCCGTCTGGAAGAAGCCTCATTGATGGGCAAACTCTCAGACGATGTAGTCCAGTTCATAGAGAAGTTGATCCGAGAGAATGCGACATTGATTCAGGAGATTGTCGAGTCAAAAGTAGAGGAACCAGCTCCGGAACGTATCTCGCTGAACTCCAAAACTTTCAGTCGAAATATCTCCCCAGTTTCTTCGGTTAGCACACTTGCTTCCGGTGTGGACAGCATGTCAGTGACGTCGAAAAGCCGTTCGCGCGGTGGCAGGGGCAGGGCCAAGCCTGAGGAGAGGGTATGGACATTATTTTTTATATTTTTGTTGATTTAGATATTACTTTAGAAAATTTTGAAATTCTTGATATTTTGAGGTTTCAGCCTGAATCTTCAAGCTCCTCCGTGAAGAATGCGAAAGTTCCAAGCTACGTGAAGCTAGGAGGCTTACTCTACTCCTTTTCGTTCTCTCGATCCGACACAAAATTGTTCGTTTGTTGTGGTGGATGGGACAAGTCCTTTATTCCGTGGGCGTCGTATGTCTACATCAAAGATGGATATCCAGATGAGATCAAAAGCGGTTTAGAGGACTCCAATAAGAAGAGTTTTTTCACCAAGAACCTGAAGCAAATTGCAATTTTATCCAATTTTCATTGGTCTCAATTCAGCTGTGCTGATCGAGTTCGGAAGGGTCTTAGGGTAAGCTCAAGGCTTGTATGAATATGGAAGGTGTCTAAGTTGATGGGAGAAGTCTTGAATTAGCGCTGAGACGAATTTGGAGAATGAATTTCAGTTGTAACCAACTTTTCTTGAGGTTTATATTAATTTAGGTATATTTTCTGTTCAAATATTTTCTTTGGCCTGCCTGTGCCATATTTTTTGATGAAGCAACATGAAATTCTGTACAAATAACATGAAAGGTTTAAAATCTTGTTTGCCATTAGAATTACCTTGTAAAATTTCTATCTTTGTACAATTTTGAGGTGTTATGTTATACTACCCTAACTTTTTCCAGGAATTCCTCTCATATATCACGAAACAGGCGCCAAATGCCAAAATTCGGATTGCTGGCCTCTTGCGGAAGACCGAGAGTGGCCCTGTGATAATGTACAACACCACTTTGATGCACATTTGCGAGGAATTTTCGGATGTTTCTTACGTTGATGTGGACACCATTCCATGTGCCCAGAAATTCTTTGGAACTGGACTCTCAAAGGACGTGATCAAAGCTATATTCAAAGAAGTTACAAATTTTTAAATCAACACCGATGACCAAATTTATTTATTTGAAGTTAAAGTTTCCATGTAAAATAATACCAGAAGAGCAAAAATTTATTTTTTTAAGGTTTTTTAACTTTTCTCAACTTTTGTGCGTATCATAAATAATCGTTTTCGGGCACTTTTGATGTTTTTATTTTTTCTGTGCATATCTTTTTTAATAAAATTCCAATTGTTTCGAAGATAATTGAAGACAGGTTGGGACTACCGTGTTATTCTGATAAAAGATGTCGCTATCAATAAATTTGAAAGGTGGAAATAAGTTTGGAATTATGTTTAGAGTCTATTCCCCGCCATTTTCGAGGGTTCTTTATATTATCCATCAGTTCTGGGGGTATAATTCTGTCCTGATGCAATAGGCGCGTCTTCAAAAAATACTTTTATCTGATCCCCCTTTGCGTCATTTTTTATATGATAGCAGAGATGGACATTGAGATTAGAAAGAAAAACAGAAATATTATCTGATTTTTGTCCGGAGCCATTGAATGCCAGCGCCCGACCTAACCTCAGGTAACGCCACACGACAAGTGACTGTAAAAGCGGATATTTTGTGATTTGTTGATGAGAATGACTTTTTTTTACAAGGAAAGTACTTTTATGGGGGCTCCTACTTTTTGGCGGGACATATCTCAAAAAATCAGAAAAAATGTGCTGATCAAGGATATACAAATATTAGCTGCCCATTTTAGGTTTTTAGGGGTGAAAACTCAGTCGGAAGTTGACTTAAAGTCCTATATAAACCCCTTTTCGCTTAATTTTTCACAGGTTTACAATTTTTATTTTGGCTTAAAATGATGTTTATTGAGTTTCTAAGACGTAATAAATCAGTCTTGGCACAAAAATTTATTTTTCTGACCTTGAACTTCAAAAAAAGTTAATTCAGTCCAAAAGGGAAATCGAACCCGTGCGGCGTCCCCCCTCTTGATTCCCAGACTACGGCACTAACCACTCGGCCACATCGCCCTCTTCCGAAGGAAGAGACGGACTGCGCTTTTTATCGTTTCGAATGCCTGCGCCTTTTGTAGGGAAATTAAGCCAGTTTTTGGGCATTTTCACCCCTAAAAACTCAAAATGGGCAGCTAAGATTTATATATCCTTGATCAGCACATTTTTTCTGATTTTTTGAGATATGTCCCGTCAAAAAGTAGGAGCCCCCATAAAAGTACTTTCCTTGTTAAATTTAGATTTTTCTCCCGTCTTTGAGGAGCTCAAAAAAATATGTCATCTACTCACTAAATTGACATTTTGTCTCTTATTTTCCACACTTTTATATAACTATTCGTCGATCAGAATGGACCATGGGCCTTTATTTTTTGTATGCCATCAGCATTTTGATTTGCAAGCGATGGGATGTGGCTTGAAAATTTTTCCATCTTGAGCAAAAATTTTTGGTTTGCCGGTTGTTAAAGATGGATCCACATGTTTCGTATAGGGTCAAGGAGAGAAGAAAGGATTTTGTGGGGGGATGGGGTAAGAAAAGATCTGATTTGTTGATGATTTTCTTTTCAATTTTGACTTTTTGTCCCATCTTACCATGCTTTTTTAAAGTGACTACTAAATGGTATACGACTTGTGGTGCTTTCTAGATAAGCGGCGTGTTCATTTATGGTCAAAAAGAGACAAAAGGAGCTCAAGAAAATATATGTCATCCATTCACTAAATTGATATTTTATCCTCTATTTCCATATTTTTATATGCGCATTCGTCGATCAGAATACACCATGGGCCTTTATTTTTTGTATGCCACTAGCATTTTGGTTTGAAAGTGAATTGGGCACTTTTTAAATCAAAATTTATATTATTCATGAGGTCAAACCTCGATTTTTGATATAATTTTTGATTCTTTTGATATTTCCGCCTGTTTTTATTAACGTTTAGCCTTATTTTTGGCCGCTTTTCATAAAACTATGTCTAATTTGCTATATTTTTAGTGCCGTTTCAGCTCTCAGACATCAGAATGGACTCCTTTATCCAGCAATTATATGACCTGGGAGTCTTCAAACTGGGCGATTTTGTGTTGAAAAGTGGCTACAAGAGTCCGATCTATATTGACTTGCGAGATCTCATCAGTTCCAAGAGTCTAATGGTAAGAAATTTTAATTTTTTTTTGTTTTTGGTTTAGGAATCAGCAAGGAGAATATTTTTCTCCAACAAAAAGTGGTGACTTTTTAAATTTTTACACTTTTTTTTCCAGAAATCGGCTACAGAACAGCTCTGCGAACTGATCAAGGAGAAGAATTTGGATTATGATTACATTGTTGGGGTACCCTACGCAGCACTTCCATTGGGAACGGTATTTTTTTACTATTTGTTCTTTGATTTGGTATTTAGTTGGTCTCATTTTTCACCGAAAAACCGATGTTGTTGAAACGAAAGGAAGCCAAGGCGTATGGGACCAAAAAATTGATTGAAGGGAAATACGAAGCCGGCAAGAAGGCGCTGATCGTGGAAGATGTCATCTCAACTGGAGCCAGCATCATGGAAACGGTGGAGACCTTGAGAAAGGAGGGCTTGATTTGTGAGGATGTGATCTGTGTGTTGGACAGGGAAATGGGAGGAATTGAGAAACTGGAAAAACAAGGAATTAAGGCGCATAGGTGGGTTACGGTCGATTTTTTTTTGATTTTAGTACCGAAAAATTGGAATAGGAGGTGGAAGATTGAATGTAATTTTAAGATCAGTATTTTTTTTGATCTCTAAGGTTCTTAAATTACGTTATGAAGTAGTTTTATAGTCAAAAAATTAACATTATTTTATTAGGGTGAACCAAAAAATTTTTCCGATTTTATCTCAATTTTCATAATTTTCAGTGTGTCAAAAGTCGAAATTATATTGGATTACCTCGTGAAAGTCAATCGAATCTCACCGGAAGAGCGCCTCAACATTGATGATGCCCTCAAAAACCCGGTTTTGGCCAATCCCCCACGCCAAATTGATTGGAAATTGAGCTCTAGACTGGAAATTCTGAGGAAAAACAAGTTCAACGCAAAAATTGTGGAATTAATGTTGAAAAAACACTCGAATCTTTGTGTCGCAGTGGACTTGCCAACTTCTAAAGAGGTGTTAGAGACGGTAGAGAAGATCAAGGAACATGTGGTGGCAGTGAAATTACATGCCGACACAATCAATGACTTTGGCCAAGACTTGGTGAAGGAGCTGAAAAAATTGGCCGAAAATTCCGAGTTTGTCCTGTTTGAGGATCGGAAATTTGCTGATACTGGAAACACAAATGAATTGCAGGTGGGATTTTTGCATTTTTTTTATTTTTGGGATTTTTTTTTTTTTTTTTTTTTTTTTTTTTTTTTTTTTTTTTTTTAAAATAGAGATTTTTCAAAATTTTTTGTGAAAATTCATTTTTTAAATTTGATTTTTTTAGCTTGCCAATGGCTCTCCCGCCATCTCCGAGTGGGCTCACCTCGTCACAGCCCACGCTGTAGCCGGCAAACCCTCCATTGAAGCGCTGAGAACTGTTCTTCAAAACCCTTCCACCAAAACTAATGGAGTACTTTTGGTTGCCCAACTTTCATGTGAAGGAGCATTAACTAGCCTCCCTGGTTACACGGAAAGTTCAATTAAGATTGCCGAGGAGCTCAGAGATACGGTTGCCGGATTTATCTGCCAGAAAAGGGTGGTTGAAGACGAATCTTTCTTGTACTGGACACCTGGAGTCAATTTGAGCGCCAAATCCGATGGAAAAGGACAAAATTGGAGGGGAATTGAAGAAGTAGGTTGTGGAATTGGTGGTAGAGATAGTCAGAATGGGGATAAAAAAATTTTATTTTAATTTTTTTTTTTTTTTTTTTTTTTTTATTTTTTAGCTCAGATTTTGGTGAAACTTGTAAAAATTTGATTGAAAAATTGCATTCGGTCCAGTTATAATACAGAAAATATTTCCAGGCCATTTTCGATCAAGGAAATGACGTCATAATTGTTGGCCGGGGAATTACAAAAGCGGCCGATCCAGCGGCCGAAGCCCAAAAATACGCCCAGGCCGGATGGGCTGCCCTTCAGAAGAGAGAATAGAAATATTTTTGTTGGCTTCAATCCCGATTCATATCATTATTTTAGGCATTGTAAGATTTTTAGGCAAATTTTACATTTTTTTATTTTTTTCACTATTTACAATCCTCTATTTACATCGTAATAAAAATTTTTATGCTGTTTTCCAAATGGTCCATGCGAATCTTTGATTATCCAAATTGAATCGGCGATTTTGTCCTATAATTATGCGATTTTTTTATTTATTTTTTTTTTTGATTGAACTTACCGAGGAGGCTGAAATCTGTTCCAAATACAGATGAGTGGAATTGTAGACTTGGAACCGGCTGAACCCGTAATCCGTCGATCTCGCCGCACTGAAAGGCGCCGGATCCTTGGGGAAAGTATTGGTCTTCTCTTCGCAGCCCGCCGATCCAGTTACAACATGAATAGGAGCTCGAGGATTGGTGAATGGGCTCTCAGTTCCATTACGAACCTGCAAATTTTAAAATTAAAGTTTTGGAAGAACAAGAAAACTTTTTTTCAGCAAAAAATTTCGCATTAATTTACAGGGGAAGCACCGCAAGTGCGACGCTCAGATTTTCTTTAAATTTTGCACACACGTCGGGCATGAACTAAGTATCAATTCCTGAAAGTTTTAGCTCGCGCTTTGCAAGCGCAGCCGAGATATTGAACGATCTTTGCCGCCGAGAGAGTACACTAAACGCGGAGAGCGGTCAGAGAAAAAAAAAACATTTCTTGGCCATAACTGTGCCAGTTTCGTGCGGAAAAAAATGATTTTTTGTGGAAACATTACCCTCTATGGTAGAAATAGGCAAGCAACTTTTCGTACGGAAATTCAGCAAAAAGTATCAAATTACCGCCAACTTTCGATCTAAAAATCTCGGTTGTTTCCGCATACCGCGAGCTCGGATTCTCGTATATATCTTAGAAAAAATTATTCTAAATCTGTGCCAAGTTTCATCAAAATCTGAGCGTCGCACTTGGGTACTTCCTAGTCATCCTCACCTTGTGCTGATAGATCGGATACAACCGTTCGTAATTATGTTCATGCGCACCGAAGTAAATGTCCACTCCGTAGTCAAAGAAGACCTTTTCTAAGCCATAAGTTCCAGCACTGTCAACTCCGTCCCTCAAAATACTAGAAAGTTACAGTAACAAAAGTTTGAAGTTGACCTACTCTTTTGCCCATTTGCATTCCGCCGCTTGAATGTCGGTGCAATACATGGATCGGTGGCCAAAAACAATGATCCATGGGACATGTTTGCGGTTCTTTTGGGCTTTCTGGAAAATTTTTGTGTAAGGAAAATGCTCCATTTACAAAAATGGAGCAAAAAATCTTTTTCAAAAATTAAAAAAAAAAAAATTTGTTAACAACGGAAGTACCCAAGTGCGACGCTCAGATTTTGATCAAGCCTGGCACAAATTTAGAATGATTTTTTCTAAACTAAATGCGAGAATCCAAGTTCGCGCTTTGCAGAAACAACCGAGATTTTTAGATCGAAAGTGGGCGAAAATTTTACACTTTTTCCCGAATTTTGGCACCAAAAGTTTCATGCCTATTTCTACCATAGCGGGTAATGTTTCCACAAAAAATCAATTTTTTTCCGCACGAAACTAGCAAAGTTATGACCAAAAAGTGTTTTTCTCTCTGTCCGCTCTCAACGTTTAGTGTACTCTCTCGGCGGCAAAGATCGTTCAATATCTTGGTGGTGTTTTCAAAGCGCGAGCGAAAACTTTCAGGAATTGATACTGAGTTCATGCCGGACGTGTGTTCAAAATTTAAAGAAAATCGGAGCGTTGCACTTGGGGTACTTCCCTTGCAAATTTCATCAAAACTTATGGCTCAAATTTTCACCACTGCTTTTTTAATTAAAGGATCCTACATACCTTCAAATCCTCCACCAGCCAATTATATTGCGTTTCAATCGATTCATTCCCATATTTCTGACCGTAAAAGTAGAATTCGGTGGAGATTGCGACGAAATGCGTGTCTCCAATGTCGAAACTGTAGAACAAATTGTGCTCGGTGTTGGGCATGGTGAATCGTTGGACGTAGTGCGAGAAATTATAAGCGTTTTCGTGATTCCCAACACTTGTCATGTACGGAACATAGGAAGCGGCTGGCTCGATCTGTCGCATGAATTCATCGCCAAAAGTGCCTTCATCTCGTTCCATGTCGTAAGCGAAATCTCCTGAAAAAATTTTTTGTCACCGAATTTTTTTTTGACTGATGAGGGAAGTGCGCAAAATGAGATGAGATTTTGAAAAAATTTGGGCCAAATTTTGGACAGTTTTTTAGATTGAAAGTTGACAAAAATACGGCACTTTTGCGAATTTTGGCATCAAAAGTTTCATAACTGCTACCGTAGAAATTAATGTTGCTATAAAAAAATTATTTTTTTCCATGTACTGGCAAAGATACGCCCAAAAAAAGGTGTTTTTTATATACGTCAGCGCACTCCGCTGCGCCTGCAAAACGCGGGCAAAAACTTTCAGAAATATTTCTGTTGGCTACAGATTACATATTTCTTTCAAATTTCCCCACAATTTTTCAATCCGACCTCATTTTAAACACCTATGGTTCAAAAATTTTAGTAGTCCCCTCTGGCCATACTTTTTATACTTTTTTTAAACGTAAAACTTACAAAAACCTCGAATATTCCCTAGAAAGACCTAATTTTGTTTGTTTTTCATTTTCTCCAATAAATTTTCTATCTTGTCATTACCATTATGGATGATCATATCAAAGTCCCCGCTTTGTGTCAGCCTCTGAATTTTCCCCAACGATCGTGCATTTATATTGCCCATATCTCCATACAAAGCGAAGCGATATCCCCCATCGCTTCGTTCTGTCAACCCAACAAACGTGTAGATTCCACTCCATCCAAAGTCGGAGCCAACCCGATAAACTGAAAGGAAAATATGACACATATATTAAACTTGCACAACTTGCCGATAGATGGGTTCAAGCCATAGATTCAAATGGCTTTACTTTGAAACTTGACTGGTTTTCATTTGTTGTAAAATTATGTTTAAATTTTTAATAAAAATCGGAAATTTCTTTTGGTTCACCCTAATATAATCGTCCAAATAAATTTTTTGGTTGCTTACAGTATCTCTTTCCCGGAACAATTGTCGCAATTGTAGCACGATGAATGTAACGAACCGATTTCCCAGTTCCCCCATCGACGAATCGGGTGATATTGGCCTTCACGATTTTCTCGAACTGAAGATCTTCTCCGTAGGTGACAAAGGATTGTTTAGTGTCATCGAAGGTCAGCCAGGTCACAAATATTTTGTCTGGGGAGCCTGAAAAGACCAGTCAGGATGAAAATTGAGGAAAAAAAGCTTTGGAATTTTAGGAATCTCTTTGCTTTTTTTTGAAAATTTGTACGAGAGAGTACGTAAAATGAGGAGAGACGGTCAGAGAAAAGCCCGCTTTTTTCCTGTAATTTTTTTTAATAAAGCTGGGAATTTTTCTGTAGACGCTGTTCAACAAATTTTACAATTAATTTTTTTGAAGATTTCAAAAAAAAATCTGCATTTATTTAAATAATTTTAGCCGTATATTCAATCTTGGCCATGACTAAAAAAATTTTTCGTGCCTACCTCCATAAGACAGATGAATCTGCTCTGGCTGACCGTAATAGGGACCATAATTGGGGTCGTTTCTCAGCTCCCAATGAGTTTTCCTGTTGTCCGACAAAAATTGCCAAGAATAATATGATCTCAACCCTACTGCAAGGTAAAATACAGTGAATAATAACATTTTTGCCGAACAATACGACAAATGCGGGAATTTTTTGGCCTGCAAACGGTATATAAGATCTCTGCGGAGAGGTCGTGGTATTTATTTATCCGAAATGTTTATTTGACCATGTTATTTCGATCAGGAGGCGAGGTCAACAAGATTGGTCAAATTTCGCGGACAGAATTTATTTCAACATTGCCAAAGGGCGATTGAACTTTTATGAGGTCTAAAAATTGTGGACCTTCCAGAATCTAATATTTTTTTTTAATTTCATTGACAAATAATTTTATGCAGTGTAAAATACTGTAAAATAAGGCGAAAAAATATATAAAGCCGTCAAATATGGGGTAATTATTGCACGTGTTCACCTGAAACAGATTTATTTTGTCCTCTGAAGGTCAGGCAATCTAGTTTTACCGTGTTTTTGGGATAAGGTCGCGAGTTTGGCCGATTTTTTTACTTTACAAATAAAGTTCATGACGTCACTTATTCGTTATTAAAAAATTATAAAAATATCATTATTACCAACTTGAGTGCTCTACTGTTTCTTTAATGCACAATTTTCACAGATTTTGTTCGAATTTTGGATCTTCGAACAAGCCTCTTACTCTGGCAACGAAAAATTTTGTTTGGCATAACGTTTCAAGAAAAATAAATGTAAAAACAAGAAAAATAGAAAGAAAAATCGGAATGAATCGGATGAAGAAACCAAGATGATGCGAATAAAATACTATTACGATGTTCTGTGTCCATATTCTTGGCTGGGATATCAGGTAAACCTTCAAATCTTATTTTAGCCCACTTTTTCGAAAAGTTTTTATTTTTTATGCTGTAAAATACGGGTTTCTTTCAGATCTTAGCTCAAAAAACCGCTGGTTGGAGAGAAATCGGCGACTACAGCTTGGATTACATTCCACACATGTGGCCAAAGATCTACAAAGCAGTTTGTATGTTGCTTTAGGTGTATTATTAGCTAAAATTAATTCCAGCTAGCCACTCAATCGAAGACGTGTGTCAAGCCAAGTACAATTACGTTCAGAAGGATCTCAGGGACATTTGTGAACATTATGATCTTCCTACGGGTAGTTTTGAAGTGAGTGTCTTTGGTTTTTCGTTGTTGAAATTTAGAGGTCATGAATAATGTAATTTCTCTATGATTAGTGATAAGATGATTATGAATCGTTCTTATCCCTTCCGTTATAGAGAATGTACAATCGAGAGCTTCGAAGCAACTCATCGTTGTGGTTTCTAAACCTTATAAAAAAGAAGCACGGCCCTGGCCTTCATCAACGGTTCATGGAGAAGTTCTGGGAGCGGATATACCTAGAAAACCGCACTGCAAATTGCACCAACGACTTCCTCGACGTCAGTGAACAGCTGGAGATCCCGTTTTCCGAGTCTCAGCGACTGTGTATGCATACGGAGCAACGGTCGAACGTTTTGGACTTGACCGAAACAAGGCTGTATCTTCAAGAAGAAGCGAGGGCGATTGGGTCGCCGTGGATTGAAGTACATATCAATGGGTGGGACCTCAAATTCTTCGATGTGATGCGGTTAGAACTCATCGATGAAATCTTCAAAGATCCGTCGCTAATTCCGGATAATGACAAGTTCACCAGGATATCAGCTCTCTAAATTTTTAGGATTCAGAATATGCCATTTAGAACCCAGTGTTTATATTGTTGAGTTTTCTGTCAATAAATTTTGTTTTTATCGTCGTATCTTCTTGTTCAGATAAATTTTTGACACTTCGTCGAACTTTGTGGCATTCCGTCAATTTCGTGAAAAAATATTTCTTCAGAAGCAGATTTTTGGCGCGTTCGGCACAAAATCTTGTAAATAACTTATTCTAGGCTTCTGTATGTCCCAAAAGTTATAAACTATGGAAGAGAAGTGAGTTTATATTGCTTTAATTTTATCTTGGTTTAGATCTTCTCTCTCTTTGAGCATAAAGTCTCGTGGAAATGTCTTGAACGGCGACCGAGAAGTGGCATCAGTCTTCAATCAAGACTCGGAATCAGAGGAAGAAGCTCCAGCATCAGCCGAAGAGAAATTTCGACAGAAGTACGGAAATAAAAAGGAAAAGGATGAACGGGCAGTAAAGAAGGTTTTGGAAGAAGATAAAACTGTCTACGATTATGATGGTCATTATGACGAAATGGAAAGGAGAAGAGAGGAGATCAAATCAAGTAAGAAACAATCGGATAAAGATGGTGGGGTAAGTATCTCTTTTATTTTCTTCGTTTTTAGAGCTCACGGATAATAAAATGTGGTTAATTTACAGCCCAAATACGCGGATAAGCTGCTCAAAGCGAAACAGCGCCGTGATTTGGAGAAACTGATCATAGAAGAGAGAAAACAGGACCGAGAAAGAGCTGCAGAAGGAGACGAATTCGAGGATAAAGAGGCATTTGTGACAGAAGCCTACAAAAAGCAGATTGAAGAGAAAGAAAAGTTCCGGAAGGAGTTAGAGGCCGAAGAAAAGATAAATGGTATGTTTCGAAGCTCTTTGTCATTTTATATTAACATTTATATTGCTTCAGAGATAAACGATGTGACCAAATCCAGTATGTATCGTGAGACCTTTGCCAAGAAGTTGTTGGATGACGCAGCGGCCGAAAGGGAGCTCATAATCAAAGGTCCGAGCGTGCCAGAGGTTAAACAAGAAGAAGAGCTGTCAAAAGAGAATGAAACTAAGACAACATCCAAGGCCGGAGGAAAGAAGAAATTTGTGCCATTCACCGACTCGGAAGAAAGTGATGGCCCTGTAACCCCACCGCCAGAGACTTTAAAGGCCGGATTGAATGTGAAGAAGCCGAAAGAAGAGACAGAAGACAGTAGAAAAGAGAGAACACGCGAAAAGGAGAGACACAGGAGTCGAGAGAGAAACAGAAGCCGAGATAGAGATCGTGATACGAGGCCAAGAAGTCGAGATCGAGACAGGAGAGATCGAAGGGACGATCGAGGACGAAGGGACTCAAAATATAGTAGGGATGATAAATACCGAAGAGATCACAGAGTAAGTCATGGAGAATATGACTGTAGCGCAATCTTAGCTTAATAAAGTGAGGTGTATTGGGTGTCAATAGAAAGCTCGTGAAGAGTACTCCTTAGTCATGTCTTTATTTTTGCCAAAACCGTTTGGTTTTATTTACTAGATCAAAAATATTATACTTGTTATACCATGTATAATATAAAGTGATTCTCGAGACTTGAAATGGGTGTATGGTTTTTTCTATAACAAAACAGTAGCTATTATTGTAGAATGTGTCTGTATGAGAGTTTTACGAAGATTTAACGACTGTATATACCATGAAATTACGTCATATTATACATGAAGGACCAGTTTTTTTATGACAGTGATTTCGTAGGGTAATATTGGACGTAGCGAAAAACGTGGCTAGATAATGAAACCACTCGTTAGGGGCTTTCAAATTATAGGTAATACCACCTTTTCGTAACACATTTACTATTGCGCTACCTTGTTCATTTACAATATCTAATATCTAATTTTAGGTGGATAAACACCGTGATTCCCGTCGCCGTTCTCCAGAAAGACGATCCAAGAAAGTTTCTATATCTCCTGTAAGAAGATCAACCCGACAGTCCAAGTCTCCGCCCAGAAAACGATCAAAATCCCCAAGGAGAAGGTCACCTTCGCCGAGGAGAAGGTCGGAAAAACGAAGATCTCCCGAAAGGAAACGCTCAGAATCTCGCACCGATCGCAAAAAGGACAAGGATGTGAAGCCAAGAACAAAGAAGGCCAGTTCGGATTCGGATGAGGAGCTGCTGAAGAAGGAAGCCAATGGAACGCTAACATCTCGAGAAAGACAATTCCTGGAACAAAAACGACGCATGAAGAAGGTGAAGAAAGTCTTGGCACACCGAAATAACCAAGACCAAATCGACGCCTATATGAAAAGGTACTTCAAACGACGAGAAGAAGGCCTAATTGAGCCCCCAATTGTTGGACAAGACGAGAAAATCAAGTACTAATGTACATTCCAGTCATATTTGTTATCGATGTACTGTTGAAAATATAATAAAAAGGGTCTGAAAGCTCTGTGAGATCTTCGGAATAAACTTTGAAGTGAAATTTTTAGGTGGTACGGGCCAAAAAGTCTTGACATGCTTTCGCACCGTGCGGGCGCATGAATTCGACCGTTGCGACAAGGTGTCGCGCGATAAAAATTTGGCGGGGTGCGAATGAAGAGCGCACTGTGCGTTGTTTACCCTTTTCAAAACAGTCTTTTTGCACTGTGCGGGGTCGAAGCGCACGGTGAAGTTTTCTTGTCGCCGCGCGACAAGTTTCTTGCAGAACAGCGCACTGTGCAGACATGTCTTCAATAATTTTGAAATGATCTTTTGGCGGCGCAGGTTGTGTCCCGCAACGAAAACTCGCGACAGCCATGACCGCGAAAAGGATAGTCTTGTCCGAGTAGGCGGTCGCGACCGCGGTCGGTTTTGACGAAACATTCCAGTTGCAGTCATAAGTCGCGACAGGTCGGTCTTTTTCGCGACCGTTTTGTGTTATACATTTCGAGTGATAGTAAGTTTTGTAATTGCGGTATTTCGGGGTGTTGTCGTCCAGTTGCTTTGCATTTTTGGTGTTAAAAATTTAGTTGTATTATTTAGAGACCTCTGTTTGCTTTTCTAATTTTGAAAACTTTGGTGTTAATTGCATGTTTTTTGTTTGACGTGTTCTATGTGAATATTATCCTATTATCGTGTGCTGTTTCAATTCATCCCATCTCCAATTTATTTTGTTTCAGAAAATGGAGCAGGAGGTTCTACGTACGCTCCGAGGGGATGTGCCGAAAAAGGAGTACAACTTTATCGAGTTGGAGCTCCAGGAGAGCTTCGCGAAGATGGGGATAGCGCCCGCGCACTCGGAGAGACTTGTGGACCAATTGAACAAACTGACACTTGTCACCGAGCACAAAGAAGGTCGAGATCTCTGCGAGCGGCGCAAAGTTACGCCATCCAATGGCAAGGCGCCTCCCGTGATGCCACCAGGCAAAGCGGGAGAGAGTCAGGTGGAGGTCAAGTCCAACGTCTTCCCCATGAAGCTGAATGTGAAAGGCAAAGCCTTCCAGTACGCTATCGTGCTGATCGGCGAGTATCAAGACAGAACTGGCAAAACCAAAACCTATGCTTTCAATGAGATGCCTCACACGGAGTAAGTTGTTTATCTTTCTTTGCATTTTGTGTTTAGTTTCGATCGCATTAGGAACAAGGAGACAGCGTTCCGTATCTTCCGTTATATGGTTGAGAAGCGTCCCAAAATTTTTCCTCCGCTCGCTCAATGCGCGTTTGATGGTGAGACGTCCCTGTACACCGCCTTTCAGCCGATTGTAATGAGTCACGTAAGAGTTTACTTCAAGGGTTTATAAAGTTGTGGCATGAATGAGAAGGTTTCATGGTGAAAATTACTTTCAGGCAACGCTGACTGTCAGCATTGAGAGAGAAGAAGATAAAGCCAACTTTCCGGTCCGTGAACCTTTCATTTCCATCGACATGGTGATCCGAGACATGGACATGCCGGTTGACTTGGATGTGTACACTGATCGTGGTGAGATCACCGATGTTATCAGAATCGAAAGCTGTCTGGATGCGGTTGTGGGTATGGCCATTGAAGAGGACAGGTAGGTCGAAGTTTTTTGGAAGGTTTATTGTTTTTAGGGAGAATCATGTGTGTTTCCAAAACAATGCCAGTTATTTGATGGATCCACTGAAACATGGCTTCCATCCGAATGATATGCAGGATCTCGGTCATTGTACCTACTCTGGAATTGGTTGCACCAAAAATGTGCGCTTGCTCCGCTCGACGCAAGGACCTCTTCCTGCGTTGGTGATTGAGCGTAAGTTTGCGAAACTCCGGGATTAGATTAAAACTTTTTCAGCGAAAGCGACCCCTTTTCACAGCACCGTAAGCGTTGCGGAGAAGGTCATCACTGCCTACCCTGAAGTCCGTACGAAACTCAACGGTTTATTCCCGCAAATTACGGACGCGATTAAAGGCCTAGTTGTTACGCCCATCCATTTGGAAAACAAGATCCCGGGCAGGGAGCCACGCCCACTCCGTGTCAAAGGAGTTGATGTCAGGAATGCGTTTGACGCAACTTTTTATCTCGATGACAACACCGAGACCTCGGTTTACGACTACTACAAGGACAAGTACAAGATCGAGTTGCAATATCCCAAATTACCAATGATGCTGATCTATGAACACGACAAAACAAGAACCTCATACCATCCAATGGAATTGTACAGAGTTTGTGACAATCAAAGAGTAAAGGGCGCGCAGTCTGTCCCGATGATGGTCGCCACTTTGATTAAGGTAAGCATGAGAATTTTTTGGAAAATGGCCGGATCACGGTGAAATTGCTGTTGGGAGTGAATTTTTAATGATTTCATGGATTTAGGTCGCAGCCGCGCTTCCACAAAAGGTTGAGCAACATGTATACAAACATGCAACCACCCTTCATTTGCTCGAAAACAAGTACTTGCATGGTTTTGGAGCTGAAGTCGGGACCACTCCGATTGTTGTAAGTTTTGTTTTGTTTGTTTCAGTGGAATTCTGTTTTTAGGCAAGAGGTCGGGTCCTTCAAGCCCCGGGCTTCATGTACCGTGGAGGACAGATCTCGTCTTTTGACAAAATTCGAGGTAGCTGGCAGTCCGGCCACTTTGTGTGTCCCGCTCGCATCACCATGTGGGGTTGCTACGCCGCGGAGCAGAGTTTCAAATCCAAGTTCAACCAGGAGAGTCTGCGGACGTTCGCCAAGGCCTTTTACGACATGTGCGTGAGCAAGGGAATGCAGATCAATGGGCCTGCCGAGATCCGTTGCCTCGAAAACGGGTCTCAGTTTCAGAACATTAAAAATGTGTTTGAAAGTGCTTCAAGCGGAGGTGGAGATTTTCTTCTGTTTGTCACCACGCCAGGAGACAAAATTGTTCACAGTAAGTTTTTTCTTGAGAAATTTAGCCTATTTTTGATTTGGCTGATTTTGAGTGAATTCTCCTCGTTTTTAGAGATCATGAAGTCCATGGAGCGCAAATGGGGTATTGTCAGCCAGAACGTTTTGGACAAGACCGCAGCCAGTGCTTGTGGCCTCATGGGACCACCTAAAAGATTGACCTTGGAGAATCTGGTGAATAAGGCCAACGTTAAGATGGGAGGCCTCAACTATCATGTCGCCGATATGCAAGCCAAGTAAGTTGTTTTCCAAGTTTCATTCTTCTTGTTTTAGAACTCTGTTGGGAACCGACGATCTGTTTATCGGATTTGCCAAAGATCTCGGTGCTGGCAATATCAAGGAAGACGAACGGGATGACGAAGGTACCGGCCCAACGATCATCGGATTCGCCGCCAATGACATAAAAGAACCTTTGGCTTTTGTCGGAGATTACCTTTTCCAGGATCCCAGAAAGAATGAACGTGTTTATTTCGTCGTGAAGACGGTGGAAAGAATCGTCAAAAGATATATCGAGAACCGCGGGAAAAAGCCGAAGCGTGTGTTCATCTACAGAAATGGACTGGCTGAATCACATTTTCAATTGGTAATAAGCTTTGGGTTTTTATTTGCGTCTAGGACTCGGGTCTCATACCTAAATTTATTTAATTGAAGGTTCTTACCTATGAGATCCCGGTGATGAAGGCACTCTTGGCCAAGTACGAAGCTGGGGACTTGGTCTACATTGTCCCGAACAAGATGCACAACATTCGCTTGTATCCGGCCAGAATTCAAGGAACCAAACCGCCGGAGCAGAACCTGAAACCCGGAACGGTGGTGGATACCACATTGGTGGCGTCCAAGTTGAACGAATTCTACTGCTGTGCCCACGTGGCTCGTCTCGGAACAGCGAAGGTGCCCCGCTATTCGGTGTTGAGCAACGAAGGAAATTATTCGATGGACGAACTGCAGAAGATCACCTACATGCTGTCATATGGACATCAGATTATCACTGGAGCGACTGGTCTCCCATCTCCTGTATTTATCGCCCGAAGATACGCCGAAAGAGGAAGAAAGATTTTGAGCATCATTATGCATGATGCGTAAGTTTTATTTTATTTTTTTGTGGTTGAAATTTAGGACGGGCTTTTTTGAACCGACTAAAATTTGGATCTGAATTCTGAAAAGAACTGTCAGGGAATTTGGGATTGATTTATATTACCTATATTCTTCCCCTATTTCAGTGAGACAAGAAAGGCCGAAATGGATGCCGACAAACCGGTGCGAGATGCAATCATTGAAAAACAACTCAAGAAGTACCAGGAAGAACAACTGGGCATGCAAAGCGACGAAGGACAGCAGGAGAAGAAGAACGGACACAGCAACACGTCTTCGGAAAGCGGCTTCAACCCTCTGGGCCAGTACGCTTTCTACAATCGACGGTTCACCTACTATGGAACCAAGCTCCGCAACCAACGGTACAATGCCTAAAGGCCTCCAACTCAGCAATATCCCCCAAAAATATCATAATTCATTATATTATCCATCTATTCTCTACGTTACTCTTTTATGGGTGAATAACAATTTTGTCTTATTATTTACCCGGACTTTTTTCATTTTGAAATGGTTTTACTGATTATCGTAATTTTGTCTATCAACCGTTATGTTGTTTGAATTTCTGAATGGCCATTAAATGGCGTTTTTATATTGTTTTTACTAATAAATGGGAACGGCAAATATGTAGGCATTGATTGAAGAAAATTAATATATCCCATTTTACGAAGATAAACAATGAAATTACACCTTTTTATTGACTTTATCTGATAAGTTTATCATGATTTAGTCCAACGTCGTGTTCCGCAGACTGCAGGCGGGTCGCGCCCAATATTTTTGTTTTCTTTTTCCTTGGACACAAAAATATTTTGTTCTTCCTTGTTTTGGTCATAAAAGGGGGATCTAGGCGTTGTAAAGGTATCAAAATTATACCACATAGCGGTTTTCATTGATTTTATATGTTTTCTCCTTGGTTTGTTGGTTTTTCGTCCCAAGATTTGATATTCTTCACTGAAATCTATTCGTGTTCGTGCAAAAAACAAAATTATCTTTGTTTCTCGAACTCTCCTTTACCTTCGCTTACGAAGCCTTTGATAACAAATTACTTTCAGCTAAATTGGACCAGATTTTTTCTGGTCTCTTCATCTTCACCATGGCCACCAAAAATGCGAAGAAATTCTGGACCGTGAAGAAGGTGGTGCAATGCGCGGCAGTTGGAAGTGGAGCATTTGCGTTCTCTCAGCTGCTGTTTGGGTCGGAATGCTTCTATTCGAATGTGGTTATGCCTACGGTGCACACTTTTGTGGACCCCGAGACAGCTCACAGATGGGGTGTTTTGTCCGCCAAATACGGGCTGATCCCGAGGTTTGGCGACAACCTTAGAGAGTATGGGCAACTGCAGACTACAGTGATGGGAATCGATTTCAAAAACCCGGTTGGTAAGGTGTTCTAATAGTAAAAATTGATAATTTTGGAAAAAAATCCCGTTTATAACATGTTTTATTAGGTTGTCCCACAAATAATGTCCCTCTTTGAAAAATTTACTTCTGCGACAAAATTTACCGTAATAGCAGCAATCTAATTAATCAAAATAATTACCATATGCTTTAACATGTTGATTACAACGTGCCAAGCATTTTTTTATTCCAGTAGTTTAAAAGTCCCGGCTTCTGGAGCCGATGAAACTTTTGGAGGCCTTTTCAAGGGCGTCTTAATTGATTAATTTTCTACCACGGATGAAACGTGGTAGATCCTTGGACAGGTGGGAGTCTGCATAGGCTATCTTTAACGAATATACCAGACGAAGAAGAGTCTCGTATCTCGGTTAATTCGGCTTCTGGAGGGTAATTTTTAGAAGGTGAGGTTGCGCGTTTCCGTTAAAAATGTTCGAACTTCTGTGGCGTACCGTGGAAGGCCGATTGTGCAACAAGCTGTCTATGCAGGTACAGGAGGAGGTGGTGTTTACATTTTGGCCCGGTTCCAGGAATCAGTAATGCACGAATCCCACGTTGCGCCATCAAAAATTGACCGTCACCGTCTTCTAGAGGAACTCAGACTTTGGGACGTGCTGTGGTGGTACCCCGGGTGACCACCTTTGATAAAATCTTGCCTAGGTGCCGTAGTTGATTCACATTTTGTCACAAGCTATGATACGATCCAGAAAAGCAGGATCTTAGGCTCGGTAAAGCAAAAAAACGAAGCCTTCATTCTGGGCCTTGGTCCAATAATATGGGAAGAATTTGTTGAGCTTTTTCTTGAATTTATCGACATTGCACTGTTATCCACCAATAATTTTGATACCACCACAATGCCGGAAAGGCGTCGGACGTGGATTCCATGACTTTCGTCGACCAATGACCTCAGGGTAAATTCGCAAAGCTGGCATGACGTGTTTTTCCTTCGGGGTTCCTGTGGCTAGGTCGAATTTTTTTAAACGCTCGTTTCACCGTGGCCGGACTCACAGCACACTGGCCGAACATGGCGTTGACATTTGGTGTAACTTCTAAAACCTTCGTACCCTGTTTTGCTCCCACAAGTTGATGACACAAATCGTCCCTTTTTCCGAAATTTTGAAATGGGGCTAAATTACTGTAATTTCATCGAAATATGGCAGATGACATATTAAACGAAAGCTTGAAATCATAGCTACAAAATGGTAGAATATTACGAAAGTTGGTCGTTGCTTACGTTTTTTATAGACCTTTGACTTGACCCCTCTCGAAGAGGGACATTATTTATGGGACAACCTAATAGATAATTTTTTGGTGAAATTAGTTATAAACTAGATGAATTGATGGGTAATTGTTAGAATGGGATAGTTTAGACTTGTGATCATTTCATTTTTTGATATTTTCAGGCATCGCCGCTGGCTTTGACAAGGACGGCGAGGCCATCGAAGGACTTCAAAATTCAGGATTGGGATTCGTCGAGATCGGCTCTGTCACTCCCCGCCCGCAGGCTGGAAACGAAAAACCTCGAGTGTTCAGACTTCTAGAGGACAAGGCGCTCATCAACCGGTATGGATTCAACAGTAAAGGTGTTGGTTACGTCAGCGACAAGGTGAAGAGCGTCTTCAAAGCCGATGACCATGATGTATTCAAGAATCGAGTGCCACTAGGAGTCAATTTGGGTAAGTTACAGAATGCTTTGACATTTATCTCATCAAAACTATCAAAATTTTGAGTTTTTTTAGTATAAAAATCTATTAAAAATCAATTTTATTTAAATTTGGGTGCTTCAGGAAAGAACAAGGACTCTGAATTCGCCGCATTGGACTATGAAATCGGAGCCGATTACTTTGCCAGGTTCTGCGATTACCTCGTCATCAACGTATCTTCCCCCAACACCCCGGGTCTCCGATCATTGCAGTCCAAGAACGAAATTGAAAATGTAAGGCGATTTGATTGGAAATTGGACGATTGGGGAAAAGACGCTTGGGGAAACCGAAAAGTTTTATTTTTCTTCGATGCAAGTGTCGAAATCAAGATAATCGAGGGCGCTGATTTCGAAAATGGCATTCATTTTTTTGATAGTTACTTTTTTCTTTAAGTAGTACTGTAAAGTAGTAATTTTTTGAATTTTTTTCGTAAATGCCCATCGAAAACCCCTGAATCGAGTATTTGTGAAAAAAATTCAAAGGATTACTAATTTGGCTTTTATGCGTTAGTGGTGTTGTTCTGGTGCCTAGTGCTGCTATTTTCACCTCGTACTATATTGTATCACGTAGTACCAAATAGCACCAAGTCTTTAAAAAGTGTTTTTGAAGAGTACTAAGCATCAAAACAACACCATTAACGTCAAAAGTCATATTTTCACCTGGTACTACATAGTATCAGATATTACTATATAGTACTAGAGGAAAGGTTAACATGATTTTCAAAATCATCACCATCGAAAACTCCTAAATCGAGTATTTGCGAAAAAATGCAAAAAATTACTACTTTACAGTGCAGCCTAAGGAAAGAAGTAAAGATCAAAAAAAAAAAATTAATGTCATTTTCGAAATCAGCCTCATTGATTATCCCAATTTCGGCACATCGAAGAAAAATAAAACTTTCCGGTTTCCCCAATCGTATTTTTCCCCAACCGTCCACCCCCGATTTGATTTTTATGGATGTATTTTGAAATTTTTTTCAGATTCTCTCCACCTTCAACGCTGCCGTGGATCGAACAGCCGCTGAAAGTGGCCGCAGACCGAAAGTTTTGCTAAAAATTACATCTGATTTGAATCCCACGGATCGAAGAGACATTGCCAATGTAGCCATGAATCCGAAGAACAAAGTGGATGGACTTATCATTTCGAACACGACAATAGCCCGTCCTCAGGAATTGAAATGCCCATTGAAGGCGGAAGCCGGTGGTTTGAGTGGAGAACCCTTGAAGAAACCGAGCACAGAGTGCATCAAGGAGATTTACAGGTAATTTGGGGGGAAAGGCTGACAGGGGAAAGTACCCCAAGTGCGACGCTAAGATTTTGGTGAAACTTGGCACAAATTTAGAATGATTTTTTAGAAAATATATTCGAGAATCCTAGCTCGCGCTGTGCAGAAACAACCGAGATTTTTAGATTGAAAGTTGGCGAAAATTTGACACTTTTTGTCGAATTTCGGCAAAAAGTTTCATGCCTATTTCAACCCTAGAGGGTAATTTTTCCGCAAAAAATCAATTTTTTCCGCACGAAACTAGAAAAGTTGTGATCAAAAAGTGTTTTATTTCTCTGACCGTGTTTAACGTACTCTCTCGGCGGCAAAGATCGTTTAATATATCGGCGGCGCTTGAAATGCGCGAGCTAAAACTTTCTGGAATTGATACTTAGTTCATGGCCGACGTGTGTGCAAAATTTAAAGAAAATCTGAGCATCGCACTTAGAGTACTTCCCTTGTGAGTTTAGAGAGGGACTCGTCTCTTTATGGGGTTTAAACATCACGATCTTCTGGATTGATCTTTTTTGTTCTAAATTTATGCGTTCCCGCTACCTTTTGCTTTATGACTTTGCCCATATTTATTTATTTTTATAACTTCTAGACTCACAAAAGGCCAAGTACCGATCATTGGAGTTGGTGGAGTATCAAATGGGACGGACGCGTATGAGAAGATCAGAGCCGGCGCAAGCCTGGTCCAGTTCTACACAGCCTTAGCCTATGAGGGATGGCCGGTGATAGGAAAGATCAAGAAGGAGCTACGAGAACACCTTATCCATGACGGCTTCGGGTCTGTAAAAGCCGCTGTTGGGGCTGATGTGCGATTAGAAGAAGAGAAAAAGGCCTTGATCACGGCACAAAAATCCTGGTGGCGACTGTGGTAATTAAAAATGAAACAAATTGTCAGTAGATTGCCATAAGTTTAAGTAATTTTGTCGTAAATTTGAATACAACAGCAACATGCTTTGTTTACAATGTTTATTTAACCGGATTCAATTCTTTTGAGCATGGCATTTGATTAAGTGAAAAAAGGCTGAGAACAACAGGCAACAACTACCCGATATAACAACAAATTATCTTGATATTACAACAATCTGACCCGTACCGTACAGCACTCCGTATTGCTGCGAAAAGCGAACGTTCTGTTATTGCGTTTCTTGACTAGAAACTGGCGGTGACGTCATCGTTCCGGACGCTGCCGTATGCTGAATCGGCTGCTCTGTGAAGGGCGGAGGACGGCCTTGATGCGGCATACGAATCGCCACCTCGTACGGAGGCGGCGGATCCGGCGCACATTGCATTAAATCGGAAACTGATAAACGCCGGCCAGGGTAGGGATCTGGAATATATCGTTAAATTCATATGTATTTTGATGTCAAAATACCTGGAGCTGATGCTGGTGAGCATGCTCTGGACTCATGTCGTTGACTGTACAAACGACAGCCAAAAGTTAGCAGAAAGACGGCGAAGAAAACGCCGATGGTAATGCCAGCCGCCAGTCCGCTGGTCAGTGAGAGGTGCTCTGAAATGAGCAATATATTCGTGTGATAAAAAGGGAAGTGCTCGAAATAGACTTAATTTATAAGCTATCAAAAAGTTTCACATTTTGGCCAGCAAAAAAATCTCAATTGTTTCCATCTGCCTCAAATTTTCTCCAGGTCATGTGAATTCATTGCTTTCTAAATCGTCAGCGATTTTATGGTACGGTTTGTAAGCAAAACTGCGATATTTAGCCATCTTTTTTCGAGAGAGTATGCGAAATCAGGAGAACGGCCAGAGAGGAAAACGCTTTTTGACCGTATTTCTGCCAATTTCGCGGGGAAATAATTCATTTTTTATAAAAATATTGACCTCCACGGTAGAAATAAGCCTGAATTGATAAGCTATCACAAAGTTTCACATTTTGGCCAACGTTCGCACAAAAAAATCTCAATTGTTTCTGCAAACCATGAGCTTGGAATCTTGCATAATCATAGAAAAAATAAATCTAAATTTTGCCAAATTTCATCAAACTCTGATCATGCTTTGAGCACTTTCACTATTAGTATTTCCATAAAGTGCCTGGACGTTTGTCGCGGTCCGCACCGATTTTTTTTGTGCGAACGTTGGCCAAAATGTAAAACTTTGTGATAGCTTATCAATTCAGGCTATTTACACAGGAGAGGTCAACACTTTTATAAAAAATGAATTTTTTCCCCGCGAAATTGGCAGAGATACGGCCAAGAAGCGTTTTCCTCTCTGACCGTCCTCCTGATTTTGCATAATCTCTCGAAAAGAGATGGCTAAATATCTCGGGTTTGCTTACAAATCACACCATAAAATCGCTGACGGTTTAGAAAGCAATAAATTCACATGACTTGGAGAAAATTTGAGGCAAATGAGGCCCCAAATTTCCCCCATAAAATGGCCACCGACTTACTGTCATGGATGTCATGAGCGTAATACTTGTCCCAGCTGATCGGCTTGTAGGTCGGATATGGCCACATGGACTCCTCGGATTTGTCGTCGGCGTCAGTGTCGGCCGGGAAACGCAGCGACGTCGATGCTGAAAAGGCAACAACAATGAGGTTGAGGGGAGCGCCTCTAATCGTTTTATGCGATTTTCATCCGGTTTTGCCGCTTTTTTGTCACCGAAAATATTATTTTTCCCTTTCTGTTTTTTATTCTGATTGTTGCGCAATGGAGACAGTAACGGAGGGAATTTGATTCTTTTATAACAGTGAGAAGAGAGAATCAAAGAAAAATAGAGGGGAAGAGTTTGACTGTGTCAGCGATATTTACGTGTTTTTTGCCGAAGTCATCGTGATTTTAAGCTGAAAAACCAAAAAATTTGGTCTTGAGGGGTGAAATCGGCTTTCTGTTACAGTGACGGACCTGATCCAGTGGCAAGAACGTATCATATTGCATCCGGGAGGTAAAAAAATGTGGCAAAATGCCTCCATCTCCAACTAAAAAACTCCGTTTTGAAAAGCCCGACCTTTCCCTCACAAAACGCTCTTTTGAAATCGGAATTTTTCACTTGGAGAGGGAGGTATTTTGCCACATTTTTTGATACTTCCGGGATGCAAAATGATACGTTTTTTGCCACTGGATCAGGTCCGTCACTGTATAAGTGTGATGTGCAATATTTATACTTGCGCATTTCACCAGAGTAAACCTAGTTCTTCCAAGTTAAATTTTCAAGGTTATGGATGAATAACAATTTTTTCTGTCCTTCCTACTTCGTCGTTTTCAACGCCTGCTTCATAGCCCCTATTTTTAAAACACTGGCAGTATAACCGGCCTAAAAATCGCAAGCTAAAATGTTCGGAAAATGATTTACGTCTAATGCAAAGCAGTTTTGCCAAATTTAAGGCAAATCTGAGCTCTGCATTTTAGTTCCAATTCTCTAGAATTCACCTGCAATTGATGACAAATGAATCTTTGACTATTAAAAATTCATTTTTCCTAGAGTCTTTTACAAATTACTTTCGAAGAACTGTTGCAGACAGACAGAATGGGGCTCTTGACCTTTTCCGAATACCGGTTGTTCTACCATTACAATCGAGAGGGTAATATCGTCCGGTTAACCTTTTTTTCCGCCATCCTGAAGAGGGGCCTTTTAATTCGAGTTTATTCGATTACCCAAGAAGAAGAGAGGGAACCCGGTTTTTGGGTCGAGGAACGGTCGCTAATTCTGTTGTTGAGGGCGCTACGAGTCCGTTGAATTTGCTGCAAAAAAATTAAAGTGTCGGGAAATGAAAAGCTTGACTGTTTTTTTGATGGGTGCTCTAATGAATGTCATCGTTGCAAAGCTCAGATTTTCTTGAAATTTGAAAAAAAAAGTTGACCTAGACTGCATAAAAATCTTAAAAGTTTTAGCTTGCGCTTTGTCCCGCCGAGTTATTCGACTATGTTTGTTGACGAGAGAGCACCAGAAATTCCGAGAGCGGTTAGAGAAAAACCCTTTTTTTGGTCATATTTCTGCAATTTGAATAATTTTTTTTTCCAAAATCGCCGTATGGGGTAAATTTTTTCAATAACTGAAATTTTTAGCTGATGCCTTACAATTACAACTGAGGTATCAAAAAATTACCACCGAGGCGAAAGATTTCTATATCTTTTTTGTGCGCTGCTCGGTGAAAGATCATTTCCGTCACAATCTTTAAAAACCACAGAGCAGAGAAGACATAAGTGAACGATGATTTTTATTTCCGACTTTCTCAAAAAATTTGTCGCAAAAACAATGGGAGAGATTCTTGAAAAGCGAGTCGATGACCAAACAGGTAAAGTTATCGCACGAAATCGTCATGTGAAAATGGGAGTGCACGTAGACGCAGGGTTATTTCCCATCCAGTTCATTGGGAGAGGAGTCCCAAAGTTGAAGCTGGAATTTGGGCCAAATTTGGCGAGGATTAGGACTAGGTTTTTGTAGGGTATATTATTTGAGGTTTGTAGGTAGCATTTTGATACAGACACAGGGATTTAAAAAATATAATACAGGGTGTTTCAAGAAATTTGGAACAAATAATTTGCTTATATCTTTGTGTTCTTTGCAGCTATCAACGAATTTCTTTTTGCTTCTAAAAATTGACAGCGTGCGTTTTTAGAATCTCAACAAAAATTTTTTTTCGTCGGCGGAGGGCCCATTTCTCGGCGGAGAAAATTAGGGCCTTTTTTAAAAATCACAGCGTATTACGTGACGGAAACGCCGTTGCAACGGCTGAAATCAAGTTTACGTAATACCTCCATCGATTTTACGGTATGCTTTTTTTGCGTTTTCCATTTTACGCACTTCCGCGGATGCGCGGCGGAGACCTCAGGTTTCGGTGGACGTTGTTTTGGGCCTTTGGCTTTTGCAATTCATGTTGGAAAAGAGGTTGGGGTGATTTTTTGTTGTCATCCGATGCACAGATGGTAAAAATTTCGTGCTTTTTATCCCCGGCGGAGGAGTCGGCGGAGGCTTTATCAAAGGGTAAAAACAAAACTCCGCCGATTTGTCCGCCGGACCAAAAAAATCAAAAATCTTTGAAAGACAATGCTGCTCTGATGGATTCTTGTAGCTGAGATTTTTCCCGGACTCGTAAGACTGCTTTGACCCTTTGATAAAGCCTCCGCCGAATCCTCCGCCGGGGAAAAAAAGCACGAAATTTTTGCCATCTGTGCATCGGATGACAACAAAAAATCACCCCGACCTCTTTTCCAACATGAATTGCAACAGCCGAAGGCCCAAAACAACGTCCGCCGAAATCTGAAGTCTCCGCCGCGCCTTCGCGGTGCGCGTAAAATCGAAAACAAAAAAATGCATACCGTAAAATCGACGGAGGTGTAACGTAAGCTTGATTTCAGCCGTTGCAACGGCGTTTCCGCCACGTAATACGCTGTGATTTTTAAAAAAGGCCCTAATTTTCTCCGCCGAGAAATGGGCCCTCCGCCGACGAAAAAAAAATTTTTTAGAGATTCTAAAAACGCACGCTGTCAATTTTTAGAAGCAAAAAGAAATTCGTTGATAGCTGCAAAGAACACAAAGATATAAGCAAATCATTTGTTCCAAATTTCTTGAAACACCCTGTAGTACTAAAAATTTTTGTTTTATATGATTTTTGGCATAACTGCATACTCGAACCTCCGTACAACGAATCGCCAGAGGTCTAAAAATTTATGGGTTAAAAAAGGGCTTTGTTTTACGGAGTTTCATTTTGGCCTAAAATGCACTCCTAGAGCCTCTCAAAATTGTTTGTTATAGCGGGGTTTTGTCGTGCGGGAGTTTGTTGTGCAGAAGTTCCGCTGTAATGGAAAACTGTTTTTTTTGTCTGGCTGACCCTCTTAATTTTATGTACCCCCTCAAAAAAGGATCACAATCACAGCTAGGGACCTGATCCAGTGGCAAAAAACGTACCATTTTGCATCCACGAAGTATCAAAAAAAAATGTGGCAAAATGCCTCCATCTCCAAGTGAAGAAACTTAGATTTCAAAAACACGCCCGCTCTTTTTATGAGGAAAAGGGCGCGCACTTCAAAACGAAGTTTATTCATTTGGAGAGGGAAGTATTTTGCCACATTTTTGATGCTTCCCGGATGCAAAATAGTACGTTTTTTGCCGCTGGATCAGGTCCCCCACTGTATCAATCACTCGAATACCCGTATACGATATCAAAGATACTGTTACCAAAATAAAAAATACACTGACTGAAAAAAACTGACTGTAGAAAGAAAAATCACATTTTCAATATTGCCCTTATAAGGTCTAGTAAAAAAATTACTGTCAAAATTTACGAAAAAAGTAATATCTTATATCCCAGATGTACAGGACGTTTTCGACAAACTAAAAACATGAGCAAAACTCCTCTGTTTTGTGCTTCAGCCCTTTTTTGGCTTTCCCAAAACCCCTCAATTTACGAGTTGAGAGTAAAAGGGAAATAAATACCAGAATACTAATCATTTCTTCCCATATGTGTAGAAAGTATTGCGCAAAAAAGCAAAAGTAATTTTATGAATATTTTTCGTCTGAAGACCCGCAAAAATTTAGAGAATTTGAACTCCTTTACATAGAATTTCCTGATCAATTTCAAGTGCGCTGCGAGGTCAGACGTGGAGTAAAAAACGGATGCGTTTTAATGCGCGCGCAATTATACAACCATGAAATTGAACTACAAGGCTCAGGAAATGGAGTTGGAGGGAGCAAGTTACAAAAAGGTTTAATAAATCTTCGTGTTTTGGAAGAGTCTGGAAGGGATCAAAGATCAAAAAGTTGTCGGGAAAACAGTGTAAAATAATTCGTAAGCAAAGTGCAAATTCCAAATAATAAATAAAATTGTGAAAAAACTTTAAATTGAAATTATGTCCGCTTTTTTCGGTTTTTATAATTGTGAAAGTAATAGGAGGACAAAAACGTATTGAAATTGTAATTTTTCTAGCGGATGAGAAAGGTACAGTGGCGGACCTGATCCAGTGGCGAAAAATGTACCATTTTGGATCCGGGAAGTATAAAAAATGTAGCAAAATACCTCCCTCTCCAATTTCAAAAGCGGCTCGCTCTTACGGGGGTTTTTAGAACCTCTAAAACGGAGTATTTTTCACTTGGAGGGGGAGGTATTTTGCCGCATTTTTTATACTTCCTGGATGCAAAATGGTACGTTCTTTGCCACTGGATCCCTGTATATGGGCGAAAATTGCCGTTCGTCTGATCGACTCTCCGCGTTTCGTGTGCTCTGATAGTGAATCAATAAAAAGAAGCCGTTCGAAAATCTGGGCTGCCGCTGAAATATGAGAGCTAAAACTCTGATGGATTGATTTGTGGCTTGCCCAAAGCCGCTACATTTTGAGCAGATCTGAATTGTCCACAAAGGACTTTCATTGTTTTATATCCTGGGTGGTAGGAGAACATTATTTACGTCTCTATTTTCGGGTCAAAAATTTGGTACATTTTTCTGTAAAAAAATATTTTTTTGCAAGCGAAGTTTGTGGCTTATTTGTAGCACCTCTCCGAGATTTGAGAGCAACCACCCTATTATCAATATGTCTGGAAAATAACGGCGGGTGGTAGCAGCAAAATGTCTCGCCTCGTCGCAAAACCCCAGCCGCGGCTTGCCGTCGCAAAGCGATGATGAGCGATTCCCGCCGTTATTTTCCCGACAAACTGATACTATTTTTAAGTGGGGTATATACCAGGTATATACCGGCAAAGTGAGAAGTCCCGATTTTTACGACACCTTGCCTATCTTTTTATTATAATACGTGGACAACTTCAGCAATGCCAAAAAAATTATCGATTTCTTTGCTTACTTCCAACAATATTATGGCCCCGATTACCTATAGTCTGAAGTACCATCATGAAGCAGAAAAACACCAGGATCGAGATTCCAATGCTCAAGAAGAGTCGGCCCGACATGTCCCAATCACTGGCTGTATAAACCCAGTCTTGAGACATGAATGGGAAAAGGAAACGAAACTGACTGATTATTCATAATGGCCTCTTTCGTATGTGCAGAATGATATACGCGGGCGAGGAATTACTATTTCATTGTCGAGCAGGACGATAAGGATATGGGTTGGATGGCAGACGGGACTTTAATTAATTTGCAGTAGATGTGGAATTGGAAAGTTTTTATTGGTCTAATAGGTGTAATCTTTGAATCTAGAGGAATGGGTAAATTGTACATAAATAGAAGAAATTTCCCGTCTTGTAACACGGAAACTGTCGATGTGCGACGCTCGAAATTTGATGAATCATCGCATCAGTTATGACGCCATGATGTTATTTACAATGTTCTAGGAAGGTGGGAGTCTTGGCTCGTGCTTTACAAAATTTAAAAGAGGATTTGAATAAGATTCGAGCGCAGCATCTTGCCCATTTTTTAAAACAACCTTTGCCTATCATGCTGAAAGTTGCTGCAAAAGCACAAAAAAATTTTTTGCAGATTCAGATTTGCCTAAAATTTTGCATAGAGTTTTACTTAAAATTAGACATAAATCAGTCCTTGAAAGCGTCAGCTTTGTTTTCAGCGACAGAGAGATATTCATTTCGCACGATAAATTTAGATTTCTTCTTATAGGAGCCTGAATTTTCTTTACATGTTGTCGAGGTATTCAGCGGTCTGATATTTGAGAGAGTACGCAAAATGAGGAGAGTCGGCGAGACGAAAGGCGGGGTCCTCTCATTACTTCTCGGCTTCAGTGTCGAAAATTTTGAAATTTTTTTGAGAGGATAGTCCAAATCTCACTGGCAAAATTAAAAATAAAATTTTCATCCCGGAAAGCCCTAAAGCATCAATTTTTGGCATTTTCCGATCAGAAAAAATTCTGTTTTTAAACATACAAGGTCTTGTAAGCCAACAAAAGTGCCCGGAAACTCATTAACTACGAATTTTACATCAAATACCAAGACTCCAAGATCTAAAAAAAGCAGTAAAAAAAGCTCTTGACAAACTCAAAATCTCTCCGTGAGAATCTGATTCCCCTTTTTTCACCCGATCAAACCCGTGTCAAATGACACGTGACTGAACCAGTACAAAAGTAAAAGTAAGTAAATAGAAAGAAGTCGCTTGTTTAAATGTTTGTTCAACTTTTTGACGCGCCAGATTGTAACCAATTGAGAGTAAAGTGAAATAAAATGAAAACAGAAGCTTAATTGACTAAGTCGAAGAGAATCGTATAGTAATAAGCAATTGGTGATAATTCGAACAAAATCGGGAATAAAAAAGAGCACTTACCTTGAAGTGCGATGAGGTAGATTATCATAATATTGGCGCATTTCCCGAGGACATTGAATATGGCCATTTCTGGCTGAAAAATTTTTTTTGAGGAAATTATGGATAATAATGGAATTCTTGGCGAAAAAATCAGTTAAAATACGACTTGAAGCAGGGAAATTAATTGTAATGCTGTTGTCAATGGAACGCTCAAGGCATAGCCTCAAATTTTCTTCAAACTTTTTTATTTTTCTGGCCAAAAGTCAAACAAAAAACATGTTTTGTTAATAACATTAGAGATGTAATAGTATTAGCTTTGTGAATTTTGCACAAAAAATCATTATTTTTGGCCGAAAAATTGTTCAAAAAACATGCAAAAAAATAGCCAAAACTTTTGAATTTTTGGTCTAAAAATCTTGATTGTTTCTGCAAAGTGCGAGGTCAAAATCTCATAAGTTTCCTACAAAAAAATTCACTTTGATCACATCCTCTGTAGAGCTCAAATAGCAAGAATTTTTACAGAACATATATCATTTCCTAATCATGACTTTCCGTATGTTATAAAAAATGAAAAAAGCCTTAAAAAATCTGTCTCCGAAGACTTCATGGATCCAAAAATTGAATCATAAAACCTTCCGGCCCATTAATTTCCGCACCATCTGTCATCAAAGCCGGGAAACTTATTTGACTCTTCATCCCCCCTCTTTTCAAAAAACAAAAACTAAAATGTTTTCGATCGGCTTTCAAGGTTAACATTCCCGCTGACCCTTTACGGATCTCATCCCAAAAAATGCGCGGCGAAAGATAAAGGTCAAGAAAGACGACGGAAATGCGCGACCTCTGGCATTCGAATTCGGGAAAATATTCTCCAGGTGCGCGAGAGAAAAAAATCAGGTCGGGAGCGTGCGGAGAGGGCGGCGACCCGCCTCCTTCAGGTTTTTACGCAGCGTTTTTTCTTCGAATTTTTGTCCCGTTGGAGAAGGGGCAAAAATAGAGATAAAAGTACAACATGGAAAGGAATAGTAGTCGAAAATATTCGTTATTCAAAAAATGGTTTAAAATAGGAGGTAGCAGAAATTTATAATAATATTAAAATATCAGGAAAAAAGATGAAAAATTGATTAAAAAGATGGTGAATTTGAAGTCAAAAAGTTTGCTGGGACCCAAAGAATTCTTGGTTTTGCAGTGACAGCCTTATTTAAAATTTTTGAGGATAAAAAAGGTTTCAAAAAATGATCTCATCAGCTTCTTTTTTGAGTCTAAATATCACCTATTTTATGCCCAAATTTGGTCTACTTTGATTTAATTTTATCCTTGGTCAGTTGCTTTAAAAACGAGTCCTCAAACATGATTTTAGAAACTTTTCCGAGGCCCTGTGTAAATTATAGCCGCTGCTTTGCGAGTTTTGCATAGAAAACGCTGATTTTTGTGAATTTTTTTCCAGAGCAGATAAAAGAGAAGCCATTTTTACTCCGTATGGATATGGATATGTTCTGGCAATTCTCTGGCATAAAACTTTTGTCCAAAAAAAAAACGATTTTTTTTTATTCTTTGGCCAATTTCAGCCTAAAAATCTCTCTTTCGTTTCTGCAAAGTGTCAGCCAAAAATTACATAAATATCTTAGAAAATCCCAAAAATTCTAAATTTTTGTCAAATTTAATCAAAATCAAGCTTCATTTTTTGCAACTTCCACTTTAATCCCCCAAGTTTTTGATGACTAAAACCTCAATGTTCCATCTTTAAAAAATCATCCTCATTTCCTCTAAATGACTATTAAATTTTCCATTTCGGCCTTTCCCTCATTCCTTGTCCATTTCCATTACCCTGCCATGAATTTATCTCCCCTCGCGCAGCCCGTATAATAACGGCCTCTGCTTTTAATGTGCGTTTTCGTTTCTTTTTTCGAATTAATTTCTCGCTCTCCCTTTTTCCAGGTTAAAACATCTAAATAAATAAAAAATGAGAGCGCGTATTGTATTTTCCACTTTTGAATACAATAAAAAAATACTCGAAGAGATGCTGGGTAAACATTCAGGTTCATTTTTTTTTTGTAATTTCGTGAAAAAAAAGTCGGAAAAAAGCGCAAAGTTTGGAGGGAAAAAAGTGAGCAAAAGGGGGGCCGGTTTACTGCCGATGAACTGGCCGCTGTAAAGCGTCGTTCCAATTCCGGGGCAGCGGCTGTTGGTGGTGTAATGTGTTTTGGAAAGGTGAGGTAAGGAAAACCGGTAAAGAATTACAAGGAAGTGGGGCCAGAAGGCTTGGCGGAATCATCGAATTAGGCGGAATTAAGGGTTTTTTCGGCGTTTGATGTTTCAGAAAATGATGACACACAATTCGGGGAAAGATTGGTACAAATTAATGATGAAAGTTGTCGATGACTTATTGTAAGAAACAGCTGAGATTAACAAGGTATTAGAACCGAGATTTTCTTTAAGTTTTGAGCAAGCATTGTGCATAGTTGAAATCTTCTAAATTTTAGCTTACGTTTTGCAGCGACAGCCAAGATATCCAACATTCTTGGTTGACGAGATACAGTAGCTGACCTGACCAGTGGCAATGCTAAGATTTTCAGGCATGGTAGAAGATCTGCAGAGAGCACAGTGACGGACCTGATCCAGCGGCAAAAAACGTACCGTTTTGCATCCAGGATGTATCAAAAAATGTGGCAAAATGCCTCACCTTCCAACTAAAAAAACGCTGTTTTGAAGGGCGCGCCCTTTTCGGCACAAAAAGAGCGGGTGCGCTTTTGAAATCCAATTTTTTTCACTTGGAGAGGGAGGTATTTTTCCACAATTTGTAGTATTTCCCGGATGCAAAATGATACTTTTTTTTGCCACTGGATCAGGTCAGCCACTGTAGCACGCAAGATGATGGGTGATTGGACAGAGAAAAAATGCTTTTTGGCCATATTTTTGCCAACTTTGCCAGAATTTTTTTTGTGAAAACATGGTCTTTTCTGTTAGAAGTTTGACTGAAACTTTCTTTTCCAAAAGCCGCATAAGAGTCTCGAATTTTCATCAACTTTTTTCCAAAAAATCCCATTTTTTTGCAATGAACGAGAGAAGAGTCCACATCTTCAAAAACAAAATGCATTCAAACAAAAGTAAAATGCTTTGTTCAGGTCTTTATGTACAATATATTCGTTATAAATTCGTTTCACGCCACAGAAGTAATGTCACCGGGAAGTAGGCTGACTCGATTCCTCTCCTTGATCGACTCTCCTTTCCGCACTCTCCGGGATTGGCCTCTTTTCATCACATAGTTATTGGCCAGCGAGGACATTTGAGCTGAAATCAATTAACATTACAATTTTCTTGATATTGAAGGGAAAGGTATTGTTTTTTTGGAGAAATCTGGGTACAAAAAACCCGAAAGTTCTCGGTGATTTTCAACCGAAAAACATGGTTTTCGGGGTAGGAATGCCCCTACTTTAGAAGGTCGTAGCGACCTCAGCTTGCATTTTAAAATCTTGCTTTTAAGCAAGAAACTAATGTCGCTTAAAAATACGTATTCCAAAAAAGAAGTCTCTGCGCTGCCTCCGCCGGAAGTTATAGCCTCCGAGTTTCCTTCACGTTTTTTGTAAGACTTTGTGCTTATTTCCTCACCATGTTTTATTTGACTCTCCACCAGCGCTTGATGCTGGGCGTGGGCAAAGTTCTCGACGATCAGCGACACCGGGAAGGCGAGGATTATGATGCCAGTGATGCTCGTGGCTGTCGCGACGATTTTGCCAACTGAAAATTTAGTTTTTAGCTCTTTCGTGGCCTGATTTTTTTGTTCAAGGCCTCTCTATTACACAGACAGTCCTAGTAAGAAATCTTCTTGCCCTTAATCTTGTTCCTACTACCCCAACTTACGCGTTGTTTGCACATGACAATCCCCAAATCCAACAGTCGTTATAGTGATGCTGAAATCAAAATTACCATCCAATTTATATTCTAAAACTCACATGCACCACCAACAAGCGGCCGGGATGCTGCTGAAGTCGCTGTAAGGCTCATCCTTTTCAAGGAAGTACATTATTGTACTAAAGAAGACGGTGCCAGTTATGAGGAAGATCAACAACATTGAGAGTTCGGTCATTGATGCCCTGAGGGTGTTCCCGAAGATCTGAAGACCGGTGGAATAACGGGCCAATTTGAAGACTCTGGCCATGCGGAGAACGCGGAGAACTCGCATTACAAGCATTGCTCCTGAAATTGGATAATGAGTCAAGTGTTTCTCTAGTGGGACAATTGTTCCTTTCAGAGGATTTTGGTCGTTGACACTGGTAAAATTAGGTTTTATGGCCAAATTATTTCATACTTTAGCTACTTTAACTACAACACATCTCATAATAAAAATTTTAAAAAATTGCGTCAAGTGTTTCCTTGATCAAAAAATCAAAGTTTTTTACAAATTCTGAACAGTTTTCTCCATAAAATCTCAATTCAATCACTAATTTTGACATTTAAAATTTTGGGTCAAGTCTTCCTCTCAGAGTCAAAAGTAAAAAAATTTGGGTCAAGTGTTTCCTTGATCAAAAAATCAAAATTTTTACAATTTCTGAACGCTTTCCTCCATAAAATCTCAATTCAATCATTAATTTTGCAATTTAAAATTTTGTGTCAAGTCTTCCTTTCTGAGTCATGTCTCTCTCTCCTTTCAAACACTTCCCCAAAGCCTTACCAGTGACTTCCTTCAGTTTTTCAGCTTGAATCCCAATCAACGAAAGACAAACTTCGAAGTACACGGGCAGAATCGTAAACAAATCGACTAGATTCATCGCCCGACTAACGAATTTCTTCTTCCTTGGCGCCACCAGAAACCTGACCAAAAATTCGATGGTAAACCATAAAATGCAAAAGTATTCGAGGGTAACCAGCGACTGCATTGGCGAATCAGTGGGTCGATACACATAGCCAGTCAGGTTGTAGGTCTCCAAATTCATGGCGCCGTGGCCTTCGTCGAATTTTCCGTATAAATATCGATAGCGTTGTTTCAGATGGTAGACATGATAGCCATCCGCGTACGTGGTGTTGGTTTGGAATTCGGGCATAGAGCCGAGAATTAGACCTGAAAATTGCTTTTATTTCAGCCGTTTTAACTTTTTCCTTAAAAAAAATTTGGGTCCCGAAACGAAAATATTTATTTCGTGGCATTCCGTTTCAACTTACCCAAAATTGACGCAAAAATGAAGGAAATAGAGATGAAAGCAAAAAATTTCGAGACAAAACTGTGAGAGGGATCTTCCATCATCCGGTATATCATCAGCCGAAAGGGAGAGCACACTACCTAAAACAATGTATAAAAATTGCTAAAAATCGTTGTGAAATCGCTCAAATGCCTTGTCAACTTACTCCATCAAACTCATGCTCCTCTTCTTTCCGATCTTTCACAGCTGGACCCATTATGAAGCCGCAACATGGCGCAAACTAAAAGGAAAAATTCAAATTTTAATTTGGGGTGACATAAAATCAATTTAAAGTGAGTTACATAAAAGAGTTCTTACTTGCACATCATAAAGCCGCCAATATTGTAGTTCTTCGGTAAATCTCTCTGGACATACATCGTGGGGTTTGTGGAGCTTCCCTGAAAATTAATATGGTATGATTTATAGACTGAAGTCGATAGAAGGCAAGAAAAATATTGAAATAAGTCGGATATAGCCTCAAAAAGTATCCCAACAACAAAAAAGACGGCTGGTTTTAAATCAGAGTAGATACCATGTTCTTACTAAGTCTTTTTACTCCTTTAAAAGTCTAAAAACATATCATCGGAAAGTGTTTTTCGTCGTACACAAGCGATGCTCTTTTTTTACCACTTTTAAAAAAAATGTTATCGCCACCAAGCGTAGCCGCAATAAATAGTTTAAAAAAAATAAAATAAAGCCTTACCAGTAACAAAGTAATCGATCACGCTCTCCGCAACCTTCACATTCCTCTCCAAATAGTACTCTCCAGTGTCCTCATTATAACTATCCATTACCATCAGTCGTTGCGTATGTGTCGCTCTGATCAGCGTAGACAACAGAGAGTCCTCTCGGCATGTTAGGATCACATCAGATCGGAAACAAAACGACTTCCCACCGAGATTCAGCTTGAAATGATCGGCTTCTTCTTTGCTGTGAGGGCTTATGTCGCCTGCAAATTGGGGTTGTTATGAACGTAGGACTTCTTTGATGCGATACTGTATTTTTTTGGTTTCATAGTCAGCATAGAGAGAAAGATTTATCGACCACAAAAAGTTTTATTTTGCATAGCGCGAGGCGTAAATTTTTGATATTTATTGGACCCTAGTGTTTTCATGACATAACCTTTCTCAAATTGCCGTAATTAGCACCAATTTCAAAGCCAATTTATACATTATTTATCATCCTCTAAGATCTCTAATTTTCCACCTCATAAAACCCCAAGAAATTTTAAAAAAACTTTGGTAAACTTTTAAAAAATTGCAATAAAAATACCTTACACACCAACAAAACTATAATTTTACCTTTTTCCTTACAAGATCTGAGGAACCCTCTGATCCTCTTGAAGCATCTCCCCATTGCTGACCTTCCAAAAATTTACTCAATATAGCCAACGAAGAAGAAACTTTAGAGCAAACAATAGAAGATAATAGCCACCTATATGTGCTAGTTTAGCAATGAGAACAGGAATTCCCGAGAGAGCGGCGATGTCATTGTAAAGATGTAATTCCCTTAAGTGGCCTTCGCATGAAATTCCTCGCGTGTGTAAGGTAAATGCGGTGCTTTAAGCAGTCTGACAATACGCTTATGAATGGCTTTAGAGGCGTCTACGAGGTTCATTGGCTTCAGTTTTGGACTTTTTTCGAAAAATATTGATCAGTGGGGAATTAACAAAGGAATGGCAGGTCTAAAATACGCTGCCAAAAAATGTTGTTGTTTTTTTCGGCAATAGAATAGAAATTTTTAAAACTATACGCATAGATTACACTTTGAGCATGGGCCATGTACAGTGGCGGACTTGATCCAGTGACAAAAAACGTTCCATTTTGCATCCGGGAGGTATAAAAAATGTAGCAAAATACCTCCCTCTCCAAGTGGACAAACTCGAATTTTCAAAAGTGCGCCCGCTCTTTTTGTAAGGGGCGCTTCAAAGCGGAGTAGTTTTTTTAGTTGGAGGGGGAGGTATTCTGCCACATTTTTGGTACTTCCCGGATGCAAAATGGTACGTATTTTGCCACTGGATCAGGTCCGTCACTGTAGAGTTCATACAAAAAATAGATATTTCTTTTTTAATTTTGTGGTGGGAAACTGGCAAGGTAAAGTTGTCTATGGACTATGTATCAGTCTGTCGGGAAAATAGTGAGCACTCTGTTGCATAAAAATCGCATTGACGCCGCGGCATTCTGTCCTTTTGGGACACAACCGATCACCGCGACTTTTTCATTTTTTTCGGAATGCGTTTGTTTTTTCTCTCCATACCTCGCTAGCCGTTTGCGCTAGAAGGCTGAAATTTGGCATGGCAGTAGAGTAAAAAGCTGGCTTTCAGAAAATGTAAATAATGTAAGGAACCCCGCAGCACAAACTTCCCGATAACACTTCGTTTTCCGCGCCGGGAAAATGAATTGTGTGGCGACAAAATCAGATTGCTTTTCAGTTCAGCGACTAGATGGCGGAGCGAAATTTTGCTCATAATTTTCTCGGCGGACTGATAAGACCTACACTCCAAACTCTAACGATATAAAGAAGAGGAATGGATTTTCTACGTGTCTCTCCATATCTCCCTCAGTCTATCGCAATAGTGATTTCATAGCTTCCGCAAAAGAAGATGATCTCCTTAGATGTCCCAGCTAATAGCTTTAGCGAATCAAAGTGCTTAAAAGATCCCTTTAAGAGCATTTGAAGCTTAATAAAATTCCTTATTAGCGTCAAGATTTTTACAATTTTTACGTGAAGCTTAAAAATCTCCGCTGTCATCAAAATTAAAGTTCTAAAAAAGCATGACTTACCTTCCATTTTAGCATCGTCCGACACGCTGACTCGCCGATATGCCGATATGGAGCTGGCTCGACGGGCTAGGTCCACCTGAAAATTACAAAGTTACCAGACATAAATAAGCATAAAACGAATGACAAACGCAGTATAAATGAGTAATGATATTATCCCCCTTTTGCTTTCTCTACATGATTTTATTTCCAATTAGCACCTGCCAAGGTAAGCAGCTAAAAAGGGAAGTCTCCCCAAGCGCGACGCTGAGATTTTCTTTAAATTTTGCACACACGTCGGACATGAACTAAGTATCAATTCCTCAAAGTTTTAGCTCGCTCTTTGCAAGCGCCGCTGAGATATTGAACGATCTTTGCGGCCGAGAGAGTACACTAAACGCCGAGAGCGGTCAGAGAAAAAACACTTTTTTTGGCCATATCTTTACTAGTTTCGTGCGGAAAAAATTGATTTTTTGTGGAAAGATTACCCTCTATGGTAGAAATAGGGCATGAAACTTTTCGTGCGAAAATTCGGGAAAAAGTGTCAAATTTTCGTCAACTTTCGATCTAAAAATCTCGGTTGTTCCTGCAAAGCGCGAGCTAGGATTCTTGCATATATTTTTTAAAAAAATATTCTAAATTTGTGCCAAGTTTCATCAAAATCTGAGCGCCGCTGTAGGAGTATTTCATTTTCCCTGTAAACGTATTAAAAGCAGTCTAAAATTAACGTCTACCCAACTAATATTTTTACCCAAACAAAAATTGAAGTCTTCAAAAAAGACGTAGCAATGAAATCATAGCACGAACAAGCCAGAAATAGAAATATTCACCTGAGGCAAAACGAAAATAAAATCCGGGTTTCCCACAGATTACTACGAAATATTTTTATCGCCAAATTTTATGGCCTCTTTTTTGGGTCTTCGAACTTTCGAAAAACAGGCTAATTGGTGATTAGCCGACCATTCAAAGGGTACAATAATCTTGAGAAAACCGCAAAATCTCATGTACATAATCTGGGGTATTGCGACGTTAATTTCCGGCTTTGACGACAAGGAAAAAATAAAGAAAACTGCCTGCAGAAAACATGAAAAATTATCGTTGAAGGGTTGTTAAATTAGAAGGTTCTTTCGAGTTGTAGGAAGCATAAGACTTGTGGGTTTTCTAGAGTAAAAAAATGGCTTCGAAAGTAAAATACTGGCTTCTATATATTTCAGATTTCGTGTGCAACATTTGTAAAAAAAAAATAATGTTTTTTAGCAAAGATATAATACAGAGTGGGGCATCTTTGTGGCCCGATTTGAATTGGCTATAACTTTTTTAGTTTTTGGCCAAATTTTAAAATTAAGTAATAAGCAAAATGGGGACGCATGAGGATTCAGGGGAAAAAATAATCTTAAGATTTGGCCAAAAACAAAAAAGTTATAGCCGATTCAAATCGGGCCACAAAGACATCTCACCCTGTATAGTTCACGGAAATTAAAAGTGTTGCTTTTGAAAGTCAGCTATTGCCCGTAGGCAAAAGATTTTCTATTTTATCTCTTCTCTACCTAAAACTTTACAGTCGATGTCAAAGTTTCGCATATTAAATGCACTATGCAACGGGAGTTTCAAAAATTCATAGACGACGATTAAAAAGGAAGTCTGTATTTTTCGAATTCCTTTTTTTAGAGATCCCGTGGGACGGAAGCCATCAAAGAACATAAGAACATCAAAAATGACTATCAGAATAGACGTTAAGCATAGGGAAGAAAGACAGAAAAAAGTTGTAGCCTCAGGGCAAGAGCTTTTTGGTCTTGCCCTGAGGCTCGATCCTCATCTTTTCACGTATTCGTTAATGTTTTGGAGGCATGCAAAAAGGGTGAGCTACAGAGACTACAATGACGGACCTGATCTAGTGGCAAAAAAAATGTACCGTTTTACATCCATGAAGTATCAAAAAATGCAACAAAATGCCTCCCCTTCCAACTAAAAAACTCCGTTTTGAAGGGTTTCCCTCACAAAAAGGCGGCATTTTTGAAAAATTGGAGTTTTTTCACTGGGAAAGGGAGGCATTTTGCCACATTTTTTGATACTTCCCGGATGCAAAATGATACGTTTTTTGCCACTGGATCAGGTCCGCCACTGTAATTTTTTGCCACAAAGTCTCAGGGTAAATTGCACTAAAAATATATGTGTCCTCATATTTTTCACTTTTTTTACATTGTAAAATACGTAGCAGAGCATTTTCCGTTGAGATTCAGCTCTTGAAAGAACAAATTCTTCAAAAAAAAGTATTGCCTATGTATTCACTGTAAATCTAACCCGTAAAATAATAAACGTACTTTCGAAAATAAGCCACAAACCCTTAAAACTTTACTCTCCCCGCATTTACTATACATATTTCTGAGAACGCAGTAAACGCTCGTGTTCGCCATTAATTAACTGATGTAAACGCCATTTCCTGCGGCTTTCCCGAGGTAAAAAGGTATGCTATTCCCTTTATGAGCCACAATAAAACTATATGGGCCGCAAATCCGACGGCATTCGGCGGATTAAAAAATACGTGGAATGCGTCGTGAAAAACGGGAAAGGGAATGTCCTTGGACATTGTCTTGTGTAAAAATGGGTAAAAAAATTGAAAACAATGTACAAAAATTGATGAATATTTGGGGATTTTGGGAAAATTTGGCAATATTTTTTTGGGAATTACTGTATTTTTTTTTGAAAAATACGAAAAAAATAAAAAACAAAAATTTTTGGCATTGTGTTGCAACCTCAAAGAAGCCATAAGACAACCTTAAAATTACAAGGTTTGCCCATTTTTACGACAAAAAAAACTGCGAATCCCCATTCAACCTCCCAAAAACTCTGCACGGTGCACCCCATGACATACGTTTATACTCGAAAACGGCCCCACGAGCTCATTAATTATGCAGAAATTTTCGGGAAAAACTCGCTAAACGTTGACCATAAATTACAAATAAACGTCGGCCGGCAAAAACTCATGAATATGGGTTGTCCCCGGAGGGCTTTTTAAATCTTATTCGAAGAACGGAAAATACAGAGTAAACCGAAATAGCCTCAGGACAAGTCTGGAGGGTTTTAGCGATGTTTTTGAAGGGGAAAAATGAAAGTAAAATTTAAAAATTTTAAAATAAAAAAAAATTAAAAATAAATGTTATTAGCTAAAAAAATGCTGAAAACGTTACTACTAAGGCTTCAAAAGTAATTTAGGCTCAAAAAATTTCAATTTCCTGACAATTCAACCTAGAAAAAATTGAATTCCCAAAAAATTTTACTTTTTTTCAAAACAACATTTTTAGCAACCAGGCCACAATTCAAGCTCTAAAGCAAAAACCCCTAAGGCCATGAAGCTCCGATTACCCAAAAGCCGTCGAAAAAAGTGTTACACACACGTCTTGAGACTACTTTTTACAACAATTTATTCCGCGCTTGCCTCCTCATTACTTTTCCTTTTCCCATCCGAGGCGGCCCCGCGAATTGCCCTCAAGGCCCGCGAAGCCACCGCGCCGCATGGGATGGCCTTAATTCGATGGACCGAATCAAGAAGCACTCGGCCCCCCGTGTCTTTTGCCCTCAGGCACCGACCTTTTTCGATGTCACGTTCAACATGGCCATCTTCTGGGGCGCGGATTCTCCTGGAGTGACCAAAGTGGTGTGGATTGTTCGTGCGGTGACGTCACCAAATGAAGGGCGTTGGGTGGAGAGTGAAGAGTGCGGAGGGTATTCTGGAAGCGGCGAAAATAACACGGAAATGACGCAAAATACGGAAGTTAAGGGATGAAAATGAAGAGTCAGTGGAAGCTTATGTAATCTTCAAAGTTTTTCTTGCCGAAACAGGTCGGAAATCGAGGCCCTTCTGTTTGACATTCAAAAAAAACATGTTAACCAAGCGATATGGGCATGAAAACAAAATACCTAGGGCAGAAAAATACGGAGAATTTAACGGTGAAAAAATTATTTGGCTGCACCCCAAGGTTTTCGCGGCAGGACCCATGGAAAAAAATTTCAATTTTTTGGGCCACCTTGTCTACAGGACACAAATTAATCGATGAAAAACTGAGCTAGATTTTGCAGACATTCCCGAGAAATAAATACATCATATTTGGCGATTTTGTTTTGGTCGAATATAACGTAAGCTCCTTTTAGTTGTCATATATCGCTTCTCAACTAGACAATAATAAATCCATAAAACTAGAAGCTTGCACTTTCTGGACATATCCAAAGATATTTTTTCCGAGAGATCACACGGAATGGGGAGCGTCGGACAGAAAAACGGCTATTTTCAATAACGATTTTGACGCTGAGCAAAAAAAATTTTGTATGGAAAAATTTACGAGGCACTAGTAACTAAGCAAAAATTGTAGAGCTCAAATTGCCCATTGACCATTTTAAAAAAGCCCTGGCAAGGAACCCTGTGTATCTCTTACCAAAAAACACCCTAAATTTTAGCGATTTGTCATCCAATTATAAGGCAATAAAAGTAAAATACGTTAAGGCCATTATTATTTTGTATCAAAATAATAAAACCGCCAAAAAAGATGTTATTAAACTGCCTGAGATCTCGTTGCAAAGGTTTCCGGTGCCGAGTAAAGAACGACTAAAAAAGTCTTTGAAAATTACCTTCTTATAGACGCGGCTATTTTTAGAAATTCTCAAAACTGTGTGCAAAACAATAAAACGTCTAATTTTGCATTTTCTCCAAAGTGCGTTCTGATCAAAGAGAGATATTGTTCGTATCTCTGTAATGCACTAAGATTTTTCGAAAAACTCGTGTTTTGCTTACATGGTAAAATTTGGCTAAATCTAGTTTGGAAAGTAAATTTAGAGACGAGCATAGGAGAAAACAGATATTTTGGGGCGTTCTGTAAAGTTCAAGTGAAAAACAAACATCTATGAGAAAAATGGCTTCGTATTTTACCTAAATCTCCAGTTTTAGACACAAAATTTGTTAAAAATGCTGTAAATTCTCAAGAGCAACAAAAGGCAAAAGTGCAACGTGTTTTCGAGCGGAACTTGAAGCATTTAGTTTTACGCCTTATGACGAATTTTGGGTTGTCCTTTGTCGAAGACATTTTGCCGAAAATTCAAGTTTTTTATCAGTTTTATTGCTAGGTTTCCGATACTAGTCCACTCGCAAAGTCGCTGGAGTGATTTTCGCGACATGCACTCTGCGAAAACAAAAGTGCAACTTTCACTGTGCAATTTTTGTCTTTTTGCACCGTGCAATAGGCTTTTTCGGGGTCTCGCCAGCACCTCGATTTTTCTTGCACTGTGCATGCCGCCGAAATCACTCCAGCGACTTTACGAAGGGACTAGTACCACAATTACAAGAAATTAATTATTTTTTGATAAATAGACTGTCTTTATGCTCAACCCTCCTCGTTTCCGATGCTCTCAAAAAAATCGTTGAACAGGCTTCGAAAGCCTAGCCGGGCCTTCAAAAAACTATTAGCTAGCGTTTTCGATCATGAATAGAAGGGACAATCAAAACTATTACTTTGAAATTATTAGCAATGCAAACCTTACAGGTCCAAATGACCCACCCTATATTCGGCATATCCTTTTTTATTGCAAGTTTAAAAAGTAGCCGGGTTTTGAAGTGCCTAAATTTTAAGTTAACACCTGTAACAGTTACTTCAGCTTATCAGAATTTGGAAAAAGTTCCTTATTTTGGCCACAGCAAAGGTACTCCGCGAACTGCGCCCAAGCTTGGGGACTAAAGTTTGAAAAAAAACGCTTCGACCGAGCTGGCACTGAATTACTATAATAGCTCTATAGTTTTAAGGGTACCTACGAAGGCTGTGACGACTAATTTAGTTCCATACGGAGTCAATAAGTTTAGTTCCGGACATGTTTCATCGTATAAAATGTCAGGCTGCAGCCGTTTTTGAAGGGTAAGGTGGTACTGAAAAAAGAAGGTACCTCAGTAGCTAAATCCACTGTCCGGGCATTGACAACAATGAATTGAGCCTGCACGCTAAATTTGGGCTAATTCCGACCAGTTTCCGCGAAGTTATAAGTTGTGGCCAAAATAAGGAACTTTTACCCAGAATTTTAGAAACTTTTTGCCGTCCCCAGCGATAGCCAAGTATCAGCCCTTCCACTCTCTAAAGCTCAACAAAACCAGTACTGAATCCGAAAAGTGTTATTAATCCCTTTCAAGCTTCAAAAATTACACTTTTGAAACTCCCTATAAAACCTCAGAGTAAAAGAGGCTATAAAAAACAAGACCTGCGGGGATTCCGACGCACTCTTCACCGATAATGGAGCTTGTCATCTTCGGCCGCGTCTAGCGGCTTCCGACTTGTGAGCCGCGTAACCTTGTTATGGATAGTCGATTAGGGATATGGTAAGTGTCGAGTTCGAGGGCCTGTTGCACTGGCTAAATCTGTTTTCGCATTTTTTCTACATCTTCATGCCCTTAGGGGTTGATGAGGTGGAAAGCAAAAGATCTGAGGGGAAAGACAAGGGGAGAGGATGGCCCTGAAATTGTTGCGATTAGATGAATCTTCGGGTTTAATTGAGGAATACGAACAGCAAGGCATCAAAGTTCAAAAATCTCTCGGTATAAGTCGAAAGTGAGTATTTCCCAAAAATAGCGAGATTTTCTGTAGCTTTAGGTGGGAAACTTCGGATTTTATTCTAAAAAAGGCCGACAAACTTTGTCTTATGAAAATATCCTAAAGACAAAAAAACATTTGACTGCACGACCCTCGATTACGATATATGTATGTAATGATCGAATTTTTCAAGCGTCCTTGAAGAGAGGAGTGAAGCCACGGCCGCAACAGCACTCTACCGGCTGTTGCGTCCCGCCACGAAACCCGAAAGGACATCGAAATCAACCGAGACGTGGATTTGGAAGGAAAGGAAGATCAGAGTTTGGAAGTCGCAGCCTGAGCGAGCGGTCAGAGCGTGTGACCAATTGGAATCTAGTGTGCATTGGCCGTCTTGTGTATTGTGATACTTGGATAATAAAGAAGTCATTTGGTAATGGTTGGAGCGTTGGAAGAGCTCGTCTAGGACAGCATCTTAGGAGACCCGGTGTCTGATCGTGTTGACGAGGAACCGAGGATCTCTTTGAGAGATGCAGAGGTCATGGTGACTAAAAGATCATCTTAACAGAATGTTCATGCACCAAATACGTAGAAAATTTAAGAAGAAGTGGCCGATGAATTCCGACCGCGGACGGCCGTTATTTCCGCGATTGCATGATAACGGTCAGGTTTTAGTCTATGCAAAATTTTATATAAACCACTGCTTGACGCTTTGAGGAACGACAAATTCCTGTCTACGCCATCTCATAACGCCCTCGAAGGACTGTAGTCGTCAGGAAGAGAGATGCCAAATGGTTTTTAGAATGTAAAGAAACTTTAAAAATATGTAACATGATGATAAATCGACGAACATTCCCAAAGATCATCATAAGTTCACCTCAAAAAATAGAGCCAATTTAACCCAAAAATCTCAAACTCCTCGCAAGCGTACAACGAAAAAACAAGATGTTCAAAGTGCATGACACGTTTCCTCCAACTCAATCATCCACATTCTCCTTTTGAGTTATTGCCGGAAAGTTTCTATTAGAAGGAAAAAACAGAACGGAACGACCATTTGCTCAATGAAAAACAAGATTTCTTTGGTTTAAAAGAGTTGAAAAAATCCGCAATTTTTACACACATGACATAGCGTAAGTTGCATTTTATAACACCTTTCCAACAATGAATAATAACTTTATTCGTCGTGTAAGTTGTACATCTTCAAATACAAATAACCGTAATAGTTTTCGTTTTGCTCACAAAAGTATCATATTTTCAAAAAAGTATTGTAACGTTGGCACAGAAACCTGAGATCCTCAAAAAACGTAGCGTTTCGACTTCCTCATCGACTTGTATCGATTGTTATTATTCATTTCCATGGTCCGAGGGAGGGGCATTTGAGGGTAATCGTCCTTCTTCCAATCGCCCGTCGACTCCGCGAACTTGTCCAAAATCATCGAAATGGGGAAAGCGAGTACTGAAATTGAAAGTATTTTTTAATATTTATATGTGGATGTAAATGTCGATGGGCTTTTTAGAGGTCGTTAAAAAAGGGTAGGGTTTTAAGTAAGGTTGGAATTTTGCGCCGTGAAATAAGCTTTTTTCGGCTGTCGCTCGTACCCTGACTTTTCCTCAAAAAAATCAGTCCGGCGACTTTCCGAAAGGACTAGTAATGATGACAATTTAGGCCAAAATTACTGTAAATCGTCGGAATATACCAAAATCTTGACTTGTCAAGGGTTACTTTTACTCAAAAACTGCTTCGGATGATAAATAAATACATTACACTACGGTGACCAACGTTTAACCTTATAAATTTAACAATGTTAAGGTCCCCATTTACTAGACTGTTCCTAAAGTCGCTGGAGTGATTTCGGCGACATGCGTTGTGAGAAAACAAAATTCCTCTTTGCACTGTGCGATTTTCGGCTTATTGCACAGTGCAAAGCTAAATTTTTCGATTTTTTCGGGTGTCGCTCGCACCTCACTTTTTTGCATAGTGCGCGTTACAAAGAACAATCCAGCGACTTTGCGAACGGACAGTACTTGGGACAGTCAAGAAATTCATTGAGCTTCACACTTCTACTAATTTTCTACAAGTTTCTAGGAATATTCCAATGTAAAATCTCGGCTATTTTTGATAAAATAGATGAGAGAATCAAGTTGTCTTTATAACTCACCAATAATACCGCAAACACTGGCCACTGCCGCCACAACCTTACCACCGGCCGTAACTGGCACCAAATCACCGTAGCTGCAAATTAAATAATAAGCATTTGGGTACTTTAATTTTTACTGATTTTACAAGAAAAATATTAAACAGAGACCTACCCAACAGTTGTCATCGTCGCCACACCTGAAATTACAACAATGAAGACTCTTAATAAAGATCGCAAAAATTCACGGACCGTATTTTAAAAACTTACACCACCACCACGCGGCGGGAATCGAATAAAATTTCGAGTTCGGCTCATCACGTTCGAAAAAGTAGATTGCAGTTGAAAATAACATTATACCTGAAAATCAAAGCAGTAAAAGTAGGTTAGTTTAATGCCCATGTCAACAGAATTTTGTGGGCTTACCCGTAAGAAGAAACATTCCCAGCATCGACAACTCTGCCGCTGATTTTCTCATCGTATCGCCGAAAGCGCGCAACCCAATCGAGTATCTGGCCAGCTTGAATATCCGCGCGATCCGAAGCACACGCAGCACTCGGATCACAATCATTGGACCTGAAATTAATAATTTTATTTGGTTAATATTGAAGGTGGCGTATTTTACAATGTTTAAAAAATTTGAGGAAACAGATATTTTTATTGTAATTTAGCTTGAGATTTTATGGCAAAAAAATTACAGTGACGGACCTGATCCAGTGGCAAAAAACGTACCATTTTGCATCCGGGAAGTATCAAAAAATGTGGCAAAATGCCTCCCTCTCTAAACTAAAAAACTTCGATCTGAAGCGCCCTCACAAAAAAAGCGGGCGAGCTTCTGAAATCTGAGTTTTTTCAATTGGAGACGGAGGAATTTTGCGACATTTTTTCATACTTCCCGGATGCAAAATAGAACGTTTTTTGTCACTGGATCAGGTCCGCCACTTTAGAAAAGATGTCATTGTAAACTGTTTTGTTACTCATATCAGAAAACAATACGAATTTTAGGTCTTTTCGATTCGCTTTTTTCACAGCGCAATAGGCTTTTTTGGGTGTTACTCGCACCCCGATTTTTTTCGCACAGTGCGTGCCACCAAAAATCTTTCCAACGACTTTGCGAACGGCCTAGTACTCAGAGCAGCTTAAAATCCCGCATATAATTTGCTAACTATAGTGGCGGACCTGATCCATTGGCCAAAAACGTACCATTTTGCATCCGGGAAGTATCAAAAATGCAGCAAAATACTTCCCTCTCCAAGTGAAAAACTCCGATTTCAAAAGCACGCCCGCTCTTTTTATGAGGGAAGTGGTTCAAAACTGACTTGTTTTAGTTGGAGGGGGAGGCATTTTGCCACATTTTTGATACTTGCCGAATGCAAAATGACACGTTTTTTTCCATTGAATCATGTCCCTTACTGTGTCCACAAACCACTCTCCAAAAGTTTCAGCCGGAGCTTTTCCGGCAGCCGAGATATTCTAATTTAAAAACCGGTCGTTTTTATGAGAGAGCAGACAAAATTAGGAGAGCCGGTTAGAGGAAAGACTTTTCGCTGATTACTTCCTTGTTTCTCGTCAAAAAAATCATATATTTTTTTGAAATTCTATACATCAAAACACCTATAATTTTCAACATAAAGATTGAAAAAAAAAGTTTTTATTTTTTGCAAACTTTCGATCAAAAAAATCCCGTTTATTTCTGCAAATCCCAGACGGTAACTCTAGGAGACATGGTAGAAAATTCTATAGTTAATTTGTCTTTAGTTTTTCCTTCAAAAATAAAAAGTTCGCTGACAAGGGAAGTCACTTAAGTCACGGATCGATTTTTAAAAACGACTGTTACTGCGATGGGGAAGGTAGGACGGAGATATCAAATCTGAAAACCGCTACCTCCACCGGCTTCTGGGAGCCGAGATAATCGACCAAAAAGGTTTGACCAAAAAAAGCTGCTCCGAATAGTCCTCTCTTCCGAAAGAAGGAGGGCAGAGAACCGGATGGTCCGGTGGTCTGGAAGCGCGCTTCCGGGCCTTGAGCTTTTCAGGTTCGAATCCGCATGGGTCAAATAATTTTTTAAACTTTTCCTGTAATCCAGTAAATTTACGGGTAAGATAAAATTTTTGATTTTTTGCATATTTTACGAAATTTCAGAGTAATAATTTGAATGCGAATTCCAAACCATTTGAACTTTCCAGGTTGAAAATTTACCGTAAAATAGGCATAAAATCTAAAAATAAATTGCTAGTAAATTTACTGGATTACATCAACTGTTCTATAAATTTTTCACAAGCTCGAGACCCGCGCGGATTCGAACCTGAAAAGGTTAAGGCCCGGAAGCGCGCTTCCAGACCACCGGACCATTTGGTTCGCTGGCTTTTCCTCTTTCGGAAGGAAGAAATGTTCGGACGAATTTGGTCAAACTTTTTGGTCGATTATCTCGGCTCCCAGAGGCCGGTGGAGGTAGCGGTTTTCAGATTTGGTATCTCCGTCCTACCCTCCCCATCGCTGTAACAGTCGTTTTACAAAATCGATCCGTGATTTAAGTGACTTCCCTTGTGAGAGCGTGGACCGTATTTTACCTCTCAAATTCCTGAGTTCCACATTCTGAATCCCGAACATTCTCATAAACTCCTCCGCAAAGAACGGCATGATCGTCATGAAGTCGATGATATTCAGCGGTTGCTTGACGAAATGGCACTTCCTCGGCGACACCACGAACCTCGACGTGTACTCGAGCGTGAAGAACAGCATGCAGCAAACTTCGGTGATCTGGATCATCATGTGCGGCGTGAGGTCGTCCATTTGGAACTCGGGCATGGAGGACAGAATGAGGCCCGAGAGGGAGATGAGCACGAACGAAGCCGACACAATGCTCCACACCTTGGCGGCGGACGAGGAGCGCGGGTTCTCGAGGAATTCGTAGGCGTTCCGCCGCTGTTTCCCCATGATGACTTTTTCGAAAAGTTGGAGGGTACCGTCGTCTTCGAGGTAGAGCTGGAATTCGGGATTTTTGAATTTGAATTTTTTTGATTTTTGGCGGGAAATGGAAAAGGAAAATTTTAAAAAACGAGTTTTTAAAAAAAATTTTTTTTTCATGGTAAAATACGAGGCATTTCAAAAAGTGTTCTAGATGATGTCAAATTTAAAATTTAAAAATCTATGATATACTTTCGAAAATTTTCATAGGATTTTTTCAACTTTCATCAAATGAAAAACTGGAAGGTACCGTCGTCTTCGAGGTGGAGCTGGAATTTGGGATTTTTTTAAATTTACAAAGGAAGTCTCCCCAATTGCGACGCTCAGATTTTCTTTAAATTTTGCACACACGTCGGTCATGAACTAAGTATCAATTCCTGAAAGTTTTAGCTCGCGCTTTGCAAGCGCCGCTGAGATATTGAACGATCTTTGCGCCGAGAGAGTACGCTAAACGCGGAGAGCGGTCAGTGAGAAAAACATTTTTTGGCCATAACTTTGGCAGTTTCGTGCGGAAAAAATTGATTTTTTGTGGAAATATTACCCTCTATGGTAGAAATAGACATGAAACTATTCGTGCTGAAATTCGGCAAAAAGTGTCAAATTTTCGCCTACTTTCGATCTAAAAATCTTGGTTATTTCTGCAAAGCGCGAGCTAGGATTCTCTCATATCTTTTAGAAAAAAATATTCTAATTTTGTGCCAAGTTTCATCAAAATCTGAGGGTCGCACTTGGGGTACTTCCCCTGTTAATTTTTTTGATTTTTGATGATAAATGGAAAAGGGAAAATAAAAAAAAAGAGTTTTTAAAGTGTTTTTTTCATGGTAAAATACGGGGAGTCTAATATGGATTCTTTCAAGAAACCGTTCATAAAATGTCTTAAATGATGTATTATATATTCAAGGAAATTTTAAATATTTTTTTCAATTTCCGTCAAATGAAAAACTTGTCGAAAAAATAGGGATTTTTTGATTTTTCACTCTTATTTTTTGGCCTCAAAAAATAACTTAAAGCTCTGAAAATAAGACCTGATTTTGATAGCTATTACTACTACAACAACCCACAACTTACCGCATCATTGCTTCCAAAATGCCCTTTCTTCACGGAAGGGTCCTCCAATCGACAACAAGCTGACATACTGCTCAAAGGCAGTCTCCAATATTCGAATTCGTCCCTTAATCTGATCGGACACACATCCATGGGCCGATGCAGTTTACCGGTAATGTAATAATCAATAACATATTCGAATATGGTGGGGCTTTTCTCGAAATAGTACTCGTTGGACTGCTCGAAATAGGAGTCGCATTCTGTTAGTCGTTCAATGTGATTTTTCTCGCAAAACATCGCCAACCGAGAGCCGTCCATCCGCAGTTTGACCTGGAGAAATTTGAGTTAACACTGGTATAGAAATTAATTTTTGCAAAAAATAAAAAATTTTTTTAACAATGTCACCAAAAGTATGTCAAAAATAAAAAATTTTTCCCAAAAAGTCTAAATTTTTTCTCAAAGAAAACTTTTTTGCACTGTGCAGTTACCTCTTTTTTTATGTTTTTCACTGTGAAATCATCTTTTTCAGACCGCACAGTGCGATTACAAATAAAAAAATTCGCAAAAAATTCGAATCTATGCACCGTTTTGCAAATCGAACGAAATTTGAAATTATTTTTCCCACAAGTTTTGTTTATGCACAGTGCAAAAAAAATTTTGCACTGTGCGAACCCAAAATTTCGAGTTTGTTCTTCGCACGGGGCGAAGATTTTTATCTTTGCACTGTGCAGCGCCCGAATTGTCGCATCGCGCAAATCTCAGTTCTCTCAAAACTGCACAGTGCAAATTTCCAGCTTTCCTTTTGCACTGTGCAAAAAAATTTTTTCGTCGCACTGTGCGAATCCAAAAGTCCGAGTTTGTTTTTTTGCACGGTGCGAAGATTTTTATCTTTGCACTGTGCAATGTCCGGATTGTCGCATCGCTGAAATCTCAAATTTCTCAAAATTTTGCACAGTGCAAATTTCCAGCTTTGCTTTTGCACTGTGCAAAAAAATTTTTTTCTTCGCACTGTGCGATCCCAAAATTTCGAGTTTGTTTTTTGCACGTTGCGAAGATTTTTATCTTTGCACTGTGCAATGTCCGGGTTGTCGCATCGCTGAAATCTCAAATTTCTCAAAACTGCACAGTGCAAATTTCCAGCTTTGCTTTTGCACTGTGCAAAAAAAATTGTTGCACTGTGCGACCCCAAAACGTCGAGTTTGTTTTTGCACGGTGCGATTGTTTTTACAGATCCTTGCACTGTGCAATGTCCGAGTTGTCGCATCGCGCAAGAGAAATTTCTCAAAGCTTTGCACTGTGCAATTTCCCAGCTTTCCTTTTGCACAGTGCAAAAAAATGTTGCACTGTGCGATCCTAAAATGTCGAGTTTTTTTTCGCACTGTGCAATGGGTTTTACAGATCTTTGCACTGTGCAATGTCCGAATTGTCGCATCGCGCGACAACTCGCGCGGTGCGACAACTCAAAATTTCGCACAGTGCAAATTCCCAGCTTTCCTTTCGCACTGTGCACTTACAGTTTCGACGGCCAGTTGTGCGGACCTTCCTCCGACATTCAAGCGGATCATTTCCATGACTTCATTCGCCTCTAGCCCTCCATTTGAGACGATTACCGGCGGTTTCTCTTGGGATTTGGTCTGAAATACGGTCATAAATTTATTTTACACGATTTTTGTTGAAAAAAGCAAAAAATTTTGATTTTTTATTTAACCAAAAAAACGTAAAATACGACTAAATATGACCACAATACACAACAAATTACATTCAACACCCATTCCTTACTGTTATTAATTTTTAGACACAAAAAATTTGAATAATTTAGGCTCTTCGTGTCGTTTTTAATAAACCGGTCAGGCGGTCACGCGAAGAACCGGTTTCTGGGAAGGAAAAGTACTCAAAAATACTCGAAAAAGAGATGTTTATCCCTGGCAAAGCACTTTAAATTACTTTACAAGAGTTTATTTTTGCCGAATTTACAAAGTAATGACTTTGTTTGGACAATTTTTCGGTAGTTTCGGAACATGAAAATGATGATAATTTGGGCGACGAAAGAACAAAAATTGGCTATTGAAATGACGAATAAGCCGGTAAAGTTACCATAGAAAGTGTTTTGAATAACATTTTTGGGAGTTTGAAAAGAAAATGGCATCATTCATTTTTTGGAGTGAAAAAAATAAAAAAAAAATTTTTTTTGATTAGCTTCGAAATTAAAATCTAAAAATAAAGGTAAAATACGGATGATTTACTGAAGCGGCATTCGAAAGAGATAAAAAAAGTCACTCAAAATTCTAAAAATTTTATTTTTTAAGCTAAAATCAGGTCCATCTTGGGTAAAAAATCTTTAAATCTGACTCCGAAATTTAGTCAAAATTTGGACAAAAATTCAAGCAAAAAAATGTCAAACAAATATGCCAAATTTACAGCTCCAGTTTTGCAAAAAACATCAAGATATTTTTTACCAAAATTCGGAAAAATTCCAAAAATTAGGCGAAACAATATTGCATTCCGCATCACATGAGGAATGTCATTTTTCAAAGAAAAATAAAAAATTTCGCACGCAAAATTCGCAAAAATATTGCCAAAACAATTTTCTCTTAACGTCTCTTTATTTTCCGTACTCTCTCAAATAAATATATATATCATGATGTTCAAGCACAAAGATCGTTGAATATCTCGGTTGCGCCTGCATAGAATGAACTGAAATTTTTAGGGTTTGATTCGTTTTCTACGTAGATAATATACTCAAAATTTAAAGTAAATCCGAGCGTTGCCGCGCAAGGAATTGACCAATCAACTTCCAAATAGTCATCAAAAATCATTTTGGCCCCACTGACTTTTTCCTTAATTTTTCTATCAATTTGCCCTCCAAAAGTCATTTGGAACCTCAAAAATTACAGCCCATCCACCCCTCTCTTCCCATTGCTACTCAATTCAAATATTCACAAAAACCCCCAAAATGACGTACCACATAAATTTCCGTGCTGGATTTGCATTTGGAGGGCAGATACGTAACCCACAACTCTTTCATCGCTCCTGTTTAATAATTTAACCCGACTTTTGGAGGCCGGCGAATGAGGAGGAGTTGATGTTACTCTTAAATAACTAATTATGCAATTCTTTTCCGATGCCCGAGTAAATAGTCGTCTGGAATATGGAGGGACAAGGAAGTGGGACCTAACTGTATTGGGATTCAATTTGGACCGAAATTTTTGGGGGATGAGGGTCTGAGATCAGCGTTTTTTGTAGAGTATAGGGTTACATTTCATATTTAGAAAAATTTGAGTCAGCAGAGTAGTCAAAAGAAATTATTTTTTTACTGGAAAAAATAGCTTTTTTGGCGAACTTTGATACTTTATCCAAAATTCATTCAAATGAGACGCGTGTAAAGTGCAATGCTCGGAGTTCCTTCAAATTTTTATCACATATTACTTACAAAACACACATCAATCCCTGAAAATTTTAGCCCACAATTTGCAGTCGCCCCCGGGGTATTCAACAATCATTTTCGAGAGAGCAGGCAAAATTAAGAGACGAAATGACAAAAACTTTTTGGCTTTATATCTTTACCAATTTCCACTAAAAAGGCAAATTTTTTGTAGAACCCGGAATCTGGTAGATTTGAAAGCATATTTTAATTTTGAAAATTTCAAAAAACTCGAGTGGTTTTTGCAAAGCACCAGCGAAAAATGAGGCATATTTTGTAGAAAGATCTAATCTAACAGGGGAAGTACTCCAAGTGCGACGCTTAAATTTTCTTTAAATTTTGCACACACGTCGGGTATGGACTAAATATCAATTCCTGAAAGTTTTAGCTCGCGCTTTGCGGCGTCGCCGAGATATCGAACGATTTTTGCCGTCGAGAGATCACGCTAAACGTGGGGAGCGGTCAGAGAGAAAAACGCTTTTTGGCCATAACTTTGGCAGTTTCGTGCGGAAAATTTTGATTTTTTGTAGAAACATTATCCTCTACGGGAGAAATAGGCATGAAACTTTTCGTGCCGAAATTCTGCAAAAAGTCCTAAATTTTGGCCGACTTTCGATCTAAAAATCTTGGTTGTTTCTGCAAAGCGCGAGCTAGGATTCTCGCATATATCTTAGAAAAAATTATTCTAATTTTGTGCCAAATTTCATCGAAATCTGAGCGTCGCACTTGGAGCACTTCCCCTGTAAGCTATACCAAATGTCATCAAAATTAAAGCCTTGCAATTCGAACAATTTTTTGCCTCAAATTTCCCCAAAAAAGCTTGCAAAAATGAAATTAAAATCGCCCAAAATCTCGGCCAAATCCAATTCTGCACTTCAATCCAAGGAAAAACAGAAAATAAATCGACAGAAAGAACGACAAAAAAAATAAAGGAAAGTCGGCCCTCCTTTTCCCACCGCCTAATTCGAGGCCATTAAATGTCTGTGTCCAACCTGATAACGGAGTTGTTCCATTCGCTTCAGATGCATCTGATGTGAACGTACGCGCGGAATCATATTGCTGAAGAGACCAAGAGGAAATTCTTTTTTTTCATTTCGCGACATTTTTCGGGAGAATTCAAAGATCAAATTGGGGGAGAAAATGTGGGGAAAATATGGGAAAAAAGGGCTGAAATAGAATGAGGAATTTTTGACAACGTATATTAGGGTAAAATACGATTTGTTTTGCCTATATTGACGTTCATTGCCAGTCCATCAGCCACAGGCAGCAATTTTTACAACCTAAATGGCATATTTTGCCTTATTTCTAGCATGTTTTTACAGACATAGAAAAGAATTGAGCATAGTAAAATTAACAGTGCTATTTTGAACATTTTTTACAATATATTCCGTATATAACTTACCATTTTTTTAGCTTTTATTAAAAAATTTTCATTTGAAAAATTTATAAAAACATAATAAAACAGCATCTGTAAGAAAGTAGGCTCTACAAAAACTAAATTTCGAATTATTTCCTAGAGATTCTACAAGCCCAAAAACCTATATCATTATTAGTTGTAGGGCTTTGTTTTATTTACACGAAAAGTGCAACATACGCGATGCACAATTAAGTACTTACGGTGTGGATTCTTAGAGGGCTTCGATTCGTCAATTTTAAGGAAATTTGCGAAAGAAAACAATGAAAAAAGGATTCAATTTTCTTAGCATTTCAAAATTGCAGCCCATCATTTTGCTTAAAGTTTGAGTTTCTTTGTCATCATGCTCAAAGAAAGATTGCTTTCGCGTTGAAAAAATAACATATAGGGCTCTTGTGCGTTCTATTTTCGCGCTTAGTAGGCGTACACATCAAATTTTACTAAGCATATACCCATTTTAATATCAGGAATCATACATTGTTTTAATGTCTAGTACAATATTGACTAAGGCGGGTAGAAAGTCGATTTTTTGCAGCCTTGCCATACACGGTTTAAAAGCGCAATTTCTGAGCTTCAAAACCTTATGTTCAACATATCTCGCAATGCGTTTCAAAACTCACAGAAATTCGCACAAATCGACGACTCAAAAATACATACTCAAGACTTATGGGACATCCTAATACGTAGATTTCGGTAGACAAATCGTAATTCTAATCGGTAAATGTCGGCTGCCCGCGAAATGGTTGCTTTGTCGCGACACCAAAATTCACGTCAAATTTTAGCCAATCCTTGCAATGTCATCAATTTTATAAAAGTAAACTCTAACGTCTCTACAGAAAATCAAAAAAAAAGAGAGCAAACCATGTTTACTGTGTGGGAGTACATGTAGTTTAGAGCCTCTATTTTGTTATTTTCTTTGGCACTTTTGGCGAAAAATCTAATTGCTATCATCTCTGAAATTCTTAGAGTGCGTTTTGCAGAGACGGACAGGACAGTCAACAATCGTTGCAATACAAAAATGATAGTGTAGAAAATATTGTAGTATTTCCAAAAAAAAGTTTATAAAGTGTAAGACACTAATTTCGACCAAAAAATCTTGGAGTTTTAGCCCTTATTTGGAAGATCCCAAGCCAAAAAAAAGTTGCTTCTACCCTCTCAAAACGTCCTGTCTTCAATTCTAAACCAAAAACTCACAAGAAAAGCAAAATTTCTCTACCAACTCGTCGTCATAAAGTAATTACAACTTCCCCACCAAAAGTCACACACTACAAACCCTCGTTTCCAGTAAATAAAGCGCCAGCAAGATTCTAAACAGCACTACAATTCCATCCACATCCGCTACGTAACAGAGACGTAACTTCAATTTCCCTCTTAATCCCCGCAGGACATAATCGAAATGTTAAACCGTAAAAGTCTTGAAGGAAATGAGTAATTTTGAGGTAAAAACGGATACAAATTGGAGCTACATAGCGGGTATTAAAATTGATGTCTGTGCGGACAAAAGACGATTATTCGACAGAAGCGGAAATAATAATTCTAAAGGCGTCTGGGGGCAGGGTAAATAATATCATAAAAATTGGGATGACAAATTGTGAAAAGCAGGTAACAAAAGAAGGAATATGTATGTTATCTAAAGTACAGTAAAATGAATTCTAAAGCAGCCGGGGAAAATAATCAAAGATCAAAATTTGTTTTGAGGATCAAAGTCAGCCAAGCCATCAGTCGACAGATGGCCGACTTTTATCATATTTTGAAAATTAAGATACTGACCGAAAGTATGCTGAGAGTTTTATTATGACTATTGAAAGTCCTCCAGAAATATAGTGGATAAATTATTTCAAGAATAAAAATGTGAAAATTGAAAAACCCGCCAAAAATTCATCAAGGAAAAAATTTTGTGGTGACATTTTGGAGCAACTGCGTTCATGTCAAAATTTTTACCTAAAAAGATCTCTAATTTCTAATTTTTTAACTCGCGCTTTACAGAAATGATATTCTAGTTGTCAAAAATTGCCATAGTATGTCCGGTATTTCTCAAAGCATCGTTCGCGAGGAGTTTTGCCTCGCGAATAATTCAAAAGTTTTTTTCTTTCCGTCTCTCCTCATTTTTCCTAGTCTCTCGTCTGCAAGAATACTGTTATCTAGATTTGTAGAGTGATCTCTACAAATCTCTGTTGGGAAAAATTGGTCTATAATCATTATCTAGGCCAAGATTTTTTGGGCAAACGTTAGAAGTTTCGATGAGTTCGCGAGCTTAAACTTGAGTTGGAACTTTTAAATGGAGCCCTGCTCTACAGTGATTGCTGCTCGTTCTATTGTAAATTTTTTATATGAGGAGTCAAAGCATTGAATATCTAAACTGCCCTTGCAAATAAAAGTTAAAATTTTGGGTGGTTCAAGTGTGATCTATACAGATTTTCGATAAAAAGTATAAAAAAAATCTATTCATTCCCTAGCCAGAACTACCTTATTTTGCAAAAAAATCAAGTATTTCATCTAAATGACAAAAACTTTCTATTACAAAAAAAAAGCAAAATTCTGAAGACAATTGCAAAAACACTGTGAACCCACAAACATTAGCACGCAATTTAAATGACGCGATTACTTTTCCAGACTGCACAAATCTCTTAAAAATGCAAGACCCTCCTTCTACACCTCTCTAAAGCCAGGCTCTTTTGTTTTTTTTTTTATTTTTAGATTACATCCCCTTTGGCATTTAATTCCCCAAGTGTTCGAAAAAATGGCAATCATCCTTCGGCACCGCTAACTTTGCTTTTTACGGGTTTCTTTAGCAATAAAGAGTAAAAACTAACTGAAAAAACACCTGGCTCCGCCCACAACTTCGTATAATCTCCAAAGACGCCCTTTTTGGGAAAAATCTCCCAAAAATATGTCGTCGATAGGGCAGTAAATACTTCCTCCAGATAAATGACTTTTTCAAATCTCCGGATTACGCGTTAATTTCCACGTAGATATCATAAATCCGCGGATAAGTTATCCGAATTTCATCTGGACAACTTGTAGCCCACAAAAATGGATTAATGCCCTTAGGACAATTAAGACTTTTGTGAGTGAAAAGCAATTGTTTGAGCATGCGGGGGCTAAAATACGATAAAACTTTGGCATTTTGTGAGTGTTTGAGGGACAAAAATAGGGAAATATAAAGTTAGGGAAGCCAAGAGACGGTGACGTAGAAAATTGGGATAATCGGATTAGCAATTGGCCTATATAATTATTTATCGGGGAGATGTTATTTCGTAGAGCTTTAAATGAGATTATTTACGAATATAATGGTGCAAATGAACGTTTTGCTTGATAAAAAAGAAGGTGATTACCTTAAAAATTAACACCAAAATGGGGGTTAATCTTAACGTAGCCTTAAATTCTACATACACGCTGTGCCTATAGGCTACATTTTATTAATTCCTGAAGATGCTAGAGTTTATTTTTGGGGCGTAGCCGAGGTCAGGACTCCACAAAATTCAAACCTCAAGTTCAAGTTCAATATTAATAGTTTTCAGGCGAAATCCCGTATATTACTATAGTCATAAAATGGATTGGCCAGTTAATGGTCAAGCTATCGGATTTAGTTGGCATGTGAAATATTTTACACCCCTGCAGTGGGGGTGCAATCCTCTGCTACGTATTTTACAACGTTATAAAAAGTGAAAAATTTGAGGACACAGATATTTTTAGTGCAATTTACCCTGAGACTTTGTGGCAAAAAATTACAGTGGCGGACCTGATCCAGTGGCAAAAAACGTATCATTTTGGATCCCGGAAGTATGAAAAAATGTAGCAAAATGCCTCCCTCTCCAACTAAAAAAAACTCTGTTTTGAAGGGCGCGCCCTTTTTCTTCACAAAAAGAGCGGCGCACGTCAAACTGAGATAAGCAAAAGCAGTCCGGTGAATGGGTTGACAATTTGTCAAAAAAAAAAAAAAATGCTTTGTCGGGGGAGAAATGGGGAATTTTTGGGGCGAGAGAGTACGTTTTTGCGCGTATTTTTTCTCTCTTTCTCTGCGAAATAGAAGAAGTGTAAAAAACCGATAGCGAAGAGTCTATTCCGGTCACCGGACTCCTCAGTTTGACGTGCGGCGCGCTTATGAAATTTGAGTTCTTTCACTTGGAGAGGGAGGTATTTTGCCACATTTTTTGATACTTCCTGGATACAAAATGGTACGTTTTTTGCCATATCAAATAACGATTTGCAGAATTTGGCTGCTATTTTCCAACACCTCGGCTAGTCCATCAACCTTTATGGCTAGCAAAATTACAAAAACAATTGGGATGGCCAGTCAAAAAATTTTGCAACATTGGCTATAAAAATTCGATCTTTACCACATCAGCCCCAAATGAAAGGTTGCGCCATTCCCCTATGAAAGCATTTGTTTCCTTCTGTAAAGTGAAAGTTCAAAAATGCTCCCTTAAAAATTTAAACCCATAAATCACTCTTCCGTATTTTACAACAAGCTTATCGACGGCAAATCGAAACAGGAACTAGAGTATAAAATATGAAAGCACAAATGTTCAAAATGTCATCACATTTTTCAGGTGCAATTTAGAATATTTTACATGACTTTTTGCAAATTTTTTCGTCTGGTAATTCACATCGAAAAAAGTAATTTTTCTTCCCACCTTATTCGTTTTTAGTCATCAAAGCTCTCTTTAGAGGGTTACCGCAAGACGAAAACGTATTTCGGAGCATTCGAAATTAAGACATACGCGAGATTTTTGGACAATGGGCATTCTAATTTTGAAAAAAAATTGTAAAAAAAAAGTAAAGACTCTTGGAAATTTTGGGTCAACTTTTAATCTTTTCCAATGCAAAATGCAATTTTTAGCCCCAAAAAATGTAAAAATATTAAAATCTTTGTAAAATAATGACTGAAAATGGCGATAAATTTTACTTTAAGCTAATTTAGTAGACAGCAAAAGCCTAAAAAACAGTAAAAAGAAGTATAAATCATAATTAAGTAGTCTCCCGCAGAGTTTTCACGTATTTTAAGGACTCGAAATTAATGCCTTCAGGGGTAATGTATGCACGAGGAAGCGGACAGAAGTTATGCGGAATATATTTAATTAGCCTGGCTGTAAAAAGCCGGCGCCCGCACTCTATTCAATTACTAAAATAATATTTGCCCAAACCCCCCTCGTTTTTACGACTTTTTGGGGGCCGCGTGCCGTTCCCGGTAACAATTTTCGACGCCGGTTTAAACCAACGATCAAGTGCATATACGGGGTGGGAAAGGTCGAGGATACGTGTTCTTTGGCTGGCTCTGTGAAGACGAACGTGACACAAGTCAGTGTCAATTTTTGTTAAGACATCCGCGAGGTTCTTGGTCTGCACTTTCCATGAGGAATGGAGAGTTAAGGGCCGAAAGTTTGTGGAGATTCGACGCAATATTGCAAATTTCAGGGAAATTTTGGCATTCTGTTTCAAGAGTACAGTAAGCCCTCTGTACGATGAATCGCAGAGAGTAAAAAAATTTACTTGTAGCATAGGGTGGGCCACTCGAAACCGGTAACTTTTTTCTTTGAATTTCTCGGCGGAGACTCTGCCGATTTCCCTAAAATTTAGATTTTTCTGGAGCTGAGAGCCGCTATTGAATTTAAAAAAAATGTATTTTGAATTGACCTTTCTATGCCTTTCCAAATTTAAGGAAAATCGGCGGAGTCTCCGCTAAGAAATTCAAAGAAAAAAGTTACCCGTTTCGAGTGGCCCACCCTTTCGATGGGTCGCTTTGTATCAGTCTGTCGGGAAAATACAAAATTTACCTCTCCTACCAAATAAGAATTAACAAAGAATAAAACACTTATTACAACCAATAATAAAAAAAAATTTTTTAAAGACATTGAAAAAATAAAATAAAAAAAGTCTCTTTACCAATCGCGTCGCTGAAACGAAAAGCAATTTGATTTTGCCGCGACACAGTTCATTTTTTCTCGGTGACAGTGTGATTTTCGATGCGACATAGTGCTCACTATTTTCCCGACAGACTGATATACGGGTTAATTTTGGCCTAAAATTTCCTCCTGAGACCTCTAAAATTGTTCGTTGTAGACAAGTATTGTTGAATAGGAGTTTGTTGCAAAAAGGAATACTGTCTATTACATACAATCTTCGTATGTAGAAAGCAATTTTTCTAATCTAAAATCCGCAAGAATACGTATCCCCGGAAATCATTTTTCCTCCTCAACTTGCACGATGGAAAACTGAAACAAGTGTGTTGCAGTTCCTATTGCAGTTCCTATGTCAAAAAACTACGGTAGATATACTTCGGCAAAAAGACCAAAGAAGCTAAAATAAAAACGTCTAAAACACTTTTGCACATGAAAAAATTGCATGTTTGGGTTAAATTATAGCTTATCCGAGAGTTTTGTGAGGTTTTACACTGCTTTCAAGGCTCACGACTGGTGTGGCTCAAGAGCTTTTATTACAAAATCGTGAAAAAAAGATATTTACTCTCAAAACGAGGTGTAAAAATGATATTTTGAGATCAAGAAAAGCTCAATGAGAAAAGAGAAAACTTCAAGTTTTACATAAATTCGGGATCTCAAAAAAACTGTAATCAAAAAGAAGATAGTTTACATAAGGTCTCTTCCTCAAGTTTAATCTATTACCCTGGGCAGACGAAACTTTTCACCGCCATTCTTCTATTTATATTCGAGAGGAATTGCCCTTTCTGAACCAGGAAATGTCATAAACCGCTCTTTTATAGGGCCAAAGATGGGGATAAAGAAGGGATAATTCTAATTTCGGAGAGAGTCCAAACTTACCAAAAATTTGAAAAATGTAATTTACAATCTAATACTACTACCAAAAACTTTAAAAAATGACTTGTAAACCGCTACTTTTCAGCAGCATTTATTGTAAATAATACTGTATTTAAATGACATTAAATTTTAGGTATTACATCTACATCATCAAACAAATGTCAGCGTCGTGTTTGGGCAAATGAAACTCGCTCAAAATGAAAGTAATGCCACTAATTCTAGTAATACTACTGCTTTAGGCCTTCCCCAATTTTCACTTTTAATTTCCATCGGAAGCCATTCTTAAATGTGCGGTTTCCATCACAAGGTCTTGGCAGAGCAAACATCAAAAAAAGTTGCTAAGAAAGGGCGAATAAAAAAATTGGGAAAAGATAATCTTAAGATAAAAATGGTGACAGTTGGACGTGCATATCTTGATAAAACTTTGTAAACTTAAGATTAAGCGTTCGTCATTTGTATGCGAGATTTTTACCTTATGTTTTGTCTTTAACTTTAATAAAGTGCAATATTTTTTGGACGAAAATTGACAAAAATTCAACACTTTTTTGATTTTTGAAATTAATGAAGTAATAATTAAAGAAAAAAATCCAGCTTTTTCCACGCCAAACTGGCAAAAGTATGACCAAAATAAGTTTTCTCTCCAGCTCTCCATGTAACCTGCACTTTATTATGTCGCACGGTCAGCACTTCCTCAATCATTTTTTATTTTTAACTTTTTCGCATGGAATTTGATGACTTGCCATTTCTATATACATATTATATATTCTAACGGATCATTAATTCATCGACAACAATACGATACTATTTCTGTTCTCCATAGTGTAAAAAAGCGTAAAAAGTTTTGCACCGTGCAATTTCATAGTGTAAAAAAGCCTAGAGTTTTGCACAGTGCAATTTCATAGTGCAAAAAAGCCTAGAGTTTTGCACAGTGCAATTTCATAGTGCAAAAAAGCCTAGAGTTTTGCACAGTGCAAAAAATCCTTGGAATTTTCGGAGGCCCCCAAATTCCGTGGCAATTCAAAAAATTGATCTGTCGCTGCGGAAAATGGGGATCGCGCGCGACGTAAGGCAAAAAACAAAACTGCACTGTGCAAGAGCGCTTTTTGGGCCGGATGCACGGTGCAAAATGTTTTTTCGAGCTCATGCACGGTGCGGAGTCGGAGAAAATTCCAAGGACTTTTTGCCGCGACTACACGACACTCATACAAAATATTTCACACAGCAAAAAACCAAAAAAATTTTTTTCACAAAGTAATTTAAAATCGCTGAATTAAAAGTTGGACTTACCACCTTGAGCACCGAGAGTAACGGCGTCGGTTCCATGGAGTAGTGGTGCATCTGAAATTGGGATTTTTTACTGCATATCTGAGGCAAAATAAATTTAAAAACGGTACAAAAAATTTTTGTTGTCTATGAGATGCGTATTTTACATAACTCTCAGATTTCACATCACACAAATACATTGTCAATGTGCACGCAAATAGATGTAAAATCGGGGAAATGGGTAAGTCGTCAGGCGATTAATCCAAAGATAATTTGTATTACAACCTTTTCGGAGATTACACTTTATCCAAGGAAGGGATACCAAACGAGATTTTCTTATTTTGTAATTTCACAATTTAATAGTACAATACAAAGAGATTCGGAGGGAAAACACGTCTACCATGCAATAAAAGGTCGAATGCCTTCGGGTTAATTTGCAAGAACCTTTTTTATTGCCGATTTCCCTCAGGGAATTTGTCTTATTTACAGTGAAAATGAGAAATGACATCAAAGGCCGAGAAACGAAACAATTTTTTGGTTTATGACAAAGTAGTGGGAAAAATAAGTAAAAGAAATTTGAAGGAATTATGCCTTAGCTTTGTCTGGCAATATGCTAAAAAAATAATGACAAAAAAAAGTTTTCAAAGACAGGAAATTTATAAGTATAGGACAACGCCTTCTATTATTCCCAAAAAAAAATTTTTTTGAGTGAGCCTTGAATTTTGACGGTTAGATTTTGATGAAAATTGGCAAAAAATTTGTCTTGATTTTTTTAACGGTATAACCGAGACCGTACAATTTATCAACCTCATACTGTCCTTTTTTTGCCGAAACAGGTCGGAAATCGAGGTCCTCCTGTTTGACGTTCAAAACAAACATGATAACCAGTCGATATGGACATGAAAATAAAACGCCTGGGGCAAAAAACCACGGAGAATTTAATGGTAGGAAAATTGTGCGGCTAGACCTAAAAGTTTTCGCTGCAGGACCCATGAAAAAAGCACACTAAAGCTGAAGTTTTTCATTCATAAACTCGCAACAAAGTGTTCAATTCTTTCCAAGTTGGGACCTTAAAATTTTGGTCGTTTCTGGAAACGAGGATTAGAAATCTTGCACCTATTTTCCTTGAAGAAATTAGTCTTAAATTGGTGCCGTATTTCATCAAAATCCAACTGCCCTTTGTTTGTTAGGTAAGTAGGAAAAAGATTATTTTATTGTCTTCAATAAAATAATCTTTTCCCTAAAGGATTATGGAAAGAAAACATTTTTTGTTTTATTCCAAAAAACGTTTTAATAACTAGAAAAGTTGGAATTTCACCTTTCAAAGTTTTGTTCAAGCTCCCAACCCCCTCAAAACATTGTCCTCCAAAATCTCCGTTCTTTTACGTTTTCTGCATTCATATCATGACAAATCTTTAAATCTTTGAAACGTTCTTTTCGAATAAAAAACATCCCCCTCGAAGATGCGTGGCCTATTTTTACAACCATCATCTCACATTGTTCACTTACTTTATGCGTGTTTTTACTCGCCACTTCTTGTGCAGCAGTCCTTCGCCTTCAGCAGCGGTGCTCTCTGAAACGAGGCCATGTGTAAAGAAAGCGGCGTGGATTGGCGAAACATTTGGAGAATATTCGGTTACGGGGACACGTCACATCCCCTCGGGGCCTGTGATTGTAATAGCGACAATGGACGGCCATTGCCTTCGGGCGTCGCGCCTTTATGGGCCATTCAGACGCGATTTCCACAAGTCCGAGAGACAAAAGGCATAAGATATCAAAAAACGATGAAAAGAAGTTTTTTTCGGCTATGGTCATTGTTGTCATTAAAAATAGGAGGAAGTTTTTTGGAAGATGAAAGATTTGGGGAGGCACTGTAGTCTAGGGAGCAAAGCGGACTCTAGAAAAAGGTTTGAGGATATATACAAGCCAAGTATACATAGGGGTAGAGTAGGGGTGCTAGAGCATTTCCCGGACATGACTTGTCCAGCCCATACCATTACTGAGAATTTAACTATGCTTGCCAGGTACACGTCAAATTTATTAGCCCTTCCGGAAAGTCGCTGGACTAATTTTTAGCGCTTGCACTGTGCGAAAAAGGTCAGTGTGTAAGTCCATGCAAAAAACAAAAAATTGCACAATATACGTCAAACTGACGTGAGGTAAGCTAAAACGGTCTTGTGAATGAATTGGCAATTCGCTAAAAAGAAATGCGAAAAAATTTTTTGTCGGGGAAGAAATGGGGAATTTTGGGCAATTTTCTGCCTTCTCTGTCAAATCAAGACAAAGTGTAAAAGACCGATAACGAAGGGTCCATTCCGGTCATTGGACTCCTCAGTTTGACGTTCAGTGCAAAGAAAGCTTTTTTTCTGGACTGAAATGGGCGACATGCACTGTGAGAAAACAAAAGTTCAGCTTGCACTGTGCAATTTCTTGATTTTTGCACTGTGCAATAGGCTTTTTTGGGCTGTCGTTCGCAACCTGACTTTTTTCGCACAGTGCAAACAGCAAAAATCAGTCCAGCGAGGTTCCGGATGGACATATTTTGTTGTTTTCTGGTGCACCAAGTGATGGCTAAGCTGCTGCCAAGGCTAGGCGACGAAATTTTGGAGGGTATATGGGATCAGCAAAGAATGCTAGCCACATAATGTTTGGGGCATCTCCTATCCGAAGCTGAGTTGTGGCCTCCGCCGATACGGAAAGCTCGCCATTCCATTGACGAATGTTTGGTAAACATAAAAATAAGATAACATTCTCTTTTTAACCATCAGAAATCGTACTGCAGTTTTTAAGATTGGTGTGATGACCAAAAAACCGATCAAAAGTCTCCGCCGAATACAGTATGTTCCGCGTCGGCGGACAAAAAAAATTTTTTAGACGAAAAAACCGCCCATATTCTTCTTCCTAATGCAAAAAGAGTTTTTTGGATATCTTGCCTGAGTGCCGAGAAATCGGCAAACACTTTCCGCGGAATTTCTCTGGACACCCTGTACTACCATTCTACTTCTAAATCAACATAAAAATCAAAAAAAAATCGAAAATCTACACTTCATCGACCACCGATGTCTGTTCTCCTTCTAGACCAGACTATTCAAAGATTTCTCGAAAAGTCAAAAACTAATGCCAAGATTTATTAGCGATAACACAAATAGCCCTTCCGTCTGCAAATTGTTTACAGAAGGCTGAAAAATTGGAAATAAAAACACAAATTTTCGTCGAGGAAATTCCAAGATTTCAAATTTTAAAATTAGCATAAGCTAAGAGCGTTGTCAACAAATGGTTTAGAAGTGCGTGAAAGGCCGTGTTTGTAGGCAAAAATAATCAGGCACCGTGAGGAAAACCCTTAATCCTCGCCTTCATTCTTCACTTCGGATTTCCTGAAGATGCAAAAAAAAATGAGACGTAGTAATTGAAAGGGAAAGTTGAATCGATAGAAAACTAAAAAGAATTTTTGTAAAGAAACTAAATTTTTGGAAAGACTGCAACTTTACATTTTTAAAAGTCATCAAAGAATTTTATTCGTTTTTTTTTTGAAACTCGGGCTTATCAAAGACGTATTTTACCCATCTAAAAAATAAGAAATTTTCCGTCAATTCTATGAGACTGTCGGGAAAGTAATGAGCAAATGTCGCTGCGCCAATCGAGTCGCCGAAGTGAAAATCAAATGACTTTACAGTATAGAACCCATTTTCCGGACACAATTCATTTTCTCGGTGGCGATGTAATTTTTGATGCGACAGAGTGCTCATTACTTTCCCGACAAAATGATAAATTCAAAGTTCAGCGTTTGGATTTTGATGAAACTTGATACAAATTCAGATTCCTATGATATTTGTAAAAACAAATTTTGAATTTTTAGGCTTGGTTTGGCAAAAATTGTTATCGTTTTGAGGTCGACATTTTTTCTCAAGAGTCATCAATTTTTAAGAATTCGCTTTTTTGGAAATTTTGTAGTCTAACCCACAAAGATCGTCGAATCTCCCAGCTTTGCGTGTAAATTACAAGCTAAAATTTTCAACCGATAAAAAATGGTCTATAAATTTAGCTTATGTGAAATTTCATTGAAATATCTTCACTGTGCCTCCAGCAATGCATCTTCAAAGTTAGCTTTTTTATCGACAACGCTAAGCTGCCCTTCTTTTACTTACCACAGCTTTTTGAAATTCTAAACATGCTGGGGAAGACAAAGCTTGCTAACTTGTCAGCCAAATCCAAATCTAACTTTCCCTCCTTCAATTTCAATACCAAACTCATGGCCAAGCCCATAAATACAGCGATTGCCACTCCCTTCAAAGGAACTACAGAAAATTACAGGCCAAAATTATCAACAAATAAAGCGGTCTATAAATATAACCTCTGTAAAGTTTCATCAAACTCTGATCACTGTGCCTCCAGCAATATGTATAATACATCTTTAAAGTTAGCTCACCCGCGACGCCTAGAAGTCCTTTTTTGTTTCCTACAGTTCTTTCAAAATTTTTACCGTACTGGAAAAACAAAGCCTATTAGCTTGTCAAATTGCTAGCCAAATCTTAATCAAGCCTAGTAACTTTTCCTCCTCCAATTTGAATCCCAGACTTCACAAAGTTAACAAATACTGCGATTGGCACTCCCTTCAAAGGCCACGTGACTTCATTGACGACCTTTCCATCCGAAAAAAATAGAACCATGAACCCTATATGCCCTCCAAGACATTTCTGATCTCTGGACTGCCCTACAAACCCCTTCTTACATACTAAATGCCAAAGTAATCAACAGTAATCGCAAGGATTCGCAATTAAAATGCGCGCATTTCCAGAAATAAAGAAAAAGGAAAACGAGGGAATCCGAAGTCGACCAGATTCTGTAAACCTTTCGCTTCTGGAGAGCATAAATCTCGGGGTATGGCCGAGCAGCGAGTAGGCCACTTAAATGTGCGAAAGCGGCGGGGAGAAGTTAAAAAGCGGGTAAAATCCCAGAACAAATTCGAATGTCGTTTAACGAACTTTGGTGTGGAAGCGGACAAGATTAATTTTTAAAGGAAATTATTGAGTTTCTGAGGTTGTAAAGCCAAAATGAGAGCATTCTTGGTGTAATAGAGAAATTTAAAGAGGGAATCGGACTGGAAGAGAGTTGAAAATGAGGAAAAAAGTTTGGCAAAGGATCTGGAATTGCTTGTAATAGCACAAAAACTATCGAAAGTCATGCCATATTTTGCAAAATTTTTGCTCAAAAAATCCCTGAAATACCCATTGTGTTTTGCTGAAGCCATTCATATTTGTTTTTGTTATGTGCGCTTTGCTGAAGCCCTTGAGATTTTGTGGTTGAAAATCGCTAATCTCTTTTGTGATTTTGGCCAGCGAAATTTTACATAATAGACCTTGAGGCACAATAATTCTATGAAAAATCAATTAATCCCTCCCAAAATCTACTATTATATCTTCCAAAAATTCCTTAAAATGACGGCAAAGTCAATAAAAATTCGTTAAAAAACGTTGACAGAATTTGACGTCCCCTCTAAACCGCTTTCGTCGAGGATGTACAAGTAATTTCCGGTATTCGAAAAAGCGGTCCGAGACTGGACCGACGGAAATTCAATCGGCGAAACGTCAAAATGTTCAGGCAAATTGTGAGCGTTCGGAAAAAATTTAAAAAATGTGTTTTTGGTAGGTAAAAAATTGGAGTTGGCCAGAAAACCCAAGAAAAAATACTCATCATAATGGTACCTTCAGAATTTTGGGATTGAACACGTATCAGTTTTTCAAAATTTTAGTTCGCGAGTTCAAGGTTCCGCAGAGAAATTCAGCATTTTTTTCAGACGTAAGATTACGTAAAATGAGGAGAGGCAGTCAGAGAAAAGTATGTCATCACATATGATCAACGTTAGAAGAAATTTATATCTCAATTTCTGCCAATTTTTGGCAAAATCTATTCGTCAAAGTGATAGGTTGTTCAACAATTAATGTCGTTTTTCAAAAGATTTTTAGTAAATAGGTCTAAATTACTTTAATTTGATCCAAATATGGCAAATGATATATCCAACGAAAGCTTGCGTTCTCGACTACAAAACGGTGAAATATTACTAAATTTTATTGTCGTGTACCTTTTTTTATAGACTTTGGAAACTGCTCCTCTCAAAAACGACATTAATTGTTGGACAACCAAATATAAAGAATTTTCTGATTAAATCTAAATTTTTCTTGTAATTACTCTTCAGTTCCTCCGACGGCTCCACCAAGTATGTATATCCAAGATCTCAAAGCTATTCGCCATTTCTCAAACCTCTGCTCAAGCCCGCTACAAGCTTGGCTAAATGCGCTAACCTTGTTCCCAAGGTTGGTAATCAACTTTGCATAAAACATTTGTCCGAAAAGAGTCTGGGAAAATAAAGATGGAATTTAATAAGGCCAAGAGGGTAATTGTATTTCCCAAACACCTTTGGAATAATTTCTGTAGAGGGTGTGTTTTGCTACCAAGATTGAAGTTGGGGTTCTTTGGAGAGGATAAATGGGAAGAAAAACATATTTTTTGATGATCAAATAAGCCGCTTACAAGGGTACTGTCCCGAGTGCGACGCTCCAATTTTTTGGAGATTTTGCAGACATTAAGGTCATGGTAGTATATCAATTCCTGAAAAGTTTAACTAGCGCTTTGCAAACAGCGATATTCAACAATCTCTCGGACGAAAGAGTGCGCAAAATTTGGAGAGCAGTCATAGAAAACATTACGTTTTTACTGTTTTGGCAATATCTCTTCAATTTTCGCGCGGAGAAATCCAACAGACGCTTAACAGAAGTTTTCTAAATTTGTGCCAAGCTTTGTAAAATCTCTGAGAATCGCATCTCAGAATCTTGCTTGATAACATGATGTAATTTCGAATATATTTACCGTTATATGTCTCAATGTCAATTATCACAGAAATCAGCAGGATCGAACGTATTTTAACTCAGACACCCAAACGACCTCCCAAAACTCGAATTCTCAGTCATCAATCTCAATTCCAGACCCATCCATCAACAGTAATATCCCAAATCAAGTTACATTTAGCATCATTTACATCTCATCCCAAAACCCGGACCACACAAGTCCCAAGACACAAAAAAAAGGTTGTATCCAAAGGTTACACGGCGGATCTAAAAGGATGTAAAGACAAGGCAACAACAAGCGCCCAAACACTTCTAGCCCTCTGGCCCCTTAGACGCATGCAAATTCGATTTGGCCGAGGAAATCTCTTCGTCCCAAAAAGTGCTGACTTTACTCGAGTTCGCGGCCGAATAATAATACACGTTGACGTCCATCTCAATACAACTGCTGTTCGCGGCATCAAAAAACATGAAGGCGAATTCGAAAGTGCATGAGGGAATCCCACCTGTCTGGAGAAATGTTTGAGAGAAATTACGGTAAAAATGAATGGATTGACTGGTAAATTTGTTCCGACAAAAGGCTCAGATTTTTTTTTAAATTTGCCGACATGTTGAGCCTAGCCCATATATCCATTCTGAAAAATTTTAGCTCACGCTTTGCAGAGACAGCTGAGATATCCATTTTCCGTCGAGAGAGTACGCAATATGTAGAGAGTGGCCAGAGAGTACATATAAAGCTTTTTTCCATAGCTCTGCTACAGTGGCAGACCTGAGCCAGTGGCAAAAAGCGTACTATTTTGCATCCAGGAAGTATCAAAAAATGTGGCAAAATACCTCCCTCTCCAAACGAAAAAACTCCGATTTCAAAAGCGCGCTTTCTTTTGTCGGAGATGGAGGTATTTTGCTACATTTTTGATACTTCCCGGATGCAAAATGGTACGTTTTTTGCCACTGGATCAGATCGGTCAGTGCAATTTTGCATAGAAGAAATTGATTTTTTAGTGGACACTTCAGTAGAAATTGCCATATAAAATAGAAACAACACATTTCGAATTTTTCTCAAACACTTTTGTGAAGATAACAGATGACTAGTTAGAGAGAGATACCATTTTTTTGACAAACAACTTGCTTATTGTTGCTGGAAAAATATGAATGACACTACGCGGTAAATAATGTCGTATCCCGTTTATAAGGAAATTTGTGAAACGATTATCCTTGAGACCCAAAAATATCTTCGGATTAGGACAAGGGAATTGATGAATTACTTCTTAATTGACACTTTTTTTGAATCTTCGTATACTTTGAGTTCTCATAAAAATACTAATTTTATATAATAATTGAACGAGCAGTGTTCATACTGTAATGCGACAAAACTTCAAACATAAGTTCAAGTTCGCAAACTGACCAAGTTCCCAAAGCTTGAACTTTGAACTCAACATGAATTCAAGGTCAAGTTCAGGCTGAATTTTGAAGATTTTTGGAGCAAACAGGTTTACAGTGATTGAACTTAAACTGAGAATTGAACCTGGAATTGAAAAATTATATTAAACGTAGGTTTTCAATTTTGTGGAGCCCTTCTGTAACGCTGTATAAAATATTATATAAACTGATTTTTTAAATTACCTTTAAAAGTAAGCGCTCTCTTTCTCAGAATGGGGAAATTTCCAAAGTTTGCCCAAAAAATCTTGGCCTAGATAATGATTATAGACCAATTTTTCCCAATAGAAATTTGTAGAGACCACTCTAAAAATCTTGATTACAGCATAAATATAATAAACCCACCAGAGCCTGAAAACCCCACTTTTTCCTTTCGTATTTTTTGTTTGCCTGTCCTTATTTGGCCTTGGTTCTTCACGGAAATTGTTTGATTGACAATCCCTTAAGCCTTCAAATTGCCTGCGGGCATAAGAACGCGGAAATTTTGCAAAAGTAAAATTGGTCGAAAAGGTAAAAATTTGGACCTAAAATACGTCATAGCGATGAAAAATGAAGTGCACAATGACCTCAAAAATAATCGCAGTGAGACCAAAAAAGTGATTTTAAAGGGCAAACATGGTAATGAAGTTCAAAAAAGTTTAATTTCTCAGCTTATTCACCTCATTTGGACTGTGAAAACATCGGAAATTGGGAGGGGGAATTGGATAAAACGGCGGGGAAAACAACGGAATTCTAATTTCTGGCCTATTCAGGGTCTTTTTTCTTCAGAATTCTTCGCAATCTTCGTTTTTCAGAGCAGTCTCAGTCCGTTTATTCGATATTATTCATGATAATTATAGTAGTATAAATAAAACTAGTCTTCATCACTGTCAATGGTGTAGTCTTCTTCTTGTTTGTTCTTCTCTGCCTGCTGTTTCTGCCATTCTGCTTCGATTTCCCAGCCGTGTTTGTAGTCGGAGCGGTCGTGGAGAAATTTGCAGGAGTCTAAAGTAATATAATTTATGCAAAAAATGCGATAGATTCTAAAAGCAAAAGACAAAAAACATCATAAAATAGACAAGACTCACCTCCAAATGTGCAAAATCCAGTTTCCTTGTAGTCTTTGCAGATATCTGGAGCAAAGTCCCATCTGACAGATGCCCTCATAAACTGCTGATTCCTAATTGGGCCATAATGATTCAGACCGGAGCTCGCCTTTCCCTTCACTGTGTCCTTAGCCGCCTTCGCGCCATACATCTTCAATCCGCGGTATATCTGGAAAATATTTTCATCATGATAAAAGTAGGTATGAGATAGAGAAATTTGAAAGCCCAAAAATATATATTTGGAGCAATCCAAACTTTCAATAGCTTGCAAACACTATTTTCTTGGTTAAAACAGACAGAAATCCTCATAAAATGTACCTAAAACAAGAAGAATTCAAAAAAATCCCCTACCTTTTCTCCACTCGTTCCTGGTTGTGCTCCCTTCTCCTCAAGCTCCTTCTGGACACGTTCAAATTGCGCTTGATAATCCTTGTCCCTTTCGGTATCCACTTCACTCACTTTTGTGGCTCCCATATCCCTTGGAACATCACTCTGCGCCGTCCGCGAAGATTTGATCTGATCATCGATGTCCAGAGCCTTCTGTCTTTCCTCGTTTGAGCTAGAAGAGTCTGCTGAACTGCTTTCTGATCCGCTCTCTTCATTTCCTTGAGGATTTGCCCGTTTCTTCGACTAAAAACAGAAAAAAAAATAAAAACTATATTGCACTTACCTTCTGCATAAGGGGATTCTTCCTAAGTCGTTTATTTCGATCGGAAAACAGTCCTCGTTTCACTTTGATGGGTCCAGCTTCATCATTACTTCCTGAGGTGGCTTCCTCACTCGATTCTTCATCTGAATTTTCTTCGTCCGCTTCCTTCGGAGCCGGTTTTTCGACCTGTGTCGGTTTCCTGGCATTTACTGGTCGTTTTCGATTGATCTTCCGGAAGACTACAGGCTCCTCAGTTTCTTGATCCGACATAATACGTAAATTTCAACAGAGATCTGTCGAAAAGCATTCCCGAGGAAAATTGTGAAATTCTTTTTATTTGTGGCGTTTCGTCACTTTGTTATTGACTTTCCTGTGACACTTCGGTAAACGCAGCATTTCGGCCCAAATTTGTAAAAAAGTCAGGCAAAAATTGGGTAAAAATTGCGAAAATCAAGTAAGACACCGAGAAAAATTGACAACAACTTTATTCAGCGCCTTTTCTACTGTCATTTTCGTTTGTAGTCCACTGTTCCCAATCAAAAACTGCCAATCCGAGTTTGTTGCTTTCCATGATGTGTTTGACTTGTGATGCGACGAAGTCGTAATCCGGCTCGTCGTAGTACCTTAGGCTATCAATATATTTGGTGATAGCCTTGTATTGCGGTGGACATCCGAGGTAAAGCGAGCCATCTTCTCTGGCCTTCTCCTTGTTCCGGCCGATCTCATCTTTGTCCTGAATCGCTTTCCACGGGACGGCTCCGACGGTGAATTCGATCTGAAATGGTAAGTCTTTCAGGACCTTATTCTATCCTATTTTGGTTTTTAGACTCAATGCCAACCAAGATTTCATGGTGAGAATCATGATCATAACCAAGAACAGGCCTAAAACAATATAACCACTTGCCAACATGTATAACCAGCTTTCCAAATCGTCTTTTCTGCAATATTCTCTCGACACATGGCAAGATAATGCGGCATATCGGACGGTTCCTCTGAATCCAGCCGCCCATCTTGGTCTTCGAACTTCTCCATGGGCATCCAAATATTTTCTGGCCATTCCAAAGTCCAAGATCATGATGTGCCGACTGTTTGTCACCTTTATAGCGAAATTACCAGGTTTTATATCGCGATGCAGATATCCGATAATGTGAATTTCCTCAATGGATTCGAGACATTGGAGGCCAGCATAAAGAGCGGTGCCCAAGGAGAACATGTGCTTGGATGGGTCTTTGTCATGCTTTCGTAAGTCCTGAAATACGTCTATTTTGCTTTGAAAATTTTAGTTTACCTGCAGAGAGGCTCCAACCAGAGTCATGACCATATAATTATATTCTCCTAGACGTCCCGAATCGATCAGCTCGCAGCAATGCTTGGCTTTTGTTTTCTGCAGCTCTCGCAGCACATAAACTTCCATTTTGAGAACTAAATCTATATGTAATATTCACAAGCGATTAAATTTAGAATAAACCATCAATCTAGGCAAAATTATATTATCCATGACCCACCTCTCACGGGATCTGTGCATTTCTCCACCTTTAATGCGTACGCAATGTTATCGCGACTCAGCACCTTGAATACCGCTCCAAATCCGCCTTCGCCCAGTTTTTTGTCGATTTTCCAGAATCCAAATTGATCGCCTCTGCTGAATGACGCGATTTCCGGCTCTTCTTTTGAGACTGTTTTGGAACCCATCGACCAGTCGGCGCATTGAAAGTTGAGAAAAATGAGTGTTTTTGAATTTCCGAGGGGTCAATATTTAGTGCATTTGATTTCTTTCAAAGTTTTGACATCATTTGTCATGTCTCTTTTGGTACTTATAGTGCAAGTTTTAGTAAGTGTTTTGGTTGAATTTTTATTCGAATTTTGTCATTAAAAATGAAGAACAAGCTTCTTCAAAAACCTGGGCAGATATGGTTGTAGCCTTTACGACAAGACTCTGAACGCAGGCCACGGGAAAGGCAAGAACAGATCTGTCCGACGGAAACCTTTTCATCTCCCTTCAAGAAAGCGTCGAATATCAGGCTGCAGGCGATTTCTGAAAGTTTGGAGGTTTCGATATCATACAGATTAGACTAAAATTTGGGGTCTAATTTTTAACGAAAATTTTCACAAAGTTTTTGGCCTATTTGAAGAAAGCACCAGGATTTTTAAGCCAGAAGTTGGCAAAAAGTTAAAATTTTTTGTGATCTTAAATTTCAAGTGTTGTAAAGCCTTGCTCAAAAAAAATCGTGCGAAATTCAAGAAGATACGGCGAGTCCGACCAATTTTTCCTCATGTACACTTAATTACAGTGGGGGATATGATCCAGTGGCAAAAAACGTACCATTTTGCGTCCGGGAGGTATCAAAAAATGTGGCAAAATGCTTCCCTCTCCAAGTGAAAAAACTTCGTTTTGAAGGGCGCGCTCTTTTTCCTCACAAAAAGAGCGGCTTTTGAAATCTGAGTTTTTTCGCTTGGAGAGGGAGGTATTTTGCCACATTTTTTGATACTTCCTGGATGCAAAATGGTACGTTTTTTGCCACTGGATCAGGTTCCCCGCTATAATTAAGTGTACATGAGGAAAGATTGGTCGGATTGGCAGTATCTTCTTGAATTTCGCACAATTTTTTTTTTTTTTTTTTTTTTAAGCAAGGCTTTATAGCACTTGAAATTTAAAAACGCAAAAAATCTTTACTTTTTGCCAACTCCTGGCCTAAAAATCTTGGTGCTTTCTTTAAATAGCAGGCCAAAAACTTTGCGAAAAATTTCGTTAAAAATTATACCCCAAATTTTGGTCTACTCTGTATGATGACGACATTTTTTTGTTCGATTTTCCAATCCCTCAAACCTTACGTGACAATGGGTTCAAGCAATTGTACGCCATTCCCTTCGCTTCTATAAACAATTGCAACGAATTTGTCTGCTCAACTTTCTCATTTGAACCTTGAAGCATCTGTTGATCGCATAAAGCCTTCTCTTTTGCATCCCTCGCTCGTTTTTTGCAACCCGCAATTCGAGCGGTTCGGAATGCCTCTCCACCAAGACTTTTGACGATAGTACAGAATGCAGGGACTTCTCCGCCGCATTGAGTGGCTCTAAGACAGGCACAGAACCCTTCATCGCATTGTTCTCTGGTTGGGCCTGGGTATTGGTCATAGCAGGCGTCATGAACAACACAGCAGTGGTTTACTATGCCTGAAAAGGGGATGTTTTTCAGACGGAAATTGTATCTGGTACTAGAGCCAGTCTGGCTTCAATTTCTGAAACTAGGGGCCGTATGGCTTCGAATTTGGCCAGTTTTGTTTTCAAAGTGAGCTTGTCACTTTCCAGATACATATTACGATGTAAAAACCTGACTAATATCGCCTTATAAGGCTCACCAAGTTTAGCTGGACACGACATCTGTATGGCCGTATAAGCCAAGCTCGCTGACAAACTATCCGTTCCGCATTGAAAGGGCTCTTGCGCCACAACGCCAGCCACAAACAGCAATAGCCACAGGCCGTTCATAATTGACCTCCACCTCTTTCCCATGCTCGTTTTAAACCGATTATTACATTAACAAATCAATTTCGATGTCTTTTATTTATTTTGTAGACCCATTTCAGGGCTTAATTGCAGCAATAACCAAGATTATTAAAGCAGTTCAAATTCATAATTACAAAGTTTTCTGTAGCTGTCTTGGCAAGACTGTGTGGCATTTGGCCGAATCCCCAAGGAAAGGCATTTACAGAGGTTGGCGGCTGGGTATTTGGAGTCTTTTTGGAGTTCGTGGACAGCAGGACAAATTGCTTCTGAAAAATGGAGTTTCAGGAGATAGTTATGGAAATTTTTGAAATCATAAAAGACAATGGAATGATGTAAAATGTTGCAATCTAATAATTTCTGTTGTCTTGATAAAATCTGGTCACGGATAGGCTAGAACAGAGTAAAATACGAGGTCTATTGGAACAATTTTTTAATGGAAAGTAAGCCGACTAGAGAAGCATACAAAGTATTTGATAATTGGATTTAAACGGTTACAAAGCTCATACATATCATCCTACCCCTTGTAGGATAAAATCAGTATGTCGGGAAAATAATGAGCGCAATGTGGCAGCGCCAACAGTATCGCTGAAGCGAGAAACAATTTGATTTTGCCTCGATACAATTAATTTTCTCGGCGGCGATGCGATCTTCGATGCGGCGGTCACTATTTTCCCGACAGATTGATGTCATTCTAATTAGAAATGTTTTGAGACCCCAGGGCAACCAATACTTACGAGCCAGCCCTCGCAAACAGTCCATTTCCATCCCGCTCTTCTTCAACAACCCCTTGAAATCAAGTCGTTTTTGGCCGATGACTTTAACTGAAGAGAGCAAGCGCAAGTCGCCAAATTCGTTACGGCATTGAGCCATTCTTTCTTGATTTTCAGCCTGTTTTAGACAACCTTCTAACCGGGCATTTTTAAAGGCCGTTTCGCCGAACCCAATCACTCCCATACACCACAATTTGGTGGTCCATCCGTCGCATTTTTGTTCTACTATGCAATCACAGAGTTCCGAGTCGCATTGCTGCTTTGTTGGACCGTTATAATTGTCATAACATGCGTCATGGACAACGCAACATTGGTTTATTGGCTCTGAATTTATTGATTGTATGTAGCATAAATTTATTTGGAAATACGAAGTAGTTATGTTGTAAAAATATACCTATTAGTCCCGGACAAGAATATTTAATATCTCTTTTCGCTAATTCAGTTGTCCATGGAGCATTTCCACACACAAACTCGACGGCTATAGAGGGAAATACAGGCACAAAGACGAGTATAAGAGGAAGCAACATGTTCATAGATGTCTCTAATCAAGGGCTCTTCTCTTTTTCCCGAGACATTTGAAATTAATGAGACTCATTCAACGCCATTTTTGAGGGATTTAATAATTTCTAAAATCATCAAATTTTTTGTCGTGATTTAACAAAACTTTTTCAAATTTCTGGTTTTATTATACACAATAGTCAAACTTACTATAGAAAAAACTTTTTCTACATCCAACACACATTGATAGTCACCCCTGTAAATAAGATTTTTCTCCATTCTCTTCCACAATTTGACAAAATGCATTTGTGACCAAAACCGAGACCAAAGAATGACATTGACTCATACTGCGCTTCATGCAATCGCAGAATGTTTCGTCACACGGCCCTCTTCCCGCCTTCTCTCTGTAGCATTCATCGTGAGATTCGCAACAAGCGTTTACACTGGCTGAAAAGGCGGTATTTTGTATGATTGTTTTTGATGACACTTGACACAAATTAAGAATAGCTTTTTCTAAAATATATGCGAGAGTCCTAGCTCGCGCTTTGCAGAAACAACCGAGATTTTTAGATCGAAAATCTGGTGAAAATTTGACACTTTTCGCCGAATTCCGGCACAAAAAGTTTCAGGCCTATTTCTACCACAGAGGGTAAGGTTTCTACAAAAAATCAAATTTTTCCCCACGAAACTGCCAAAGTTATGGCCAAAAAGTGTTTTTCTCGCTGACCGCTCTCCACGTTTAGCGTGCTCTCTCAGCGGCAAAGATCGTTCAATATCTCGGCGGCGCTTGCAAAGCGCGAGCTAAAACTTTCAGGAATTGATATTTAGTTCATGCTCGACGTGTGTGCAAAATTTAAAAAAAATCCGAGCGTCGCACTTGGGGTACTTCCCTTGTGAAAGTAAATTAAATTCAATCCTGATGTAATTTTCACAATTTTTTGCCCATAACTTACGCAACGCTTCAATACAGGCATACGTAATAGCTCTGCCCGCCCATTTGCTATTCAGCGGATCGCTTCCGCAACTCCAGGAATTCGGATCTTCAAATGTATTGTCGTCCGGAGCTAACAAATCATCGTCTGACTGGCATATATCGGTAGAAATTAGCACTAAAAGCGACAAAACAACTGTAGCTCTCATGTTTTCGGATTTACCACATAGTGTTTGCAGTAAAAGCCTTTAAAACAATCGACTTGGGTCATCCAAATAAAATTGAGTAAAGGTTATGTGATGGGGGTGAGTAAAATTACATGTTCCGCTTGTTTTTTAGTCTTTTTTTTAAGTTTTTGTGGGAAAGCTCGCTTTCAAAGAGCCGGAGAGTAAAGATAAATATATCCGATTTAAAGAAAAATACGCATGATGATACAACAATGGCTACCGAGCGAAAAACTTGACTCATTTGGATAACACTTTGGATGAATAATATAAATAGAAAGCTCCACCTGGTCGTGGCAAGAAGCAGACAGTAAAACGACAATATTTTTTTTTGTAATTCTTACTAACGCAGTTTACCGTGGTAAACGGTATACTGTGTCCAAGTTTTTCCACGAAGTTCAGACTTGACCCGAAGTGTCAAGTTTTTTCAAATGAAATACAGCTAAAGTAAATGACCATAAAATAAAGAAAGATACAATCCTGGCACATCGTTGGCGCGTAATTGAAAAGTGATTTTTTAGCTTGACGGCTCCATTATTGAGTGAAAAAATCGGAACGAAACGCCACAAACTTTGATTTACCACGACCGGTTTTACGCCAACACGGTTGATCGATATATCGAAATAATTGTGTTTACGCAAATTTGACGTGTTGCGGCTGCCACTTGCGCTAAATCTGTATTGTAAAATCGTTTCTTGAGCTCAGAATTTCACGCTAAAGTTGACCTATAATAACAAAAGATTGACCGGTAACTTGACCCTCGATCCCAATCTTGGGGTTCTCGATAGCTCATGAGCTGCATGAAGATATGACGAAGCTGAACACAAAAAATCAGACCAGGTTTCAGAGCTACTTTTCGAGAAAATTCAACTTCATATTATACTAGACATCCGATTTCAATGGATTCCTAAAAATCAAACAAAAAGTGAAAATAGCGACTTACGTTCCTATACCACTAATTTTCGAAATGTTTTCTTTGCTCTCCGATTAGCACTGGTCGATTTTAGTTTCTGCGGAAAATAAAAAGTGAATTTTCCGATTTTTGCACAACGCCAAAACTTTTTGGCACTGATAAATTTAGTCGTGGTGGGACAAACCATAATTAGCAGAAAAAAACGACGTGCCTGGCTCTATAGTCATTTAAAAATCTGTTGACGTCATATTTTGGCTACTTCATCCCTTTTCAAAAAGTAAAAGTGCGGGAAGGGAGACACATGACCCATTGGGTCAAGTCTTTTTCTGGCCGCAAGAAAAGTAAAAATAAATAAATTTCTCCGACTTTTTTCTTGCTTTGGCCAGCTAGGACAATACTCGAAGAAATTTTATAATTTTTTAGTAAGGTAAGGCTTCCTGGCCATTTTGCATAGTGTATTTATTGTCTTTATATTATACTTGATATTTTCATCTCAAAAATTGTCGAATTCTACGGCTAAACTCCATAGAAATACTATTCTTTTTATGTTGCCTAGGTTTCAGAAATTTCCCACGGCTTGTCCACACTATAATTCCTTCAGACTTCTTCGCATTTCATAACAATTTTTGCAAGTATAAACTATAAACTCCATTTTCCTTTGTCCTGGTCGCATATCATGGCTTTTTGTCTAAAGTTTAAACTAAATTCGCTCCGCGGTCCCTTCATTTTGCGAGTTTTTAGTCGAAGGTCACGAATTATTTGATTGGTTTCGTCTTGTGGTCAAATTATATTATACTCTAATATCAGATGGTTTTTGATCAAAAAGTCGCAAATTTTCGTGGAGATTGGCATTTTTATTATTATGAGGAGCAGGAGGAGAGCATGTAGATAAATTTTGTTGCTAAAAATTGCAGTTTTGGTCGTATTAACAGTCTTTTTTACCACAAATTTGTAATCGATACTCTTTTGGACAAAATTTTTCCAAATTTTCATTCCCTTTTTGATACATCGAAATTACCAGTCGCTATTCAGCCCTCTGATACTATAATTTCCCCTTCTCTTGCATCAAAACGGCATCTTCTTGCCTCATCTTCAAGATATTTGCTATCTTCACCATCCTTCTAACCCCCAAAAATTAAATGTTCTCGCGGTTAAATGTTGCATCACGGATATTCACTCAATTGCGCTCTCATTTCTGTCCAATAGACTATTTGAATGTTCAGATGACGAATCAGAACAGCATCGCGAGCAATCCCGCTTGGCAGGCATTGATCAAACGATTGGAAGGGCTGAAAAGCTTCAGAATTCATACTGGAAACATCAACAATTATGTGGAATTGAAGCTGAAAAGGTTCCAGAACTCGGCTGAGGAACTGGTGGCATGTTTGGACCTACAATTTGCTGATCTCAAGGCTGATATTGATGTTACGTAAGTTGTTTAATTTTTTTGTTTGACTTTTTAGGTGAACCAAGGTGAATAAGGGAGATTATGTTAACCAAAAAGAATCATTTTTATATTCTATGGTTTGAAATGTTGATTTGGCCGGAAAGGGTTCTTTTTCGACTTTTTCATTAATTTTTACCTAAAATAAGGTAATTTTTAGCGACAATAACATGCTGCTCCTGACGAATCGCGGCGAGAAGGACACGGTGTACGAACGAGACGATCTCAAGATCACATTGAAAGTATTCCTCTCCGAATTCGATCTCCAACAACTTCACGACGCCGTGGACGGAGTGATCGCCCAGCTGAAGACGGACAACATCGAACAATTGATTGTGTCGTTCCCATCTTCGGAGAGCGCCAAGATTGATGAGCACACCGAGTTGGATGAGGTGTGGTTTGGCAAGGTTTTGGAGGCCTGGAACAGAATCGATCAGGAATTGGTTCAAACGAACAAAGTTGTCAGTGTTGGGGTAGCGGACTTCGAACTCCCCGCTCTGAAGGCTCTCCACGAAAGAAGCGACAACAAACCATGTGTGGATCACTATAATATCGAAGGTTGTTGTGTGGTAAGTGGTTTAGTGTATTTTGTTTTTGGATTTAGGTGACATTTTATACGATGAAACATGCTTTTGTAACACATGTGAAAGTCATGAAAAATCGAATGTATTTCTGTCATGTTTTGGTTTAAAATGATCTTGAATGAAATTTAAGGTCCCACCAGAGCTCCAAGCCTTCGCTAAACAGTATGATATCCAACTTCTCACTCATAATGACCCTGATCCATTCCCATTGAAAGAAGTTTTCCGAACTTTTTGTGATCTCTCCGAAACTGCGCCTGTTTGTAATGTCTGCTTTGAGCCAACATGGGCTGCAAGGTAAGTTAGTTAACTACTAATTATGGTTTTATTAAATAATGGATTATTTTGATGTTATACTTGATATTACTCTACATTTCTACAACTTTCAGATACACGGTCTGGGTCCGCCGACGCTCGCTTATGGCCTCTAAAGGATATATTGTTCAGTTTGTCAAGGAATAAATACCATTCGAATACACTAATTATAAAATTTTATAACTTTGAACTTTCTTGCATTATAGAAGTTACAAGTATAATGTAACCAGTTTTCCTTCATTTTTTATCGTATTACATGTGTAAAAAAATAAATATGATTATGTAATCGTCATTTTGAATCGGTGCAGAGTTAGAAGGACCTCTCTAAAAAACGGCCTTGAAGAAAACTTGGGTATTTGAAAAGATATAACCTAAATCAATGTAATTAAAGGTGGAAGCTTTCGTTCCTTTCTTTTCCAGCCTCTGAAAAGTCATACAGGCGTTAGAGCAGCTCATGTGTGTAATTTGTAAGGCAGCCTAGCCTTATGCAACCTGCAGACCTCGGGCGCAGCTCGCAAACAAAAATAATTCTTATTTTCCTCGCAAAAGTGTTTTTTTACACCGAATAGTGCAGTATGAGTACGAAGAGGTACCCACAGAAGACCGAGCGTCTTCTGGAGTCGCTGGGAATCGTGTCTCCCTCAAGTTTACGCGACCGACTTCTCAATGCGCCCGATCTGAAGGAGGAGATCCGCAAATTTCAAGCCGAAAACCAAATTCCGGTAAGTACTATGTCTGTTTACTGTGACGTCGAGTGCACTCTTGTTATTTGCAGTGAATAGGTTTTAATACGAATCCGTCTTCATGGCCGATTAGCTTATTTTCGCCGTTTCTCTCGCTTTACTCGGTAATTTTATACTATACGAAAAGCCTTTCAGGTCCCTTCGCTGAGGCCCATTCTGAACATTCTCGACCTACATGGCGTGCGGAGAAACGAATTGAACCAGGTGGTAAGTTTTTATTATATTATCCATTTTCAAGTTTAGGTATTAAAAGAATTGACCGGAAAATTGTTGGACAAAATCAAGGACTTGTCGCCGAAAAAGAATCCTAAAGATGCGAAGAAGCTGGAGGAGTTGCTGGATAAGATTTTCAGACTGTATCCGGTGGAGAGCATGCGGAAAATTGTCCTTGAGACGTTGAAAAGTGTTCCTCAACTTTCAAATAAGTGAGTTTTTTCTTCTTTTTTTTGAATTTTTTTGATGGGAACGGTGATAACAAGAACAATTTGAGCTGTAAATCTCGAAGTTGCCGAGTAGAAATTTCCAATTTTCTATTTTTGATATCATGGATAATCAAAATTCTTAAAAATTTTTGACTGAATCTTACCGAATCCTCTTTTAGATATCTAAAAAAGATTGCTGATGACAAGCTTCTCTACAGCGAATGTGATGTCAGTGTAAAACAGCAGATTTGGGTTGTCAATGAGAAGTTATTCCATCAAGCAATCGAGCCGATTATTGATGAATACGTAGATGAAAAAGAGAAGATCCTGACTTTAACTGGAAGATCTCAGACCAATTTCTTTACTTCCGACACCACAAAGATCCGGCGACAATGGAAACAAGTGAAAGGTAAGTGGAAATTTACGAGTGCACTGTGCAGTCAAAAAAAATTTTTTTTATTGCACGGTGCAGTGGGAATTTCGGTAAATTTTTTGTCGAATTGAAAGAGGGTCGAATGAATTCTTTTGTTGCACAGTTCTGATAAATTTTGAGTTCTCCTGCACTGTACAAAAAAAATTTTTTTGACCGCACCGTGCAGAAAAAAATTATGGTCTGTTTTGCACGGTGCAGTCGGATTTTTGAAATTTTTATTATGGAAATGGAAAGTTGAGGGCAAATACACATCATCTGTGGAAAAATTAAAAAAAAAAATTTACCCGTTCTGCATCTCCTAAATTTTTTTTTCAGATTTGATCCAAATGTCCGGCAGAAACCCCTCTCTGTACAAAGGAATCACTGATTTGGTGCAACTGCGATATTTGGAGACCGGCAGCTGTCATTATGCCTCATTGAGGTTGGAATTGGCCATGGCTTTGCATGATTTGAACGTTGAATTTGCCACAAAAACGGATCCGATTCACGATTTTGCTTGGGTTTTGGATGTGGCCTTGAGGGATCGGCACATGGACACCCAGCAGGTCAACAAGCTGAAGAATGTCATCGATAAAAAGAAGTTTTTGGAAGAGGTGGGTGGTATAATATAACGTGGATTTTGAATAAAAATTTACTGCAACGATTGCGGAGCAGATCGTATTTTACATAGATATGAAAAAATTCATGATTTTTTGTGAATTTTGAGGCTCTCATTAACTTTTTTTTTGTTATAAATCACCTTGTTTTACTAGTCGCGCAAAACGTCCTTGGAATTTGTCGCGGTCCCCAAATTCCGTCGCGCTCCGAAAATGTTGGTTTTGCACAGTGCAATTTCATAGTGCAAAAAAGCCTATGGTTTTGCACCGTGCAATTTCATAGACAAAAAAGCCTATGGTTTTGCACAGTGCAATTTCATAGTGCAAAAAAGCCTATGGTTTCGCACAGTGCAATTTCATAGTGTAAAAAAGCCTATGGTTTTGCACCGTGCAATTTCATAGACAAAAAAGCCTAGGATTTTGCACAGTGCAATTTCATAGTGCAAAAAAGCCTATGGTTTTGCACAGTGCAATTTCATAGTGCAAAAAAGCCTATGGTTTTGCACAGTGCAGAGTCCTTGGAATTTTTCCCGATCCCCAAATTCCGTGCGCTCCGAAAAGTTGATTTGTCGCTGCGAAAAACGGGAATCGCGCGCGACGTAAGGCAAAAACAAACAAAATTGCACTGTGCAAAAGCACTTTTGGGCCTGAAGCACGGTGCAAAATGTTTTTTCGAGCTCATGCACGGTGCGGAGTCACAAAAAATTCCAATGACTTTTTGCGCGGACTTTAGTGGGCATTTTTTGATTGGAAAATTGAGTTTTGGCCCACATTTTTGCTTGAGGCTTCTACGAAATTTAATCTTGAAGCCTTATTTTGGTTTTAACAGTAGTTGTTTACAAATATCTCACCTGATTTTAGATTTTGTTACCTAAAATAAGGTGTTTTTTCGGTTCGAACTGTCATTTCTTTGGCTAATGTCTATAATTTGTAAGAATATTATTTTTTTATGACTTTATTTTACCTCAAACCTCGTTTTCAGAACTTCAAAAACGTTGCTTTGGTCGCCGCCGACCCCCACGTCCTCCATTTGCTATGCTCCATGACCCTGAAAATTATTTTCGACAGCACAAAAACTTGTAATCAAATCCCCAGAGATCACACATTACTCCATTTGATCATCCGATTACTTTATTTTGGACTATATTCGAGGGTAAGCGACCTTTTTTGATTTTATTTTTTTATTTTTTTAGGAGATTATAAACGAGGAAAAGGAATTTCAAAGTGTAATTAATGCAGACTGTCTGGTCAAATTCCTCCCAGCCATGACTGAAGTGATCTTGAGGGATCAGGTTCGCATGGAATTGCAAAAAGCCAGCGGTAAGCTTGTTTATAGACCTTGTTTTAGAAAAAAATAGTATTTTTTTGAGGAATTTTTGATTTTTAAAATCCTTTTTGTGTCTTATTTTAACGCAGTGATACAGATTTTACAATTTGAAACCTAGTTTATACATTTTTACTTGGAAATTTACTGTTTATTTGATATTTTTTTGTCATGGATAATATAATTTTTTGCTCGAAAAGTTTTGGTTTTTAGGCTATCAGTTATTTCTTGTTACACATTTGTTAAATGTGCGTTGAATCCTTGAGGAATGTGATAAGAAAAATAATTTTTTGATTTGTTTTACAAGTGGCTGTAAAAAATGATAAGAATGCTATATAAAGGCTGGTAAAGATTAAACATAGAATTAATAATTATATTACTGAGTAATTAGAGGGTTTGGAATTATTTTTGGAACCAAATTGACAGCTTCATTATATTATTTTAGGTAACAACTTGGAATTTTTTTTTTATTTTGGCCGTAAATTGGTGTGTAAATAGAATTTTATAGAAAAAAAGTAGTTTAGAATATATTTTTCACGGTATTTTAGGATCCTAAATTTTAAAAAATCAAAAATTAAAAAAAAAATGAGAAAACCGCACATTTTTAAATGATAATTGAAAATTTTCGCCGTTTCAGATGAAGTATCGGACGAATTCATGCCCGAATTCGAAATCCAACGTCCTTCGGACACCTTCTGCACATTCATCAAGCAGGACTCGGTGTGCGCCCTCCTCTTTTCCCACTATGTTTTCTCGATTTTGCCGGCCAAAAAGAGAGGCAACAGCAAAAAGCTGCTCCTCATTTATTTGGATCTCATCTTCCAGGCCAAGGATAAGGTGAGAAATGAAGCGGAGGATTCGACGAATAAGATGAATAGCATTTGGGTTTTCTGGTTTCCCCTAAGGGCATGTTTTGAGCAGTTTAAAAATTTTTTAAGCCATTTCTTTGGAAGAAATGCACTTTGCCCATTTTCTGCTGTAATTTGCGTGTTTTTCGCGGCTGATTAATTGAACTCCCACTGATAAGACCCTCTAGAATGTTGACAAAAATTTTTGAGAACATGCCCAGAGGGCATCATGATATAAGTTTAGGATTTTTCGTCCCATTTCAGATCGTGTTCGAAGAACCCTGGGCCCATTTGTTGCTTTTCCGCATGAGTCATTACTTCGGGAAGGAGCTGGAAAGGCCCGAACTCTGCAAACTCATCATCACCGACGCCCTTCTCCCCGCTTTACAGGTGAGGAATCAGTTTCGAGCCGATTTTTGGCCTTTTTTGGGAAACTTTTTTGTTTTGAGGGACGGATAATTGATTGATTTTTATGAATTGAGGGGAATAGAGACTTACATGGTCTGTAGATTTGTTTGTAGTAGGGTTAGGACATTTAGATATGGAATATCTTACTTTTTTTATATTGTTTTAGGCAAAAGTGATGACTTTTGATGAATTTTTGGAAAAAAGATTGTTTTAAGGTTAATTTTGGAGGGTTTTGGAATTTTTATGACTTTTTACTACTGTAATTTATATTATGACCAAATTTCAGACCAACCCGAACATTGCATTCCACCTTCTCCGCCTAATTTCCCTCCTGAAAGGTCGGATCCAAGAAGAATACGTAAATGAGACCCTCACCTCCCTCGATCCCACCGTATATTCCCTCCCACCATTCCTGGGCCACTCCAGTTTGGCCAGATTCGAAAAAGAATACGCGACTTTGGCCTCGGCTCTGAAGCCGATCATCTCGGAACAGCCGGTCATTTACCCAAATATGAGCGATGTGTTACCTCAAGAACCTCAGGACATTTTAAGTAGCATTGGGGGAGATTAGAGAGTTGGTGGGAACAGATATAATGGGATTTGACAAGTTTGGAGAACACTTTTTATATTACACTTGATCCCGGGCGTGATTTTTTGGCTAAAAAAGCAGAAATAGGAACTTTGAAACTGTAAATCAAGATTATCTCGATTTTCAGACGAACCCTCTGAACTCAGAGACCAGTTTTGGCTTGTCTCCATCACTTTTTTTATGTTACACATCCCAATTGTTATCTAAAATAATATAATTTTGTTTGTTATGACTTGTTCTATGTAAATATATGATGATTAAATTATGCCCCCAGTATTGTTTACTCGATTTGAACTTTTAAATCGTGCATTTCGATCGGTTTTGTACCTAAAATGGCTTTATTTCTCTGATGTTTCGGGTTAAGCTTCATTTCACCCAATTTCCAGGCCGAATAAGACACCAAGCAATGTCAGCTACGCCCAGCTCCGACAAGGACTACAGTAAGGTAAGAGGGAATTGAGGGTTGGAAGAAATTGGTATTATTTTAAAATTTTTTATATTACACTAGATAAAGTTGGATAGTAGCTGTGAATTTTTGTTATGAAGATAATGTTTAGATCCTGGAAACCCTCCGTGAAGGCTTCGAGAGTGGCGCGAACGCCTCGTTGGAGAATCGCAAGGCCAATTTGACCGCACTGAAACATCTGATCGTGGAGAATGAAGACGCGATTTGTGAAGCACTTTGGGCCGATTTGTATAAAGTAAGGTGTTTTTGAGCAGTTTTAGAGAGTATACTTGGATAAAACAGAAACATTTTTAATCCTTAAAAAGAGATTTCTGCCGAAAATTTAAGATTTTTTAACCGTGTCATCAATTTTGCCCTATTATTTGAAAAAAATTGAATATCTCAAAAATGCCTGCAGGGCATGATCTGAAATTTTTAGTGAATAAAATGTGAAGCATTTAGAGGACTGCTGCAAAATTTGAAGAAAATCGACAGAGGCAATTTTGAGTTGTTGACCTCCGAAAATCAATGTCTACTACAATATCGCAATTTTTTTGAATATCTCAAAATTGTCTGCAGGGCATGATCTGAAATTTTTAGTGAATAAAATATGAAGCATTTAGAGGACTGCTGCAAAATTTGAAGAAAATCGGCCGAATAAATTTTGAGTTGTTGACTTCCGAAAATCACTGTCTACTACAATATCGCAATTTTTTTGAATATCTCAAAATTGTCTGCAGGGCATGATCTGAAATTTTTAGTGAATAAAATATGAAGCATTTAGAGGACTGCTGCAAAATTTGAAGAAAATCGGCCGAATAAATTTTGAGTTGTTGACTTCCGAAAATCACTGTCTACTACAATATCGCAATTTTTTTGAATATCTCAAAATTGTCTGCAGGGCATGATCTGAAATTTTTAGTGAATAAAATATGAAGCATTTAGAGGACTGCTGCAAAATTTGAAGAAAATCGGCCGAATAAATTTTGAGTTGTTGACTTCCGAAAATCACTGTCTACTACAATATCGCAATTTTTTTGAATATCTCAAAAATGTCTACAGGGCATGATCTGAAATTTTTAGTGAATAAAATATGAAGCGTCCAGAGAACTGCTGCAAAATTTGAGGGAAATCGGTTGAAACATTTTTAAGTTGTTGACCTCCGAAAATCAATGTCTACTACAATATCCGAAACTTTTTTATAACCCCTCTAAGATTCCTCTCCTTTTCCAGAGTCAATTCGAATCGGTTGCCCACGAAACCAGCCACACTGTCAACGAGATCAACACCGCCATTTCGAATCTAAAGTGCTGGACTGCGCCGGAAAAAGTGACCCGATTCCTGCTCCAGGCCGCCGACGCCGCTTACATCCAACCCGAGCCCTTGGGCGTCGTCCTAATCATTGGAGCGTGGAATTTCCCGGTTCAGCTTCTCCTAGCACCAGTTGTTGGGGCTCTGGCCGCTGGAAATACGGTATTTTTGAAGCCCTCGGAGCTGGCTCCGGCCACGGAGAAATTGTTCTTGGAATTGTTTCCAAAATACATAAAAGAGAATGTCGTGAAGGTTGTCAAGGCCGATAAAGATGAGACTGGGTGAGTAAAATGGTTGTTTTTTATAGGGCGAAGAGCTTGAGACCTTATTTTAGAGTACTACGAGAAATTTCTAAAAAATGTGTCATCATGACACATTTTTGGAAAAATGAAAAATCGTTGTTTTTTGTGGTAAAAGGAATAGGAAAATGCAATGTGCGTTGAATCCGAAAATGTGTTTTGATGCTATAGACCTTATTTTAGAGTCTAACGAGAAATTTCTAAAAATGTGTCATCATGACACATTTTTTGAAAGATGAAAAATCGGTGGTTTTTGTGGCAAAAGGGAATCGGAAAGTGCGTTTTGATGCTATAGACCTTATTTTAGAGTACTACGAGAAATTTCTAAAAAATGTGTCATCATGACACATTTTTGGAAAAATGAAAAATTGGTGGTTTTTATGGTAAAGGGTTTAGGAAAATGTGTTTTGATGCTATAGACCTTATTTTAGAGTCTAACGAGAAATTTCTAAAAAATGTGTCATCATGACACATTTTTGGAAAAATGAAAAATTGGTGGTTTTTATGGTAAAGGGTTTAGGAAAATGTGTTTTGATGCTATAGACCTTATTTTAGAGTCTAACGAGAAATTTCTAAAAAATGTGTCATCATGACACATTTTTGGAAAAATTAAAAAATCGGTGGTTTTTGTGCTAAAGGGCTTGAGAAAATGGGTTTTAATGTTAGAAATTAAATTTTTCTTTTTTTTCAGCGAGATCCTGAAGCTCCGTTTCGACCACATCTTCTTCACCGGCTCCACGAATGTCGGCAAAATTGTAATGAAAGCCGCGGCCGAAAACTTGACCCCAGTCACCCTGGAACTTGGCGGAAAAAGCCCGGTTATCATTGATTCGGATGTCGATCTCTACACTACGGCCAGGAGAACCATGTGGGGGAAACTGCTGAACGCCGGCCAAGTTTGTGTCGCTCCCGACTACGCGATTATCATTGGAGATTCGGAAAGAAGAGACAAATTTGTGGAGGAATGCATCAAGAACGTCAAAGAGTTCTATGGGGAAAACGCCAAGGAAAGCGAACATTATGGAAGACTCGTCAATACGATCCAGTTCGAGTGAGTTTTTTGGAGTGACAAATGATTGGAGGTTTGGAAAAAAATTGATGTAATTTGATGGGTAAAGTAATATATTAGCTGAATGATATATTATTTTAGAGACAATTCCAGGGGCTTTTGAATGTAATATTAAATGGATTTTTGAACTGGGTATGGAGCTTTGAGTTTTCGGCATGTTAATTTAGACGTCAGATGAGTTTGATGTGTGGCACAAAAAAGGTTGCTGCTTGATGGGTAAAATAAGATGAAGGCTAAATGATATGTCATTTTGAAGCTGATTGCATAGACTTTCACAAATCCTGATCAGATCTTTTGATTTCGGAGGATATTTTGCGATATGGCCATATTGATTTTGACATTAGATGAGCTTGGTAAAAGAAAACAAAGTGGTCGCTGCTAGATCGATTAAATAGCAGCTACATGGTCTCGTACTTGGTTTAAAAGTTTGTTTTATGGGCTTTCGAACGTAGTAATCACTTTCTTGATGCGGGTTTTATGAATCGAGTTATGACCATGTTGATTTAGACATTAGATGAGCCTGGTAGCGGATGAAAAGTTGGTGGCTGTCACATGGAAAAAATAGTATCAGACTTAGTTACGGTATCATTTGAAAGCTGATCTCATATATTTTGTAATAGTTAAAGAGGTTATTTACATAAGGCAATCTTTCTTGTCGTTTGGCAGTGTTAAAGTTAGGGGTAGATGACCATTGGTAAGATTGACAAAAATTTGTTTTAATGTCCATTTATACCCGAAATATGATTGCCGTATAATTTCAGCCGTCTTTCCAAGGTTCTCTCCGAATCCAGCGGCAAGATGAACTACGGAGGAGCCAAAGATCGCGACTCCAAGTACATCGAACCTACTATAATATCCGTGGAAGAAGGCGATGCCACACTCAAAGACGAACTCTTTGGCCCCATCTTGCCGATCCTCACCCTCCCCTCTCTAGATGACGCTATAAAATACGTGAATCGACGTGAAAAGCCGTTGGTTTCGTATCTTTTCTCCGGCCGAAAGCAGACCATCGATCGGGTCACCCATGAAACTTCGTCCGGAACTCTGACAATCAACGATACGATTATGCATATGACATTGGAAACCCTGCCATTTGGAGGTGTTGGCCACTCAGGAACTGGAAAATACCATGGGAAATCGACTTTCGATACGTTCTCGCACAAGAAAAGTGTTTTCCATCGAACCGCAGGCTTCGAGAAACTGTTGTGGTGAGTATTTATTTGTAGAGAATGGTAGGAGCAGGTGTGAAGAAACATTTGAGAGGTGAAAGACGCTGTAGAATGAGTAAATTTGGCAAAATTATATTACTTTAGGCAATGCTTGATAAAAATTTCGATTTTTGATTGAGAAAATTTTTTGAGTTGTAAAATACGATAGAAAATACTGAGTAGAGTATTTTAATAGTACTGAGTTTATTGTGGAGTAATATAGAATAGTTTAAAATGGTTTAAAATACAGGATTTTCAATTTTTTTCTTGAATTTTTAGACACCTTTTTTCGTATAAAATGTCTTCAAATTTCCATTTTTGATGATTTTCGGAAGCGCAGCAGGCCAAACCGTATTTTAAATTTAATTTGGTCTATTTTCAGGATGCGTTATCCCCCCTTCAACGCCGATAAACTGACCTGGGCGCGCCGCCTCAGCATGAAGATCAGATTACCCTTCTAAAATACGATTTTTTACTGTCTAACGAAGCTGTATTTAAATTATTTTCGTCTCATCTTGTCCCAGACTTAATTACCATCCCCGTTTTAACGATTTTTCTTCTTAATTACCCGTTAAATTAGGTATTTTATATTGTTTTAGCTAGCTCTACTAATATCCGAGGCCATATCTTTCCCCTCAAAAAAAACTAGTCCAAATATTGTCCGATTTGTATTATTCAAATAAATTCTTGTTCCGCTGAGCAAGTAGTCGTCTCCAGTAGTTTTTGTAATGTGATTACGCAATAAAAGAAGATATAACAAAGGTCGTTAGAGTGTCTGCAAAGGAGTATATAAACCAAGATGAGCACATGAAGCCATCGACTGCCTGTCATGTCTTCTCTGAAAATCATCTCTTTGGCCATTTTTTGCATCGGTTTTGGATCGGATTCAGGTAGAATGTTAAGGTTTTTGTGATGATTTTCTATGATTTTGGGAAATTTAATTTACAGGGGAATTACTCTAAGTGCGACGCTCAAATTTTGATAAAATTTGGCACAAATTTAGAATAATTTTTTCGAAAGTATATGCGAGAATCCTAGCTCGCGCTTTGCAGAAACAACCGAGAGTTTTAGATCGAAAGTCGGCCAAAATTTAGGACTTTTTGCCGAATTTCGGCACGAAAAGTTTCATGCCTATTTCTGCCATAAATAATAATGTTCTTACAAAAAACCAAATTTTTCCGCACGGAACTGCCAAAGTTATGGCCAAAAAGCGCTTTTCTCTCTGCCCGCTCTCCACGTTTAGCGTGCTCTCTCGGCGGCAAAAATCGTTCAATATCTCGGCGGCGCCCGCAAAGCGCGAGCAAAAACTTTCAGGAATTGATATTTAGTCCGTACCCGACGTGTGTGCAAAATTTAATGAAAATCTGAGCGTCGCACTTGGAGTACTTCCCCTGTTAATTTTGATGACTATACTATAAAAGAAGCTTGGTATCTTTTCAATCAAATTTTCTTTTGATTTTTGAAGTAAATTTAACCCTTTTTTTAGCCGTTTTCGGGTACGGATGGCATCCTCATCACGATGATCATCATCATGGAGATCATCATGGGTTAGATCATCATGGCCTTGATCATGAGGGATATGGTCATCATGGTCTTGAACACTATGGAGATCATCATGGTCTGGAGCATGAAGGCTATGGCCATCATGGTCTTGAACATCATGGCCTTGAGCATCATGGAGACCATCACGGATACGGTCATGGTATTGAACATCATGGCTTCGAACATGGACATCATGGACTCGAACACTATGGCTTGGACCATCACGGAGAACATCATGGACTTGAACATGACGGATATGGTCATCATGGCTTGGAACATCATGGCTTAGAGCATCATGGGGACCATCACGGATACGGTCATGGTCTAGAACATCACGGATTTGAACATGGACGTCATGGACTTGATCATCACGGATTTGAACATGGAGATCATCATGGTCTTGAACATGGTCACCACGGATTCGAACATGGTCATCATGGCCTTGAACATGGCTTCGGACATCATGGAGATCATTTCTAAGCCAATCACACTTAAAATTCATAATGCTGGAGTTCAATTTGGATTCGCATTTGATTAGGAATAAAATACGATCATTTATTGTGACTTTGGATCTGTTTTAGGTTTATTTTTGACGCATTTCTGATCAAATGTGTTTTAGGGCACAAACAACGAGGTCTATTTTGTTTTCGGATGTTACGTTTGATAGTTGCGCAGACATTCACTGATTGGGTGGGCGTCAGTGATCGCTTATAAAATGATGTCCATCTTTCAGATATGTGTTATATTATTTGCAAATTTCTCTGATCTATCTCTTTGTTTTTTCAAAAAATATTGATAATGGAAACTACAAACAAATTTGAGGAGGTAAGTGTGTCAGGATAAAAAAAAATTATTTAAAACCCGATGCGTTACTGTTGTTTATTTTGAGGCTGTCCAAAAGCTTCGTCAGGGCTTCAATGAAGGGCTAAATCATCGAATTGAGAAGAGGAAAAAACATTTGAAAGCGCTGCTAAATATGGTCAAAGAGAATGAAGAGGCCTTCTGCGAGACGTTGTATCAGGATCTACGCAAGGTAAATCAGCATTTTTAAAAATGATTTTTAAATTTCAAGAGCAAAATTATCTTCGAATTTTCGGGGAATTTGAAATTTTTTGGCTTTTTGGGCCATTTTTTTTTTGATTTTTTATTCGAAAAATGATGATTTTATTTTGCGATTTCTGATCTAAAAAAATCATCGATAATTCGAATAAGAATAGTAAATTTACTATAGTAAAATATTTCTACAAAAAAATCGCTTATTTACCATCAAAATTTGCCAAGATATAAGAGGTAAATCTTTTTTTTCTCTAACCGTCTCTCCTGATTTCGAACACTCTAGTCCAAAAATTTTTTTGATTCCATAACTAATCCACATATAACTTCTTTTCCAGAGCGCCTTCGAAGCCAAAACCCAAGAATTGTACCATCCCTGTCATCGAATTTCCAGTGCCATTTCCCAACTGGATTCCTGGATGGCTCCGGAAAAAGTGAAACGCTCCATTCTCCAGGCCACCGACTCCACTTATATTCATTCCGAGCCCTTGGGTGTTGTCCTCATTGTTGGGGCATGGAATTTCCCGGTTCAGCTGATTTTATCGCCGCTGATTGGAGCCTTGGCCGCTGGGAATACGGTCCTAATTAAACCACCTAATATGACGCCAGCTACGAGAGATCTGTTTTTGGAACTGATCCCTAAATATTTCGATGAAAGGGTCGTGAAAATTGTGAAAGCGGAACAAGAGGAGTTGAGGTGAGAAAAAATTGATAAAAAATCAAAAAAAAAATTATTTTTTTGTTAATTTAGGGGTGAAATTTTGATTTTTTTCGCTGAAAAATGTGATTTTTTATAATTTATACTTGAATTTTTGATATTTTTTTTTGATTTTCAAATTTTCAAAAAGTTTATTTTGGCTAATTAAATAAATTCCAAGCCCATTAAGCCTAATTCTAATTTCAGCGACATCCTGAAGCTCCGTTTCGACCACATTTTGTACACCGGCTCCACACATGTCGGCAAACTTGTAATGAAAGCCGCCTCCGAACACTTGACTCCAGTCACCCTAGAATTAGGAGGACAAAGTCCAGTCATCATCGGCACTGATGCTGACCTCCAAACGGCTACAAAGAGGATAATATGGGGGAAATTCATCAACAATGGCCAAGTCTGCATCACTCCGGATTACGTGATTTTGATTGGAAGTTTGGATCAAAAATTGAGATTTGCAGAAGAATGTGTGAAATTTGTTAAGCAGTTTTATGGAGAGGATGCGCAGAAGAGTCCGGATTATGGGAGGATCATCAATGAAAGGCATTTTGAGTAAGTTTTTTATTATGTTTTTTGGAATATCTTCAGAATGGATGACTTTTGATGACTTATGGAAAAATCGATGATTCCTGCTTAATGGTTTGTTTTGTAACAGGCCTCTTTATATGCCTTTAAAGCACATTTCATAAGCTTTCAGAATCTCGAAAGAAAATTTTTTAGTTGCTCTTGGAACAAAAGTTATGCCCATATTAAGTTAGACATCTCCTGGTCATGGATAATATCAAAAGAGTCCTTCTAATGTTTAAGATTTCAATTGCTTATTTAAACTTTCTTTATTCAAGTGTTCAAGAACAATTTTACTACAATCTAAGATTAATAATTATCCTACAACACTTAGTTAAACATCAATTTTTACCAAAATTTATATTATACTAGACCTTTATCTCACCTTAATTTTTCAGTCGTATATCCAAGATCCTCGACCAAACCGATGGCAAGATTCTTCATGGAGGAAGAAGAAATCGCCCTGACAGATTTGTCGAGCCCACAATTATTTGCGTCGAAGAGGGCGACATCACTTTAGAGGCCGAACTCTTGGGTCCAATCCTTCCAATTTTCTCAGTTCCCAATCTAGATGAAGCTATCACTTACGTCAGACGTCGAGAAAAGCCGTTGGTCTCATATTTATTCAGCAACGACGGCAATACGATAGAGAAAGTGGTGGATAAAATCTCTTCCGGGAACTTGACCATCAACGATGTTGTCATGCAAATGACTGTCGAGAACCTGCCATTTGGAGGGGTTGGACATTCAGGAATGGGGAGATATGCGGGAAAAGCATCGTTTGATACATTTTCTAACAAGAAGAGTGTTTATCATAGGTCATCTTGGTTTGAATGGATGCTTTGGTAAGCTGGGATTTGGACAAAGTTGGGGGGATAAAAAGTGTCGTAAAAGAAAAAGTTTTTGTTTTTGAAAAATTTAATTTTAGCCATGTGATCTGCTTTTATTAAGCTTTATTTTGGTGTTATTTTATTGCTGCAACTTTACAATTGCAGTAGTAGCAGCAATTTTAATTTTGATCGAAATTTCAAAAATTTTGAAGTTTTTGGAACTTAATTTTTTTTGCAAGTACGATGGATAAATAACTAGTAATATGATTTTTCAGGATGCGCTACCCTCCATTCTCGGCAGACAAGCTGAACTGGATGCGTCGGATTCTCATCAGCAGCAAAATACCACTTCCTTTTTAATCGATGATTGTGTAAATAAATCCTTGTAAAATAACTTAAAAAATTCCGGAATGTACATCTTTGGCAGCCTTTAGAATTTTTCGCATATTCTTTATATAGGCTACATCTAAATTTCCAAGTATCTAACAGCTGTAAAACATATTTCAGATGCTATAAGGGGGCGATATTATTTATCATCCATGCCCAGAGACGTCTAACTTAATATGGGTATAACTTTTTTTCTGAAAGGCGGCTGAAATTGACCTTCACAGATTCTGAAAGCTTATGAAACCCTTTTTAAAGCGATTAAAAAATTGTTTTTATAAGCGAAATCATTAAACAATAATTGTCGATTTTCTCAAAAGTCATCCATTTTTGCTGACCCAAAAACTTGACAAATTACTTACTCAAAATACCCGTCATTGATAAAGCTTCCATTATCCAGCGTTCTGTCAATAATACTTCTCAAAAAATGTTATAAATTCTTCTGGAAATTGCGAGATTTATTTCGTGTTTTGAGCTTTCCTTTTTTTTATAAGATGCCTTTCTTTCCCCGATGTTACAACCTAAGCTGCTTACGTCGCCAAGTTTAACGTTTCTCAGCGGCGTGTTTCCATTTGACTTTAAATTTCAACTGTTACAACGGGCCCATTCATTGAGCAAATCTTGTTAGTTTATTCCAACTAATTGAGTAATTAAAATTGAAGTTGTTTCGACCGTACGCGTACGTGAAATTAACAAACTAAAATTGAGAACATGGGAAGTTTCAGCGAATTTGAGGAGGTAAGTTGAGGTTATAGCTTACAAGGGAAGTATCCCAAGTGCGACGTTCAGATTTTGATGAAACTTGGTACAAATTCAGAACAATTTTTTCTAAGATAGATGCGAGAATCCTAGCTCGCGCTTTGCAGAAACAACCGAGATTTTTAGATCGAAGGTCGGCCAAAATTTAGGACCTTTTGCCGAATTTCGGCACGAAAAGTTTCATGCCTATTTCCACCGTAAAGGATAATGTTTCTACAAAAAATCAAATTTTTCCGCACGAAACTGCCAAAGTTATGGCCAAAAAGCGTTTTTCTCTCTGACCGCTCTCCACGTTTAGCGTGCTCTCTCGGCGGCAAAAATCGTCGAATATCTCGGTGGCGCCAGCAAAGCGCGAGCTAAAACTTTCAGGAATTGATACTTAGTCCATACCCGACGTGTGTGCAAAATTTAAAGAAAATCTGAGCGTCGCACTTGGAGTACTTCCTCTGTGAACCATCTATGCCGAGAGAGCACGCTAAACGTGGAGGGCGGTCAGTGAGAAAAGCGCTTTCTGGCCATAACTTTGGCAGTTTCGTGCGGAAAAATTTGATTTTTTTGTATAAACATTACTTTTTACCGTAAAAATAGGCACGAAATTTTTCGTGCCGAAATTCGGCAAAAAGTGTCAAATTTTCGCCGACTTTCGATGTAAAAATCTCGGTTGTTTCTGTAAAGCGCGAGCTAGGACTCTTGCATATATCTTAGAAAAAATTATTCTAAATTTGTGCCAAGTTTCATCAAAATCTGAGCGTCGCACTTGGGGTACTTCCCCAGTAAGTTAAGTCCGTCAAAACAACAGACCTTTATGTCTTCTGTTCCAGGCGGTCCAACGGCTTCGTGACGGCTTCAATGAAGGGCTAAATCATCCAGTTGAGGAGCGGAGGCGTCATTTAGAAAACTTGTCGGCGATGCTCAAAGAAAATGAAGATGCGTTTTGCAGGGCGTTGCATCAAGACCTTCGGAAGGCAAGAAATCATTTTTATACTAAAAAAATAGATTTTTTGATCTTAATTTTGTAGATTTAAAAACTAATTATTTGAACCAAAAGTAATCAAAATTACACTTGAAACTTCAAAATCTCCTTTCAGAGCCATTTCGAGTCCAAAACTCAAGAATTATACTTCTCTGGCTGTATAATTTCCACCGCTTTGTCAAATCTCGACTCTTGGATGGCCCCACAAAAAGTTTCCCGCTCGATTCTCCAAGCCACCGACTCCACTTACATCCATTCCGAGCCCTTGGGCGTAGTCCTCATCGTTGGGACATGGAATTTCCCGGTTCAGCTGCTTTTATCGCCGCTGATTGGAGCTCTGGCCGCGGGGAATACGATTCTAATCAAACCATCGGAGATGGCGGCAGCTACGGAGAAACTATTTGTGGAGTTGTTCCCCAAGTATTTTGATGAGAGAGTTATCAAAGTTGTAACGGGAGGCAAGGAGGAAATGGGGTAAGAAGGAAGTTTTTTTCAATTTTGATGATTTTTCGGAAATTTTTATAATTTTTTGGGATTTCTAAAGAAAACATTTATAAGAATTAGACTTATTGCTTCCTCAACTCTCAAAAAATATGTTTTATATTTTTCAGCGAGATTCTGAAGCTGCGTTTTGACCACATCTTCTTCACCGGCTCCACTTCCGTCGGCCGCATTGTGATGAAAGCCGCGGCCGAAAACCTGACTCCAGTTACCCTGGAATTGGGCGGGAAAAGCCCTGTGATAATCGATACTGATGCTGATTTGCGGACAACCGCAAAACGAGTAACTTGGGGAAAATTGATAAACAATGGCCAAGTCTGTGTCACTCCGGATTACGTGCTTTTGATTGGAGATTCGGAGAGAAGAAAAGAATTTACCGATGAATGTGTGAAGTGTGTGAAAGAGCTCTATGGAGAGGATGCTCAGAAGAGCCCAGATTACGGAAGGATAATCAATGAAAGCAATTTTGAGTGGGTTTTTTGAGCGATATCCTAAAATTTCTAAAAAAGGATGACTTTGAAAAAAATTGTGATTTCAACTGAATTTAAACCTTTCTGTACAACGAATAATATACCGTTTAAAAGACTTTTGTTTGGGCTTTCAGAATCTATAAATTTATTTTCTACTCCATCTTTCTATCAAAACTTATAGCGATATTAATTTTGCCATCAGCTCCCCATGTATAATATAAATTATTCTCCTATATTTCAGCCGTCTCTCCAAAATCATTGATGGCACCAACGGCAAGATTCTTTACGGTGGGCGTCGCGATCGTTCCGATAAATTCATCGAGCCCACGATCATCTCCGTCGAGCCGCACGACATTACTTTAGCAGATGAACTGTTTGGCCCAATCCTCCCGGTTCTCACAGTTCCGACCTTAGATGATGCTATAAAGTATATAAGAGGCAGAGAAAAGCCTCTAGTCTGTTATTTGTTCAGCAATAACAAAAAGACTGTGGAAAAAGTAAAGCAGAAGACATCTTCTGGAACGCTGACTATCAATGATGTTATTATGCACATGACTGTGGAAACCCTGCCTTTCGGTGGAGTCGGACATTCGGGAACTGGAAGATATCAAGGGAAAACAACGTTCGATACGTTCTCTAACAAGAAGAGTGTTTATCATAGGACATCTTGGTTCGAATGGCTTCTGTGGTAAGAGGGCTTACTATAACTTAAAAATATCATAAAAGAGACAGTTTTCTCTAATCGAAAACACTTTTAGAGCACTCATTCTAGTTATTCAGAGTTTATAGGCTTTTATTTGTACAGTAATCTAACTTTTGAGCAATGAAAAATCAGCAGGAAATTTTTGGGGTCAGCTAGAATAAGGTGAATTAAAACGGTTATAACAGAAATAGTAAAGGCCGTAACAATTTTTGGCTTTAGCGCAGTAATTTCAGCCCAATAGGTTTTCCTTTAGTCGTAGTTTCAATTTCGTACGATCAAATTACCACAACAGCAGTGATTTCAGTTTTGGCCCACATTAGAGAAAATGAATTTAGAAAATAAGATGGTTGCTGCAAAATACGAATGCGTGACCCTCAATAAATCTTTTGGACTTGAAAACAATAGATTTTAGAATATTATTTTACTAATAGCTCACTTACTCGACTCTTTTCAGGATGCGCTATCCTCCATTTACAGCGGACAAGTTGAAGTGGATGTGTCGCCTTATTCTCAGCAGTAAAATCCGGTTACCGTTCTGAATTTGATAAAAATGTAAATAAAATTTTCTCTACAATTATTTGACAAAGAGTTTTTTACCGTTTCCAACTATAATTAGCCCTAAAAACGCAGGGGTGGTCAGCGGACCCTATTTTTCCGATTTTCGGCCCGCGGCCCGGCCCGTCTAATCACCGGCCCGGCCCGGCCCGTCTAGTCTTTTTCCAGGCTCGGCCCGGCCCGGCCCGTGACGGGCCTGGCCCGGCCCGGCCCGGCCCGTGCAGGCCCGTTTATAGAGGGTTCTGCGAACTGCGCCCAAGCTTGGGATCTAAACTTAGGCAAAAAAGGCGTTGATATAGCTAGTAAAGGATCAATGTGATAGTTTTGTGGTTTTATAATGGAACTATAGACTTGTAAACGTTTTAGAACTTGAGAAACAGCAACAATAACAACATCAATTAATTTTCCCGGCGCGAAAACAATGAATGCCAACGGTTTGGCATTGTAATTTAGACGGGCCGGGCCGGAAAAAACCCCAGGCCCGCGGCCCGGCCCGGCCCGGCCCGTGACGGGCCCGGCCCGTTTGTAATTTTCCATTTTTGAGCCCGGCCGGCCCGTCACGGGCCGGCCCGGCCCACTGACCACCCCTGTAAAAACGTCGAAAAAGTCAGACTTGGCTCGAGTCAACTTTTTCTCTCAATTTTCACGCGGATTTTTTATTTTCGAAAATTGAAAGACAATTTTCGAAATTTCCGACAAATTCTTGTCCGCTCATGTTGGTATTATGGCTACAGTCGATCCGGACGTTCTAACACTTCATAGATGTCCAATATGCCGAAGAAATTTAGTTGAGTTGTCGTTGGACTTGAGGCAGGATCATTTTAACCGTTGCAAAGACCCGATAAAGGTTTTCAAGAAGCTGGATACCAAATTGAGCAAGGTCGACGTGAACTTTACCTGTCCAGTATGCGCAGTGGAACTTATTGTGGGCTCGGTAAGCTTTTTTTGTCGTTTTTGTTGGTTTAGGTATCAAGCATAATCTAATCTCTGCTGGGCTTTACTTTTTATAGTGGTGGTCGCTATAAAAAGTAATTTATTTGTGTTGAGGTGCTCTCTGTCACATAAGAAGAAAATGTAGCAGAATAAATCTGCTTTTATGCATCCATTTTCTCTATTGACATCCAACTTTTAGGAAAGATCGCGACATGTTCGAGATTGTGCCCAAAGAACCAACATAGAGCTCTACAAAATGATGGAGAAGGTAGATTACGAAGTTAAACAAGCCAGAGCGAGAGAAAGGCTTCGTGAACGACAGTGTGTGTAAGTATTTTCTATCATCCATCTTATACAGGGTGTTTCAAGAAATTCCCCGGAAAGCAATCGTCGATTTCTCGGCGCTCAGCCACGATATCCAAAAAATTTTTTTTGCAGTAGAAAGAAGGTTATGGGCGGTTTTTTGCCTAAAAAGATTTTTTTCTACGCCGACGCGGAATGTAGTGTATTCGGCGAAGACTTTTGACCGCTTTTTTGGTCATCACATACATCTTAAACGCTTTTTTGTGGTTTCTGATGGCTGAAATGCGGATAATTTACTGATTTTTGTGCTTATCAAGCGTTCGGCAAAGGTATGGCAGCCGCTCGCCATATCTTAACTCAGATACGGACCAGAAATGGTCCAACACAATTTTTATTGTCTGGCAACTAGTTTCTGCGGGTATCGTATACCCTCCAAAATTTTGTGGTCAAGCCTTGGCAGATGTCTAGCCATCACGGAACCACTTGGTGCACCAGAAAACAACAAAAAAAAATTTGCTTAAATTTCTCTTTGCCCTGCTGTTTCAAACATTCGCGCAGTGGGCTCGACTTTATCGATATTGCAGCGACTGTATTGCACTGTGCAGTCGCTAAATGGGATCGCATAGCGTTATACCCTGCCTCCTGATCCATTGTGCAAAAAATCTGAAGACTTTCCGGATGCTGCAGTGTCACAGTAAAGCGTTTTAGATAAGTGTGATGGTCAAAAAAGCGGTCAAAAGTCTTCGCCGAATACACTGCATTCCGCGTCGGCGAAGAAAAAAATCTTTTTAGGCAAAAAACCGCCCATAACCTTCTTTCTACTGCAAAAAAAATTTTTTGGATATCATGGCTGAGCGCCGAGAAATTGACGATTGCTTTCCGGGGAATTTCTTGAAACACCCTGTACTTTAGGCGTCCAACGAATTTTGCCGTTCCTGCGAAACGCCCACGTCCCAGCGTGGAAATTGCCGATCAAACAGATAGTATCGACCTTTGTGATGCTAGTTCTAGTCACGCTGAGATGAAAAGGTGAGGGAAATTGCTTTGTTTTGGATGATGTTGTACTAGACTGCTTTGTTTATGAAAAATAATAAAAAATCTTTAATTTCAGTGAAGCTATAAGCAATATAACTGCAAAATCAAGAACCTCAAAGACGATACGTCGCCCAGAACCTGTGCAGAGGGTTTGTCAATGTCTGGTTTTGGAGAAAATTCAAAAAAGATTTGTCGAAAAATTCGAAACCATTCAAATCCCAGAAAAGTCTCCGAAAACAAATGATCCTGCAGTCGAATCCATGGCACAAAAGGTATTTAGATTCCTTATAATGTATTCTTACTTTAGTTGAATCGTTTAGAAGCCTTGGCCAACTCATTTCGACGGGCTTTTCTCTCGGGCGACGTGCAAATTATCACAAAAAATGGAAATATTCGAGCGCATTCCTTCATTTTGACCTACAGAAGCCATTTGAAACTGGAAGATGGAAGTGTGCAGATGAATGCAAGATTGTCGGATGTCGAGGTCTGGCTGAGGTATCTTTATTCCGCTCAAATCGACTGGTCGAAGAGTCAAATTAAGGCTTTGATGGAAATTGCTGCCGAATATGGCCCTCCGGAACTTTTGCATCTCCTCCAAAATGGCCGTTATAACTCGGATAACTTGGATAACAATTGTAGAACGAAAGTTGATCAAGGAATTCAATGCGGGACCAGTTATATTATCCATGAGAAGGTTGATGAAGCAGTCCAATGTGATGGATATATTGCAAATTCGGACGTCTACGATGACTATTCAGATGGCCGAGAGTTCAGCGAGATCTTCAACAATGCGATTACGGAGGAAGAAGACGTGATGAACTTGACTTTTCACGAAAAAAGTTTATTTTTTGAAGCCGAAGAGGCCTCCATGGACTCGACCGAAGAGCCCTATAAAACCCGATATTGTTGTCCAGAAGACAGAGATGCTAATAGTATGGAAAATGGCCAAGAAATTAGCGATCCACACGTCTATGCGGTCGAAAATTCGGTAGATGATTATATTGTTCATGTTGAGGAGGAAAAAAATGAAAGAAATGGTCATAAATCGAAGCGGAAAAGTGATTGCGGAGAATTTAATAGCTCAGCAGAGCAAGAGGCTCTTCTGGATGGAGTGGATCGGCAGAATTTGGGTTACTGTAACAAGGAAAATATCGAAAATCCAGGAAATCCTCGGGAAATTGGACCAAAATCGCCGGAATCTGTGGTTTTCGTCGAGGAAAGAAGCCATGACCTTGAATTTGATGTCAAACAAGAGCCAGTGGATTACTGTAACAATGAGGAGGTTGTAGAGCAAGGAAATGCAGGGGAATGTCCAGAAGATGACTTGTTTTATGAGGAAATTCCTATGGAAGATATCAATTATGAAGAGTTTAATATGCAAAATCATGTGGGGAATGACAATTTTGAAGTCATCCAGGTAGATATTTGCTTTTGATTGGAGTTTTGATTGATTTTTAGGCAATTTTTGGTGTTTTGGGATATTATACTAGACAAAACTGATATTTTTAGCTGGATTCGACAAAAATTTCATCGAAAAGGAGGCCAGTAGGTCATGAAGAAGCTGGAAGCAGCCGAAGGACCTCAAATGACCCAGTGAACACCCCAAAAACTCGAAGATCGACTATATCTACTATGAATCGACTTGATTTTGAAGAGAACTTGGCGTATGATGTCGTGCAAAAAGAAATTTCGCCAAGCACAATGAGAACGAAGACGATAGAACGCTATCAAGTCAAAAAATCGCAAGGAACCTCGAAGAATGACGATGAAAATGATTGTTTTATCCAAGAGCAGGTCATGGATAATATAACAGATCGGAGAACAGAGGCTGTAGATAAGGGAAGGCATGGAGAATTGAGCGAGAACAGCTTCAAGACCCCAGAAACACGGCGAACGGCGGAAATGGACGTGGATTTGTTGTTGTCCATGAAGATTTTGAAGAAGAACAATATCACTCCAATGCCGAATTATAAAGCCATGTCGGAGAGTGAATTGAATGTAAGAAGGGGTAATAAGGCATGGGGTTTGAGAATATCAGGGTTAAAAGAGGCATAGGGTTGATTATATGGGATTTTTAGACGACTTTTGTAGATTTGGGATCTAAAATAAGGTAAATTTTGTCAAAATTTGTGATTTTTTACGGCTTGATGGAAAAATCTAGTTGATTTTAGATTCCATGAAGTGTTTGTGATCTATAACTTTGATTTGTAAAGAAAATTGCTGCAGTAGACTATCAATTTTGCCTTTTGGATATTGAGTTAGGCTATGATAAAGTTTGGATCAGAAATTTTGATTGATCGTGGAATTCCGGGTGAATTTGGTGCTAACAACACCAGTAGGGTCTAATCTTTTTGTTTTTGAAAATAACTGCGGTTTTATGAGAAAATCGGATTAGAAGGATGTTGCACTTGACATTAGTAATGATTTGTACCATACAGAATGGGTGATGTTATTTATGTGTGTGAATTTGTGCTAAAAGGGATGTTTGTGATCTAAATTTATTGTTGAGAAAGAGTCGTTTTTTATGAGCCCAAAATTTTGTCAGTTGTATGTTATTTTAGACATTTATATCCAAAAATTTTATGGAACTGGGACGATCGGGGAAAAAGACGATTGGGGAAACCGAAAAGTATTATTTTTCTTCGATGCAAGTCGAAATTGGGATAATCGAGGGTGATGATTTCGAAAATGACATTTTTTTATCTTTACTTTTTTCCTTAAAAGACGATTTTTGGCTCGCTGCGTCAGCCAATACGAGGGGCCGGACATTCAAAAATTTTTTTTTTGAGTTTTTTGCCCTAAAATGTTGGTATAGGTCACAAAAACAAATTCCCAAAATTTTTTTGCCCAGTGATGCCCGGAAGGTAGAAATTTGCATACGGTTATAATCGTCCTTCTGAGCTCTGCTGTTGCCGTCGCAATAAAGACAACTTGACGAAACCGACCCCGCATGGGTTTTGGCGGACGGCGAATTCAAAAATCGCAATTTAAAGTTCGTAGGATTACTGTAACATACAGTTTTTGACCTTCGGTCGATAAAAATCGACCGTATCTCCTTCAAATCAAAAATCCCACAAGATTTTATTGCAGATTCGGAATCAGCGTAAAATTCTGGTCTAGAAACATGTAATTTGCATCCTTGATTCCGTGGCAGATAAATCATGGCGCAGTGGGTTTTGACGAAAACTAGTAATCTGACGACCCTGGTTCGATCCCCGCTGGAGACAAATCTTGTAAAAAATGTGAAAATGACATTTAATGGAATTATGAGGGTTATATGAGCAACGCTGAGTATTTTTAGACATCAATGAAACATGAATTTGAGGTTAGAACAGGGTTTATATTATTTTAGTCTCGGAATCCGTGAAAAATAAAACTGCTTCAAACGGCCTGAAATTGATAACACCTATTCTAGGCCTAATTCTTAGAAACTTTTACGTTAACTTTTTTTTTGTTAGATTACTGTAACGTGGATTACGGTAACATAAAGCCCAATTTTGTTTTTTCATACCACAAGGCGCAGAGCCATCGGAATATCACGAAGATTGTAGGAATGGTTAAGAACGAGTGGGTTTGCGCATTAATAGTTCGTTTATGGCCGTACGTTTTAAAATACCTGAGTTATCTAACACAATATCACCAATGGATGGTGCGATTAATTCGGACTGAAAATGAGTTAGAATTGCATTTTAAATATGAGGCATGCCCGCTTTCTGCCGTTTGAATAGCATAGCCAAAAAAATTTTTTAATTTTGTGCGAAAATTTTGAAGAAATCGCCTTTAAGGAGGCCGAGCTTTTTGCTGCCGTAATCCACGTTACAGTAATCTAACAAAAACCAGTTAACTTAAAAGTTTCTAAGAATTAGGCCTAGAATAGGTGTTATCAATTTCAGGCCGTTTGAAGCAGTTTTATTTTTCACGGATTCCGAGACTAAAATAATATAAACCCTGTTCTAACCTCAAATTCATGTTCCATTGATGTCTAAAAATACTCAGCGTTGGTCATATAACCCTCATAATTCCATTAAATGTCATTTTCACATTTTTTACAAGATTTGTCTCCAGCGGGGATCGAACCAGGGTCGTCAGATTACTAGTTTTCGTCAAAACCCACTGCGCCATGATTTATCTGCCACGGAATCAAGGATGCAAATTACATGTTTCTAGACCAGAATTTTACGCTGATTCCGAATCTGCAATAAAATCTTGTGGGATTTTTGATTTGAAGGAGATACGGTCGATTTTTATCGACCGAAGGTCAAAAACTGTATGTTACAGTAATCCTACGAACTTTAAATTGCGATTTTTGAATTCGCCGTCCGCCAAAACCCATGCGGGGTCGGTTTCGTCAAGTTGTCTTTATTGCGACGGCAACAGCAGAGCTCAGAAGGACGATTATAACCGTATGCAAATTTCTACCTTCCGGGCATCACTGGGCAAAAAAATTTTGGGAATTTGTTTTTGTGACTTATACCAACATTTTAGGCCAAAAAACTCAAAAAAAAATTTTTTGAATGTCCCCGGCTGACGCAGCGAGCCAAAAATCGTCTTTTAAGTAGTACTGTAAAGTAGAAATTTTTTGATTTTTTCTTGATAAATACTCGATTTGGGGGTTTCGATGGTGCTGCTTTCAAATCAGAAAAAATGAATAAGATTTTCGAAATCAGCACCATCGAAATCCCACAAACATAAGTATTTGTGAAAAAAATTCAAAAAATTACTATTATACTTTACAGTACTACTAAAAGAAAAAAGTAAAGATTGAAAAAATGAATGTCATTTTCGAAATCAGCACCCTCGATTATCCTAATTTCGACATTTCCATCGAAGAAAAATAATACTTTTCGGTTTCCCCAAACGTCCTTTTCCCCGATCGTCCCAGTTCCATTAAATTTTTTGGATAAAAATGTCTAAAACCACATTCAACTGACAAAGTTTTGGGCGCAGAAAGAACAACTCTTTCTAAACAATAAATTTCGACCAGAAACATCGCTTTTAGCATAAATTCATAAACATAAATAACATCACTCATTCTGTATGGTACAAATCATTACTAATGTCAAGTGCAACATCCTTCTAATCCGATTTTCTCCATAACCGCAGTTATTTTCAAAAACAAAAAGATTAGACCCCACTGCAGTTTTTAATACCAAATTCACCCACAATTCTACGATCAATCAAAAATTCTGATCCAAACTTTGTCATAGCCTAACTCAATATCCAAAACGCAAAAACTGATAGTCCACCGCAGTAATTTCCTTTCCAAATCAAAACTTTATACCACAAACACTTCATGGAATCTAAAAGGAACTAAAATGAACATTACTCATATCAAGTGCACCATCCTTCTAATCGTCCATCTCCGAAATTTTATGTCTTTGGTTTTAAAATAATGAAGGCTTGAATGATTATCAATATTTTCAGCAATGCCTGGACGCCATTGGAATCCGACCAATGGGAAAGAAGCGGGCCATCGAACTCCTCACCCAAGCCTTTGATTTTACCCATCCCTCGTCTGATTATGGAACCCCAACCAAAGCTGATGTCTTCAAACGAATGCAGGCTGTAGAACAAGCCAAGCAAGAGAAATTGGCAAAGAAAAAAGCGCCGAAAATGAAATTCCCAGCGAATTCAGCGACAACTTCGGTAAATCCGACGATTTCATCGACGGAACCCTCGGTTGATGAGGTTTTCACGAACCCAGCGAACGATCGAAAGAGGGATGTGAATGATTTGGCGAAGATTTTCTTGGATTGGCTGCGAAAAGAGGAGAATTCGGAGGTTTATAATCAACTGCTCACCTTGAACACGATTTTGTTTGTAAGTTTGGGAAAGTTTGAAAATTTTGATTGGAGTTTTTGGTGGGAACTTGTTGAAGATGGATTTTTATGAGAGATGGAGGACTTTTTTTTATTTTTGAGGTGATTGGACAGTAAATTCGAGGGGTGAAACACGGAATTTGGAGGGAAAGGCTTTGTGTCATGTGTTTCTCTGAGATCAAAGTTGTTAAAAAAAGTTGTAAAATACGATAGGTCTCGTGTAAATTTTCAAACGATAAAATTAATTTTGCCATATACATTATTTATACAAAGTAGTCGACCATTTCAGGATGATTTACTCTACAAATTCGCTCCAGTAATGTCCGAACAGCGGATTGCGAAAAGCGCTTTCCTCAAGGTCCTGGATCGTCTGCATATCACATATTCGGATCGAAAACAGAATGGACGGCATTATTAAGTCAATGGAAATTATAAATATTCATTTTATATCGTTTGTGAATTAAACGAACAGTAAAAAAAGGTGTATTATATATAGGTTTAACGTAGATTTTTTATGTCGTTTTGAGGTTATTTTTGTAGAACGAACCTTGGAAATTAATCGTGCGGATGTTTTAATCGTATTTTACCCCATGAAGAGAACACTTGACACATTTTGGGTCAAGTGTTTCTCTTGGCGAAAAAGGCTCTGGAATTAGAAATTTTATTCACAGAACTGAAAAATGCAGTATTTATTAGACTAGCACAACTGCTTTTGCCGATTTTAGAGTTAGTTTGGGGATATCTGGACGAAATAATATTACTCTAGACATCAATTTAAAATTCTATTTATTTACAGTGAAATTGGCGCCAAATCCTAGTGGAATTCCACTAAAATTACCCTGTAGATTATGGGGATATATATTTTTGTACACATTCCGGTTTATGAGCACTCCACATACTGTTTCTTGAGATCCAAATTGCTTTATCAACGGTTTGACGAACGGCCCAATCGGGCGAAAATCTTCGAAATCTTTCTCCGATTCTCCCTGCACTCCTCGACCGAGCTGATTCCAATACCAAATATCTTCAACGTCTTGGATTTTTGTGGTATTAACGGTGATTAAATTGTAGTCATACCAGCTGGTAAAGAGGCCAACTTTGACCTTTCGATACTGAAAATGTGGGTAAAATACGGAACTCGTATCGAATATGAGTGTTTCTTATGGCCAATATAACCTTATTTGGTCATATAGAGCAAAATATTACATATTTTTTTCAGTTTTTGAAAATTTTGAGATATTGATTTTAGTCCCGACACGAAAACTTTCAAATCGAAAACTTAAAATAAGGTCTAAAAACTCACCCAAGAAGCCTTCACAAAATCCGTGATGTATTTCACATTTATTTCCTCATGATATTCCCAGTTGATTGGGTCCGTTACTTGAAGCCAGACTCGGTCCAAATTCATGTTGTTGTCTCGCGCAAACCAGTACATTTTCTCAAATTCCTGGTCACCCAATCGGAAAACATCGAAAGTATGGGTGATATAGACTTCAAATGGGAGATTGGCTGGAAAAATTTGTTGTTTTAAATACGAAAATATTCGAGTTTTGGGTATTATATTGTAGTAGGTGACTAGGGCTAAAAAACGTGGGTAACCCAATAAGTAGCATTCGTAATTAGTCTAAATTTTGCATGGTATCGCCAAATAGATTGTAGATAAACCTCTGAAAATTTTGGACGTCTATCTTACCGTACATCTGAGATATAACCAATTTTTTACATTTTGGTCTAGATGTCTAGGACAATATAAAAAATCCCATTTTTAGTCACCCCACATACCATAATACGCATTTAAAGCATTTTTCATTCCAATTTTGTCTCCCTTATCGTCGCCATATATCCGGAAGATCGCAGTTTTATATCCCTTTTCGATTAGACACCTCAAATTTCCCCCATTCACAGGTTCTGAAGTGTCAAATGCCAGCGAAAAGTCATCGCTTTTTGCAGCCCAAAATTTCAGAAAAATGAAAATAATCCAAATTCTAAACATTTTTGAGAATTTCGTCCATTAAAATAATTTTAAAAACATCTTTTTATATGTAATTTTCGTATCTAAATTCGGGCTTATCAATGAAGGATTAGGAAAAAACGTGATCTTCGTGGAACAAGTGTGGTTCTTATCAAGCTTCTTACTTGATTATTCTATGATCATCGAAAGTACAGGCTGAATTAAGATTCATCGCTGAATTTTTGCAAATTTATTACATAAACCATCAAAAAAAATAAAAAAAAATAACGAATAACAAGTCAAAAAGCATGAGGATCAAACAAAAACGTCCTAAATATGTATCAGTCTGAAATCAAAATAGTTTTCCCAGTATTTTTAACCAGTAATCCATTCAAAAATCAGACAATTTTTTCAAAAATCATCCAAAATCCCTATTTTTTACTCTTTCTTCGGAATCACGGCTGAGAGACCGATGCCCTGAGGAATTGGGACGACTCCATTGATGGCCTTTTCGTTCCATCTAGCCGCATATTCATGACGGTTGTCTCGAGTCCAGCGCTCTACAAATCCATCGGCCATTAAACGCACCTGGACATTCTCCATGTTTCGGAATGGATGTTTGCGCCATTCGGCGAGGAGATGACCTGAAAAATGTGTTTTGTATTACTCTATAGGTCATTGCATATCATTCTCTACACCGTTTCTATACAGCTTCTTTTATTTTCGGTCAATTATATTACACTTGACATCTGATGTTCAAGTGTAATATAGAGCCTACCATACTTCATAGTTTAGTTTTATACCGTGAATATAACCTCTAAAAAGACGTACTGATCACTTTTGACACCGAGCTTACTGTTTTCCCGCTTTATATTACACTTGACATCTGATAGGCAAGTGTAACATAGAGCCCACCATATTTCATAGTTTGGTTTTATACCTCGAATACAAATACTAGGCCTCTAAAAAGACGTACTGACAACTTTTGACACCGAATTTACTATTTTCCCGCTTTATATTACACTTGACATCTGATAGGCAAGTGTAACATAGAGCCCACCATATTTCATAGTTTGGTTTTATACCTCGAATACAAATACTAGGCCTCTAAAAAGACGTACTGACAACTTTTGACACCGAATTTACTATTTTCCCGCTTTATATTACACTTGACATCTGATGGGTCAAGTGTAATATAGAGCCCACCATGTTTCATAGTTTGGGTTCATAACTTGAATATAAGTACTAGACCTCTAAAAAGACGCATTGTTCACTTTTGACACCGAATTTACTGTTTTCCCGCTTTATATTAACACTTGACATCTGATAGTCAAGTGTAAGATAATTAACAAATCTCCTCTTCCCAGGGCTTTACAATCGCCGTCAACTCAATATTAGACCTTAGAAAACTCAACAGGTCATCTTCCCACATATTGCTCATTGTTTTTCTCAACTTCTTCCCATCTGACATCTGATACCTAGTACAACATAAAGAAACGTCCATAACTCAACAAAGCTTTCTCCATATAATCCAAATTCACTATAACTATCATCACCACTCTATTCTATTCTCCTTTTCCAATCACCAATCACAAATTTCCCTTACCTGGTAAGTTGGCATAGAACGGTTTTGGTTTTTCCTTGTACAACGGCTGTCTTCCCTCGCCATAAAAGTCGTCCAGATTCAATCTCTCAATCGGCAACAAATCCTCATCGCTTCTCAGGGGGGTATCGATTGGGGATGCCACAATTTTCGGGAAATAATTTCTGTTTGGGTCCAATTCCACCACATGGAGACCTTTTCTTTCAGCCAATTGTTGATGAGTTTCTTGGTTTTGAAGGCCAGTGACGAATGCGTGAGTCAATGCGAGGTAATTCCTAGTGTTTCCTTCTACTTTCACGTACAAATCTTTGATTCCAATGGCCTGAAAGATCAATTTGTACTTTTTGATAATACCCCTATCTAGTGTAATATAAAATCCTATCAAATCAAGCCCTAAATAAAAACTAAATACCCTCAAACCAGTTTCTCTTACCTCACAAATCTTCTGGAGTCTCGGATGGCACACTAATCCGAAGCCTTTTGGCCTTCTTTGCGCAAAAATTCGAGTATTTCGACATTCCGCGTAAAAGTCCTGATAGATCGTTCGGCCTTCCAATAACTCGACGTAGAACAACTTCCTCGACGCGATTCCCATTCCCTTGATTACAGCGTTCATCGATCTTTTTAGGCCGGCTTTTCCAACCGCGTAGCCGGCCAGGCCTTTTCCATTTCCGACGAAAACGAGGGCATTCATTGTATGGACACGGCCGAAAATTTTGGTCATATTCGAGGTTCGTTTGATCTGGAACAGGAAATTATAGTCCTCATATACCCTATAAGCCTTAAATTTTCAAACCAAGTCAAAGAAAACCAAGTCCAAGCTTCCATTTTCGAAAATTTTATATTATCCATGACACCTCTACTCACCTCCAAAACATAGGTCTGGAAGTCGTCGAAAGACACATCTCCGACTGGAGGCATTGATCCTAACTTCTGTCCTTCAATTCTGCCCCCACTGAATCCTCTTTCGAGTGGATGAAGCTTTTCTCGGACTCTTCTTTTCTTCGTTTTTCCTTTGGCTTCCAGTTTGTCATGGATCATATCAACCTGTGCCTTCAATTCGTCTTCCGTTTGCTCTTCCACGGCCACTGGTTCGATGGATGCGGGATCATCAAAGCGGATGGGTTCATTCAGACCGGGGTATTTGATTTTTAAGGGACCTGAAATTCGAATTATATTATACTTGACATTGATGTTCAAGACGACTATTTAACAGTTTGAAACTGGATTAAATTAAATAAACCCTCTATAAAACCTTCTTCAAAGTCCCGTACAATCTTTTCCATCCACCCTCTACCCAAAAAAACTCAAAAAACCCTATGAAAGCAAGACTTGACCGTTTGAGTCAACTCTTTCTCTATCACAAAACTCCTATGTACCCGTTGAACTTACTGGCTCCGATTCTGTAGAACTGTTCCAAGGCTCGAATAGGCTGTCTTGTGGTCTGACGTCCCTTCTTTTGACCGGCTTTCGACACAGATGTGATTGTTTTCCAAAGCCTTCGCCCCGTATAACGCGAAAAGAAGTTGACCGTGTTCGAACGGACCTGCTGGAATGGGACCAACGACGCCATTGCTGGCTAGAAACAACAAAAAAATGCAAAATCAATCATCAGGCAACAAAAATAGCAAAAAAAATTATATTACCCATGTCAAGTATAACATCAGGTTGAAACCTGTGAAAAAAAAATAAAATCTCCTTCTTTTCATGCTTTATTTGGATCACAAATTCAATGACAAGATTTATCGACATGAATTCAATAAATTAACAGTGAAAATTACAACATAATCGGCATTTACAAATCGACCCGGAAATGGAAAAAAAAAATTCGGTGAAAATAAGTTGAATTACATTTTATGAAGCGTCTAAGCTTTCAGTTGGTCTAGTATATCATCTGGTAAGTGAGTTTCTCTCACACTGGGAGTATAATTTCCAGAAATTCCAAAATTTCCTCTAGGACCTACTGCAATGTGAAAAACCCCAAAAAATCGACCAAGAATAGTAAAATTAATATAAAAACTGTGGCTGACAGAGTAAACAGACCATGGGCATCCCTTAGCCTACAGAGTGTCTACTTTTACTACTCAATAAACGCGTCTATAAACCAAGAATTGATCTTAATCCATCTAAAAAATATATTATTTATAAATTACGACCCTCTACTCCAAGCTTCATATTCTACTGTTGTTGTGAGGCAGTCGGGCTTGAATTTCCATCCTGTGACCCCCCACTTCCACCTGTCGATCCTGTGTTTGCACCGTGCGGATTTCCCAAATCTGCACTGTGCGCAGACCCTTCATTTCTGGGGTCGGTGGGGCTGGATTGGTGGCCAAGAGCACTCGAACTACTGGCCGATTCCTGACGTGATATGTTCGGGGTTGAGGGGCTAGGGTCAGCCGGGGCATTTCCGTCGGCTTGGAGCTGTCTTCGATAATGCCAATAAACCACGGCCAGCCAAATTGTTAGGGTAAAGAACAACGTCATCAAGTACAGATCCCATTGAGGACCCATAAGGCGCTCAATGAGGGGTGCTTTGCCTTCAGAGTCGAACAAAATCCCCTAAAAATCAATGTTTCTAAAAATAAATGTAAAATTTTATCTACTACAATATAAATTATTGCTCTAAAATATCAAAAATGAATCTCTATGCAAACTTACGCCGGTAAAAAAGTCCGTAATGAAAAGGAATCTCAATTTGATCAGTGCCAAAGTGACTGGGACAATGGCGTCTGTTGAAGTTTCAGCGGCCAAATCATAAAATCTCTTGGCCAAATGGAGGTCCTGAAAGCAAAAAAATAAAAATAGAAGCAAAACCATCAAAGCTACTGAAAACTTTTTCTCTGAGCGAGTAAGTTCTCTTCTGAACATGTTTGAGTCAACTCTCTTCTTCATAAAAATTTGGGTCAAGTGTTCCCCTCAAATATATCAGTAGCCCAAAGCTATCCCTTCAAAGTGTACTCAGCTAAGGTCTTTTTTAAATTTCCGTTAAAAACCATTTTTTCAACAAAAAATTTTTTGAGTCAACTCTTTCCCTCGTGTCTCAAAATGGGTCAACTCTTGCCCTCAAGCTGAAACTAATGTAATTTATTTCACTGAGCCTACAAAATTTCAAAAAATTTATGATCCATCACCCCATCTCTTACCCTGCTAACTCCAAGTCCATTTTCATGCATATAAGCCAAGTTGAACAAGGCTTGGGCGTTCTGATGCGAGGTTGCGGCGACCTTGTACTGATTCGCTGCGGCTGCGAGATCCACTGGAGTTCCGAGGCCGTAGAACAAGTAATCTCCGAGCTTTACTCTGGCGAATGCGTATTCCTGATTCGCCGACCTCAACCAGTATTGGTAGGCTCTTTGATAGGTCTGATTCGGTTTGAAAAGTTGTTGGCGCCCATCGGACTTGTCCATGAGAAAGGCGAAATTCGTTTGCGCCACTTCATAGCCCAATTCTGCGAGGAAGAGATACCTACAACATTATTTTACACTGACTAAGACATCAAACTCAAGATTACCTTACACTAGACCCTTCAATAAAAATAATATCCAAATTTCTATGCAAAACCTCCCCATTTATCCACCTACCGTATCGCAGCCTCATCCGTATGTCCCAACTGGAATTTAGCGAAGGCATCGACGAATCTTTCGGCCCATCTTCCTCTCTCCGCGACATTCTTCATCAGCTCCGTGGCCAAGGTGCAAGATCTTTGAGTTCCCGTTCCTGTGGCATGGATGTGGGCCAAATTATACAGCGCTAGAATGTGGCCGGATTGGGCTGCTAGTTGGAAGTATTTGATGGCTTGTTTGTAATTCTTTTCCACTCCGATTCCGTAAAAATACATTTGGCCAAGGTGAAGTTGGCCGTCCGAGGAGCCTTGTTCCGCAGCCATACTGAAAAACAGAGGCTATAATTCTTAATTTCACATAATTGCCAAGACATTAAAACTGTTTTTAATATCCATATTATCCATCACTTCATGGATAATATAGATAGCTCTAGGTCCCACAACGAAAACATGACAAGTCCCGAATCCTCTTTAAATTTACTTCCTTATCTTCTATAAGTCTCCAACACTTACCTGAACAATTTAAAGGCCAAGTTGCTATCCTGATCCACCCCATATCCGACTAGGAACATCAGACCAAGTCCACTTTGAGCCATTGCATTTCCTTTGTCCGAGGCCTTCTTAAAGTACTCAAACGCCGTAGTATTTGACTGTGGGGTGTATGGAGTGCCTTCAAGGTACATACGTCCCAGATATGCGTAGGCTGGGATATTCCCGGCTTGAGCAGCGACCTTGAAGTAGCGAGCCGCGGCGTCCAAATCCATGGGCACTCCCTTGCCACCAGTCAAGTAGAGTTGAGCCAGGGCAAGCTAAAAGATCATATTTCAGCTTTATTCAACTAAAATCAGAAAAAACCCGCAAAAATAATTCTTACAGTAGCTTGAACATCTCCAGTTTCGGCCAGATAGCTATAATACATAAACAAGTTGTTGTCGAGCAAATTCCCCGAGCTGGAGCTGCCTTCGACTTCATCTGGGATTCGGATTCGTTGGATTGAAGGGGATCCAGTGAGTTTTAGCTTGTCCGCAACTTTTTGGGCGACTCTTCGATACCAGTTTAGGGCAATATCACAATCGGCTTTCACGTTTACCCCAGAATGATAGCGATATCCCTGTAACAAATTGGTCAAGCAATCTCCATTTCGAGCGAAAATTCTCTAAACTTCAAGAAAATAATAGCAAAAATCTTACCATAGCCATCTGAGCCAGAGGGTTACCTCCGAGAGCCGAAACCGTGTAATGCAGAAGCCCTTTGGCCGGATCGGGATTATCCAAGCCAAGTCCGGTTGAGTAAATAAATCCTAGACCCAAATGCGCATCTGGACTGCCATTTTCAGCCAGCCTCTCGAAGATATTTCGGGCTTCGTCAATACTCCATCGATGCTCTCCAAATAGGTAGGAAAATGCTGAAAATAAAGGTTTTTTTTCAAATATAACAAGAATCAGAAAGCAACTGTAAATGAAGATAACAGTGTATTCGTCCTTACCCAAAATTTTCTGCGCGTCTGGATGCCCCATTTCCGCGGCCCTTTCCATCTCTTTATAGGCATTCTTCAGATCTGAAACATCAACTTGAGCCCATCGCTTTCGACCGAGAACTTCCAGCGCGTTTTCGTATAGGACCTGAGCTTGAGCATCCAACTCTCTGAAACATCAGATTTACAAATATCAGTTTCGTGTCCGAAAAACTTGATGTTAGACTTGATCTAGTATAACATCAAAAAATCTCAGAAATAAGGATTTTGTGAAGGAATGAAAGAAGAACACAGTTTCTTTGAACAATCTACCGCCTTAAAACCAAGGAACTAATAAACTAAAACTTCTTACCTCGTCGGTTTTTTTTCTGGAATAAATTCGACGAAAATATCGGACAACGCATTTCTCTCCTCCACTTCCTGTGTGATCAAGGCCGGAGTAGAGCCAGTATGTTCCATACGATCTATATCGTCATCTGTTAGAAAACGGGAACCACTGGGCTTTTCTTCTTCTAAAAATTACATGGATAATATAATTTCTTACTGTTTATCCTCGATATAAAGTACGTCAAAATTCTTACCGGGTTCGTCCAATGCATCCAGGTCATCGGCTAGTATAATTATTGTTTCTTCTTTGATCAATGGTGCTGTTTTTTCCTTCGATTCTTCTGATTTGGAGGACTTTTGAGCTGATCCTATTCGAACAACCAAAAATATGAGTAAACTAGTACATAGGACTCTTCTGTACATGGTTCGTCGCAACTCTACGTCAACAAACACTCACATCCAACCAACGTATGAACAAATTCTATAGTTTTCCGGAGGAAAATGAAAAAATTATACGTCGGCGAAAGACTTGACGCAAGGTGGATGGGTCAAGTGTTTGCTTGTTATTGTTTTTGCAATTCTCTTGAAGATTTGATTATGAAAGTGGTTTGCTTTTGACATTATCAGATTTTCAGAGTCGTCATTATCATTATAATACACAAATTTATCATTAACAACCCCGAATTCAAGTACACATTCATCTAGAAGAACACTTGACACAAAGGTCAACCGCGAGTCAACTCTGCAATTTTTTTTTAATTCGCCCAATCACCATTGGCAGTGCTCGCCCTGGCTCGGCCATAAGCATTTTAGCCCCAGGAAAATTTTTGAAAATTATTTAGGATTAGAAGAAACAGTTACGAGTGCAAAAATCTATTTTACAAAAGGAATAATACAAATTTTCTCAAAAATACTTTTAGAAGCTCAAAGAACTTTATTTTCCCAAGCAAATTAGCATTTGGGAATGTCACGACAAACTCCCATCGATGGATTCGCCATCATTTTCACGAGATCCTCTACCGGAGGCGGCCGCATTCCGCCGTTGCACTCGAGTTATAATGGCACGCGGAAGTGCGGAAAAAGGAAGAAAAGTAGGCTTGGGATTACAATCATCTTGATGGACAATGGAATCGCCTTCTCATGGGTACTGTAATTTTAAATTTTTAGAGTCGAACTACGATTGGAACGAGGAAAGCCGAGACCCGAGGGCGTGGAGTGGCCCGGCGGAAGTACACGGAAGGCGCGAATAATCGCTGCTCGGTGGAGAAGCAGACCACCGCCAACGAAGCCCCGAGGGTCGCCATCGCAGCAAAGTTCGTCCATAAAGGGTTACCCAAAGACAGCGGCAATTCTGTAAGTTTGCGTGGACTACACATAGCCTGTGTTGTCTATGGACTGTGTACACCATAGGCTGGTTGTGAGATATTAACCAAAACAGGAAGGGAGTTTCGAGTGACCTACTCTGTATAGTGTTGTAGTAATAAGGCGATACTAGCCTTCCGGAAAGTTGACGGACTGATATATCCAAAAATTTTATGGAACTGGAACGATTGGGGAAAAAGACGATTGGTGAAACCGAAAAGTATGATTTTTCTTCGATTCAAGTGTCGAAATTAGGATAATCGAGGGTGCTGATTTCGAAAATGACATTCATTTTTTTTGATACTTACTTTTTTCTTTAAGCAGTACTGTAAGGTAGTGATCTTTTGATTTTTTTTTCATGAATACTCGATTTGGGGGTTTCGATGGTGCTGGTTTCAAATCAGAAAAAATGAATGTCATTTTTGAAATCAACACCATCGAAAACCCCCAAATCGAGTACTAGTCCTTCCGTAAAGTCGCTGGAATGATTTCGGCGACGCGCACTGTGCAAGAAAACTCAGGGTGCGAGCGACGTCCCAAAAAGCTTATTGCACTGTGCAAAAAGCCAAAAATTGCACAGTGCAAAGTGAACTTTCGTTTTCGCGGAGTGCATGTCGCCGAAAACATTCCAGCGACTTTACGGAAGGACTAGTACTAGTCCTTCCGGAAAGTCGCCGGACGGAAATCGGCGACATGCACTCTGCGAAAACGAAAGTTCACTTTGCACCGTGCAATTTTTGGGTTTTTGCACTGTGCAATAGGCTTTTTCGAGCTGTCGCTCGCACCCTGAGTTTTTTCTCACAGTGCATGTCGCCGATTTCCGTCCGGCGACTTTCCGGACGGACTAGTAGCTCTATCGGTCTGTCGGGAAAAAAACGGCGGATCGTCGCGCCTCGGAGTCAGTCGCTCATCATCGCTTTGCGACTGCAAGCCGCGGCTTGGGATTTGGTGCGCGATGGCGGCGAGGCGAGACATTTTGGTGCGACGATCCGCCGTTATTTTCCCGACAGACTGATAAATTTGCACCAAATTTACGATTAGTCAAAATCTGAGCGTCCAATTTTACCCCCTAATTACAGTCTTTGTACTAGTCCTTCCGGAAAGTCGCCGGGCGGAAATCGGCGACATGCACTCTGCGAAATCGAAAGTTCACTTTGCACTGTGCAATTTTTGGCTTTTTGCACTGTGCAATAAGCTTTTTCGAGCTGTCGCTCGCACCCTGAGTTTTTTCCCACAGTGCATGTCGCCGATTTCCGTCCGGCGACTTTCCGGAAGGACTAGTAAAAGCTCAAGCTGGAAAGCTTAAGTCCGTTCGTAAAGTCGCTGGAATGTTTTTGGCGACATGCACTCCGCGAAAACGAAAGTTCATTTTGCACTGTGCAATTTTTGGCTTTTTGCACAGTGCAATAGGCTTTTTCGAGCTGTCGCCCGCACCCTGAGTTTTCTTGCACAGTGCGCGTCGCCGAAATCATTCCAGCGACTTTACGAACGGACTAGTATTTACGAAAAAAATTCAAAAAATTACTACTTTACAGTACTACTTAAGGAAAAAAGTAAACATCAAAAAAAATGAATGTCATTTTCGAAATCAGCACCCTCGATTATCCTAATTTCGACACTTGCATCGAAGAAAAATAATAATTTTCTGTTTCCTCAATCGTACTTTTCCCCAATCATCCAACTGAAAGTCGCCGGAATGATTTTTGGCGCTTGCACTGTGCGAAAAAAGTCAGAGTGCGAGCGACAGCCGACAAAAGCCTATTGCACGGTGCAAAAACCCAAAAATTGCACAGTGCAAAAAAAAGTTTTGTTTTCGCACAGTGCGTTCTTTAATTTCAGGAACATTCGAAGCCGGGAAATTCTAAACAGGCAGCCTGTAAGCTGTGGTTTGACCAGATTTACGATTTGGGATTACCGAAGCTTCGCAAAGAGTTTGTTCAAAAAATCAAACAATGTAATCCCGATGGTGCTCACGAAGCCTGCATGGCCGATGAGAACTTCAGTAAGAACCGATACGACGATGTTTTTCTGTTGGACAAGACCCGGATCAAAGTCAATATTAATCCTGACAAAGGTAACCAGAAATTTTTTTTATTTTGTTGTTTTATCATTAATACATCGCACATTTTCAGACGATTACATCCACGCCAGCGCCGTCGAAGTCCACCCCGAATTGACGTACATCTGTGCCCAAGGTCCCATGGATAACACGGTCGCGCAGTTCTGGCTGATGTGCATCCAAGAAGACGTCCGTGTCATCCTCCAGTTGTGTCAGAACACCGAAGATGGAAAGGAGAAGTGCTCGGAGTACATGACCGGAGGCAAATCGGACTGGGTGACCTATGGACCGGTCCAGGTCAAGCAGGTGGACTACCAGAAGAATGTGGCCGGCACCAAGAAGGTGAACAAGACCAAAATACAAGTCAAGTTCAACGACAAGGTCCATTCGTGCACCCATTTGTTGTATGCGGGATGGCCGGATCATGGGGTGCCGGAGAGTGTGTCCACTTGTCGAGAAGTCAGGAACTTGGTCCACAAGTATTATGAGAAGAAACCGATCGTCATCCATTGTTCGGCAGGCGTTGGTAAGGGCTTTAACGAAAAAGCGTTAACTTTTTATTAGCATTTTCACAAAGTGTCTGGACATTTGTCGCGGCGCGCACTGTGCACAAAAGCCTGCGATTTTTTGCACCGTGCACTCACTTTTTTTTTGGTTTTGCACTGTGCATTTGAAATATCGCTGCGACGTAAGCTTTTCTCAACTGCGCCGCCGCGATTTGGCTCAAAAATGTGCCTGGACATGTTTTCACTTTCGCACAGTGCATCTTGAATTTTTGTCGCCAAGGCACTGGGGATTTTTGCCTTTGCGCACCGTGCAAACCCAAAAAATGCCGATTGCACTGTGCACATTTCTGTGAAAAACCGCAGCGGCGAAGTTGAGAAAAGCTTACGCAAAGTTCCAGGACATTTGTCGCGGCACGCACTGTGCACAAAAGCCTGCGATTTTTTGCACCGTGCACTCACCTTTCTTTTTGGTTTTGCACTGTGCATTTGAAATATCGCTGCGACGTAAGCTTTTCTCAACTGCGCCGCCGCGATTTGGCTCAAAAATGTGCACAGTGCAATCGGCTTTTTTGAGGTTTGCACGGTGCGCAAAGGCAAAAATCCACAGTGCGTTGGCGACAAAAGTTCAAGATGCACTGTGCGAAAGCGAAAAGATGTCCAGGCACTTTGTGAAAATGCTAATGATTAAAGAATACGATGAATTTGTAATCTTATTTATATTTCGATGTTTATAGGTAGGACTGGAACTTTTGTTGCGATAGAGATGGTGTGTCACAAACTGATGCAGGAAGAGAACGCCAACTTTACGATGTTGGAGCTCGTGAAGAACCTCAGAGAACAAAGAATGCACGCCGTCCAAAACGATCAGGTATTTTTGGCTTCTTTTACTGAATACTAGTCGCGGAAAAAAGTCCTGGGAATTTTCGGCGACTCTGCACTGTGCACGACCCCGAAAAGTGCTTTTGCACAGTGCAATTTTGTTGATTTTGCCTTATTGTCGCGCGCGATTCCCGCGACAAATCAACTTTTCGGAGCGCGACGGAGTTTGGGGGCCGCGAGAAATTCCCAGGACTTTTTTCCGCGACTAGTACCATTTTTAATTTCATCGTTTGTTACGCTCTATTTGCAGCAATATTGCTTCATCATCCGCTGTGTGATCGAGATTCTGGTGGCAGAGGACTGTTTGCCGCGCAATCCCCGTGTCATACAGTTCATCCAGGACTTTGAGGAGATGGTTGAACGGAAGAAGAAACAACGGGCCGCCAGAGTCGAGAAGGATTGAGAAAACACTCAAAACTTTTTTAGTTGTCAGAGATGACATTGATAAACCAGAGTAACGTGTGGCGAGGTCATGACGGGTGAGGGAGGGGAGATGAGGCCGGGAAAACAAAACCTATTGTGTTAGCATTTTCACAAAGTGCCTGGGCATGTTTTCGCTTTCGCACAGTGCATCTGGAACCTTTTTCGCCAACGCACTGTGGATTTTCGCCTTTACGCACCGTGCAAACCTCAAAAACGCCCATTGCACCGTGCACATTTTTGATCAAAATCGCAGCGGCGCAGTTGAGAAAAGCTTACGTCGCAGCGATGTTTCAAATGCACAGTGCAAACTCAAAAAGAGGTGAGTGCACGGTGCAAAAAATTGGGGTTGAAAATTTGGGGTCAAATGTCCAGGCACTTTGTGAAAATGCTAATATAATAGTTTGGGTCAATCCAGGAAGTGTCCGAAATTTGAGGTAAAAAATCCATCAATTTACCATAATCAAACACAATATTCAACCGCCAAAATTTGACACCATTTATATTAGAAATCACACATTGAAACCCTAGACAATCTTGACAAATACCTGTAAAATTGGAGGTAATATTCAATAAATAAAAGGCATGAAGATCTTCCGATCCCTGGGATAATCCTCCTTGAACTTGTTCAGGTACCACTTGTGGTTCTGGATGGCCCTGGGGAAGGTGTTGGCGAAGGTGAAGAAGGCAAAAGCCCAGGCAGGTAGGGATTGGGCAAACAGGGCATAACCAAACCATTCAACGTTCTCTCCAAAGTAATTTGGGCATGAGATGAATTCGAACAGTCCTCCTGAAACGGATTCAGTACCAGTAGGCGGAGCACAGCCTAAACATTAAGAAAAAGGAAAAAATCTCTTACCATATGGGATTTTGTAGCTGGAATCACTCGAATTCTTCCTGAGACCTCTCAATCTTCTGTCCGAATCAACGTTTATGATAAATCCGATCACATAAAGGGCAACTCCAACTCCCCTCAGCACGTTAAGGGCAGTATCAGGGTTCCATGAGTCGTAGTGACCGTAATGTAGGTGGTATTGCGATTGGATATACCCATTCCATGAGCAAAAAACAAATCCGAAGACGAAAATGTGGACTGGAACTCCTTTGGAACCCGATTTCATAAGGTAGGTGTAGATGCAGGATCTGAAATTGATGAAAACACTCAAGTTAGACCTTGTTTTTACTCATATTGTTCGGTTAGAAGACTGTAAAGCCCTACCTTTGGAAATAATGGACTGTGAACATTAACCATGCCACCCAACCGGAGAGTCCAACTTGATCGTAATTCTTTAGCCGGTAAAGAGCCAACAGAGCAAAGAGAAACGATGGAATCTCTTGAAGGAACCAGGACGCACGATTCGACCACATCATTGGCACCCATGCCGCTCTGGTTGAATGTCTACCATAGCCGACGACAAAATTGGTAAGCGTGAGAAAGGCAAGAAGAATAGCGCCGGAAAGTAGCATTAAAAAAGACAGGTTCTTGACCAATTCTTCTTCTGACACAAAGACAAAGTCGTCCAGAAACTCGTAGACATAGTTCACAGCTGTAAAATATTGCATTAGAACTTCTTTCGCAACTATCCATGTTCTAAAAACGAAAAACTAAAAGAAATGTAAAACACTTACCGTTAACTCCATTCTGTCCAAAATATTGTTTCGCCTTTGCAGTCACCGTACTCTTCTCCACAATGAAGGCCAAATTCTTCTCGGCTTTTCCAGCACTCCACTTGCCCAATGTTGTACTAGACAAAATCATCAGGAACAACACGACCAGCAGCTTGTTTTGACCCATGTTTATAAAAACAGGAATCGACGACTGCCATGCGAACGCAACATGGAGGCATTTTTGTAGTTTCTTCACAATGGAGCCCAAATGTCTTCACGGAGTGGGAAACTTGACCCATCCTCAAGGTGAATGACTTCCAAAACAAACAAACAACGGGATCCATTATAATTTAGCGGTATTAGTCGGTGTTCAATACTCTTTGACCTTCTGCGGGACAAACATCTTCTTTTCGCAACAACAAAACGTGCGCTATCATAAAGTAACACTTGACTCAAAAACATAAACAATTTTCAATTTTTTCTCGAAACTACTTCCTTTTCGATCTGATTCTTGGTTGATTTGTTGTGAAGATGACTTCGCACAGCTGCATAAACCCAAAGAACACAAAAATTTAGCAAAGAGCTGCACAAAGTACTCAAAAACCCAAGAAACGTGCAGAAATTGCGAAACCTTTCCGGAATTTTCGCCGCGAAGGACTATAAAAGCAGGCACGAACGGCAGTGGACAAGTTCGAAAAGAGAAAACAAGTGGTCAAAAATGATGCAACGTTCGTTTCAACAACTCGCTCGCCCGCTGAGGAATGTGAGCGCCATCAGTCGTCGTGGGTTCTTTGGTCCTCCGGCTCCCTGGACTCCTCGTGGCGGAATCTTCGATGATTTCCAGCATAGGATCAACCAACTGGAGCGCGAGTTCTTCAGAGGTAAGTTGATGTTTTCTTCTTTCTTTTTTTTTGACTTTAGGCGGAAATTTGGCCATTTTTTGAAGTTTCAAGAACTTTTTGACATTGCACAAGGTAGTTGATGTCTAAAATTCAGATTCTTCATTGTTTCCCTGATGATCATTCGAATTTATTGATGTTTCAGCTCCCTTCGCAGCTTGGCGTCCATTCCAAAACGCGTTCGACAGCGAACTCTTCCGTCTTCGCAATCCAATCATCGAGGAAGATGGAGTCAAAAAGTTCAAGCTGGAATTTGATGTCCGTCGCTTCAAACCGGAGGATGTCAAGGTTTCCACGAATGCCGAAGACCGCACTCTGACTATTGACGCCAAATACAAGGACGCGGAGAGCAGTTTCGAGTACAGTCGCAAGGTCTCCATCCCTGAAGGTGTCGAGCCGAAGCAAATCACTGCCAAGTACACTGGAGAAGGCACCTTGCTGTTTGAAGCTCCGTATACTGAACCACCAAAGCCCGAGCTGCCCAAGGAACAGACGCTGGAGATCGAACACAAGTAGAACATCCATCTGGAACCATCTCGAATATTGTAGACTGCTACAATCTCGGAAAAAAAACCGGTCTCCAATTCTTCCTCATGACTCTTATTACCTTTGTGCATTCTAAACCTCTTTTGTTGTTGATGTTTTTATTGAAATAAATAAAAACTTGAGATACCTTCAATGAAAACAATGATTAAATTAGAGTAGAAAACAAAAGGGTACAAAACAATACCACAGTAACTGGAATAGTTGTCCAAATTACTTTCCAATGGCTTGGGGGTTCTTCAATACCATGATCACCGAATCTCCTCGAAGGAACATCTTGGAAATGAAGCGATCCTTCGCTACGGGCTTCGCCTTCTTCTTGCCTTTACCGGTTGATGGAAGTTCCGTCCACATTTCTTTCACATCTTCGAGGATCATGTTGCAGTGTCTGAAAAGAGGAAGAATTTAGTTTGTTGAAGTAAAAGAAGGGCATTCATACTTAAGAATATTTAGTTTTGTCTCTACTTTTTATTATCCATGCCTTAGCACTTCAAGAAACTCCAAAAATAATCCCAAAGGCAGATTCCCTCAAATAAAACAACTTGACAACCTTCTAAACCCCTTTCAAACAAGTTTGGAGCATTCATTCTGCCCCTAACCATCTGCCTTTCAAAAACCTCAAAATCCGTTTTATTCTCCATACCTAAAGTCCAAATCCAAGAAAATCTACAAAAAACATACCTATCAAAAGCCTTCACTCTTCCCAGAAGCTTCCTGTTGTTTCGGCAGTTGATCAGGACCTGACCATTATTCTGAACGGACTGGTTGAGGACGGAAAGTGGGCCAATTTTGAATTCTTCTTGTTCCAGAGCATCCAGCTCCTCCTGGGACATCTCAGCACGTGGTTTAGCAGCCATCGTTGATTATGATTGAAGCAGACACTAGACTTGCTTAGAAGATCTGCGAAAATGTCGAAATTTTCTTGCAAAAAGCGGTAAAAGCAGTTGCTGCGGAATGCCAAAGCTTTGTTGTTTTCGTGGTGGGGCTTAATTTTATAGTAAGAAAATGAAAGTAATTGCCCTACAATGACAAGTTGTACTGTAAAACAAAGTTTTATCGTGAAATTTCAATCTTCAGAGCTATTATTACTTATGATGTTACTTATTATCCCATTGATCTTTGAAAATTTCCTCGAAATTTCGTTTTTAGCGAAAATTTCGAACTTCTGAAGCGTAATCGATACGGATTTGAATAAATTTCACTTAGCCCGTCCATACGGGCCTTCACATGCACAGTTGCAAGGGCTTATAACTGAAAAATTGACTGAAATCGGGGTCCAGACAGCGGCTCAAAACTTCGAAGAACTATCAGATCGAAACGGTTTGTTCGGCGATGATACGTTCCACTTACTCGCTGTAATTTGTTGCTACATATTACTGTGCACTCTGACAAGAAAAATCCCAAAGTTTTCTGGGAGTTTCATAAGAGGTTTACGGATTAAAATTTGGAGGGAATAACACCTTGTTATTGAATAAAAAAGTAACAATATCTCCTAATTTAATTGTTGCCTAAAACGTGAAAGTTATGGGTGATAATTCGGATCTCCATATGACTCGGTTGGAACGTCTTCGAGCCAAATATCGGATCCGGAATCCGCTGAAACGCCGGATTTTGTCCGAATTCGCCGCCACTTCCTTTCTAATGGTAAATTCTCTTTCCATCCTTGGAGATTCTGTAGTATGCTGGATTTTCAGCCGGAGCCCAGACCACTCTGAGTCATAATACACAGAATGCCGGATCCTTGGGAGTCTCTATGGCATGGGGATTGTCGCTTGTTTTCGCGATTCAAATGAGCTATCATCTTTCAGGTAAAGGGTGGTAAAACTCACGTCAACTGGATCTAAATTTGATTGTAATTTAATTTATTTAATTTTCAGGATCACATCTTAACCCAGCCATCTCATTTGCCGCGTGGACTTTCGGGGATTTGCCATTTACGGACTTTCTTTTGTACACGGCCGTCCAAACGGCCGCTAGCTTTCTTGGCGCTTTTTTGACGTTTGTTATGTACTTCGGTAAGTGGTCTATAGTCATTTTTAACATGGGACTTTCGTATTTTACAACCTCCTAGAAATATTTTTCTATCAAACATCTCAAAATTTTATAATCATCATATTTTTTTGTCATGTACAATATCAAAAATCTTCATTCCAGACAAAATCAACGAATTTGACGGAGGTCATCGTTCCGTTTCTGGTGACACAGGGACTGCTGGCATCTTTGCAACATATCCCGGAAACCATCTAAGTCTCGTTGGATCGATTTTTGATCAAATTTGTTGCACTGCTATGATGGCTTGCACCTCTTCGATTGTGACTGACAAACGAAATAAAATCCCGAGTTGGGCACAGCCATCGCTTCTGGGAGCCATGTTGTTGACAATTTGCTTGGGATTCGGATTAAATGCGGGAAACGCAATGAGTAAGGAAGAGGTGATGATATTGTACTTGGGCTACATAGAAAGAGCTAGTGCTCAGAGGAGCAAGCTCTGATTTTTCTCAAATTTTACATATAGCGTCTGCAAAGGTTGTTTATCAAAGCCTAAAAGTTTCAGCTCGTTTTTTATGGGCAGAGCTGGGATATTCAACAAAGTTTTTTTAGAGAGAGAGTGTGCAAAATGAGGAGAGTTGGTCAGATAATTAATTTTTTTACATTTCAGACCCAGCTCGTGACCTTGGCCCTCGATTATTCACCTTCCTGGCCGGCTATGGCAGTGAGGTCTTCAGTTATCGCGATTATCAGTGGTTTCTGGTCCCCGTTGTCTGCCCTTTTATTGGCGCCGTCTTGGGAATGTGGGGATATCAGCTGATGATCGGAATCCACATCCCCGATGATGATGAGGAAGAGCAGACGGACACTGGTATCCCTGACATTCCAAGCACATCGGCTAGCCAGACGGAGATTCTGGAACATTTGGCACGGGCGAGATTACACTCTTTAGTGTAATGAGAGGAAGGCCGACTAGATGATTATTTAATAGCATTTAAAATATTATTTATATAGATTAGTAAATTTTAAAAAGATTATAGTGATGATATTTTGAATTTACATTTTTCCATGAATGTTTGGCTACCGACATTCCAACGTGTTCTCACTAGGGAAGTCTACAAACGTTTGGTTTTTCAGCCTGCTCAGAAACCACTGCAATATTGAAGAAAACCTCTCCGAGGCCGCTTTGTATCATTTTTCAAGGGCTCTTCAATGATGTATGTCACTTCTCATTTGGCGAGAGTCAGTTTTTACACTTCCCTCGCCACACAAGGATTTCGAAAAGTTGCAAATGAAATTTAAGAGTGCTATCACTGGAAATTCAACACTATTTTTTGCCTCTGTTATACCATTTGATATCAAATTCGGAGTCCACGGTTTTATCGACCGGTTGGAAAGTCATTGCCGATTTTTAAAATATTTCGCTCCATCTCCTCATCATAAATATTGTCTTTCAAAATTTTATTCATCAAAGAATTAAAGGACATTATAAGATCGCTACAAGCAAAATCTACGGTTAAGACGCAGTTCGATTACAATATTTTTTTAGAATTTCTATCGCAAGTTTCTCCAAGTCATTCTGAGGAAACTACAGTACTTCAATATTCGGGTAATGGCAGTGTTGTTAAGAAAAATCTTGCATGAATGTTTCAACAAATTTTACTGGAAGAATTCAATCTTCCCCATGATTCGAAGCCGGCAGATACTGCAATGATCCATGGCGTCAGCACAACCCTTGCAGCAAGTGAAGTGAAGACAGGGCATGAAGATTACTTCTCTCTGGAAAAAATAACATTTTGATGACATACTATGTTTCAGATCATTATAACTTTTTACTGACATATCTTACTGTAACAAAACTTTTAGACAATGTAGTAAACTTACTCTAGAATCCATGCAGACCCCGCAGACGGGTCCTTGAGTTTGTCTTTGCTCCAATTCTCGGACTTCTTCACTTAGTCTGTCTACTTCGGAGCTTAGGCGAGTGACCTCGGAATTGGACTCTTGGCTGAGCTGATGGATCTGACGATCTTTCGATTTGATCTTAAAACTAGTTGTATTCAGTTTACAGAGGTTTTGATTAGATATTTTACTCAAGATGAGCTTTTTTAGCGACCAAATGGCTATACAAAGTCTTTAAAAAGTTTTCGGGAAAAGTCATCAAAAAGATTTTTTTTTTCAAAAACTTTGCCAATAATGTCATTTCAAAGTGTCTTTAAAAGCGTCTAAATACTACAACATTCCCTTAAAAGACATTTAATAACTACCACATAAACTTACCATGTCTCTAAGATCATTGATCTCCCTGACCGCACGATGCGACCGATCATTCTCCTTGACCAATCTGGCGATTTCGTCATTCAGACTATTCCGAACCTGCAATCATTTCCCGTTATTCGCGAATATCGTCAGAATGCTCCAAAAAATATGTAAATCGCCCCCACCTCGTCGGCTTTTCTCATCTCGGCGTCGTGACGTCGCTGCAACGCCTCGTAATCCCTTTGTTGGCGCACGATGTCCGCTTCTCGGAGTTGAATGTCTTTCAGCTGGAAATGTTGGAATGAAAGGTAAAATACAGTGTAATCTTTTTAGATTTACATTGTTAATAGAATTTAGAGGCTTCATGATTGCACAGTGCACAATTCTAACGTTTTCGAGCGGTCCAAAAAGGATTGTCAACTGCACCGTGCGGAAAAGTTAGTTCGGCTGCACAGTGCAAATTGAAAAAAGAAAAGAATGTGCACAATTAGAAAGTTTTCAAGCGTTTTAAAAAAAATGTGGACTGCACTGTGCGAAAAAAGTTCATTTGGTTGCACAGTGCGAAAAAACTATTTTTCTGTCTGCACTGTGCAAATTCAAAAAATTGATGTTTGCACAATAAGAATAAAAATTTTTTGATTGCACAGTGCACAACTAGGAAGTTAGAGCGGTCCAAAAATCCAAAATTTCCGGCTGCACGGCGCGGAAAAAAGTTCGTTCGGTTGCACTGTGCAAATTCAAAAAAATTGATGATTTCACAGTAAGAACCGAGAGATTTTTTGATTTCACGGTGCGACATCAGCATCAAAGATTTGACGGCTGACGTGAGAAATGAAAAATTCAAAAATTAGCGAATCGCACAGTGCTATGCACAGTGCAAGACAAACAAAATCTCTAACCGCACAGTGCGAAACAAAAAAATTCCAACTGCACCGTGCGAAATAAAAAATTTTCCAACCGCACCGTGCGAAGTCGAGAAATTTCCAACCGCACTGTGCGAAACAAAAAATTTTCAAACTGCACAGTGCGAAACAAAAAATTTTCCAAGCGCACTACGCAAAATCGAGAAATTATTGATTACACAATATACAAAAATAAAGTTTTTGCCTATAAGAAGCAGAAAATCAGGCCACATACATTATCCTGAATTCTCCTATTCGCATTCTCCAATCGCTTTTCGATCTCCCCGTAATTTTTGAACAGCACTTCTTGTTGTCGAATCTTCTCATCCCTCAATTTCAGAAGATCCCTGAGGCTTTCGTTTTCGTTCAGACTGTTCTCCAGCTTCCTCTAGAACAATATTATACTGTATTTTTTCCAACTTACTCTAAGTTCATGATTTATTTGCTGAAATTCCTCGAAATGTCGGCGATTTTCGTTTTCAAAGGTGTCAATCAGCCGTTGAATGGAGCTTTTGACCTGAACCTTGCTCGAATGATGACTATAATCGGGCAGAGAGTAGTCCAGACTTCGATGCAAAGATGTGGCCGACGGAAATCGTCGGAGATTCTTCAAGGATTGGGATCGGTGGACCTCTCGGGTTGGGTCGGGGCCATGAGATTCGTAATCTCGAAGCGTCCGAATGATCGAGGAACCCTCTCCGAAAATCTTTCCACGCCCTTGACACTTGATTCGTGTCCTTTCGGACCTAAAAGATCAGAATATTAGACTTCAAATATCAAAGAATAGTCATCAATATCTAAAACAACATACCAAGGTAAGGTGGCAGCGCCATCAATATCTTTTTCGTGGCATCCACCGATCGCTGATGAGCTTGGGAACCGAGAGATACTCGATCGAAGACTTGGAGAGTTGAAATTTGTGGGAGAACCGCGCTTCTCCTTCTGGATGTAACTCAAGGCATCGATCATCGAACTGATCGATTCAAACGGCTCAAATGGCTGAAATGAAAATTAAATTTGTGAGTGAAACTCTGAAGGCATTAAGAATGCTTTTGAACGAAAATCTGGCATTTTTTTGGAATTTTTAGGAACCTATTTTTGATCTGCACCGTGCAGTTTTTTTGGGTGCACTGTGCATTTTAAAGAGGTCGAAAAATTTTGCTAAAATCGCAATAGTGGTTAAAAATAATATTAAATTTAAACTTAGAGGCTCGCTAAATACAATTTTGTCACCTATAATATCTATGTCCTTACTCGCACAGGGCGAAAAGTAATCAAATTTTAATTATTAAAATTTCACAGTACAAGTAAAAAAATTTGCAAAAAAACATTTATAAAAACTGTTAAACGAGTCACATTGAAATTTCCGAAGCCCTACCTTATCACAACTATCCTTATTAGTCCATTCCAGCGCTGCCCAGACCTCCGTATCACTGTATCCCATTTCCTTGGCATTCCGTAACTGATCGCTTAGTCGTCTGTCAGCAGCATCAAAAGTCATTGCAATTACTTTTGGATTAAGTAAGACTTCCTTTAGGGTCTATTCCCCAAGGGTTTGAGATTCCACCTAAAATTGGGAGGGGTTTTCTATATTCAACTAGAAAGGCTACTATAACATAAAAAATGATAAAAAAAGTGTACTGAATATCAAGAACTGACGTCGCTGATAATTATTTTGCCTAACTAATCAATTTCAACTTCATTCCGTTTTTAATTCGGTTCAAAATACCCGATTTTCAATTATATTACACTAGATGACATCCCATATAAAATCATCAATTACAGTAACCTAAACTTAAATGATGACCCTAGCACAAACAGTATAGGTAAAAAACAAAATAAACTCCCAATAAAAAAAATTCTCCCAGCAATCCCGACATTCCAACGACAGTCGGGAGACAAAAACTCAGCAATTGTATTCACTCTTTTTCGGATCAAAACCCGAATAATCGGAGGGAAGTGGAAGCTTTGGCTTCACGGTGCGATCAAAGATAGGCGACAATCGCCTTTTGGAGGTCGAATTCGAATATTTGTTTGAGGAATATTTGAATTCCGATCCAGCCCTTGCCCTGAGGCGGATTTACATTTTAACTGTATTTCACGTTGTGTGAAAGATTATACACGAGTTGTACCCTCAATCAACATTGCCCTTTTACCTTTCCGTGCGATGTTTCGGGAGTTTAACAACAAAAAACTTTATTTTAGAGATAAACTTGATGTTATACTTAAGAACTTGCGGAATTCATGGGAATTCAGATGATTTCAGCGGCGAACCCTTCTATGGGGTCAAACGTTTAGGGTCACGGGGGAAGAGTGAGGAGAGACGGATGTTCTTGAGGCCTAGGAAGAGCATTGTGACACGTTCCAACCCTAAAAACATCATGGTTAATATAACCGGTGTTCAAAAATCATGTCCAAACCATTCCATTATCCTCTTGACCACCTAAAAACAGCAAAAACAATCTCAAACACCTACCAATTCCACCTCCGGCATGCGGAGGGCATCCGTATTTGAAGGCATCGATATAACTTTGGATTTTGGAGATGTCGATTTGATGGAGCTTTGCTCTCTCCGCCAGCAAAGTCGGGTCATGAATTCTCTGAGCTCCGGAGAGGATCTCCTCGCCTCTCATGAACATATCATAGGAGTTGGACCATCTCGAGTCATCCGGGTCGGGCATCGTGTAGAAGGGACGAATGGCCAGAGGGAACTTGTCCAGAACATAAAAGTCGGTCTTGTATTTCTCCCGGACCAATCTTCCGAGTTCCTTTTCTGTAGGAGTCGAGAGATCTTCGTCTTCCTTTTGGTCAATTCCATTTTCTTGCAAGAGTTTTACACCTTCCCAGTAGTTCAAAACCAGCGGTTTCTCGGTGAAAAGGAATGGTTCCGCCTTGTATTGTCTTCCAACAGCTTCAATCTCGGACTGCAAATTGGCTTGAAGGTATTTGAAGACCTCTACCATGCAATTGGCAACAGTGTACATAGCCTAAAACAAAAAATTTAGATTAGATGACTAGTCCAATATAATCACCTCATGATAATGGAATTTAAAGGCCATTTCCAGATCGAGACCGACGAATTCGGTCATATGCCGATGAGTGTTGGAGTCTTCGGCGCGGAAGACAGCTCCGATGGTGAATACTTTGCCGAAATCTCCAGCAATCGCCATCTGCTTGTACAGTTGAGGAGATTGGGCAAGGTAGGCCGAGCCTTTGAAGTAGGACACCTAAACGCAAAACAAATAAAAAGAATAAGATTTAACGTACCTCAAACACATTAGCTCCACCTTCAGAAGCGGCCGAGATGATCTTCGGAGTGTGAATTTCAATAAAGCCTTTATTAACCAAGGCGGTTCTAAAGGCATGGCAAATTCCGGCTTGAACTTTGAAAATGGCTTGACTTGTTGGTGTACGTAGGTCAAGGACACTAAAAGGCAAAACATTAAACATTCACTCTTCTTACATCCGGATTTCTTCACCGTGAATATCTCGTTTTTCTCTTTATGCCTATACATCTCAAAAGTAATATCAAAGACTCACCGATTATCCAGTCTAGAGTCCAAAGCAACAGTCGGCAGCTCATTGCTAGGATCCTCAGGTCGGGTAGCGTCTTCAATCTGCAGGGGGAGTCTTGGTTCGGCAGCGGAGACCACCCAGAGCTCCTTGATCTTCAACTCCACCGACTGTTGAGAACAAGAAGTAATGGGCTGAGCCACCTTGCTAATGGTTCCATGTACATCAATAATGGATTCCTAAATAAAAAATATAAAAAATAAACCAAAAAAAAAGAATAATTACTCATAAATATTATATTCACCTTGGAGACATTGCCGATGAACTTGAGTAATTGCTTGGAAGCTTCAGGCCCAACAAAAAGAAGTCCTTGGACAGTGTAGATTTGTTGACGAATGACGACGAAGCCAGTTTTTCCTTTGATTCGTGACGTATGAAGTCTTCCGCGGACCCAGATGTCCTTTCCATCCAAACTTTCATTCAAATCTTGAACATCCACGAATGTGATATCTTTCTTCTGATCCAATTGACTGGATTGCAAGAGTTGGTAGGTTCCATACTTGCCAGCGGACACATCTTCACCTTCGTCTTGTTCTTGTTGCTGTTGTTTTTCTCCTTGACTCTAAAAGAGGTGGATAATAAGGCAAAACCAATTCATACATGTTGTTTGGACCTAAACACAAAAGATAAAAGTAAAAGAACTTACAGCGGCCTTCTTGGCAGCCTTTTCTTGCTGTCTCTTCAACTTATTCAACTGACTTTTGGACAATTTCACTTCACCAACACCTTCTTCGACCTCCTGGACCGCAGCGTCAGACATTTTCGGATGTTAACCTAAAAGAAAAAATAGAAACGCCCAGCTGAGTGATTGGCAGTTCGAGAGTGGCCAGCGGCTCGAGAATTTAGGCAAAACTTTGTGGATTTACATCATGGGAAACACTTGTCACACCGCGTCAACTGTGGTTCTCTCCAAAGATTTTTGTCGAAGAATAATTTTAGACCCGAAACTCCTCGGATTCTAAAGATGGCGGAGGTAGAGCAACCAGTAGAGGCTGTGAACGAAAATCTACCCGAGCCTTTGGCCGGGACGGTGCCCAAAGAAGGGGTTTCTTATCCATTGAAGGTGGTCTATTGTGGAGAATGCACTCTGCCCATGGAATATTGCGCGTTTGGTGGACGTTCAGCCAAGTGTAAGGAGTGGTTGGACAAGAACTTGTCCGAGCTCACTTCCGAGGGCTTTGCGATCAATGACGATGATGGAGATGCGAAGGATGAAAAGAAGCATCAGAAGCGGGGTGGAAAAGGGCAAAGCAAGCCCGTAAAGGTAAGTAGTTTCTTGTTTCTTTGCCTTTTTGAAGTTTAGATAGAAAGAACAAAGAAGGTGTCAGCTTTGTTTCACACCTAAATTCCGCCATTTTAATAAATTTTTTTATTTTACAAATGGGAATTCTATCTAGTCCTCATGTCTAATATTGCAGGAGGTGAAAAACCAACAGATCACGTTACAACGAGCTCCTCGAGGCAAGAACAAGTCAGTTACGGTGGTCAAAGGACTCAACACCTTCAACATTGATCTGAAAGTGGCTAGTAAATTCTTCGCCGGAAAATTTGCATGTGGATCATCAGTAACTGGAGCCGATGAGATTGTAATCCAAGGAGATGTGAAGGACGAATTGTTAGACCTGATTCCCGAGAAGTGGAAGGAGGTTCCGGATGATGCGATTACTGATTTGGGAGATCAGAAGCGATAAATCCGGGAGTGTTGCAAATAGATATCAGTCTATTTATTGGTTCAATTGTTTATTGTTGATATCATTCGATTCTATTCAATAAAATATACCAGTTTGGATGGGTGAGTACACATAATTCTTTTAAATATCTTGTATATTAAAATATATCAGGCAATCTTCGGACAAATATCTAGTATAATATAATAATTTTTTGTACAATCATCGGTATTTACATGCTCCTTGACCATTCAAGGAATCCCCGTAGCTGTGCGTAGTGTTTTCTGACTAATAAAGCGCTTGTTCATCGGTATCTTCGAGGCTGAGTGGGTCTGATTATCATCAATACTGTTGATCCAAATATCGACCAAGCCCATTTGAGGAAGAACATCATGATTCTGAGGAAAATGCTCTCGAGCAATGTTAGATCTCTTGGTATGATTGCTCGGTTTGTCAGCTCAATCATAGGAGAGTTCTTGAAGGATCTCCGTTGACATCTGAGACATCGAATGATCAGTCCCTCCTGCTGAGTCAGCCATGCAATAATACAATTGGCACATCCGATCACTCGCTGACATAGTAGACAATACACCGGCAGAGTACAGAGGTCGTTCAGACAGATTGGGCAGATATCATTGGGGACATCGAGATTCTTTTGGATCTTTTTCAAAAGATCGCGGATCTGCAGTAATCTGGCGGCATGTCGACGAAAATAGTAGCCAGATTCGATAGAGGGCTCCGCACTAATCGAAGAGATGCAGTTCATCGCGCTTTCGGCTTGGGCAGCAAGTTCAGCGGAGACTTTGAGAACATCACCTGAAGCAATGTGGATAAGACAAATTTTAGGCCATAAAAGGTGAAACTGAAGTCTTCAGTGATTCTTCTTGAGTAAAATAGTTTACACAAAGCAGGTAATGCTGACAAATACCTAAAAATCAAGAAAAAATAAAAAAATCATTACCATTTTCATCAATTTCTACGTTTCCTCCGGCGCCGCATTTTCCACAGACTTTTGTTACGTTTGATCGTGTTAACGTGTCGATGATTGGGGCGACAATTTCTTGGTAAGTCTTTCTGCCTGGGTCCTGATTCCGCGACTGCAGTGACAACCTCATTCCTTCGTTATAAGCGGTGATCTCGGGTAAGATCAGATGTCGCATATAATCACTGCCATACGTCTCGATTCGCGGCTCCAGCAAATCGTATCTTTGTCGAAATACATGGGTGAACATTACCGACTCATCAAGTGTTCTCTGAAAATAAATTTTCGTTAATTATTTGACTTTGATTATGATAGTAGAGATCAAGTGTAATATAAAGTTATATCAAGTCTTTTTTTAATCTCCAAATATTCGAAAAACATACGTTTATTCTTGTCTCAGTTGCTACAGGTACCTGATTTCAGCACCAGTACTAAAATTGCACAATATTTTTTCTTGCAACGGAATGCCAAAAAATGTTTTCCGTTTGAGAGAGGACCGTCTGAGAGAGGAAAAATGGAACAAGAATAAGATTCAAAATAAATTTTCTGCGGAAATCGGATTTTTTCATAGTCAACTTCGATCTCATTAATCAGACGTTGCGATCTGCATCTACTAACCCATGGCCAAGTTTACGTTGTACGCGCGAAAATCGGATGATGTTGAGGAGGTCCTGGAGATGCTCAGCGAGTGCAAACAGGTAAAATAAGTCCTCCAAGGTGTTTTCTGCTCTTTTTAATTTACTCTTTTGACCTTCTGAAGATGAGGAGTATTTTTTGTTCCAACTCGGCATTGGATAATATAATTTTAAAATAAAGGATATTCTGGTACCTAATTTATTTCTTTCAGCGTCTGGAGCAGATGCATGTTGCCTTGGAGTATTTAGAAGACCAGGAGATCTTGGATATTGATGAGGTTGACAACCAACAATCGGCGTTTATCATCAACACATTTGACGGCCAAATTTTTGATCATCTCCAGGAGAAAAATGCTCGGTAAGACCTTTGATCTTTATTATTTTGCTCTGTTTAGAATCTGGTCTCATCATCTGCTTTCCCAATGTCTCAGTCAATCCAAACCCCTTCCAAAAACGCCGCTTGTGTTACATTCCTTGGCGTTCGAAGGCACAGCCATCAGTTTGAGCGGGATGAACAAGGAAAAGAAGACAGAATTAAAGAAGAAGGCGGAGATGATGGGCGGAACTGTTCTTCCCAACTTTTATTCGACCACGGACCTTCTGGTTGCAGAAACTCTTGACACAACCGCGCAGAAGTACTTGGTAAGCAGCCTCTTTTATTATTCATCGTCTTTAGGCCGCCGTCAAATGGAAGATCCCGATTGTCCGACCTGAATTCATCGACAAAGTTTGGAGTCAATGTGCAAATCCAACCTCATTGAAGGACCCGAAGTTTCTGAAAGAGTACCGAGTACCAGTTTTCAAAGGGTGCATTATTTGTACCAGTGGTCTGAATCCTCAAGAAAGAACTATTGTAGGCCAGTTAGTGGAGAATCATGGAGGGAAATATGTCGCGGAGATGGCCAAGGATGTTTGCACGCATTTGGTTGTGGTTTCGCCTGCGGGGGAGAAGTACAAATTCGCTAGTTTGTGGGGAATCAAGGTGTGTTGGAAGTCTAGTATAATATAGCTAATTTCTTGGATAGTATCAATTTTATTTGGGCCGTTTTGATACTAAAATATTTGGAGTTTTAGGTAGTAACTCCCACTTGGCTACGACGCTGTGTTGAAACTGGTATGCGGTTCCACGAACGCAAGTTTCATCCGGACCCCGAAATTGCCTCCAGAACGAGAAAATCCGTCCAGAAACCCACTAAACCGACCGTGAAAGCTTGAAATATCGAATATTTATGTATAAATATAAAGAATACTACTTTTTCAAAAGCATTTACAAAGTCTGGAGATAAATTTTGCCATCAAAAATGGCCTCGAAAAGTGAGATCACCGGTTTTCATGAGATTTCGACTGGTAATAGCGAGAAGTGACGTAGTTTTTTTCGGGTATGCATTGTATGTGATGTGCTGACTAATTGCAAGTCGATTTGGATACCATTATGGGATTTGTTGGCTTATATTGGTTCTGAAATTTCAAGTGTAATATATTTTTTGAAGAAATTTGAGGAAATTTTGAGAAAAATTGTTTTTCAGTGCCCATAAAAAGTAACTAACTGTAATTATAGACCCGACAGTACCTGTAAAAAGTTCAGCAGCCCCAATTGCATCTGGATCAAGCTCGGGTTCGGCTGAATTCCACTGAATAATGGATGAATTTTCGGGAATTGGAATGTGTTCGGTAGTTGAAGACCGGAGTCTCGTCGGAACAGCGGAAGCCGCGAGTGCAAAGCCGAGCCCGAATGGAGTTTTGGATTAGGATTGGCCGAGTGCCGGTTCCTGAAAAAGAAAGAAATAAGTTTTTTGGGAAAAGGGGTGATTTGGGTGTAAATTAAGGTCATAAAACTTGTCAAAGGCGAAGGAAATTGGTTTATTTCCGTTACAGTTGCTGAAAATAGTATTCTAAACGTGATTTAGGAGGGCTGACGTGATTGGGGTTTGGGTTAAAAAAAGAAAATTTGGGCTAAAACAAGGTCATTTTTGATGATTGCTCAAAATTTCTCTCAAAAATCTTGTGGAAAAAGCCCTTGGAAATGTTGATTATGCTCTTAAGAACCTCTACTAACCAAAGACGCCGTATTTTACCTGCTCCTTCGCGACGAAAACATCATTTCGCATCCCAGCACGGTGCACTTGTGCATCTCCCGCAAATGCACCGCACTGTTGTGGATCTTCAGCGCGCCCTTATCGCAGAACGTCTTCAAACACTTGACGCATTGGACTCGACGTTTGGCCGAACGCACGGAATTCGGCGACTGAAAAAAAGATAAAATTTTGGTCCCAAATCCTCACATTTTTATGTTTTTCGTTTGGTTGTGGAGATTTTTGCGGGCTCATGATGCTGCTGGAAGGTTGATCTTGTTGTTGGAAAAGCTTCTGCATAAGTTCGAGACTTGGACCGGGCTGGAAAATTAGGAATTTAGGGGAAAATCTGGTAGGTTGTTCAGAAAGTTCGTTCGTTTTTTCATTGCTTTGTTTTACAAGGATTGTTTGTCGTTTGGCAAATGGAATATATGTATTTGATGCAGCTTTTTCTCCTCTACAAAACTGGCTGTATCAAATAAATATATACCCTTCGCCAAACAACAAACAATCCTTGTAAAGCAAAGCAATGAAAAACGAACGAACTTTCAGGACGACCTAATAGGTGATATCGAAAAAAGTTTGATTTTTCTTTGATTTTGAAAAGAAAAGTTGTGAATTATCTTTTGAAAAGATGTGAAATTAAATTTTACAACATTTAAAATACGAGACGCATTCATTTTATATGTTTTTTTGACATCATTTTGCAAAAATTGCCAAAAAATAGGTAAAAATGGATGACAGAAAATATAAATGTTTTGTATTGTAAACTACATATTAATTACAACCCTATGAACTCATCTACTCACCTGTTCTCTCTCCTCGTCCTTGCTGACCAGGTAATCTACCGTAAACATGCCTTTCTTCGACTCCATTCGCCTACCGTAACCCGGGAGAAGAGAGCGGCCGAGAGGACCGGATGGCTTGTCGCGTCGAATGCACTCTGCCCTCGGGGCATGAGGGCCTTTTTAGGGTTGACGTGTCCCACGGTCTCGCCCCACGGCCCTCGGGGGCCTCAGCCGAAAAATAGCGTATTGGCGCACAGTGCGGTAAAATTGGGCGGAGAAATGGGTCGACCGCACAGTGCAATGGGTTGAGGGGTCGGCGAAACGGGCGAGAAATGGACTGTGCAATCGACTGAAAGAGAAGAAATGACAAAAATGGGTAGTAAATGCACTGTAAATATAAGTTGGTTAGAGAAAAGGTGACTGCACAGTGCAGTCACAAGTTTTAGACCAAAATTTGTGACTGCACGGTGCAATTTTTTGTCAAGCCGAAAAATTGCGAGGAATTGCACAGTGCGAAAAATACAAGTGTCAAAAAACTTGCCAAATGCACTGTGCGCTCGAAAAAATCAGCTTCAAAGCGATCGCACTGTGCATTCATCAAATGAAGCTGATTTGAGTACTGCACTGTGCAAAAATTTGAAAAAGTCGAGGTATGATTAGTAAACGTATGATGTGTAAAAATCAAGTGTATACTGACTGCATCGTGCTCTCAACAAATAAAAAAAACTAGTTTTATGATTGCACTGTGCAATAAACTTTATTGCAAAAGTTTGTCAAAAAACTGCACCGTGCGGTAGAAACTCGTGATCAATCTGCACTGTGCGGTCGAAAATTCCGAAATTTTGTGAGGATTTTTTGCACAGTGCAATTGTCAATTTTCAATATAAGGTATGTTCCGCAATGCGCTAAAAATTATAAAGTTTTTCGATGAAGAATTTTTATTGCACTGTGCAGATAATAAAAATGCTTTTTTTGCCCGCAGCGTGCAGTAATTTCAAAAAATTTTTCCAAAATTTTATTTCAAATTCCCAACCTGTTGCAGAGCACAAAAAAATAATTTTGCCTTCGAAGAGACGTCAGAGAAATTTGCCAACTTTTAGAGAGCACAGTGCATGAAATTACCCGCTCTTTTCTCGCTTTTCTTTTGCTTCCAACTCCGCCCTCAGGCAGTTCGCGGCCCATTTATGGCCAATCACGGGGTGCGGGCCGTATTTTATGGTAATGGAGTGCGGCAAATCGGTGGCCATGACATCTTCCCATCGGGCCGGCCTAGTCGTTTTTTCCCCCCTTCTCGAGGGCGCCAAAGGTCGTTGGGGGGAGGCGAAAGGAGGGCGATGACAAATGACATCTCCGGCCCTCCACATTTCCTTTTCGTCACATTTTCGCGATCCCCGTTTACATCCATTTATTTTATTGGAAAAACAAACCAAAGACGGGCTCCTCGGGCAAAAAAAAATGAAGAAGCGACGGTAATCGAAAAGACAGCTGGATCCGCGAGGAATGGGACGGCGGATTTCGGGGGATTCAGAGCGATTGACAAATTTGGATGGAGATTTTTGTTGGATTTGTGGGCAGGAAGGTGACATTTTCTCGGTAAAGGTCATTGGTACCGTATGGTATGAAGCGACAGTAAGCTCTACAAAAAAATTTTTTTTTACTCGTTTCCCATAGTCTCTAGTCGGCGAAAATAGACGAACATCTCAGCTGAAACTCAAAATAATGGGCTGAAAATTTCCATAGTTTAGAAGTATGCTATTGACAGTCTGTATGCCAAATTGGAAGCAAATCTGACCATCCACTATCAAATGGCGTATGTTTTTTTATTACCCTAGATATTCGGTGTGCAATTTTTTTGAGGGCCTTTTAGGATAATTTAGTGTCAAATTAATGTCTCCAAATTCTCAGAAATGGATTCCCAGTTGTAATTTGATTTATAAATAAACACTCTTTTTCAGGCGTATTTTACCTTGTTTTTTTCTCTTCCGAACTTTATCTTCTCCCTTCCAAGCTCAATATCTCTTGTAAATTTTCTGAGGGCCTTTTAGGATAATTTAGTGTAAAATTATTGTCTCCAAATTCCCAGAAATGGATTCCCTATTGTATTATGATTTTTAAATTTATTACCACACTCTTTTTCAGTCGTATTTTACCTTGTTTTTCCTTCTCCAAACGTTTTCTCCTCCCTTCCAAACTCAATATCGCTAAATCATCCCACTCTCCTCACTCCAGCCACCCCTGAACAACATAATCCTTATCTCCGGCACTCTGTTGACTACCGTCTCCGCAAATACATCTGGAGCCCTCCATTTTGTCGTTGGAATCCCCAGCGGGCGGCGGGAGTGTCGAGAAGTCGCCCCATTCCCATCTTGGCCAATTCGCGAGATTTCCGCGGGTTATTCGCCGCTCCCAATGGGCGCAATGGAACGACTTTGGGTCATCTTCAGCGCCGGGAAATAAAATTGATGGTCTCTTTTGGTCTTCTGAAACCCCACCGCCCGGCTTTCGACACTTGCGCAACTGGTGGCTAGCATAAGGAAATCGAGGTGTCGGGAGGGGCATTCGGGGATCGGAAGTGGAAAAAATGAAAAAGAAAAAAAGTAGAAAGATTGCTAATAATTTTTACAGTATTAGAAGACAAGATAATAAAGCACAGAAGGCAAACAAGGCGCTTATATTATACTTGATGACTTAATAAAATCAGCAAATAAAATAAAATAGATAAAAGAAAGAAAGCAAAAAATATGATTAACAAAAGAATCCTATTACGTATTTTACAACAATAAAAAGTTCACAGATCAACAACCTAATAGAAATGACAAAATTTTCGACTCCTGATACCATAGTGTAACGGGTATGTAAAAATGAAATTTTAAAAGCAACTTCTGCAACTAATGAACATCAAAATAAAGAAATCATACACTCATAAAACAGAATACATTTTTTGGTATAAATAAAGTGTCTTCAGACCGTCTAAAGAGCAGATTTCTCAATTATATTATACATGACGGTCAGATGTGCCAAGGTTAATATAACTGGAGGAAATGAACTGGAAGGCAATTACAAGCATTTGAAATTTGTGTCGCTTATATTGTTATTATATTTTCTTCGGATTGTTAGGGTAATGAATCATCATGACACATTTTATGGCCAAAATTTTCAAAAATTGTGCCTTTTTGCCCAAAAAAAGTTTTTGATGATTTAAAATCAGATTTGTGGCATATGGTATTAATAAACTAGTGTGTCCACAATTTCTCTCCGCATTTTTTTACTGAAACTTGATTTTAGCCTTCAAAAAGAAGGTGATACAATGAATTATTGTTGGGTCCAACATTTTTGCCCACTTTCTATCTAAAAGCCTCGATTGTTTCTGCAAAGCGCGAGCTAGGAGTCTCGCATGCATTTTAGAAGAAATTATTCTATATTTGTGCCAAGTTTCATCAACATCTGTGCGTTGCATTTGGGGTACTTCCCTTATTAGGCCTCTAAGTCAACAACAAGCTCTCTGTCTCTCCTCCAGACCTCTTTTCCTTTCATTCTCACTCTTCCAGCAATAATAATTTCCCGTATAACGTACCGTGCGAGTGGCTCGTTTTTTGGAAGCCATCTAATGTCTAATATCCCCGCACTAAATGAGTATAATTGCCTCGACAGTTGTCCAATTTCCGGTCGCTAAAGAACGTCGAACGACCCGCCGAATTTCGGGTTCGTGCCCGGCGGGCATTTGCATCACCCGCCCATTTGCATAATCTCTTCGACCAATAATTTTCGCGCATTTGGCGCGGGCCAGCTGTCGCTGAATTGAGATGCTTATGGACTGGAAATGATGCGACACGTCGAGACGAGCGGATTCGACCATAATTGCGGGAGTAATCTCGATCCCAATATTTGCATATCGGGTGCCGCTGGTCCTCGTTATCGGATTTATATTACACTAGACATCAAGTGTCGAGAACTCAATTTTTGGGTAAAATACGCTCCCAAAACTTCGATTTGATAAAAAAAATAAAGAACATCAAATATAGATCCATTTATTACAAGAATCTTTGATATCAGGTCATCAAGGCACTAGTTATATCTTCAAATCGAAAATGCAAAGATTCGGGCAAGAGAACGAACAAAAATCAATGGATATCGGATGTCATTTCGGGTATTTTCATAAGGCATTCAGGACCAGAACATGAAAAATTAGACTAAAAAAAGAAAAATCAAAAAATTTTGAGAATTTCCTACTGTAAAATTGTAGGAAATTGCAGATTTTAAAAGTAGTTCAGATTGTAAAAAATGGCATGTTATTGAAAAATGAATAAAGCTGAAGTTTGAACATCATATTCATGCCAAATTTGGCTAGATTAGTAAAGGATGAGCGGTGGAAAATGATATTTTAAAACGGGATATCAGATGGGTTTGAACTCGAAAAGGATGATCAAAATGAGGGGCAATAGTTGACTAAGGCTGGTAAAATTAAAGCGACTTATGTGGAGGACAACATTCGATCATATTATGGGTGTAAATGTTGCGTAAATGAGGGTGATCTTGTATAATAATAATGGGAAATGATGACATGGATAATATCGCAATATCGAGTTTTTGAGCAGAAGACGTGTTTAAATAGTGGATTATGAAATAAAAAGATATATAAAGGCACAATACGACATTTTGAGTATTGACTTTCGTAATTATGAGCAAATTTATATCAAAAATGGAGAAAATTCGACTGTATTGACCAAATTATTCCCTTCTTTTGTCCGCCAATCTATCGTCGATGCCCTCAAATCAAAGGAATTGCCCGAGGGCATCGTACAATACAAAAAGTAAGTGAATTTGTGACGCACGGACAAAAGAAACGGAACTTGTTCGATCAGATGTCATGATGAAGTTAATTGATGAGAACGGAGGGATTCTGGGTCAAGTTGAAGATCTGACGCACTCTCTCCAACTGTTTCGACATTTCATCAACATTCATGGCTTTGCTGAAATTCAAAAATAAGGTTTTTGGAGGGAAAAAATTGAGAAAATGTTGCACAGTGCAGCCGAAAGTAAACGGCTGATTTTGCACAGTGCGTCGACGATTTTTTATTCGAAAACAATGCAGAATTGACTGAAATACACTATTTTCACATCCCAGTTGTAAATTGGAAATTTACATTCGCCGCACAATCCAAAAATTTGAATTTTTTAAAATCTGCACTGTGCAATTGGTATTTTTCCGATTGCACTGTGCAGAATTTAATAAAATCGCTTTCATTTGTCGTATGAAGCAAAATTGTGAAAGTTTTATCGAATATATAAAACAAAAATGGCCTAGTCTATCAGTATGTATACCGTCTTGAAAATTTCCCCATTGCATTGCGGAAAATATTGAACTTTTTTTATTTTACGCACTGTGCAATCGATTTTTTGCTGATTTTCCAGTACTGTGCAGACAAATAAATTTTTCAGTCAGTGAAAAACATACTTTGAGATGACAGTCTCATCGCAGACACTTGATGGAGTTGATGAAGTCGACTTGTTTGGAGATTGCCGATGATTTTCGTCGATGGGAGAGGCCAGTCGTGAGAAAAGCGACATAACATTGGAATTCGCAGCAGGCTAAAGGTAAATTACATTATAAAAGTCATAAAATGTATTTTCACATTTATTTACAACCAAAAATCAGCATAAAATTCAATGCCAAAGGCTTTGCCAATTTGGCGGGAAATTTGAAATTCAATTTTTAGAAAATTTTCACATTTTCAAAAAATCCTCACCATAAAATTGGGTACTGTACATTGTAGGGTCTGCTCAATACTCGAATTCATTTGTCGTTTCATGGTCAACGCGGTATGCAAATTCGGATTTCCGGAGTGGCGGTTGCGGCTGCGGCGCGACGAAAAAACGCGCCCGCATCCCTCAACGGTGCAAGTGTGCGTCTCCTTCAGATGCACAGCACTATTGTGGATCTTCAACGCGCCTTTGTCACAAAAACTCCGGCCACAAGTCTGACATTGGACACGACGTTTCGTCGATTTGAAAATTCGAAGCTGAAAATTATATTGTTTTAGGGGAAATTGATGATTTTAGATGGTGAAAAAGACTAATTTTGATGTTGAAAATTTATTTTGAGCTGTAAAATATTTGAAACTAACCAAATCTACTTGATTTATGGATTAAATTTGAAAAAAAAAATTCATTTTTTTGTCATGGATAATATAAAAATTTGAAAGAAAAGTATCTCAGACTTAATCAATCTAGCTGAAATTTTGCATAGATCAAGTGTAAAGTGACAAAATGCTACTGTCAAAATTTCAGTTTGATTTGAAAATTTTCAATAGAAATTTCACTCAATTTTCGGCCGGAAATCGGCTATTTTTTCTATATTCGCCAAAAAATTATATTTTTTTGTATTAAATCCCCTCTAAATCCCGCAAAATTAGCGTTACCAGATAATAAAATCCCTAAAGCCCCAGCAAATTTCTGGAAAAACTCTTTGCGACCCACCTTTTCGGACCTTTCGGCCGCTACCGTTGAGCTGACCTCGAGTGGGCTGATGGGAGGAGGACAAGTGGACGAGGTCCTGCTGGAAGAGGCGCCCTCCGAGACGGCTGTTCCCTCCACCTGGGGCTCTGCAATCAGGTCAAATTGGAGTTCTGGAAGCGAATCTTCAAGCCGAGATCAAGACATTGATTTAGGAGTGGGCTTGACTCATTTTTCCACTTTTTTTGACAAAGAAACGTGCTTTAGGAAAAATTTAATTTTCAGAGTGTAAAAAATATTCAATTTCCAATAAATTAAGGGCATATTTGGCAAAAAAATCTCAAGATTTTGCGATTTATCATCCTTTTTTTGCCATAAACTTTACTTTTTTTTCCAAAATTTCTTCTCAAAAAAAAATCCCCCAAAATTTTCCCCACTATAACTACCAATTTTTCTTACCTATTTCCGGAGCACTTGAAGTGCTCGCTGACATGTTCACATCTCCAATATAACTGTTATTATTGTTATTTCCAACCAATGACTCCAACAAAGATTGTCGAAGTTTATCGGAAATCGTTGACAAATCCGGAAATAAAGTGCCAACAACATGAAGAAGTGTGAGTTCATTCTTCACTCCGATACATCGAAATGTAGGGGAGCTGGTAAGCTGAAACTCAAAATTGAATTTTTCAGAAGTTTTCGTGGTGGGACCCAAAAATAAATGGGGAAATTTGGTCGGTGGGTGTAATAAATGAGATGCTAAAACTATTTTAGAAGCTTAGAGAGTCTTTGGAGTCAGAAAATCCAATCTTCCATGAATTTTGAGGAAAATCAAGTTTTCGTGGTGGGACCAAAAAATAAATTGGGAAATTTGGTCGGGTAATAAAGCAGGTCCTATGCTTTTTTTAGAAGCTTAGAGAGTCTTTGGAGTCAGAAAATCCAATCTTCCATGAATTTTGAGGAAAATCAAGTTTTCGTGGTGGGACCAAAAAATAAATTGGGAAATTTGGTCGGATAATAAAGCAGGTCCTATGCTTTTTTTAGAAGCTTAGAGAGTCTTTGGAGTCAGAAAATTCAATCACCCATCAAGTTTTGAGGGAAATCAAGTTTTCGTGGTGGGACCTAAAAATGTAAAATTTATTGATTTTTGCCACCAATGTGTTCGTATTTGTTCCTGAGGGTTAGAACATGCATAAAACACACTCTGCGACTTATTTTGAGCTGTTTCAAGTTTTCGCTGCGGGACCCAATATTGATCCCCAAAAATCTCAAAAACCCCCAAAACCTACCAAATATCCCCTCTGCAGATCCTCCAGGCTCCAATTCGTCTTAACCAACACTCGATTCACCTCTTCCAAGTTGAAGTATTCGATCACTTTGTCCAAAAGTATTTTCATCCGACACGGAATCAGCTCATTCCCAACCAAAAGCGCACTAAATATCATCTCCAAGTATTGAATCTTGTGGCTTTTGATTAATTCTTCGTTTTCCGTCGGTTTGCTTTGGATTTGGGCAAAAATTGAAGACGAATTCTCCGACTTTTGCGGCATAAATGAGGATATCGCCCCGAAATTTATGGGGAGAAATGAGATATTGGACATCTGAAAATGCGAAAAGGTTGGTTGTTTTGTGGCATTCAATGCGAAAAAGGGCGAAATTTGTCACGGTTAATCAAAAAAATAATTTTTTAAAAATCAAAAAAAAAAAAAAAAATAAAAAAATCGACCATATAATTCGTATTTTACATCAAAAAAATTTACTGAAAAATTCGTATTTTTCTGTCACATAGCATAAAAAATCAAAAAAGCCATCAAAACCCTATGAGGGGAAGACTTGACCCAAATGACCCAGATTTGGGTCAAGTGTTACTCTTGATGATAAATCGTTCGAGAAATCTCGGAAATGGAAGAAACTGATATTTTATAGGAAATTAATCATTAATTTTTCAAAAATCCGATGACTAAAGCCACTAACTACCAAGTATAATATGTGTAATGTAAATTCAAAAATTTCAAAAAACCGTTGCCCATTCAAATTCCCGAAAATTCCCACAGAACCAATCGTAATCTTGCTCAGTGACCCTTCGGTTTCGGTTTCCCGATCCATTATCGAGAACCGAATCAGTGACCAAAACAACTGACCGCACGGCCAAAATCACGGCCAGTTTAAAGTTTAAAGTCGGGACAAAGACGACGACTAATGCATATTCGAAGACGATGGGGTTACAGCAAAATTCGAGTAGCGATGTTTCGATTATTAATCTCAAATGATAGGGAGAAAAAAAATTTTGAGAAAACGGGTAAAACAAGGTAATTTTATGGGGAAATGGCCTAAAAAGGGTGAAAAAAGTTCAGCAGAATGTAAAATACGGTAAAATTTGTTCTTGAATTAAATTTACATTTCAGAAAAAGCATTATTAGTTAGAAAAAACAGTAAAAATTAGAAAAAATCGCAAAAATCGAGAAATTTTTGGCTAAAACAATGTTTTTAACCAAAAAGTTGGCCAAAAAATTGATGAAAATTACTCAATATGCCCTTAAGGCAAGATAATTTACCTTTTAAAATAAATTAAAAATCTTTATTTTTCAAAATATTCATCAATTTTAAATTTTCTTCAATCATTATTTTTTCGAAAAATAGGCCAAAAAAGGCTTATCTTTGGGCCTTTTCTTGGCCTAAAATTTGGCTCACAAATCATTTCAAGCATTGTCCTATTACTTGCTTCCTGTTCCTCCTACCAGTTGCTAAAAGTTTTGGACTTTTTGGACTTTGGAACAGATGATTCTTTCATAAAAAAGAGAAATGGATAATGTAACACAAGTTCCCTTGATTGCTCAAGAATCAGGTCTTTTTTTGAGGGCCTGACTCATTTGTCATGCTGAGACCACCTGTGACATATAACAAGAACTTTTGCAGAAACTATCAAAATGATAAAAAAAGGATTTAAATTAAAATAAAGATGAAAAAAAATATTTTTTTTTGTAAAATACGGATTAAAATTTAGAACGAAATTTGCTCTGAAAAATCACGGGTCAAAAATCAAAAATTTTCAAACGAATTTTTGATGGAAAAACGAAATTTTTAACCTTTTTTGACTTGTATTTTAGATCTATTTTAATGATTTGATCTAAAAAATTCTCAATAATTTATATTAGGGTCAAATTTCATAAAAATTCGAGAGAAAACCAATTTAAAATGTTTTCGTGGTGGGACCCAAAATTAAAATTTAATGTCCAAAATATTGTCAGGACTGATTTAAAATATTTTTTTGTAAAATATAACATAAACGATATATTTTTTTATAACTTAAAACTGGCGAAAATTAAAAAATTTTTCTGAAAAAACGGGATTTTTTGAAAAAAAAATCGAAAAAAAAATAAAATATTTAATTTTGCCGCTCAGATAAGTTTGGCTACTATCCCACTATTCCGGTCTTCCAGATCGTTCCCGACAACTTTTCTCCCGCCTACCGTGTCCCATCACTTTGCCAATCCCATTGTCCTTTGATCCGCCCTCCGATTTCTCCCGCACCGCCGTTTTTTCGGATCCCAATTTTTTCTTGCCTTTGTCGCCGCGACAGGCGTGCCGAAAGTCCGGGGCGCCGGTTTTTGGCGGGTGACGAATTTTATGGGATGACACTTCCACATAACGACACTACTTTATTCTGATTCTTTTATATACCGACAAAAGGTGGTCGGGATTATAAAAAGTAAAAATTATGCTAAAATTATAAGACTTTTATGGAGATACTGTAAGAAGAGGGCCTATCGAATATTTTGAGAAGTTTCTTTTTTCGATTTTTTCTTGGAAAAAATTGGAATTTTAAAAATTTTATTTTTTCAAAAAAATTGCCATATAAAGGACACTTCTGCATAATACGGTTTGAAAACTTTTCAAATCACTGAAAACACTCTAATTTCCAATCACCCCAATTTTTTCCAGTTTCCAATCATCTTACTGTAACTTTTCAGATCCATCGTATAAAATGTCCCCACCCCCAAAACTTGGCCGGAAGTGATTGCGCTGTGAACCAATCTGCGTCAACGCTGTTTTCATTGACATTTCTTTTCTTTTTTTTTGCTGGAAGACGCCCACCCCCTCAGGGCATTGGCTCTCTTTTGTTTCAAAAGTTTTGGGACAAAAAATGGGACAGTTGTCTGGAAAAGGGGCGGGGAGGAGTGATTGCATGGTTATAATTAGAAGTGTCGAGGGCTGCCGAGAGCGTGGCCACAGTAATTTACGGAAAATCACGGAATTTTCGGATTTTTGGGTCGGCAGACTGCGCCCAGACTTTTGGCGGTTTGAAGGCGGATGATTAATGGAATCAGGAAGTAAGCTTCAAAAATATTTATGCCTTGCTTTTTAAAGGGCGAACTTTCGAGAATTGTGATCAGGACATGGTTAACTCAAAGCTCCGAAAAAAAGAGTGGCAGTAAGGTTGTACTTATATTCTTATCACAAATATATTGTTTGAACGTCGCTATTTATTTTACTAAAATGTTTTCCCAAAAAGCCAGATAATGGCATAAAATTTTAGTCTACTTTTTGGGCGCACCCTGTAAAAAATATAATTTGGAAAACGGCAGTCTGCGCCCTTGAGTTTGGTCAAAATAGACTTGTAACAGATGCAGAGTAAATTTTAGAAAAATTACATTAAGAAGATTACGGTAGATATCGATTTCTCCAATTTGGGACCATTAGCAAGTCAAAGTTTAATTCGCGAGCTGCGCCCATGCATAAGATTATTTTTACCGCAAAACGTAACCAATTGAGTCTACAATGCTCCAAATTGTGTTTTCATTGTAATTACAATATATAAGCACAATAAAAGCCCGCCAATGTCATCGTTTTCTCAGCAGCTCGCGCCCTACACAAAATCCCAAAACCACCCAAAACAAGTGAAACCCGAATCAAATGGCTCGGAAACAGATTGATGAAGATACCAAACATCTCCCAGATCGTCATGCCCCACCACTGTCCTCCAATCTGCCAAAACAATGCCCGTTTTTTCGGGGCCGCCCCCAAATCACGCCTGTTTTCCGGAAAGTCCCATGTCCCCTGAAGGCGGGTTGTGATTTGTCATTAAAGTGCCTGAAGTGCACTTGACACTCCTCTCCCGGCTTCTCCTCGCGATCTTCCGGATTGATTTTCGCCGAATGCCCTGAGGGTTTGTGATTTATTTTCTCCGCGGGACCACGTTGACAGCACTCAAAACTCGCGGATCAGCCCAATCACAACATAAAAATACGAAGAGGAATTCATTTTTTGGGCGGAGGGCATGATTGAAGGTAGGGCGCAGGCTGCGGAGAGGGGGAATGAAGAGAAATCAAGGCGCCTTGATTTCTGCAAAAAATGTATGAGATGATCGGTAAATAAGTAATATGTCGGAGTAAAATACGATTAATTGTTCTCGTGTTTCAAAAAAAAATCTCGGTGATAGCCTTCGGAGTAAAAAAATTGCAAAATATAGGGCGCAGTTTGGGGAAAAAACAAAAATATTTTTTTTAAAATATTGAAAAAAAGCCTCAATAAAATCCCGGCAAAATACGACCTTCTCCATCCACGCATTACAAACTTTTGTAGGGCGCGAGCTGCCCGCTCCACACAGAAAAGAAATCCAAGCAAAAGTGGAAGAGCCGAGCCGCAGGCACTTGAAGAAAAGTTCCCGAAGTCCCCTGTTTTATCACCATTTTATTGTCCCGTCTAATCGCTTTAAAGTTTTGGCCCGGCCGAAGTTGTAACAAAAGTAATGACTTTATCGCCCAAACAAAAGAACAATGACACAAGGGCAGGTCAGATGAGGAGGGGATGTTGCAACAAATCCCGTTTTTTAGGGATTTAGAGATACTGTAGAAAGATTTGCGGGTTAAATGCGAAAAAAGAGGATTTTTTTGAAAAAGTAAGCAATTTTAGATGAATATCTCCTTGAAATTTGCCAAAAATTTAGCGTAAAATTTTCTAGGACAACGATGGAATTTTTACATTGTAATATTCCCAAATAAACCATATTTTTAGTTTGGAAAATAGTCAAAATTTGACGTATTTTCGACCTTCATCTTCTTAGCTTCAAAATGATTCAATATCTCACCTGAAGCTGCAAGACTGAAACTAAAATTTCTAGCGATCAAAATGTGACATAGCACGAGAATATGTGCAAAATTTCAAGCAAATATGGCAATCGCACTTTGAGAAATTGGCTTATTAATCATCACGTCTAGTAATGCCAAGTGCAATGTATAAATGATGAGTCAGGGGATAATAGACCTTTGTCTGGAGGCAGTAAGCCTTTCATAAAGATTTACTAAGCCCTGATGCTTTATTTGACATCAATAGCTAGACTAATTTCAAGATTTTTTTAATGTTTTTGCAAGAAAAATCAAAAAATTCGTGGATTTTTTGCTATAAGCCTTATTTATCGACAAAAAATTGTGATCCATTCACGTAATCTAAGATTCTCAAAGCTTTCTAGATCCTAAACCTTGCTATAACGTCCGCGATTAGCCCCCTCTTGACCTGTCACTCCACCTTTTCCCTTCCCAAAGTTCCATTGAACCCGGGGAATGACAGTAGAAGATGGTAGATGGTCGCCCCGCTTCGTCCGTATTCGAAGAAAAGCTGGAAAGGACTGTGTTTTGTCGCGTTTTCTTTGGCTGGACCAAAACAGAAGGATGCGTCATGGATCGTGGCATTTGGGAGAGCGACAAGACAGATCTCTCGGCCCTTTTGTGGGGCTGGCCATCCAAGTTTGGCGGTGTCCGTGGAGGCGGGGGAATGCAGATTCCAGGGCAACTTGTGGATTGTCAGGAGCGAGTTAGAGCGTGGAGGGAGTGATAAATTGATTTTTAACCGCAGGCAACAGGAAAGGCTATTTTTAGAAAAATGATTATATACTTCATTGCTTAGTTTTATATCTCCCACAGTAGCTGAGAAGTCTAAAAATGATACAGAGTAATCTTACGGAAGAATAAAGCCTTCTACAGCAATAATTACGGTAATTCCGCAACAAACCCCGATTAAAATTGAAAAACAACTTTCATCGTATAACATGTCGCTTCTCGCCGAATTGTCATCTATAAGGTCAAAAAGTGCTGGTAAATGGAATAGCAGGACAATAGAAGCATCATAAATTCAGAATCTCTTTGAAAATCAAGCTTGATTGCCGACATTTAAGCTTCAGACATTAACGTCTATACTACAATATACCAATAGACAAATTAATGGTTGATTTAACTCCGAAAATCTCCGCACCTCTCCCCCAATCAGGCCTTGACAGTCTTCTTGCGATTCCTGACCTTTTTCTGGGCCCTAAAACAATCGCTTCGTGTCGCGGATTATTCATTTCGTGATGAGTAAAATGTCCAAGAGTCCGTGAAAAGAGAGCCGTTTTCGAAAAGCGGCGATGACACCGTGCAGCGAAATGAATCGGCCGGACTCATTGGACATTGTACGCTCTTTATGTATACGAAACCCGTCGTATCAGCGGCCATTAGCCTCAGGGGAAAAGTGATTTCAAAATCGAGAGAGAGTGAAATTTGGAAAAATCTGAGAGTTACAAATGACGTCATTTATGACAGGAAAGGAAAAAAAATCGTATTTTACATTCTCTGTAGTATATCATTGTAATAAAAAAACGATTTTTTAAAATATTTTTTTTTAAATTAAACAATTTTTTATCTTTTTTTAAAAAAATTGTTATTTTTAAACTATTTTTTTACATTTTTTTTTATTTCAACTTTTTTCAGAGAAATTACCACGTCATTTCCGCCCACAGTACTGCCATTTGAACCCCAAAAATCCGATTAATTTCCCTGCAAACTTTGAAAACAACACCATCACGTTTCAGCCCCAAAAAATCAAAAAAAAAATCCATTGCCTTTCTCCGGAAAGTGCTTATAACGAACAAAACAAAGGAGGTGGTAGAAGAAAACGTGCCAATCAATTGTCAGTGGGGAAAAATGTCAATTAGGAAAGAAAAAAAGATTTTTAAATGATCTGTGAAAAAAAATTAAAAGTGATTTGTTTTTTGTTGCCCATGTGATGACATTTCGTCGTATGTTAAATAAAAAGAATGCTCTGGGAATTTGGCGATGAATGATGATTTTTTTAAAATTAAAAAATTTTTTTTTGAAAAAATGAAAAAAAAATTTAATTTATAAAATTGCATTTTGTAGTTGTAAAATACGTGAGTGCACATGACTTTGTAATTTTTATAAGTTGGCACTGCACGGCATTCTGTACTTTTGGGACACAACCGGTCTCCATGATTTTTTTCTAGTTTTTCAAAGTAGACCTCCTTCTTTAATACATTGCTCGCTAGCCGTTGAAGCTAGAGACTTGAAAATTGGCAAGGGTATAGAGTAAATGTTCCGCTTCCAGAATATATAAATATTGTAATGAACCCCGCGCTGTAAGCTCCACAATAAGATGCGAAAATATTTCATTCTTAAAACTTCTTGCACCTAAAAGGTCATTATGCAAGATCGAAATGACAAATTTTAAAATACTGATGTGTGCAGAATTTTTTTTTCTATCAGATACTTAAATTTCGTGGAGTTGTATACGAAAATGGCTGTGCTACGTACGAAAAACTGAGTTTCATAGTGTGTTTTTTTGAAATTTTTTGGAATATCTCTGCCCTCAGGGCACAGATAAATCAAGTTCCGACTCACGTTTGTTGCCGATGATGACATATGTAGCCTTGCCAAATTACAATGTTATATCTCCAAAATCACGGGAGCTATTCGCTTTTCAACTTTTTTTATCAAAAATGGGCTTCAGCCCATCTTTGTGGGGGGATAGTGAAGGTAGCGACTTGAAACTTGGCACTATGGTAGTCTATTTTGTTCCCAATAGCACCCGTATGATCAATTTGCTCAGTTCCGCTTGTTGCCCTGAGGGCGATTTTTTTCGCACGGTGCACCAAAAATCGACCGAAATTTCCGGCCGCCCTGGCGGCCGTAATTTTAAAGATACGAAGAAGATGTAAGCGGGTAATTTGTAGAGCTCTTCGAGCTCTACAATCCATAGTTGGACATTCTTGACATCGTTGTTGTACATCAGTGAGAAAAAAAGTTGAAAAGCAAATAGCTCCCTTGATTTTGAAGATATAACATTGTAATTTGGCAAGGCTACATATGTCATCATCGGCAACAAACGTGAGTCGGAACTTGATTTATCTGTGCCCTGAGGGCAGAGATATTCCAAAAAATTTCAAAAAAACACACTATGAAACTCAGTTTTTCGTACGTAGCACAGCCATTTTCGTATACAACTCCACGAAATTTAAGTATCTGATAGAAAAAAAAAATTCTGCACACATCAGTATTTTAAAATTTGTCATTTCGATCTTGCATAATGACCTTTTAGGTGCAAGAAGTTTTAAGAATGAAATATTTTCGCATCTTATTGTGGAGCTTACAGCGCGGGGTTCATTACAATATTTATATATTCTGGAAGCGGAACATTTACTCTATACCCATGCCAATTTTCAAGTCTCTAGCTTCAACGGCTAGCGAGCAATGTATTAAAGAAGGAGGTCTACTTTGAAAAAATAGAAAAAAATCATGGAGACCGGTTGTGTCCCAAAAGTACAGAATGCCGTGCACTGTGCAAAAAAATTTTTTTTCATTTTTTGCATAGTGTAACAAAAAATTTTATAAATCTCATTGCACAGTGCGGTGGGGTCAAATTTTGAATTTTTTTTTTGAAAAAAGTCAACTACTAGTATTTTACACAGTGTAATCGAAAATTGGGACCTCTCCGCACAGTGCAAAATTTTAATTGCAGTAGATAAAAAATTGAACTTTTTCTGATCCTACAGGTAAAATACGACGATATAATCATTGCCATCAGAAATTCGACAAAATTCTTCATACACAATGTCATAATTTCTTTGATTTCTACGCACAGTGCAATTTCAAAAAAAGAATTTTTTTTTAAATTTGCACTGTGCAAAAATTAAAAAGAGTTTTTGACCAAAAGATTTTTCACAATTTATAAAATTCGCTTTCCAAATAAAGTATTAAAAAAAATAAAAATTCAATTGTAAAATTTCGAATTTTTGGAAAACCAAAAAAAAATATTTTTTAAATACCGTAAACACACCACAGTGCATCTCAAAAAAATGTTACCACACCCTACCCCCGCCCCTTTCGAAATCCCCCCTAAAATCCCAAAAAATCTCGAAAAGTTTCTCGCCGCTCCACCTGTCGCTGTCACATGGAAATAAAAAAAGAACAAAGCCCTGAGGGCGTCGAGAGAGAGGACCCGAACTTTTAGCGTTTTTATGGCCATGAAACAACGAGGAATGCCATATAAATTGTTCCTCGGAATATGGCCCGGATCAAGAGTTCCCACAAGATTTATGGCCCCAAGAACAACGGAACATACGCTGATAATGTTATATTTAGCAACATTGGGAGAGAAATTATAGGGATTACAGATCAAGTTTGAGGGGTTGGGAAATAATTCACACAGTTTTTTGAGGGTATTTCACAAAAAAAAATTTTTTTTGTCGCTCGCACTGTGCGGTCAGAAATTTTGAATTTCGCACAGTGCAAAACCCGGAAGTTTTTTGACTGCACTGTGCGAAAAAAATTTTTCGTTAAGTTGCACAGTGCGCAAAAAAATTGCAAAATTTGTGAATTCCAATCTCTCACTGCAAAATAAAAATTTTAAATTCCCCGATTGCACAGTGCAGATAAAAAAATTTTCTACTGCACAGTGCAGAAAAATGATTTTTTTGAGTCTCAAATTTTGGACTGCACAGTGCAAAACAAAAATTGTCTTTGGGCTGCACAGTGCGGCAAAAAATTAAAATTAAAAATTTTTTTTAAAGAAAATTTTTATAAATTCCAATCTCCCATTAATAAAATTTTTAAATTCTCCGATTGCACGGTGCAGATAAAAAATTTTTCTACTGCACAGTGCAGAAAATTGATTTTTTTGAATCTCAAATTTTCCATTGCACTGTGCAAAACAAAAACGAAAAAAAGTTTTTTTTGCCCCTCTCGCTATTCTGGACAAGTTCAGAGGTCAAGGAATTACCCAGAAAAACAAGTAAGAAAACAGTTTTGAAATGAAACAAATTACTCGCTTCCCCGTAATCGATGAGAACTGAAACAAACAGAAGATCAAAGTCTAGATTTTGGATGCCTTTGGCCAGCGATAAATCCGGGATTTTCAATTTCATTGTGCAGAATCTATAATAATTTTGTTCTCTGCACTGTGCACGACAAAAGGAGTTTCAATAAAATTCCAACTGCACTGTGCAAAGATCAAAATGGGCGTTTTCATTAATTAGAGCGCACGGTGCGGAAAGAGCGACAAATCAGCAACATTTCGTTTGCACTGTGCGAGTTTTTCAAATGTGGAAATTGCACTGTGCAAAATAAAAAAAATTTTTTAGACCGCACAGTGCAATGAATTGTGCTCGAAAATTGCACTGTGCGAATTTTTCAAATGTGGAAATTGCACTGTGCAAAAGCAAAAAAAAATTTTTTTAGACCGCACGGTGCTAATGATATTGTTCAAAAAATTGCACTGTGCGAATTTTTGGAATGTGAAAATTGCACTGTGCAAAAGCAAAAACAATTTTTAGATCGCACAGTGCAAACAACTGTGCCCAAAAAATGCACTGTGCAAAAGCAAAAACAATTTTTAGATCGCACAGTGCAAATAATACTTTTTTTAAATTGCATTGTGAGGTATCAAAAAAAATCGGCTGCACAACGAAAAAAATTAGTTTTTGCCCCTCGCACCGTGCAGAAAACAATTCTTTCGACCGCACCGTGCACTAACCAAAAATATAATATTTCCTACCGTAACCCATCCTAAATTCCCAAAACAACCCCTTCCGGAAAGTTCAACGACACTATACGAAAAGAGAAAGCACAGCAGCATATCAATAACAATATTTGAAATCACATTTTATGCGACCGCTTCCGCTTTAGCACATGCCCCTTTTTTGTGTCCTCGGGGCCACATGGGCCCGGAATGATCGATTCGGAGAGTGATTGTGACATTTCCAGGAGAGCCGGAGGACATGGTTCGTTATAGGAATCGTGAGGAAGGCGAGGATAATCGAGTATAAACATTCGGAAAGACGGACTTGAAGAACGCGAAAAAAGTTGGCAAAAAAGAATACGATTTGAAAGTTGATTGGGATGAAACTTGGCACAAACAAAAGTTGACATTTTCGAAAAAAAAATTAAATTTTTAGCCCGCGTTTTGCAGAAATCAACGCGATTTTTAGGTCAAAATTTGATTAAATTTTTTAAAGTTAAAAGTTTTTCCGCGGCTTTCGGAACAAGAAATTGGCATTCCGTTCGAAGTGAAGAGCACAATATTTGTATAAAAAATCGATTTTTTAGAACCAAAATTCCAAAATAAACGACTGAATTTTTTTTTCTCTAACCAGCTCTCCGCATTCTTCATGAGCTCTAATCTGCAAAGATTCTTCAATATCTCGGTCTGGAGTGTAAAATCTGAGATGAAATTTTCAACTGTGAAACTATGGCCTAGAGTGACCATCATGGCCAAATCAGAACAAAAAATTGACTATCACACTTCGAGCAATATCACTTTTATGTTGCACCTCCATATCCACAAAATTTTTTCGCCATACTCAATATAGGCGTATAAAAGTAATATAAGTAATACTAATAGCATTGTAAGACCTTGAAAACCTCTCACATACAAAGATTCACCATCTTCCTCCCCAAAAAACCCCACAAATTCAATTTATATTATACTTGTTCATCAAACCTCATCCTGCCTTCAAACTGTCATAACTCCCAAAATAATGACGCGATAACGACCTATCAACAACCAAATCTCTTTCAACATCAACATCTATCCACCCACTTGACCTTTTCCATGCCCCTTGTTGTCTAGCCTCAAATTTTTCGAAAATAAAAGTGCAGAAAAACCCCAAAAATCTCGAACGTATTTTAGTGAGCGATGCAAGTTTTGGGGTCTCGGAATTTGTCGAAGAGAGCAAATAATGGATGGTGGGTTTTGTCCGGATCACTGTCGCCCGAAGATGATTAATCGAAGGCCGAAAGGAAAGGGCGCGACGTCTGGCCAGCGAAAAGAATGGCAAAGGCGCGGGTTCGGCTGGGGAAATGGTAAGGTTCGAAAGGTTGGATGAGGTCGGGAGATCAGAATTCACATTTTCCGAGTGATCAAAGCACAACAAATTGGTTGAAAAGGCCGTATTTTACAATTTTTTGGAAAAAATCATCATTTTCCCCAAAAATTTGATCAAAATTCTCGGAAAAATCGAATTTTTAGGTTGGAAAATTGAATCTCCTTTTGTCCTATGCTCTAGAATAAGCTCTAATTTAACTGACACTTGTCTATAGTACTAATTGTCATCGTATTTTAGCTGAATTTTTAAAATTTCACCAATTTTCGGGGACTTTCAGAAAATTTCGTCTGATAGATGTAATTTTGATGCTGAAACAAGAAAATTATTGTCTAATATTGACGTAGACAGCTTATTCTTTCCAACTGGTCACCTTTACACTTCTGATTTTAGAGAATTTTTTAATAATTTTTAAAATTTTGGAGTATTTTTGGCAAAAATTTTAATTTTTCTGCAAAACCCGATCTCACCGTATCTGAAACACCATAATTTTTGGCATAAAATTTTTTGCAATACATATAAAAGTTCTGCAAACCCAGCCCTCATGCCTCAAGCCCTGCAAAAATCCCATTTTTCGGCTCAAAAACTGGCTTAACGACTCTAATTAATTAAGCCCACAGATCTCGCGACACCCCATTGCCTGAGGCGTTTTACGAGCCATTTGTCACCTGGCTTCGGCCGAAGTTTCTCGGACTCTACGTGAGGAAACAGGGGGACGAAAATAAAGACAAGGGACAGGTGATTGATCTCGGCCTAAAATAGGCCCAAGAAGGAGGCAGATGGACGCCGAAGATGAGACATCAAGATAAACCTGGCCCAGCAGAATCGGTAGTAATGCGGAGGCACTCGGAAAAGGCAAAACATTTTTGAAAAAAACGGGAAATAAGAGATGAGTCAATTATAAGGTCGGAGAGGGAAGATGGTGACATTTGGGGAATTTGAATAAGGCCATAAACATCGTATATGCACATCTATTTACTACTTTATCTTATTTGGAGTCATAGAAAAGTCAAAAAGAAAAAATTACAGCCAAAAAATCGACAAAAAGCCAATAAATTTAACAAATGAAGTACCCAAGTGCGACGCTCAGATTTTGATGAAACTTAGCACAAATTTAGAATAAGTTTTTCTAAGATAATATTCGAGAATCCTAGCTCGCACTTTGCAGAAACAACCGAGATTTTTAGATCAAAAGTCGGCGAAAATTTAGCACTTTTTGCCGAATTTCGGCACGAAAAGTTTCATGCCTATTTCAACTGTAAAGGATAATGTTTCTACAAAAAATCAAATTTTTCCGCACGAAACTGTCAAAGTTATGGCCAAAAAGCGCTCATCTCTCTGACCGCTCTCCGCGTTTAGCGTCCTCTCTCGGCGGCAAAAATCGTTCGATATCTCGGCGGCGCCCGCAAAACGCGAGCTAAAACTTTCAGGAATTGATATTTAGTCCATACCCGATGTGTGTGCAAAATTTAAAGAAAATCTGAGCGTCGCACTTGGAGTACTTCCCCTGTTAGTTAGAGTCACAGAAAAGTCAAAACTAAAATACTACAGCCAAAAAATCGACAAAAAGCCAACAAATTTAACAAGGGAAGTACCCCAAGTGCGACGCTCAGATCTTCTTTAAATTCTGCACACACGTCGGTCATGAACTAAGTATCAATTCCTGAAAGTTTTAGCTCGCGCATTGCAAGCCCCACCGAAATATTCAACAATTTTTGCCGCCGAGAGAGTACGCTAAAGGCGGAGAGCGGTTCGAGAAAAAAAACACTTTTTGGCCATAACTTTGCCAGTTTCATGCGGAAAAAATTGATTTCTTGTGGAAACATTACCCTCTATAATAGAAATAGGCATGAAACTTTTAGTGCCGAAATTCGGCAAAAAGTGTCAAATTTTCGCCAATTTTCAATCTAAAAATCTCGGTTTTTTTCTGCAAAGCGCGAGCTAGGATTATCGCATATATTTTACAAGGAAAGTACTTTTATGGGGGCTCCTACTTTTTGACGGTACATATCTCAAAAAATCAGAAAAAATGTGTTGATCAAGAATATATAAATCTTAGCTGCCCATTTTAGGTTTTTAGGGGTGAAAACTCAATCGGAAGATGACTTAAAGTCCTATACGAACCCCTTTTCGTTTGATTTTTCACAGGTTTACAATTTTTATTTTGGCTTAAAATGATGTTTATTGAGTTTCTAAGACGTAATAAATCAGTCTTGGCACAAAAATTTATTTTTCCAACCCTCAACTTCAAAAAAAGTTGATTCAGTCCAAAAGGGAAACCGAACCCGTGCGGCGTTCCCCCTCTTCATTCCCAGACCACGGCACTAACCACTCGGCCACACCGCTCTCTTCCGAAGGAAGAGACCGACTGCGCTTTTTATCGTTTCGAATGCCTGCGCCTTTTGTAGGGAAATTAAGCCAGTTTTTGGGCATTTTCACCCCTAAAAACCTAAAATGGGCAGCTAAGATTTATATATCCTTGATCTGCACATTTTTTCTGATTTTTGGAGATATGTCCCGTCAAAAAGTAGGAGCCCCCATAAAAGTACTTTCCTTGTTAGAAAAAAATATTCTGAATTTGCGCCAAGTCTCATCAAACTCTGAGCGCCGCACTTGAGGAGACTTCCCTTGTGAATACTCCTAAAATTTCGGAGATTACAGTAACCCACGATGACCCCAACACTCTCAAAATCACATATAAGCCCTCCCGTTCCATTATATCATCACAGTCCTCTTTCAAAATCCCATCAAACCCCTTCTTCGGCCTCTTCAAACATGTACACCACCAAAAATAGATGGACAAAGTGGAAATCATGCTCAATCAGCCGGATCGAACGTCGCGGGAGGCAAATGGACAGCCCCATCGTCGTGGCGCTTCATAAGGACGGCGAGTTTATTGAGTTAGTGGGGAAAAAACGGGGCCATCGACAAATAAATCCGATTTATATTCAACTCGCCCATCAGATGGGTCATCCCGAAAAAATGACAAGAAATTGTGATGGAAGGGGGTAAATTGAAGGTGATCGATTCTTAGATAGCATAGTAGGTCCATTGAGTACTACTAGTACCAATATTACGTTAATCCGACATTAATTTGAATTGGTGTTTACACTTGTTCAAGTGTAATATAATTTTGATCTCAACTCAAAACTTTCTGCATGTATTTACCCCGCTTTTGCTTCAACTCATTTCTCACAATATTTTCAATATTTCAGACTTTATTCAACTCTTTTCCATTCTAAATACCCTCACAATTAACAAAAACAAATTTATTTTTAACAAATAACAAGTAATCAGCAAAAACAGGAGGACATTTTGAATAAATTGATGGTTTAACAAGGTTAACAATCAGAAGTCGATTCATTCTTCCACTCTACTCCTTTTTATTCGCATTTCCTTTGGCCAAACGAGCTTTTTTGGCCAATTTTTTGATTTCTTGTACCTAAAAATAAGCCCAAAATTAATGTACTCAAAATCGAAAAATAAATCCAAAACATGTTTTAAAATTTTATCTACCTTTCTTTTCTTGACTTCTCTGGCAATCAGAGAATCTTTGGAATGCTTGGGCTTCAAATCATCGTGTTTCTCCCATTCGTCTTCAATTGTTGGATAGAAAATAGGTTCTCCGGCTAAAAATACAAGTCATAACACATCAAAATCAATGTAAAACACAAGAAATTACACCAAACCGGGATTCCAACATCAAAATTCGTCCATAAACACCACGTTTGATCAAAAATTTATAATTTTTAGGTCAAAAAATGCCTGCTACAATATAATCAACCCTTCAAATTTTTTGTCATAACCTCCCCAAATACTCTAAATGATCTCTTCTCTTCATATATGACCTCTTTTTACTTTCATGGAATCAAAAACCCCAACTTTTACATCAAAAATACCTACTACAATATAATCAACCCTTCAAATTTTTGTCATAACCTCTCCAAATACTTTAAATAATCTGCATTCTTCATATATGATCTCCTTTTCCTTTCCTGGTACCAAAAACCCCAACTTTTACGCCAAAAATACCTACTACAATATAATCAACCCTCCAAATTTTTGTCACAACCCCTCCAAATACTCTAAATAATCTCTTCTCTTCATATATGACCTCTTTTTCCTTTCCTGGAACCAAAAACCCCAACTTTTACATCAAAAATGCCTACTACAATATAATTTCTTTCCAAAAATCCACTCCACGCCCTTTAAATGACTTACACTGCTCATCCAGAACCTCAATCTTTCCCTTCGAACTAATTCTAATCTTCAAACCATCTGGCAAAGTGCTGCATTCATCTTCAATGACCTCAATTTTCTCCTCTGGGACCTTCGCAATCACCTCATTCGCCGCTCCAAAGTCCACATATACCGGGAGCTCCTGGTTGGTGGTCATCCATGCAATGCCCGCCCTTCTCAGATTATACAATCCTCCGGGCAAAATGACCGCGGCCGCGTCCAGGACGGCCGAAAGATTTTCGAGAAGAAACTCGGGCTTTTGATGGATGTTGCCGATCCTCAATACGTGTGTAATTGAGTTCAGAGGTGAGAGTAGGGTCTCCTGAGAGTAGGCCTTCAATATGTTCTCCTTCAGCTTTCCAGAACGAACATTTACTTTGACCGGGAACCTAAAGTAATATAAATGTATGTCCGAAATCGCCAAAATAGCTGTTCAAACTGCCTCAAATTGAATCTAAATCAAAGACCACTAACTAAAATGACTTACAAGTTGGTGTTCCAGCAACTTTTCCCGAAATGTTTGACCATGGTTTTGAAAAGTTGTTCGTGGATCACAATTTTGTCGTAACTTCTGAGGAATCTGGCAATATCTATCTTGCTTCTGTATTCTCTTTTGAACTGGACATAAGTCATCACTTTGTCCACTTCATTTCCGGTGATTCCATGCTCTTCCCGCAGCCAGTCTTTCCAAATTTGTGCGTTTTTATCCACTTCATTTGGCCAATTTTTGGGATTTCTCAAAGTTTTAGCATTCTGATCGGACAAAATTAGACACACCGTGGAGTTTCCGGGGTCTCGGTCAGAATGCGGGAGTTGGCTAAAAAATTTTTCAATTATTTTTGCAAATTTTTCGTATTTTACTTACATCACTTTGAACTTCCGAAGCCCATGAACTCTCGGTTTCTTGAGATGGAATCTGACGGCAATGGAATCGTTGGCTTCGGCGAAGAGATTTGGCTTCGAATGTTCTTTGTTGAACTTCAGCATGGCTTTGAGGGCAGCTTTGGCCTAAAACAATATAATTTATATCCAAAAAAATATTTTTTGCTTCCAAATTCTTTCTTATTACTCAAACCATCTCCTCAACTCTTTTCTCATCTAATCCAAAGGTTTACGACCTCTAAATCCATTACTTTCACCGAGAGAAACACTTGACTCAATAAAACCCTAATTGGTCAAGTCTTCCTCTGATCCTCAAAACCAGGGGTGGTCAGCAGACCCTATTTTTCCGATTTTCGGCCCGCGGCCCGGCCCGTCTAATCACCGGCCCGGCCCGGCCCGTCTAGTCTTTTTCCAGGCCCGGCCCGGCCCGTGACGGGCCTGGCCCGGCCCGGCCCGTGCAGGCCCGTCTATAGAGGGTTCTGCGAACTGCGCCCAGGCTCGGGATCTAAACTGAGGCAAAAAAGGCGTTGATCTAGCTAGTAAAGGATCAGTGTGATAGTTTTGTGGTTCTATAATGGAACTATAGACTTGTAAACGTGTTAGAACTTGAGAAACAGCAACTATAACAACATCAATTAATTTTCCCGGCGCGAAAACAATGAATGCCAACGGTTTGGCATTGTATTTTAGACGGGCCGGGCCGGGCCGGAAAAAACCCCAGGCCCGCGGCCCGGCCCGTGACGGGCCCGGCCCGTTTGTCAATTTCCATTTTTGAGGCCGGCCGGCCCGCCGACCACCCCTGCTCAAAACGTCCCTAGACTGGGAAAGTTAAACTACGAATCTTCATAGACCTCGTTTTAAACCTAAAAACAAACTTTCAAACTTCATTCCTTACTTGCTCCAAGATCTCCTTCTTCACCTTCTCCGCGTTGAATTTCCTTGGGACATAAAATCCATTGATGGATTTGAACTTTTTAGAATCTACTTCCTTCTTCTTCAGTGGTTTTGTTATCAACCCACGTCTCTTTTTGAGTTCCGGCTTCACTGGTTCAGGTTTTTTGGTTTCCTTAGCGACCTTCTCAACAAAATCCACTTTTTTCGGCTCTTTCACAGCCTTTTTCTGCACCGTCCTGGCCGGTTTAATAACCTTTGTCTTCGCCATGCTACTCGAGACGTCTGTAATACACAACATTACCGGAAATACCCAAAATTGGATCATTTTCCAACAAGAGTAACACTTGACACAATTGAGTCAAGTCTTCCTCTCATTAACGAATTGGCCAGATCCAAACGCCAAATCAAAGTAGCAGCAAAAAATAAAATAGATATCACAAAGTCATCTGACTTGTCCTGTTCAAGGCATTAATTCCAACACTTATCACTTTATTCGATTATATACACCATGAATAACTTCGACTGTCCCCAAGACAAATATACACATTTCCAAAATATCTTTGTTGATATTTATTTCTTCAGGGCTTTGATTTTCTTCGGATAGTCCTGGGGATCCAGGCCCTTCACGCTGAATAACCTCTGAGCTCTTTCTGGAAGTGTTCCGCCGCATTTCAAGCCTCTTTCTGAAAGCAAAACGGTAATTCTATGAAGTAGAAACAATTGATTCATCAATTTCTGGCTCAACCAACTCAATGAAAACCTAAACATCACAAAAAGAAACAAAAAATATTTTATCCTTACCTTCCAACGCGTGTTTCAGATGTCCTAATCCAAGTTTTTCCAGGTCTTCAGCGGATTCATAGGCATTTAAGTCGACTGGGTCATAATTCTCAGGTTCCTTTGGCTTTTCGTCTTCGACTTTCTTCTCTTCGACCTTATCCTTCACTTCTTCCACTATTTTTTCTTCATTCTTTTCTTGTTTGTCTTCTTTTTTCTTCAAAAACTTTGGCATTTTGAATCCTGAGGAACCTGGTTGATTCTCTTTTTCCAACTTCGTCTTCTTGGCCTCCTTTTCGTTCGATGGAGCTATTTTTCGTTTCTTTGAAGCGACAGAAACGAATCCTTTGAGGAAAGCTTCGTCTTCCGAGGAATCGGAGTCCTCTTCGGACTTCTCCACAGTTTGTTCGGGCTTTTCGATGTTTTGGAGGCCGGCTTCAATCGAGTCTTCCGTTTGATCAAGCACCATATCTCTTTGACGAAGATAGTCATTATCGACAAACTGATGTTTGGGCCCACCATTCTTCAGACGTTGGTATTTCTCCTCTCTGAAAAGTATGAGATAAGAATTGGTAAAAAAAATAGACAAGGGAACACAAAACTAGTAAAAATTATATTACACTTGCTGTTAAGACCAAAAATTGATAAAAACAGAGGAAATTATTAAACCTAAAATGTGATTCTTATGTCATAAGACGACCTATGGATATTCCGACAAAATTCATTGTTTAGGTAGCGAAAAAATATAATATTTAAAGCTAGTGCCATGGAGAATATTGCGTCTAAATAAGATTTCCATTCAAAAAAACCACGCCCAAACTACTACTTGTTTTGACTCAGAAAACCGTTTTACCTAAGCTATTGAAAAATTTATAAAAAGCCTAAATTCTTCATCACTTGAACATGTCCTTCAAGTGCAATATAAATTCATGAAAGAAAAATCTCTTTTCATTGCCCAAAAACTTCACAAAGTACCTAAAAGCCAAAAAAGAAATTTAAAATCTCTTACCTCTTTCTTTTCTTTTCCCGCTCTCGCTCGGCCTTTCTTTCCACCCACTTCTTCAATCTCTGTTCCTCTTTTACATCGTGCACCCTTCTTCCCTCCAAATTCCTCATCATCAGTTGATTTGAGCTTCTATGAATTCGAAAACTCTTCAACAACGATCCAAAGCCGCCTTTGCCTCCAAGACATCGATAATGAATACTAACGGGATCTTCTCTTCCGATCTGTTCAATTGAAACAATCTTTCCTCGAGATACCAAGAAAAAATCGGTAGAAGGAAGAAGTTTCAAAGCCTCGACAACTCTCTCTTGCCCTCCAATGAAAGTTGAGCGACCTCGCAGGATATCTAAGGTTGAGACGTCCATAGTAACATCAAAATTTTGGTCAGAAACATCAGGAGAGTTGCTTTCCATGGTAAACATTGCGGAAAACCGAGCTAGAAAGATCAATTCCACCGAGAAAAGCGGAGAAAACTCCCAGAAAAAATATGTGTGAACGAAACGCAAATATCGACGGATTTTGAAACCGAGTCTGACGAAGTGTCACTATTGATTGGAGACGTTTCTATTGACGATTTTTTCTGTCGAGATTATTTTACAAGGTTCGGAGCTACCGATCCGAGCTCTAATCCCTCGTTTCCCTTCATTTTCAACAACGTTCTTGTGAATAGACTTGATCTGTTTATTAAATTACATTATTTTAGGTATATCTGGTGAAACAATCGCTTCTACGCCAAAATGGTTATGCCTTTTCGAATTGGGTTCCCACCAAATGGCGGTAAGTTGCATTTGCTTGACTTTGGATGTTTAGTTTTACCGAGGTTAAATCATTTTGGAATGTTGTGCATGAAGATCGGAGGTATCAGATAAATCGAAAAGTTTGAAAGTAGAGTAAGATCAAAGTAGATGAATCACGCCCTAAATGAGGTGTTATAAATTTCTCTCACGGTTGAATTCATTTCAGGACCTCCGCCGCCGCAGATGCCGAGTTATGTACAATTTCGACCGAACTTCAGACAACGGCCGCCGATGAGGCAGCCTCCTCCAAATGCTTGCTTGGTAGGTGATGAAAATCATGTAAATTATTTTTTTAGTTGCCCGAGGAAAACCTTTTGTTTGTCGGAAATATTGATGAGAGGGTTCCGAACGATCTTCTCCATGCTATTTTGGATTGTTGCGGTCCTTTGGAGAAATGGCAGCGACTTGTCGGACCTGATGGGCGGTTGCCGGCTTTTGGCTTTGTTGGATATAAGACCGCAGAATCCGCGATTCTTTGCCTAAAGGCGATGCACAACTTCAGAATTGGAAACAAGGCGTTGAATGTTCGAGTAAGTTTTTTTCTCTTTGTTTTTTCTCGCTTTAGGTCGTAATTGTCATGGATAAGATAAGATTTCAAAAATTGTAACCAAAAATTTATTTCCAGCCTGATGAGAAGGTGCGTCAGACATTATTCGATCATGTACGACGAGAACGAGCGATCAGAAATCTTCCAAGGAAGCAGATTGGTACTGAATTGGAGATTGAAGAGGAAGATACAGAAATAATCGCACACATCCATGAGAAGGCTACAGAGATTATCAGAGATACACATGCTCACTTATTGGTTATGGAAGACGAGAAGACAACTGAAGGCGAGTTTTTTACTAATTTTTGACATTGCTTTAGGTGGATAGAATAATTTTAAGTCATATTTTGTAAATTTGGTCTCTAAATCAATATTTTTGACTTAGATTAGATGGTGTTTGATCTGGAGATTTTGTTTTTAATAAAAATTTTCTATTTTTCAGACCGTGCCAGCCTCGACCGCCGCTCCCGAACTCCAAGATCGGTAGGTTCATAACAAAGATTGTAGCGTTTTGTATAGTTGATGGGGGTCTATTTTCGTTCTGTTTTGTCGTATTAATTGTGGACCTCGTCCCTCAAAAGGTAGGTGCAAATGGCGTCTAAATTTTCTTGAAGCCGGCAAGTATAATATAATTGATGGCCTCGAGAAGAGCGACTTGAACTGGCGTAAGTCGGATTTGAAATAGGGAGAATTGAGGAGGGTATGGGGTGTTGGGAGGGTTCGAAGAAGTCGTTTATCGATGAATTTTATTTTTAGGAGCGAAAGAAACGAAAAAAGGAGTCCAGATCGAGAAGATCCGAGAGCAGAGACCGAAAACGGTAAGAATTTGAGAGATTCTATTTAAAGTCTGAGATTTTAAAATACGAAAAACCCTTTTTAAATTATTTTTTATTTAGTTTTATGGGGAAAAACATTGGTTCGGACCTTATTTTAGGCAATTTTGGTCAAAAAAGTTGAAATTTTTGGCGATAAAAACATTCTTTCTCAGAAAGACGCTAATGTTTTGTAAGAATATGTAATTTCAGCTCAAAACGGCACCGTTCCAGCTCCGCCACCTCCACTCGAAGCTCCAGGAACTCCGAATCCGACGCCGAATCCGAGGACTCGGATGTGATTTTGGAAAAGAAGATGAGGAAAAGGGAGCAAAAGCGAAGAGAAGAGGAATATCTGAGGCAGTTGAAAAAGTTTGAAGAGAGGGAACGCCGCAGGGCCAAGCTCTACAGCCACGAAGATGAGGAGGATATGATCTTACAGAAGACCACTCAAAAAGAAGCCAAGAAATTGGCCCAATTCTTGGAGGATTACAACGACGAAAGAGACGACCCCAAGTATTACAGGAGCTCCTCTTTTTATAAACGAAAGCAGGAGTATGATCGAGAAAGGGAACTGGATCGACTGGATAGAGAAGAGGAAGCCAAAGAACTGGCTCTAATGAAGGAAAACATGCATAAAGATGAGAAGGAGGAGGAGAATGGAGACAAACTTGAGGTGAGGAGGGCTTTTATGAAAGTTCTGGAGGAAATTCGGGGGTTTGAGGGAGAAATAAGGGTTTTGGGATATTATACTAGGCAAGAATGAGAAAATTGCTAAAATTTTTACGATTTTTGCCATTTCTTGGGGTTTTTGTTTAATAAGAAGGACTAGAGGAAGAAAAAGTGAGGATTTTGGGAGGCAGCTTTTTTTTTAACATTAAAAATTTTTTGGGTATTACTCTAGACAAAAATTGATAAAATTAATTCGATTCTTCTTGTTTTTGGAGATGTTTGTGATTGGGAATGAAGTATAGGAGAAGAAGAAGAGGTCTAAACAAAAATTTTGCAATTTTCGAACAAAAAGTTTGTATTGCTTTGGACAATATCCATGAATTTTTTAAATTTTCTGTCTGATTTTGACATTTTTTGCTTACAGAAGAAAGAAATAAAGCCCAAGCCGGAAGAAGAGGAGGATTCGTTCAGATACAGCTTTGTGGAAGACAAGAAAACCGTCAAAGTTGAGACCCCGGAACCGTCGACCTCGCAGAACGGCGAAAAGAAAGTTGTGACCTCATTCCAGCAGAAGGTAATTTCTCAGACCATCTCAGTCTTTGGTGAAGATGATCCGGACGAGGAAAACACGCATGTCATCAAGAAGAAGATCAAGAAATTCGAAATTACACATCAGGTAGGCATGAAGATGATAAGCGTGCAAATACATTTTAATTCCAGGAACGAATGGAGTCCCTGACGAGCGAGGAGCGTCGGCAAATGGCCAAAGACCTGATCAACGACATCCCCACCACCAAAGAGGAACTTTTCGCCTATCCGCTGGACTGGGAAATGGTCGACCAGCCCCTGGTGGACGAGAAGATCAAGCCCTGGGTGGACAAGAAGATCCGCGAATACATCGGCGAAGACGAACCCACACTCGTTCGATTCATCTGCGAAAAGGTCGCCGAACATGGAGAACCGCAGCGCCTCCTCGGAGACTTGGCCATGATCCTGGACGAAGAGGCCGAAGCCTTTGTTTTCAAGCTCTGGCGCCTCATCATCTTCCAGTCCAAAGCCAAACGAATCGGCCTCAACGTCAATAACCGATCTTAATTCTAATGTTAACGATGATTTTTTTGTTGTTGGACAAGTTAATAAATTATAACGAGCATAAGAAAAGACTTATGAAATCCGAAATTTTTTTGTTTTTTGGATAAAGCTTGAATAAAAATTTCAAGATTTTAAACAATGAAATCAAAAAAGGGAAGAGAAAATCAAAATAAAATTTTTTATTGTAGCCTACAGCCATAAACGAGAAGACTTCCACAAAATAAAATTTATGCCCTCCATGGATTCATTCCTCCTCATCCTTCTTTTGCACATAAATGGCGGAAATCATTGTTGTTTGGTCGTGCTCTTCATCAACCACAAACTGAAATGCATTTTATTCAGTATGCGAATAAAAAATATCTTTTGAGGACATCGAAAAACATATTTAACAAGTACTTTTATGGGGGCTCCTACTTTTTGACGGGACATATCTCAAAAAATCAGAAAAAAATGTGCTGATCAAGGATATATAAAACTTAGCTGCTCATTTTAGGTTTTTAGGGGTAAAAACTCAATCGGAAGTTGACTTTTTCACAGGTTTACGATTTGTATTTTGGCTTAAAATGATGTTTATTGAGTTTCCAAGACGTAATAAATCAGTCTTGGAACAAAAATTTATTTTTCCGACCTTCAACTTCAAAAAAAGTTGATTCGGCCCAAAATGTAAATCGAACCCGTGCGGCGTCCTCCCTCTTGATTCCCAGACTACAGCACTAGCCACTCGGCCACACCGCTCTCTTCCGAAGGAGGAGAGCGACTGCACTTTTTATCGTTTCGAATGCCTGCGCCTTTTGTAGGGAAATTAAGCCAGTTTTTGGGCATTTTCACCCCTAAAAACCTAAAATGGGCAGCTAAGATTTATATATCCTTGATCAGCACATTTTTTCTGGTTTTTTGAGATATGTCCCATCAAAAAGTAGGAGCCCCCATAAAAGTACAGGGTGGGCCGCTAAAACCTTCCGTCCTCTTTTTTTAGATTTCTCCGCGGAGACTCCGCCGATTTTCATGAAATTTAGGTTTTTCTGGAGCTGAGATTCGCCATTTTCAACCGATTGAATTTCAGGAAAAAATATTCTGAACTGACTTTACTATGCCTTCCCAAAGTTTTTGAAAATTATTTTCGAGCCGAAACCGCTAAAACTTTGAAAATTTTTGGAATGATTTTCAATTGCCTTTCTCGGACTTGGAAAATTTCGGGCTTTTTTGGTAAAATCGTGGAGTAAAAAGTTCCGTACGCTTTCTCTAAACTTTGTTTAAAGCAAGTTAGAAGCAAAAAAAGTGTTGTCTGTATTACCGTTAGGGTATGAATGTTGAAAAAAAAAATTGTTTTTTTCAACAAGAGTGAAAAAGTCCACATTAAGGCTACAAGCCATGGCTTGGCGCATTGAGGCTTGGAGCCAGGCTCGATTGAAGTTAAACCATGCTCACGATCCGCAATTCGAGCTGTTATTAACTTTCAAAGCCCCTAGAAGTTCATGCTGCAAGAGGAGGTGGACACGTCGAACTCAGATAGAAATATTAATAATCAAATTGCTAAATAAATTAGTTTTTACAACAGTATTTTGCAAATATGAGGCAAAACGAGTATTTCACCCAAGAACCCGAAAAAATGACCAAGTTTTCAAAATCATTCCAAAAATTTTCTAAGTTTTAGCGGTTTCGGCTCGCAAATAATTTTCAAAAACTTTGGAAAGGAAAGGTCAATTCAGGATATTTTTTTTCAAATTCAACCGGTTGAAAATGGCGCATCTCAGCTCCAGAAAAATCTAGATTTCATGAAAATCGGCGGAGTCTCCGCGGAGAAATCTAAAAAAAGAGGACGGAAGGTTTTAGTGGCCCACCCTGTACTTTCCTTTTAAAACAAAATTCAGCCTTTTGAGCAAAGCACAAAAGGCCCCCGAACAGCGCTTTTCGAACCCCTCAAAAAGTTTCCAAAAACCCCACAACACAAGAGGAATAGACAAAAAAAGCAACGTACAATGTCGTGGAACCGCATGTTCATGTCAATTTGTCGGCCCGGCCATTTGACGGGAAGTCGACGGTCAATCTTCTTTTTTTTCTCAAATTTTTGGCATCCTGGTGTACCCAGTATCTGAAAAACAAAAAACATTTTGAAAAAGAAAAAACACTTCGTTCCAACTCCGTAATTTTGGATATTTCCGACTAAAAGTTACGGGCAAACCCTGCCCCCTTCTCGGGGCGGCTCTCCTCCGTTTCCGTGGTCTCTCGAAAAAGAAAATCAAAACAAGGGGACCCTCGAAAAAGAGGTTTCACGAAAACACGATAGACTTACATCTTGAACACCGCGCATAATTTCATAGACTAACTTGTTTTTGTCTGTTTCTCTACTCCACATTACCGACCAAAAACAGTGAATTGTCCTTTGGCCTTTGTTCATTGAACCCAGTGAACGATAAAAACTGTATTTGGCCTTCGCCATCTTGGCCATGTTCGTCTCCCCGGCCCATGGCAACTTGTCCATTAGCATATTCTGGAGCATGTACATCAAACTCTCAACATCGTCCGAATACAGCACGGTTTTCCCCATGTTCGTGGGGGCCAGCTCGGGATACGGATAGTACGGATCACGGCGCGAGTACACCTTCACCGCCCAGCCCAAGTCGGTGATTACATACTGAAAAGGCTGAGGTTAGGAAACGGGTTGGATAAAATACAAACTCTTCAAGTTTTTCCGCAAATATTTCACCTAAAAAAAGCAATTTTACAACAAAAACTCTGTCCAAACTGCGCCCGAGCCTACTGCCAAACCCAAAGCCGCAACTCACCTTGAAAGACTTGGAATCGATTTGCTGATACAAGAACACGTCTTCGCTGATGGCACGGTGCGAAACGTAGACATTGTGAAGGGCTTTGATGCACATCAGCAACTGATACGCCAGCCTGGCGACATCATCACTCTCCAAGATGGCTCCATTGCGCAACTCACTAACACTGGGTCCATACGGCGCGGTCAAAATGAAGAAGACGTCCTTTTTGAACCTTCCACCAGAAAAAAATTCGATAATATAGCCGTCGCTGAAATTTATGACGTCATAAACATATCAGACTGCGCGCAGAATCCGTCAAAATTCCGAGAATCGAACATTCAGTTTTAGAGAAAATTTAACAAGGAAAGTACTTCTATGGGGTGTGGAGTTAAAGGTCGAGATATATATCAAAAAATTCGCAAAAATTTTCTGGTTCAGAATATATAAAAATTAGCTGCCTAATTTTGGTCTGATGACATGTTTTGTCCTCAGAAGTTTTCTCGCGACATCATGCAAGTGTCTTTTTGACCGTGTTTTCACCAATAAAAAAATTTTGTTTTGTGCTAAAATAAATTCTGAGGCCTTGACAAGCCTTAAAATATCAAATTGGATTACAACTACACCTTAGAAGTAGTTCCAATGTAAAAAATGGGTTCTTGTGTGGCAAAACGAATCGAACCCGTTCCCTTCGGATTCCCAATCTAGCGCTCTAACCACTCGGCCACACCGCTCTCTTCCGAATGAAGAGACCGAGCGCGCTTTTGTTGCCGCAGATTTTTTTCCTGGAGAAATACATTTATTGATAAAACTCGTTGATAGACCAAAATTAGGCAGCTAATTTTTATATATTCTGAATCAGAAAATTATTCCGAATTTTTTGATATATATCTCGACCTGTAACTCCACACCCCATAGAAGTACTTTCCTTGTAAAAAAAAAAAATTTTTTTTTGCCTGCTGCACGTCAATCCAAAATAAAAAAATCCCGCCCCTTTTTGGTGATTCGTTCAAAACAAAATGTCACTACCCGATAAAAACACATTTTCTTATCTTTCTTCTTCCCTTTCGAGAAAAAGAAATTATTCCAGGCGAGAAACAGTGCCGTTGATTTCGCGACATTTCGTCTCTCTTTTCAATTTACAATAAAAATTATAAAAAGCTATTTTTAGAATAATTTTTTAGTTTCTTGCTTATAAATAATACTCAAAACATGCAGACCTCAAAAAACTAAAATTTGTGCCCTAGTTGCAATCTAAACCGGTTTTTACGGGAAAAATGCGTTTCTAACAAGGGAAGTCACTTTTTTCGCAGACGGACTTTGGAACGGGACCTAGTAGGTTCCAAACGTGAAGCGTCTGCGATCATAAAACTGATTTCCAAAAGTGTTTACGGGGCTTCTCGGCCGAGACCGCAAAGTTTAGCCGAAATGAGCGAATAGCCTCCTCAAAAGAAACAGCTTATTTCATCTGCAGTGGTGGCCGAGTGGTCAGCGCGCTCGCTTTTTGCGCCAGAAGACGTGAGTTCGACTTCGGTCGTCTGCGGATGCATTTCTTTTGACCATTGAATCAAATAGAGAGATGCCATTGACATCACATATGCTAATTATTAGTAATTTTTAATAAAACACAAATTTAGGAACTATATCTTCATTAACCCAGCCCTGTTTTGATTTTACAATATTCATGAACATTCAGCTTTGAATTTATGTTTAAATTACTGGAAAAAATTACAAAAGTGTATACATCTTATGTTTACATACTAAATCAATATTTACGAATTAAAAAAGAAAATAAACTGCGCAGAGGATCGAACCCGCCTCTTCTGGCGCAAAAAGCGAGCGCGCTGACCACTCGGCCACCACTGCAGATGAAATAAGCTGTTTCTTTTGAGGAGGCTATTCGCTCATTTCGGCTAAACTTTGCGGTCGATTTTCTCGGCCGAGAAGCCCCGTAAACACTTTTGGAAATCAGTTTTATGATCGCAGACGCTTCACGTTTGAAACCTACTAGGTCCCGTTCCAAAGTCCGTCTGCGAAAAAAGTGACTTCCCTTGTAAGTTCTTTCGTATCATATGCAGCCCGAGATTTTGACAAAAATATTTCTTCCAAAAACAAATTGGCGTGCCTGCGCCCAAACACTCTTGCTCAGAGTTCGTCTCTCCTCGCCCATACTAATACACACGCACCTTAGACAACGCTCGGCGCGGCGCAGCTGAAGGATGCTGGCCTCGTTGATCAGAGGCTGATTGCCCTTGGAAGTGACGTCAATCTCCAACTTGACCGCGATACCCGTCAAACTCTTGTCGCCGGGAGTGTAATGATACACCGCGCCAAACGCTCCTTTACGGACCAACTTGTCCACGGTATACTCCACGTCTCCGGATGTGACTTTCTTCTGAAACCCATAAAATCGCCAAGTTAAGCGAGAGAATTCGAAAAAAAATTAACAACTCAATTTTAATTTTGGCTTACCGGAACATGAAGTGTGGAATTATCGGCGAGGACGAGCTGATCATATCCAGCATCGCAACTGAGGCTGCTTCCTTCCATTTCGGGAGGGACTCCAAAGTCATAGCGAACGAACGCAGCGGGACCTTCGAATCTGAAATGAAAAACTCTCGCTCACAAATCTCCGAGGGCTCAGTCCAGCTGCTTGGCTAAAAATTTAGCAACGGCCATAAAATAAGCCGAAGTTAGGCCATAAAATATTTTCGGAGAGATCGTTTTTTGAATTTTGCGAGGACCGGGGACCAATTTGGCATCCCAATCTTCCCATCTTCTTTTTTCAAATTTTGCACAAAATATGAGAAAATTGGGATGCCAAATTGATCTCAGAAGATCCATTCGAAGTCGCCAGACTCAAAAAAAGCGCTCCTCGAAAGTCTTTCGACTCGACACTTCGGCTGAGAAGACTAACAATCCAGCGTTCAAAAGCTCACTTCTTCTTCCGTCTACACTTGTCCTTGCAAAACCACCAGATCAAGAAGGCGACCACCATCGTTACAGCAACTACTCCTGCGATTATGCCGGCAATCATACCAATAATGTCTGCTTTAGCCAATGCAGATCCTTCTGCGGTTGAAACGTTCGATCTGGAAATAAAAATAAACATTTTTGAATATAGCCTCCGAAATTATCGTAATGCACTTACGCGTTGTCTTTGGTGAGGTGTATGAACAGATACTCGACATAGGTATTGTCCAAAAATTCGAGAGAGAGTTGAGCTGGTCTGGTACAATTGGAAGTCTCGAACATAACAACCAAGTACTTCTAAAACTAAGGGTTATATATTCTTCATACACTCACCAAAGACAGCAAGAGACGGTTTGAGGAAGTGAGGTTGTACTCCGCTGGCTGACACGGCGATGCATCCCATTTTTTTTCCTCCCAATCCAACTGCTTACACTCCTCTGATCCTTTCTTTCGGAACACCAACTTCTTATCAAATACACCCACCATACTTTGGCAATCAAAGTTGTCTGTCGTCTCCTGTTTGTATGAGGTTACGACTTCTCCAGTAGGCGAGTATAATTTATTCTCTGGGCGGGTTTCCGCGTTACATCCTATTTTTGCCATGCTTGAACCAAGGAGTTCGAAGAATGAATACCGTTTGGCGTCACAATTTTCTTCGACAAACGTTTTGTTAAATATGGGACAAACGCTGAAACCGGCATTTTAGTCTAAATTTAGAATAAAATTCTACGCACAACTTACACTTATATAGGGCTCGTGCTTTATAAGTTTCGTCGGCTTTGCAAAAAAATGTTGCAAAAAGGCGTTCAGAGCGAATTCATTCTGCAAAGCCGACGAAACTTATAAAGCACGAGCCATATATTCCCCCCAATCGACTTACTCGCCCTTTATTCCGGAGACTCCAACCTTGACTTCCTCTCCAACCTGGTTCAAAAAGACTCGGTAGCTTTGGAAACCTTCCTCGTCTTTATCGACCAAATCCAACGGCTTGCGGCTAAAAATATTTATAAATTTAGTGCGACACATAAACTTACGTAACATTCTTCCAAACCGAGTTGTACCGGTACTCCACGATGACTTTGGTCGGCGCGAAATCATGAGTGATGATTTCGAAGCCATTTGGTTTCGTTCCCTGGAAGGTATCCTCGAGCTTGATACACTGCAAGAATCCAATAATCTCCGTGTAGAATCCCACTTCCAACGGTGCAACCATCGAGATCCTGGGGAAGGCAACCGCACGCCGGGGAAACACTTATGAGACTGGGCTTGGAACCGACGTTTCCTCACTTTTTGGTTTCCATGCAAATTTAAAAATTTGCATATTCGTTTTGTTGAAGAAATATTTGTTTTTTTTTTGAATAAAAGTGCAAAATTCGAATTTCTGGAAAAATCGTCATTTGGGAGCAATTTTCATTATAGGGTGAGGTTGGTTGACCGCCCTCCGAGATCTCCGAAAAATCGAAATTCCAACGATTTCAGTCTTTTTCCAACTGCAAAAATAATGAAAAAGTGGGAAAAACTTACGAAAATATTAGGTTGTCCAACAAATAATGACCGTCATTGAGAGGGACAAAGTTTAAAGTCTCTAAAAAAGGCGATGATGGAATTTCGAAATATTATACCATTTTGTAGCTGAGATCTCGGGCTTTCGTTTGATCGTTTGCCATATTTGGACCAAATTACAGTAATTTAGCCCTAATCCAAAGTTATCGAAACAAGGTCGGTTCGCGCTGTCATCTTTTACGGGCAAAAACAGGATGCGAAAGTTTCAGAAACTACACAAAGTATCAACGCTATGTTCGACTAGTGTGTTCGATACTAGGTTAATTTTACCATGTAAAGACGGCTAACTTTACAGCTTAGCCTTGGATACCAAGTATAATATAATGGATTTAGGGGTTTTCGGTGGTGCTGATTTTTAAAATTGTATCCTGAAAATCACCAAGAAATGTTGGTTATTTTTGGGGGTTTTGATAGTGTTGACGTTGAAAAAAGAGAAGGATGTTGCCTACACGTTGAAAATTAAGCAAAAATTCGGCTACTCTTCATTCTGGCGCTTTGGCTAGCCAACCAATTTTTGCTAGCAGTTTAAAAGTTTCGTTGTCATTCCAGCCCATTGACGCCCATTACACCCTTTTGACTAGTTTTTATAAGACTTCACAGCCATTCTAGTGCCTTGGCTAGCCGATTCCAGGTCCCCCAAACTCCCAAATGAAACACTGAGAATAAACTCGAAATCTGCCCCAAGTTGAGGCTAGCCGAATTTTTGCTTAATTTGCAACGTGTTGGCAACATCCTTTCCTTTTTTCAACGTCAACTCTATCGAAACCCCCGAAAAAATCTAACATTTCTCGATCATTTTCAACCGAAAACCCCTGGTTTTCGGGGTAAAAGAGCCCTTTTTTAAAAGGTTGTAGCGACCTCAGTTTGCACTTAAAAATCTTGTTATTTCGTAGGCAAAAAATAATGTCGCTTAAAAATACATATTCCAAAAACGAACTCTCTGCGCCGCCTCCGCCGAAAGTTATAGCCTCCTTCTTTCCTTCACGTTTCTTGAAAGACCCTGTACTGTAACATAAATACATATCGGTCGATAAAAATCGACTATAACTCGTCTCCCATAACCATTCTACCAGAAGCAACAGTGGATTTTAGTCAAGTTTTATTTTCCAATATTTACTTAATCAAAGTTTAAAATAAAAAATTTGGCCAAAGACAAGAGCCATAAGAATCCATCCACAAATTGAGGAATTGGTGGCGCAATTCTTGGTTGCGGTCGTATCGGTCGTATCGGCTCTAAAAAATGTAAAAGTGTGAAGTTTTAAACGTAAATTGAACTAAATCTCAAAGTTTTTGGCTTAGACTACGGCTATAAAGAGATGCCTCGATGGCGAGCTAAAAGCACCTGGCAAGATGTTCGCGCGCAGCTTGGAAAAATTATTTTTTTTTTTTTTGGAATTTGGCAGAAAGGCAACCGGTGAATTTACTAAAAACGAACTTACCCTTTGTGATTCATAAACTCGACATAAGTATTGTCCAAAAATTCGGGAGAGAGTTGAGCTGGTCTGGTACAACTGGAAGACTCGAACATAACAATCAAGTACTTCTAAAACTAAGGGTTATATATTCTTCATACACTCACCAAAGACAGCAAGAATCGGTTCGAGGAAGTGAGGTTGTACTCCGCTGGCTGACACGGCGATGGATCCCATTTTTTGCCTTCCCAATCCAACTGCTTACACTCATCTGATCCGTTCTTTCGGAACACCAACTTCTTATCAAATACACCCACCATACTTTGGCAATCAAAGTTGTCTGTCGTCTCCTGTTTGTATGAGGTTACGACTTCTCCAGTAGGCGAGTATAATTTATTCTCTGGGCGGGTTTCCGCGTTACATCCTATTTTTGCCATGCTTGAACCAAGGAGTTCGAAGAATGAATACTGTTTGGGTTCACAATTTTTTTCGACAAATGTTTTGTTAAATATGGGACAAACCCTGAAATCAGCGTTTTAAAATAAATTCGGAGTAAAATTCTCTAAGAATATGGGGACGGACTATGCGGAAGTAAGTATGTCTCCACGCACGACTTACCTGAAATCTGTTCTTAATCCGGAGACTCCAACCTTGACTTCCTCTCCAACCTGGTTCAAAAAGACTCGGTAGCTTTGGAAACCTTCCTCGTCTTTATCGACCAAATCCAACGGCTTGCGGCTAAAAAAATTTATAAATTTAGTGCGACACGTAAACTTACGTAACATTCTTCCAAACCGAGTTGTACCGGTACTCCACGATGACTCTGGTCGGAGCGAAATCATGAGTGATGATTTCGAAGCCATTTGGTTTCGTTCCCTGGAAGGTATCCTCGAGCTTGATACACTGCAAGAATCCAATAATCTCCGTGTAGAATCCCACTTCCAACGGTGCAACCATCGAGATCCTGGGGAAGGCAACCGCACGCCGGGGAAACACTTATGAGACTGGGCTTGGAACCGACGTTTCATCGCTTTTTGGTTTCCATGCAAATTTAAAAATTTGCATATTCGTTTTGTTGAAGAAATATTTATTTTTTTTTGAATAAAAGTGCAAAGTTCGAATTTTTGGAAAAGTCGTTATTTGGGAGCAATTTTCACTCTAGGGTGAGGTTGGTTGACCGCCTTCCGAGATCTCCGAAAAATCGAAATTCCAACGACTTCAGTCTTTTTTCAACTGCAAAAATAATGAAAAAAAATGGGAAAAACACGAAAATACACCATGAATGACACAATAACCACAAAAAGTCTCGAAAATACGAAGAGAGGGTTTTTTCCGTCCTCGAAATTTAACAGGGGAAGTACCCCAAGTGCGACGCTCAGATTTTGATGAAACTTGGCACAAATTTAGAACGATTTTTTCTAAAAAATATGCGAGAATCCTAGCTCGCGCTTTGCAGAAACAACCGAGATTTTTAGATAGAAAGTGGGTGAAAATTTGACACTTTTTGCCGAATTTCGGCACGAAAAGTTTCGTGCCTATTTCTACCATAGAGGGTAATGTTTCCACAAAAAATCAATTTTTTCCGCACGAAACTGCCAAAGTTATGGTCAAAAAGCGGTTTTCCCTCTGACCGCTCTCCACGTTTAGCGTGCTCTCTCGGCGGCAAAGATGGTTCAATATCTCGGTGGCGCCTGAAAAGCGCGAGCTAAAACTTTCAGGAATTGTTATTTAGTTCATGCCAGATGTCTGTTCAAAATTTAAAGAAAATCGGTGCGTCGCACTTGGGGTACTTCCCTTGTAAGTACTGACCTTTCACATTGCCATCCCAAACCTTGGAACCCCAGATCGATGAAAGAAAATTGTTGCAATGATCAGCTTTCGTCCTCGATCGCCCGACTCGGTGCTAGGTGGGCCAAAATGTCCTGACATGTGCCTTGTTTGAATGAGAGCAGCTTGGAATTGTCTCAAGAAAGGATTTTTTACCAAGAGCAGATTCCTCGATTCGAGTTGCTTTCCAGATTGTCCGTTTTCTTTTCCGATAACCCACCAAATTTTGGAAATTCGTGAAGATTGTTGCCTCATGGATAATGTAAGTCGATTTATCCTTTTTTTGGCGAAAACAGATCGAAAGTGGACAGTAAACTTATACTCCGCGACTAAAGTTTGGAACAGGCTAGATTTTCTTTGCGGCTTGAGATCGCAGTTTCATTTCTTTTCTATTAGAATTGGAATGTATTAAAGCCCCAGAACGGATGCATAGCCGAAGAAATCAGAAAGCTCGTATGAGCAAAACACAAAATTTAAAAAAATAGGTGGGACAAAAGTTTGGAACAGGGTTAGGAATGCGACCATAAATTTCGGAGTATAGTCAGAAACTCATAGGCTTTGGTATTTTTAGATGCTGCGAGGAGTCAAACATTTTACCCTTCGGATGGCAACAATCCAATTAATAGCGCTAGAATCATGTCCTGAGTATAAAAAAGTGAAAATAACACATCATAATCCACATAAAAGCAACAAAATAGTCTTGAACATTATCAAGAAAAAATTTCTTGCGAGAAAAAATGTATTTTTCTCCTGAAACGGAATGCCAAGATCAAGGGAATCAGGGAAAATTCGCCGGCATTTGAAGATTTTTTTCGATATTCCGGCCCTTCTTTCTCGGCGGTTTCTGCAAAGCGCGAGCTACAATGCTCGCAATCGAATAAGAAAATTCCAATCTCCATCTATGCCAATTTTTATCAAAATCTGAGCGTCGCACTTCAAGTACTTTCCTTGTTAGGTTAGGATACAACATGGCATTTATTTCAAATTTTTGCGATTTGGCGGAGACTCGGCGACGATTTTTCTTCGACCTCGGAGAGTCAAAATCGGCTGAAACCAAAACGCATGGTATCATGGTGGTATGGCGCCTAAATACGACTTATTACGTCTCCGGCCGAGTGTAATTTTCTCCACAGACTGAAACTCTACGAATTGCGCACAAACTTTGGAACTAAAGTTATGTAAGAAAGGCTTCTGTCTCACCCCGTTTTTAATTTTATGCAAATTTCAGAAATTTGAAATAAAATTTCGAAAAATTACGCTTTTGAGATTTTTTAAAAATTTTTATGCAAATTTTCAAAATTTGAATAATTTTTGGGATGATCTTATCGGCCGGCGAGAAACAGATCAGTTCTCGTCAGTGTCAACCCCCCGTGCGGTTTCTGCTGAAGCCATGCTGCCAAGTGACGTGGCATTTTACACGCAGATAATCCAGTTCCTGGACTGCATCAAGCTGGGAGAGAAATTTACGGGACAGGCACCAAATGGATACCACATCATCACGCACGGAAAGAATGGATTTGGCGATGACGTCCAATTTGTGTACGATTCGTTTACGAAGAAGATCAGGTAGGGTGATAGGGTTTGACCATTTTTTGGGATTGGAAAACTTTTAATTTAAAAAACTCCTTTTAGTGAGAACGAACTGGATTTGTATGACACGCAGACTGGCTTGACCGACTACCGCGTGCTAATGGGAGTGGCGGATGAGGAAATTGTCAGCGTGGCGACTGGAGATCTAAGGGGAACAATGTAAGAAACATTTTGACGTAATTTTCTTATTTTTCAGGACCTGTTTCGTTGTCGAGAGGAAGTATGAGGAATCATTGTGTGCCGCGCGCGCAGTTTCTTTCGTAGAATTGTTGGGCAAGAACATAGTGAAAATTGGGTGTGCTCCAGGCATGCACCGAATCCCGAACTTTGTCTATGATATGAATGGAAATTTGTCGGAAAAATACGAGCAGAAAACCACCGACCAATTTAACTGCAACAGCACGCTGGGTGTATTTGGAGACCACATTGTATTCAAAAATGGAAGTTGTAAGCAACTGAACTGGGCCGATTCGCAACACAGGTGGAACGCAGAGGAATGTGATGACAAGAAGTACACCTTGAATTCAAAGAACTTTCAGCTCTTTTCAATGGCAAGTTTGCAATTTTCCGAGAGGCTATTTTTCCTTCATGCCCAATATAATTTCGATTATTTTCAGCGCTATCTGACGATCAAGTTCGCGACCGGCCAGTGTGCAGAGCCAACGGAACTGTCGACAGAAGCTATGGACAACACGTACATCAAGTCCCTTTTCCTCTCCCCGGAAGAAGAAGAAGCGTTGAACACGACCCCAGAAGACCGCCTACCGGAAGTTCGAAAAACCCCAAGTTCGACAACCAAAAGTTCGAATGCCGCAAGTTCGAATGCCGCAAGTTCGAATACTAGAAGTTCGAAAAACCTCAAATTAGAAAAACCAAAAGATCGAAAACCGGAAGTTCGAAATATGAAAATATAAAAAATGCAGAATGAAAAAAAAGAATTAAAACAGAAAAATAGATTTTGTTTATAAAATAGGATAATTTTAACTTAAAGTCTTTGCGATCTCATTCAAAAAAGACGGAACATCGAACTCGGAAAAACGGGTTAACAAATTACCAAATATGAAGGAAGCAATATCCACCACACAAAGCCACGAATCCCGAGAACGACACAGTTGGATTGGCTCCGTGACGAATCTTGATCAGCTCGACACCACCAACCTCCATCGTAGAGAATGAATGAATGATTGAAGAGGAAGTGTATTTTGCAAAATAATTATATGCAAATTATAATTTAAATATTAATTAACTTTTTTTCATTTTCGAACTTTAGTCATTCGAACTTTAGGTTATTCAAAGTTACGGTCATTCGAACATTAGGTAGTTCGAACTGGAGGTCGTTCGAACTTTAGTCATTCGAACTTTAGGCATTCGAACTTGCGGATTCGAACTTGCGGTATGTCTCCACCCCAGAACCAGAACCGGAGCCACAGACTGAGGCGACTCCATCGAACGCTGGGTAGTATGTTTTAGGGGCAGGTCTCTTCCTCGTTCTCTCGCTTTCAATTGCTGCTGCCGTCGTTTTGATCAGGAAGAGGGCGAAGAAGTAAGTCTTAGGGGTCGAAAAGAGACTTTTTTCTAGGTCTGTTTTGGATCGTAATCCCCTCACTCATGTCCGCTACGATTTTGGCCTGCCGACACAAGTGCCGGCGCTGCAACAAAAGAATGACCGTTTCAAAGAGGTAAAATTGGACAATGGTTACGTCGTCCCCATTCCGGTGAGTTTTGCTTGCATTTTGTTGAATTAGGATAAAAAGTGGTCGGATTAGATAGAGCACGGCTAGGTAGGGTTCGGAAAATTGGGGTATATTCACCATGCGGGTATATACCCGAAATCTCGGGTATTTATAAAATTACCCTAAATTAGTCCAATATAGTACCAATATGAAGTCGTTAATGAATCAGTGGCAACTTATTCATTAACCTAATCATGTTTGGAGTGATATTCTTTATTTTCCCAACTACAACAAACAAAACTAGTACTTTAACAATGAAAAAAGCTTAGCAATCCCATATGGCAAAAAACAAATTATGACAAAATGTCAACATTTATTGATTTTTTATGACAAAACTCGACTTTTTTTAAATACATTTTTTGAATGCAAAAGTACTTTGAATATACCCATAAATACCCGAAAATATCCGGCCTCTCGGGTATTTGGGTATATACCCCGGGTATACACCCCGTCCGAACCCTACGGCTAGGCAATGACCTGGCTGAGATAAGCTATCTGTCCGGTGACCGGACTGGCAATTCGCCAAAAAAAAGACGCGAGAAAACGTTTCGTCGGGGAAGGAATGGGGAATTTTTGGGACCAGAGAGTACTTTTTTTTTCTTTTCTCTGACTTCTCTGTGAAATCAAGACGAAGTGTAAAAAACCGATAGCGAAGAGTCTATTCCGCTCACCGGACTCCTCAGTTTGACGTGCTACGCACTGAATAGTGACACTTCCGGAACCGGGGAAAAATCAAAGATAAGGCTTAGACCTATCATCTGAACCATCTGACTGTTATTAACTTCGGATTTTTTTATTGTTTTTCTGATTGCTACTTTTTTATGTAGTAGTGCTAAAAAGTAATTTTTTAAAATTTTTCTAAAAATACGCGATAGCTCGCGAAGTCGTGACCGAGATCAAGGAGGTTGCCTGAAATTACCCGAAATGGTCTCAATGCTTGGTCAAAACGCTTTTCAGGTCGTCAAAAGCTTTTTTTGAACTACTAGTAACATTATTTTCAGAGGATCTTGGATATTAATCGTGACTTAGGCCAAGGTCGTGACCTTGTTAACGACCTGACCTAAAGGAACTGTCTTGACCGCCATAGTCTAAAATACTCTAAAAATAATTTTACTAGTTTTTCAAAGAAAAGCTTGGTGACCACCTGGCCTAAATAAAGTGCCTTGACCATCATAGTCAAGCATTGAGACCATTTTCGGGTAATTTCAGGCAACCTCCTTGAGCTCGGTCACGGCCTAGGTCGCGAGCTAATAAAGTGCAGTTTTAATCAGCAACCTCTAAAACCCCTAAATCCAATATTTTTAGATAAATGTCAAAAAAATTTATTTTTAACACTAATACATAAAAAAGTAGCAATCTGAAAAACAATAAAAAAATTCCGAAGTTAATAACGGTCAATCCATTCAGATGGTTCAGTTGATAGGTGCCTTTGATTTTTCCCCGGTTCCGGAAGTGTCCAAATTCCGGAAATGTCTTGACGCGGCGCTGGCGACAAAAGTTCAAGATGCACTGTGCGAAAGCGAATAGTTTCCAGTAATAGTTTGGCCCCTTATTGTTCATAATCGAAGCTTTTCCAAATCGTTGGCCGATTTTTGGTGCAATAATCCATGAACTTTCAGAAAACGTTCTGTAAGGAGTATGGGGATGTGGAGTTGGTTTCTAAAAGCCAATTCGGCTTGATTTGCAAATACCAGTGGAAAGGGCCCATCCATGTCAAGTTTGAAGTGAAGCTGTCCGGCTACAACCAGCCAATACTCAACGAGGTGGCCATTTGCGAGCTGTGTACCAACTCCGACAACAAGCTGTAAGTGCCGGGAAATGGGGGGAGATTTTTGGTTTCAGTGCGCGCTTCCTCGACTACAAGGGAGCTTATGGATTCTATGAGGAAGGAGCTTATGCCCTCCACTTGTCAGCAGGCGTGCATACACTCAGAGATCTCCGCAACGGAGCGGTAATGAAGGATGTGGAGATGGCCAAGGTTGCATATTCTGCGTTGGACTGTGTTGACGCGCTTGAAGCCTTTGGGATTTGTCATCGTGACATCACTGAGGACGCATTCCGTCCACAGAAGAGTATTGTAAGTCTGAGTTTTCGAATATAATTATGATCCTTGCAGTTTGTCCTCACCGAGTTGGGCTGGGCTGTCCGCCTCGGCTCAAAGCGCGATCCCTACTACCCGCATCCCGAATTGGCCTCCACTTTTATAAAAGAGAAGGAAACGTTGCCGGCTGATGATGCGGAGAATGTGATCTTCATGCTCTTGAATATGATGACGGATAGACTTCCGTGGGCCGATACGAAGGGCATTAAGTCCATTACCAAGAAGAAGAAAAAATTTTTTGAGGAAGGCATGGATGGAACTTCGCTTAAGAACAACAAAACGGCTGGAATCCTCTGCAAACTGAGGGCAATGATCGTAAAAACCCCGAGAAATGTTGAATTAGCTGTGGAGTTGAAGGCCGAGCTTATTAATGTAAGTGGAAATTGTACATGTAACAAAGATTTTTTTAGCTTTCCAAACCCGATGATCCCACTCTTCCGGTTGAGTGGCCTGGCTCCAACGACAAACCAACAACTAAAAGTTTCCTGTGAATAAACCGAAGGCTCCTGCTGCCCAAAACCCTGTAGTAAATAAAATAAACGTTTTTCTCTATGACGTCCCCACATTCTTTAGTTTCGTACAAAGGTAGCATGCTATAGCACCGATTCATATTAGGGTGTCCCATAAGTCTTGTGTATCTTTTGGGTTTGAGAATTAAAGTCTCATTGAGAAGGCCTAAATGAATGTCCCCTTAATTTTTGGTACTGTTGAAACCGCCATCTCATACGCTTGTAAGCAGCATAGAAATTTTAACTAACGACATGCCCTCCGGGCAAATAATTGACATTCTTTATTAGGAACAAAAGGTTCGCTTCTAGATCAAAGTAAATACGGAATTACTCCGATAAAGTCCGAATAAGGCCGCGAGATAGCAATGAATATTTATCCAAGCCCAAATATCCGAACAATAGTATCAGTACATACAAGATCAATAACAACAGAGGTGGACAGGTATGTTCTGACAACTGTCCCCTCTGATACAATCAAGACCAAAGTATCTACTCAAGTGTAAAACCAACGACTGTGTCGTCTTCTAATCCTCCAATAAAACTGATTCTCTTTCCTCATCTGTCTTCCGAGTGACCCATTGATGCACAATGCCAAAGGTTGCCTGATTCTTCGTTGCGGGACTAAAGTGCGGAGTGGATGTTCGGTTCGGGGAGCTGAACTGGGATCGGGAGCGGGTCAACTGGTCCAAGGGAAGGTCACTTGTTGTCTCCAAGGTTGGTTTCGGGCTGGTCAAGGGTTAGATGAGTTGCTCCGTGGTGGTCTTTGGCGCCTGGTCCTTCTCTTTAAAATCATCCATTTCTGAGAAGGGCTAGGAAAACAATTCCGTTCTTTGATAAGTGAGGCTGCACCCTTGCAACTGCATTTTTTAGTACATCTACTAACTATCTTGCTTCTAAATGAACAGTTTTCCCCACTGAATTAATTTCTATAACGCTGTCCTGCGGGTTTCTTGGATCAGCGCCATGGTGAATATCATGATGTGCATACTTTTGCGTATAACATTTTTTGTGGGTGGTTTCTCGGGTCGTGCCGATACCAGACTGGTAATAACATAACATTCATGCGTTCTAACTATGGATCCATTGGCTACCTTGTCCTGAATTACCACTAACCCAAGAAAATTCGAAAAAAGTGGTGCATTTACTCAACACCAAAAAAGTTGGCTTGGATACAAAAATAACATTGTCGTGCAACAGTTTTCATGTTATTTACACCACCATCAAGGAACCCCCGCTGATTAAAATAACATCTAGGGCTCCTGTTCATCCTATTTTCATAACTAATAGGCGTATACATCTGATTTTCCAAAGTATATACCCGCTCTAACATCAGCAAGCAAAATTTTTTTGATGTCTAGTACAATATTGGGGTAGTGCGGGTAGCAGGTAGATTTTCTGCAGCCTAGTTACATACGGTTTAAAAGCGCAACTTCTGATCTCCAAAACCGTATATCCAACACATCTCGTAATGCGTCACAAAGCTCACAGGAACTCGCACAAGTGAACGACCCCAAAATACACAAGACTTAGGGGACCCCCTAATAACAACACGACCTCGTTTTGGGCTAACCGATTTCTGACCAACTTACATAGCCCGTCAGGAGATTTCACGAAATATTCAAGCAATTTCCAAATAAAATTCAATTCCGTTTTGTTTTATGAATCCAGAAACAACGTACGAAGATATCTCAACCAAACACAATCCAATAAGTTAGGACTACTGTACAAGATGGATAACACATTATGAATCGAACAAACAATGATTAGCAAAACGGCTAAGAAGAAAAATAATTGCGGAGAGATGTAAGGGACAGGAATATTGTAAGGAGGGTAATGCAGGGAGGGTGCGATCCAGAGCCCTTGACACCATTTACTTGTTGGCGTAGTTCACACGGAGCGTGCGGCCTTGGAAGTCAGTCGAGTTCAACGTGTTGACGGCGTTTTCGGCGGATTGTTGATCGGCATACTCGCAGAATCCGAATCCCTTGGGGCGGTTGGTCATTCTGTCGTAAACCAGGCTAAAAAATTAAATTATATTACGGTTTAACCATGGACGTGATACCTAAATGTGAAAAATAGAGAGAATTCTTACCGAACGTTGGTGACTGGACCAGCAGAGCTAAAGAATTGACCAATCTCGGCCTCAGTGGCATTGTATGGGATGTTTCCAACTGAAATTATAATATTTTAGACATGAAAAGATTGAAATCTTCTCAAAGACAAAATAGACAGTAAAAGTGAGTTGAAGAGGATTTAGAGGGCATCACAGATTATCATAAACTAAATTTTTAGGAAAGAAACTAAAACGTTACCAAATTCTCTTCAAATCACTGTAATAGAGAAAGAATTGTTAGGGACCAAAGACTGGGACTATTTATGTTCAGGACAGACAACCTGGAAGATGTAAACTCAAGACGTCGGGTAGCGAGAGCAGGCTACTCACCTCATACGCGGCTCCGTGAGGGATTCCAGGTCGGTGTCAAGGGTGCTCCTCTGGTGCGCATCTGTGGCATTGTACGGGATGTTTCCAACTGAAATTATAATATTTTAGACCTTCTCATAGACAACCGATTCACAAGACGGCTTCGTTTTGAGCTAACCAATTTCTGACCAGCTTGCATAGCCCATTAGAAGATTTCACGAATCTCCGCACAATATTCATGGTTCAAAGTACCAGTAAACGGGCAGAAAAAAGAGAAACCTTACAAACTCTGTCCATTTTCCACGAAGCCGTTTTCGTGGCGTGGTATCGGGTTCCAAAAATCGCAAATTTTGATGCATTTTGAAGTTATCACTGATAAGAGGTGATTTCAAGAATTGCTATTTCTATTGCACGTAAAAAATTTTTATAAAAAGTTACGCTTTTGAGATTTTTTAAAAATTTTTATGCAAATTTTCAAAATTTGAATAATTTTTGGGATGATCTTATCGGCCGGCGAGAAACAGATCAGTTCTCGTCAGTGTCAACCTCCCGTGCGGTTTCTGCTGAAGCCATGCTGCCAAGTGACGTGGCATTTTACACGCAGATAATCCAGTTCCTGGACTGCATCAAGCTGGGAGAGAAATTTACGGGACAGGCACCAAATGGATACCACATCATCACGCACGGAAAGAATGGATTTGGCGATGACGTCCAATTTGTGTACGATTCGTTTACGAAGAAGATCAGGTAGGGTGATAGGGTTTGACCATTTTTTGGGATTGGAAAACTTTTAATTTAAAAAACTCCTTTTAGTGAGAACGAACTGGATTTGTATGACACGCAGACTGGCTTGACCGACTACCGCGTGCTAATGGGAGTGGCGGATGAGGAAATTGTCAGCGTGGCGACTGGAGATCAAGGAGAAACAATGCAAGAAACATTTTGACGTAATTTTCTTATTTTTCAGGACCTGTTTCGTTGTCGAGAGGAAGAATTCATTTTGTGCCGCTCGCGTTGATTATTTCGTAGAATTGTTGGGCAAGAACATAGTGCAAATTGGGTGTGCTCCAGGCGTGCAACGACGCGCCAACTATGTCTATGATATGAATGGAAATTTTTCGGAAAAATACGATCAGAAAACCAACGACCAATTTAATTGCAACAGCACGCTGGGTGTATTTGGAGACCACATTGTCTTCAAAAATGGAAGCTGTAAGCAACTGAACTGGGCCGATTCGCAACACAGATGGAACGCAGAGGAATGTGATGACAAGAAGTACACCTTGAATTCAAAGAACTTTGAGCTCTTTTCAATGGCAAGTTTGCGATTTTGTTATTTTTCCTTCATGCCCAATATAATTTCGATTATTTTCAGAGCTATCTGACGATCAAGTTCGCGACCGGCCAGTGTGCAGAGCCAACGGAACTGTCGGCCCAAGCTTTGGCCAACACGTACATCAAGTCCCTTTTCCTCTCCCCGGAAGAAGAAGAAGCGTTGAACACGACCCCAGAACCAGAACCGGAGCCACAGACTGAGGCGACTCCATCGAACGCTGGGTGGTATGTTTTTGGGGCAGGTCTCTTCCTCGTTCTCTCGCTTTCAATTGCTGCTGCCGTCGTTTTGATCAGGAAGAGGGCGAAGAAGTAAGTCCTAGTGGTCGAAAAGAAACTTTTTTCTAGGTCTGTTTTGGATCGTAATCCCCTCACTCATGTCCGCTACGATTTTGGCCTGCCGACACAAGTGCCGGCGCTGCAACAAAAGAATGACCGTTTCAAAGAGGTAAAATTGGACAATGGTTACGTCGTCCCCATTCCGGTGAGTTTTGCTTGCATTTTGTTGAATTAGGGTAAAAAGTGGTCGGATTAGATAGAGCACGGCTAGGCAGGGTTCGGAAAATTCGGGTATGGCAATGACCTGGCTGAGATAAGCTATCTGTCCGGTGAACGGACTGGCAATTCGCCAAAAAAAAAGACGCGAGAAAACGTTTCGTCGGGGAAGGAATGGGGAATTTTTGGGACCAGAGAGTACTTTTTTGCGCGTCTTTTCTCTGACTTCTCTGTGAAATCAAGACGAAGTGTAAAAAACCGATAGCGAAGAGTCTATTCCGCTCACCGGACTCCTCAGTTTGACGTGCTACGCACTGAATAGTGACACTTCCGGAACCGGGGAAAAATCAAAGATAAGGCTTAGGCCTATCATCTGAACAATCTGACCGGTATTAACTTCGGAGTTTTTTTTATTGTTTTTCTGATTGCTACTTTTTTATGTAGTAGTGCTAAAAAGTAATTTTTTAAAATTTTTCTAAAAATACTCGATTTAGGAGTTTTCGAGGTTGCGTATTTCGAAAGTCATGTTGATTTTTTCTGTACTTTACTAGCTCGCGATCTTGGTCGTGACCGAGATCAAGGAGGTTGCCTGAAATTACCCGAAATGGTCTCAATGCTTGGTCAAACCGCTTTTCAGGTCGTCAAAAGCTTTTTTTGAACTACTAGTAACATTATTTTCAGAGGATCTTGGATATTAATCGTGACTCAGGCCAAGGTCGTGACCTTGTTAACGACCTGACCTAAAGGAACTGTCTTGACCGCCATAGTCTAAAATACTCTAAAAATAATTTTACTAGTTTTTCAAAGAAAAGCTTGGTGACCACCTGGCCTAAATAAAGTGCCTTGACCATCATAGTCAAGCATTGAGACCATTTTCGGATAATTTCAGGCAACCTCCTTGATCTCGGTCACGACCTGGGTCGCGAGCTAATAAAGTGCAGAAAAAATGAACATGTTTTTTTCTAATCAGCAACCTCTAAAACCCCTAAATCCAATATTTTTAGTTAAATGTCAAAAAAATTAATTTTTAACACTATTACATAAAAAAAGTAGCAATCAGAAAAACAATAAAAAAAATTCCGAAGTTAATAACGGTCAATCCATTCAGATGGTTCAGTTGATAGGTGTAAGCCTTATCTTTGATTTTTCCCCGGTTCCGGAAGTGTCCAAATTCCGGAAATGTCTTGACGCGGCGCTGGCGACAAAAGTTCAAGATGCACTGTGCGAAAGCGAAAAGTTTCCAGTAATAGTGTGGCCCCTTATTGTTCATAATCGAAGCTTTTCCAAATCGTTGGCCGATTTTTGGTGCAATAATCCATGAACTTTGTTTCAGGAAACGTTCTGTAAGGAGTATGGGGATGTGGAGTTGGTTTCTAAAAGCCAATTCGGCTTGATTTACAAATACCAGTGGAAAGGGCCCATCCATGTAAAGTTTGAAGTGAAGCTGTCCGGCTACAACCAACCAATACTCAACGAGGTGGCCATTTGCGAGCTGTGTACCAACTCCGACAACAAGCTGTAAGTGCCGGGAAATGGGGTGAGATTTTTGGTTTCAGTGCGCGCTTCCTCGACTACAAGGGAGCTTATGGATTCTATGAGGAAGGAGCTTATGCCCTCCACTTGTCAGCAGGCGTGCATACACTCAGAGATCTCCGCAACGGAGCGGTAATGAAGGATGTGGAGATGGCCAAGGTTGCATATTCTGCGTTGGACTGTGTTGACGCGCTTGAAGCCTTTGGGATTTGTCATCGTGACATCACTGAGGACGCATTCCGTCCACAGAAGAGTATTGTAAGTCTGAGTTTTCGAATATAATTATGATCCTTGCAGTTTGTCCTCACCGAGTTGGGCTGGGCTGTCCGCCTCGGCTCAAAGCGCGATCCCTACTACCCGCATCCCGAATTGGCCTCCACTTTTATAAAAGAGAAGGAAACGTTGCCGGCTGATGATGCGGAGAATGTGATCTTCATGCTCTTGAATATGATGACGGATAGACTTCCGTGGGCCGATACGAAGGGCATTAAGTCCATTACCAAGAAGAAGAAAAAATTTTTTGAGGAATGCATGGATGGAACTTCGCTTAAGAACAACAAAACGGCTGGAATCCTCTGCAAACTGAGGGCAATGATCGTAAAAACCCCGAGAAATGTTGAATTAGCTGTGGAGTTGAAGGCCGAGCTTATTAATGTAAGTGGAAATTGTACATGTAACAAAGATTTTTTTAGCTTTCCAAACCCGATGATCCCACTCTTCCGGTTGAGTGGCCTGGCTCCAACGACAAACCAACAACTAAAAGTTTCCTGTGAATAAACCGAAGGCTCCTGCTGCCCAAAACCCTGTAGTAAATAAAATAAACGTTTTTCTCTATGACGTCCCCACATTCTTTAGTTTCGTACAAAGGTAGCATGCTATAGCACCGATTCATATTAGGGTGTCCCATAAGTCTTGTGTATCTTTTGGGTTTGAGAATTAAAGTCTCATTGAGAAGGCCTAAATGAATGTCCCCTTAATTTTTGGTACTGTTGAAACCGCCATCTCATACGCTTGTAAGCAGCATAGAAATTTTAACTAACGACATGCCCTCCGGGCAAATAATTGACATTCTTTAAAATCATCCATTTCTGAGAAGGGCTAGGAAAACAATTCCGTTCTTTGATAAGTGAGGCTGCACCCTTGCAACTGCATTTTTTAGTACATCTACTAACTATCTTGCTTCTAAATAAACCGTTTTCCCCACTGAATTAATTTCTATAACGCTGTCCTGCGGGTTTCTTGGATCAGCGCCATGGTGAATATCATGATGTGCATACTTTTGCGTATAACATTTTTTTGTGGGTGGTTTCTCAGGTCGTGCCGATACCAGACTGGTAATAACATAACATTCATGCGTTCTAACTATGGATCCATTGGCTACCTTGTCCTGAATTACCACTAACCCAAGAAAATTCGAAAAAAGTGGTGCATTTACTCAACACCAAAAAAGTTGGCTTGGATACAAAAATAACATTGTCGTGCAACAGTTTTCATGTTATTTACACCACCATCAAGGTACCCCCGCTTATTAAAATAACATCTAGGGCTCCTGTTCATCCTATTTTCATAACTAATAGGCGTATACATCTGATTTTCCAAAGTATATACCCACTCTAACATCAGCAAGCAAAATTTTTTGTGGATGTCTAGTACAATATTGGGGTAGATTTTCTGAAGCCTAGTTATATACGGTTTAAAAGCGCAATTTCTGATCTTCAAAACCGTGCATCCAACACATCTCGTAATGCGTCACAAAGCTCACAGGAATTCGCACAAGTGAACGACCCCAAAATACACAAGACTTAGCGGGACCCCCTAATAACAACATGACTTCGTTCTGGGCTAACCGATTTCTGACCAACTTACATAGCCCGTTACGAGATTTCACAAAATATTCAAGCATTTGCCAAATAAAATTCAATTCCGTTTTGTTTTATGAATCCAGAAACAACGTACGAAGATATCTCAACCAAACACAATCCAATAAGTTAGGACTACTGTACAAGATGGATAACACATTATGAATCGAACAAACAATGATTAGCAAAACGGCTAAGAAGACAAATAATTGCGGAGAGATGTAAGGGACAGGAATATTGTAAGGAGGGTAATGCAGGGAGGGTGCGATCCAGAGCCCTTGACACCATTTACTTGTTGGCGTAGTTCACACGGAGCGTGCGGCCTTGGAAGTCAGTCGAGTTCAACGTGTTGACGGCGTTTTCGGCGGATTGTTGATCGGCATACTCGCAGAATCCGAATCCCTTGGGGCGGTTGGTCATTCTGTCGTAAACCAGGCTAAAAAATTAAATTATATTACGGTTTAACCATGGACGTGATACCTAAATGTGAAAAATAGAGAGAATGCTTACCGAACGTTGGTGACTGGACCAGCAGAGCTAAAGAATTGACCAATCTCGGCCTCAGTGGCATTGTATGGGATGTTTCCAACTGAAATTATAATATTTTAGACATGAAAAGATTGAAATCTTCTCAAAGACAAAATAGACAGTAAAAGTGAGTTGAAGAGGATTTAGAGGTCATCACAGATTATCATCAACTATATTTTTAGGAAAGAAACTAAAACGTTACCAAATTCTCTTCAAATCACTTGTAATAGAGAAAGAATTGTTAGGGACCAAAGACTGGGACTATTTATGTTCAGGACAGACAACCTAGAAGATGTAAACTCAAGACGTCGGGTAGCGAGAGCAGGCTACTCACCTCATATGCGGCTCCGTGAGGGATTCCAGGTCGGTGTCAAGGGTGCTCCTCTGGTGCGCATCTCCACACAAAGACCCCCACCCCAATAATCAAAGTCGCCCCGCTTGTGCGTCCCGTCTTACAAGAGCAAAGAGACCTAGGGAGAGCCGTGGCGGACGCAACAAGCACATTTGTATTAATATTGCGCTGCTCGGGTGTGGCGAGAGAAGGGCGTCCGAAGAGGCGGCGGACCGTCAGAACATTGCGTTAGATGCCCGTACGGAGATAAAAACAGGGGTGTTTCCCACCACCGAGAGACGGTCAATTCGACGTTGTCCATACGCTCGCCCGACCTTCATTCACCTCTCAACCTCCGCAGCACACATTAATGTCGAACCGAAGCGTCGATTTTACAAGACAAGGCGCTTACAAGGCCGAAAGAACCCTACGAATACACAATCCTACCTAGACCTTCGACACTTCGGTATTTTTTGATCTCCACGTCCGACAAAACCGTGGATCCCGTTCCGTTTTCGGGGAATATCAATGCAAAAATTCTGCTGGATAATATTTTGAGCATGGTGAAGGCGATTCGGCCCTTCACCCTCATACTTTCCCCAATTTTCTCTCTAAACTTTTCGAAATTCGCCGTCTTCTCCGCAAAATCAAGCCGAGAGGCGTCCGAATCCGTATCGGCCGCCACGAAACTTCAAGTTGCGACCATGGCGGACTCCACGGAGTCGTCGGTCTCACAAAATTGCAATTCAAATTTACCATAGACGGAGAATCCGTGAGCGGCGGTAGCGGCGGCCATTTCTATCGATTTGGGATGAAGAACAAAACAAAAACACACCAAGATGCAGGGGATGCAGGAATGGAATGACCTCTTTTTGCGTCCCTTTTTCTCCTCCCTTCTCTGTTTATGATTCGCAGCCGGTGTTTTGGTTTTGCGCCAAATTCGAAAGTGTTGACATTTCGTTTCGTTGGTATTGGAAGAACGGAGAGATGGGTGTTTGAGGTCGGTGGTAGATAAAATAAAAATTTTATGGGTGTTCTAGAGATTTTAGACCTATTTTTGGCCAATTATAAATGTGAATTCAAAAATTATCGATTATATTATACTTGATGATTTGATTGAAAAAAGCTCACAAAACTGTCGAAAAACTACTGAAAATTCGAAAGCAATAGTATTCAAAACATCACAAAATAATCTTATTTTTAGATTGCAGTGTAATTTGGCAGAAATTTGTTCATATTTTTTCAAGAATTCCAACTTTTCGAAAGTCCAATGAGGCTACAGTAACCCATTTGAACCGCTGAATTCATACAAGATCAACGTTCACACGGTACGCGCATTGTATGTTAGCGTCAGCTCGCCATTGAAAGCGGTGCTATTGTCGCCTTTACATGCGTATTTACACTCGGGAACAATGGCCAATGTAAATAGCCTCGGGGTGTGAAGGAAAAAGGGGGGAATATGGATGTCCGAGCGCGGTGTTTTTGACGGAAACCACTTTTGTGCGAGCGCTACCGTCGCTGCACCGGCGTTTCCGGTTTGTTCTGCGCGCTTCCGGCCGTCGGAAGTGGTCGCGTCCGCTACATTTTGGACGGTTTCGTCGCGTTCTCAACCATCAAAACCTCGGATGAGTTGTTTTTTTCGTGGACCGTCGGGGGTTCGGCCCCAAATTGGGGTGGTTTTGAGACATGCCAGGTTACTGTAACAAACCGAAATAGCCTGATTTTTGAATCTCTTTCGTTTTCGGACGTTTTTTTAATACGAATTTATTTACTTCGTATACGGTCGTTATTTCCCCGAGGGTCATTTCTTTGACTGAAAAGTTTCAGAAAATTCCTGGGTTATGCCCTAAAGGAATGCCGATTTTTGGCCCGAATCGGACAAGACTGGGCTGGATTTTTCTTGGATTCTCGTTGTTGATTACCAGTATCTCTGCCGCAGTAAGTTTCAGAGGTTATTTTAAAATTGTTCTTGGTCCTGCGTCATTCCAAAATGATGATTGTTTTCAGAAAATGGCCAGACTAAAGGCCGTGAGTTCAGTTTTAACCAACAAAACGGAGATTTCTCTCTGCGAATACTACAAAGCAATTGGGAAAAGATCAGCGTATTGCGACAAAGTTGAGAAAGGTAGGTTCGCGGTACAATGTTTTTTTTTAACAAAACCACTTTTTGCAATAGGAAATTGGAGAAGGAATTATTTCTCTGACCGTCTCTCCTCATTTTGCGTGCTCTCTCAAAGGGATCTTTCAATCTAACGACTTTTTCTTCAAAAAAATCTCATTTGTATTCGAATTCCAGCCGAAGACAATGGTGCCTCCAACAAGCTGCATGTGTGTTCCTCAAATTCCGCCATGGTGTTATGCACCGCCGATACCACTGGCGATTGCGCCGAGAGCGGGCAGATTTGCACCCTCAGCGATCATACCAAATGTTGCCAAGGCATCGTGAAGGGCATCCCGGTCTCCCGAATCAACGCGAAACCCGGGGATTGCCCGCAGCCGATCGGAATCAGCGGCTTTCCGGACCAGTCTTCCACCGGCTGCTGGCTGGATTCGAATTGTCCGGGGGTCCAGAAGTGTTGCCTCGAGCCGAATCCCACTGCCCATAATGCTCAGCGCGTCTGTCGGGACCCGATTGGCATAAGTAGTTGGTTTTTCAAGTTTCTCTCCCCTTTTTTTTACTTTGGTTTATAGGGGAGGTGCTGCAAGTGTGACTCTTGCATTTTTTTTAGAAATTTTGCAAAAATGGGTTAACTACTACATATATATAGGTATAAATGGATACTTTTTCTCGAAAAGGAAGGAGAAAGATAAGAAAATGCTTTTTATCGGATAGTGACATTTCGTTTTGAACGAATCACCAAAAAAGGGTAATTTCGTCTATTTTGGATTGACGTAAAATTCAAAAGTCGTAAAAAAGATTTGCAAAAATTTACCGCGGTATTGAAAGAGTCATGTTTGAGCCGCCTTTCCCCTGTAAATTCATCCGTTTTCCCTTTCAGAATTCCTCGGCAATTCCGTGTGTAATCTTCCCCTTGCCGTTGGGACTTGCACTGCCCCTGTTACCCGGTACTATTACGACTCGGTTAGTGGTCAATGCAAGACCTTTAAGTTCAGCGGATGCAATGGGAATGCGAATAATTTCCAGAGCTTGGCCAGTTGCCAGGCCACGTGCTCGTATTTGGGTAAGATGACTCGATCTGTGGGTCGTTCTTGGAGTCGGAATTGGATTTTTAGAAACAAAATAGGATTTCTAGTACAATGGAGTTGCAGTTTTGTTGGTTTTCCCTTTTGATGTGGAGTTTTAGTTGATTTTTTATATTACACTAGACATTAGATGAAAAAACTTTAAAATGCACAATTTTTTTGTCGAACCTGCTAAACGTCTTACTAATATGGCTTTGTAGAGCCTTTTTCTTTCTTTTTTCACATGCTTGCCTTCAAGAATCTTCAATTTTTACCTTACACTTGGTTTTTTTCGTCTAATGTTTAGTGAAAAAATTTTTTTTGATCGTATTCTACCTTCCAATCCACCGAATATTTACTCTTCAGGTATCCAAGGGACCCCACTGTGTCCGGCAGATGCGAATGCCAGCTTAAATTGCCTCTACGTGCATCCGGATGCCTGCCAAACGGATGCTGATTGCATGGGCAGACAGAACAATGTCCAGCCCTCCTGTTGTATGACGAAATGCGGATATCGGATATGCCATTTGTACTAAGAAAAGGTGGATTTGAAGCGAGTCCCGACGATCTCTTCTATAAAATTATATTACTCCAGGTTGAGCCGGGAAATTTGATCATTTTTGAATTTTCGTATCAAAAATCGTCGAATTTGTCGGCTCAAGACTCAGATTGGACTTCTAGATTGTATTAGGTTGGACGGAAAGTTCGTACGATTTTTTACCCAACTTTCAATTTAATTTTTTTCGCGCCAAGACCGATTGCCCACTGTAAATACCTAGCATATACAAGAGTACAGTGTGAAGATTTATATGCTACGTGCCAATCGTTAGCTCCGCCAAAACGAGCTTAATTATAAGAGGTTTTCCGCTTTGCGGCTATTTCGGGTAGGGTCCAGAACGCAAACTCTAGTTTCCAGATCGCTTTCGATGAAGCTCTGACACTTTTTAGGCAATGTCCAGTGGTCTTTCTGACTACGTGAAACACAATTAGAAATCATAAAAAAGCGTGTCGGATAAAATAATAGCAACACTTTCAACCAAGTCTTCAGCAAAGGCCCCCTATGAAAACTTTTTCTTATTATTCCGCGTATTGCTTATGATCTGTCTCTGTAATAGGGTTCAGTAAGGCATATGGAGAGCCCTTTAAGTGCAACATCAGTAAACCGGATCATAGACGCCTCGGGTTATCCACAAAGAGACAAAATTGCCAAAAACTATAGCTGTAGAGAAATGCGTATAATTTTGTGACAGTTAACAATGGCAGCCCGTTGTTTCGCGAAGTAGTAGAGCAATAAAGCGGCTCTATTTTGCACCCAAGAAAGGGAGGAGTGGAAAGATGTTATGAGCTCTTTTTAGAATTGTACGGGATGATCCAACAGTTCACCAACGATTTTTTGAGAAAAGTAATTTAGTAGTTATTATGTCGTACGGCAAAACAGTTGGCTATTGAGGGGTAGCTGAGTGTAAGGGATTGTCCTTAGTTTCTGCATATCATAGTTTTACACATATAAATGCACCGGCAAAGCGGCGGTTGCAGTTATATTCAAACTTGGGGTGGTCCTGCAAAAGTCAAATTTTATGGCTATGTTTTGATTTAGTCCCCGGCGACTTTACGCATATTAAGAGCTACAAAAGAAGGCTTTTTAGCAGTGCCAAAACAATTTCCTGGTAGGCCTTATTAAACAAACCAGCCAAGGATTTGTAATTTTGGACCAAAGATGGGTAAATGTCTAAATTAAGTTCTCAGTTCGTACATGCTTAAGATGGTTGAGGGTTGTACTGCCAGATAGGGATGCCTGTCTTCTACCAATACCATATATTTGTGTTTGTCTTTTTCCATCAGCGCACGAAAAAATAGCAGCAGTAAAAAATCGTACGAACTTTCCGTCCAACCTAATATATGTAGGGCAGTAGTGTTGTAAACTTTAATTTATTTATAAACCTTTACGAAGAAAAAAGGCAGTTACCAGAGAGTATTCGAAGTTGTGAGAGAATTAGAGAAAAGTTTTGTAAAATTGAGTTAAAATCGGTAAAATCGATACAAAAGTGTTACGAAAATACAATAGAAATGCTGTACAAAACTTGGCCATGAGTCTAGGAATCAAATAGTTTCGTTTTTTGACTATTTTCGCCTCGAGGGAAACAGCCATCCAAGCAGATAAAGACCGACCAAAAGGCCCAGCATAAGCGTGGGCGAGAAGGTCGGGGAATATGTCGAGTTGCAGAGGGGTGTGTGACATGTGCACAGTTCCACATGATCTGTCGGTTCGAAGCCGTACCAATCGGGCGCGGCGAAAAGATCCTTCAGACGGACCATTTGGCAGTTTACCGCTTTTTCGTTGCTTCGACGCACCGCATCTCCGTAATAGAGCACACTCCGATTGTAGTACTTGATGTCCGACATACAGCCGCGCATAAATCCGTAGCGACGCCGGCCTAAAACACGGTCAAATTAACGATGGCTCCAAAATTTCCCAATTTTTTGCTTATTTTTCGCAAGAAATTGCCATTTTCTAAAAAAAAATTCAATGAAAATTTGTATTTCTGTTCCAAATGTTGAAATTACATTTAATTAATTACCCGAATTCTCGAAAATTGCGCAATTAGATCTAAAATTGTCTCCACTGCAGAGCTTTTTATCAACGCGCACTTCCTTTTCCTCTTCGCGTTTCGGTCTCGCAAAAAGCGAAAAGGAAACGGAGAGAGGCCGTGGGGGTATAGCTCAGTGGTAGAGCGCTCGCTTCGCATGTGAGAAGTCAGGGGTTCAAACCCCCTTACCTCCAAAATTTTTGTTTTGGATAATTTTTTTGGTAAAGTGAGAATCTGAGGTAAAAAATGCATGAATATAAATAGCTTTTTAGTCAAGTTCTAAAAGAAGTTAAGCTTATTTTAATCATTTTATGTTCGAAGAATTGCAGGAAATCAAAAAAAGAAAGAACAATTTTGCCAAAAATTGGTAGAAACATCGAGTTTTCGCTGAAAAAATTTCTATTATACGTTCTACATGAAGATGTCCAGATTTTTAGGCCTAACTCACCTCCGACTTTATCATTCATCCGCAGCGTTACACACAAATCCGTGCAGTTTTTCATTTTGACATGGCGATAGTCAAAGTTGGTTCGATCACATTTATCGGTAAAAGACAGCGGGCGACGATACAGATGCGATATGTAGACGAACTGATCCTCCAGATACGGACTCATGCAGCTATGGCATTGCATACGATAGGCTAAAATCAACGGAATTAGATGGGAAGTTGTTGATAATTTTCAAAGTTTACAGTCACAACAAGGTTACTGGGATAGTTAGATGTGATTTTAATTAATTTTTTCTTCGGTTACTTTACTTTTTGACCATTTTTTGATAATAAAAAATGTGATTTTTTAAATATTTCAAAATTATAAATTTTGGATGACTTAAAAAATTTTTTATGTGCCAAGTACAATATAAAGATTAGGCTCTTCGCCATTTTCTATCCAATTTACTGTCCTTTTTCGTTTACATTTATATCCAACCATATCTTTTTCGCTCCCCACAATAGCCATGAAAAACGAAGAGGAATCGGACCGTGGGGGTATAGCTCAGTGGTAGAGCGCCCGCTTTGCATGCGGGAAGTCAGGGGTTCAAACCCCCTTACCTCCAAGTCCCGACTTTTTGTTTTTTACACAAGAAAGGTGAATTCTAAATGTCAGAATCAATTTTGAATCCATTTTATAACCTTTTTTACAACGAAATATGCCTATTTCACTATGTTTATTCAAGTTTCTACATAAAAATGTCATGTTGTATTTTTTTCCAAAAAAATTTGTTTGCCTCTTCGCTATTTTCCAATATATATTTGATGAAATTATAAGGTCGTATGCTTATCCATTCGTACCAAAACCTAAAAAATTTGGCCGCCAGTAAATAAGTCAAGAAAAAAATAAATTTAAAATTGGAAAATGGACGTAAAATGCCTCAGGCTTAGTTGTAAATAACCTTTGACATTTGTTATTTTGCATATCCCATCCCCTTTAGCCAGTATTAAAAAACTGCTTGAATTATGTTACACTTGATCCCGAATTTGGTCCCGCCACGAAAACTTTGGCATTCCGTTTTAGGGCCCTAAACGTGCACAGACCGTTGGGATTCGCGATATCCGAGACGTTCGCGATGATGTACGAGAATATTTGGAGCACATCCGTCGCCATTCCGCTCGTCCCGAGCCCCGCACTCCATAAATAAACACTCAGCACGCTGAGGCGGACGATTCGTTGGACGGACGCGACATTGCTTTTGTTCGGACGGTTGGGCTGGCAGATTGCCGGTGGGGAAATTTTGAACCGTTCCACGGAACGCGGCTCGCGATTTCAGGAACAATCCGATATTATACTCGAGGTCTGATGACTATTTTAGAACCATAATTTCGTTGGGTAAATGGATGATCTCATGACTAATATGTACATGAAAATGAAGCCGATTCTCTGTAGAATGCAACAGATTAACAGAATTCGGAGAGATTTTTAAAGACTATCGACAACGACACGATCAATGTTGTACTCTAAGAATTGCAATAAAGTCGGGTAAAACGTTAAATTTGTGATGGCCATGAAATTTTCAGCCAAAAACAGACAGATCCAAAGAAACGGCAGGAAATTTGAAGTATAATACGCTGAACAGCTCGAACATTAATTATTTAAAACCCGCTAAAACGGACGGAAACTTGGTTTCTTAAAGAATGGCAAACGAGACAAAAAAACGTAGGATAGCAGAGATAAAGTAACACAAGCGACTAATTCAGAGCTTTTCCAATCGTATGAGACAAAACAATTCACTATTTGTAGGAGCAAATCGTTACTAGTCAGCCTACAACAAAGTTTAAGCCAATTTTCGAAAGCCCTCTCATTAGAAGGAAGGATAATATAAAAGACGTGCTTCTAAGTGGCAGCCAGGTGATTTTAATGTGTACCTTGCGGTAAAATATTGTTAAGGCAAAGGGTTATAAATAAGAGTTACTAATTTGCAAAAGGAAATTGTATTTTCAAGTTATGGATTGTCAAGTCTAAAGAGTTGAAATTTACGTAAAACTTTTTAATTTTTTTTTTGCCAGGAACATTCTTTAAAGGTGAAATCTGGTAGAGCACGCGATGGACCACACAAGAAGAGGCGGTAGATGCAAAATTTGTGACCTTTTAGGACATTACCAGCTCCTAAAATTGGATATTTAAGCCGAAAGTTGCCAAAAACACCCTGAAAAATCTTCAAAGTTTGAAAACTCTTAAAACCCCTTAGGCAATCGCTGAAAATTCGGGTTATACCGATAAAAGAGACCTTTAAGATCGAAGGTCTTCTCACAAAGGCCACGGCCACGATGTGAACACCCCATCCATCAAGGCCTTCGAATCCTTTTAGGGTCCCAAAAATTAGCTGGCCCTTCTTTCCCGTCTCTGCAGCCTTAACTAGCCATCTCGAATCATCGGAAAACCAATGTAAAACATTTACTCAGAGAGAAGTGCTAACAGAATTCCTCGTCCCGTCTTCTTTTCTCGCTTAATGAAGTCCAAGAAGCGGGCACTGGCACCTCCTTTTCTTTGGATGCGAAACCTGTTTGAAGAAGGCCTTGTTTTTTACGATGGAAACAAGGATGAGCCAAATAATACTCGTGAAGACACAATGAGGGTAAACAAAAGATATTGAGAGAGTAATTAGAGGGTTAGCGGGCTGGAATTTCTGGGATTTCGGTGTGTTACATTAATCAAGTTGGATGGAAAAAAGCGATGATAAATCAGAAAAGACGACAAAATAAATTGAAAGGAATTGACAACAGCAATCCCAGAGGACAGATAAGCAATCATAAAAAAAAACTAGGAATTTAGCAATCTTTATCTTCGAGATATCAGCATATTATACTAGGTAGGTGCAGCTGAAGAGAAACCGCTTGAAAGTAATAAAATTGAAGGGCAGGGCTAAAGAGATTACTATAAAAGAAATTATTAACAAAGTCAGGTTTTCTAAGACCAAAATAAAGAATTTAGCTAGTTTACAAATCGAGATATCAACATATTATGCTTGATGTATGCACTAGACAAAAAATTTCAAGAATCTCAGAAATTTCTTAGCTGTGTAAACAGTAATTATCAGCAAGGATAGTAAACAAGAGAGGGCTCAAATGAGCCATATATCAAGGTTTCATCTCAATTGAGTCATGATATATCACTACTTTTTACTTGAGACATCACCAAACAAAAGTCTCAAAATTCCGTGAAATTCGAATAAAAATACCCATTCCAAATGCAAACCCGAGGCGAACAGGTAGCTTCGGATCTATAATAATGCTATCTGGAATGCATAAAACGAAGCCATAACCGATATTTGAAGCAACAAATGGGATCCACTTGAAACTCCGTCTATTTCTCGCGTTTTCTTGGGCTCCTTCGCTTTTTCATGCCATGTTTTATAAGACAGAATGTAGAGAGATTAATAAACGGGCCGGATGATCAAAGATTTTCGATATTTTTATTAATCTAATAGAAAAAATTTTGATTTTTCATAGCAAAAAGTGAAGAATAAGACTAAAAATATCAACGGAAATGATAGTTAAGCGTTGTAAAATACGCTTTACAATCTTCCCTCGTACTTCCAAACGCACTAAAAATAGGAGGGAAAAAAGTTTTGGCCCCAAAAATGCCCGAGGGCCTCGAGGGGTAAGCGAAAACATATTGAGCCAATTACCCGCCGCGTTAACACATTACGTCGAATGTAATTAGTCGCCAGATAACGAAAGGGCGCTCTACGTGAAATGAATTCGAATTCTCGTTAATCTCCAGGTTTCTGGATGCAAATACGGTGCAGACCAAATGGATCTGCACTGTGCAAAAAATGAAATCATAAAGATGACAGGGAAAATCAAGGATAAAGCGGGGGGTTTTGAGCCTGCTGGATCATCATAAGCCTAGAGAAAATTTTTAAAGCGATTTGAAGAATTTTTGAATTGTTTGCACAGTGCAACAAAGTTTTGAAAATTTTGCACAGTGCAAAAACAATAAATAGGCGGAAATGCGGGAAAATGCCTGAGGCAATAAAAAATTTTTGCTCGATTGTAAATGTAGGGCATTAAAAAAGTTCTGTATCAAAAAAAATTTTTTTTTGTATTGTTTGCACAGTGCAACAAACTTTTGAAAATTTTGCACCGTGCAAAAACAAAAATAAGTGGAAACAAGGAAAATGCCTGAGGCAATAAATTTTTTTTTACTCGATTGGAAATGTAGAGCATTACAGAAGTTCTAAATAAAAAAAATTTTTTTTGGTACGCTTCCGCACAGTGCACTAACATCAGAAAATTTGCGCACAGTGCAGTTCCAAAAAAATATCGCGTTGTGCGGAATTTTGAGTCCACTGCAGAATGCAGCGAATTACAAAAAATTTGGCATAGTAAAAAAATTATTTAAGCGTTTCTGCACTGTGCAAAACCAAAAAATCTCGAATAATTTATATTGCCCCAGGCAAAAATTGAATTTTTAAGTATAAGTGACATCATGATAGACAAAGAAAAGACTATAAACAAGTTTTAAATTCAAAACTACATCCACAACTTTGCAATTACCGATTTTTTCCACCAAAAAGTTCATCCAACTGGAGAAAAACCTAAAAATTCCGGTTTCCGATAAGAAAATCTCTCTCATCTCGCTGCATTTGAATGAAAACTCGTAAAAGTTGGCCTTAATGTAGCATTAAGCAACAAACGGCCACATTTTCATAAAAATTTGAGGATTTTTGGGCCAAAACTCTTCGCATAGCCCGAGGAAATGATGCGTTAAACCGACGGAAAATGAATAATTTACGATTGTTCGGCGGGTAATCGCTATGAACAGCCCATAACTTGAGTATATTCGGCACTTTCATTAAATTTATTGGGGGAAAAATGGGATTTTGTGGGGGGAACATGGAAAAATCTCAAAATTTTGGCCTTTTTTGATGTAAAAAATACGAAAAAGTAAGGTTGAAGTCCTCGGTTGAACTTTACAATATAAGTAGTAATAAGAGGTAGTTTCTGGCACTAAATTTTGCATCCACTGGAAAAGGGGGGAGGAGCCGGCGCGGGGTGCCGTAAATGAGAGAGTGTGGGATTGGAGGAGAGTGGGGAGAGAGGTGAGGGAATTTTTATGGTATGGTAGTACTGTAAAGGTGAGAGAGTGAGGGATTGGAGGAGAGTGGGGAGAGAGGTCAGGGGAATTTTGCGGTCAAATTTCAAAAAAGATGAGAGGGTGTCGTAATTGAAAGGACGCGATGAAATTGTGGTAAAAAATGAAAAAGGGGAGAGAGTGTGGGATTGGAGGAGAGTGGGGAGAGAGGTCAGGGGGATTTTGCGGTAAAAAAAAAATTGAAAAAGGGTGAGAAAGTGGGGAAAAGAGGAGGATTGAGGGTTGTTGCGCAACCTAGAGGTTGCGGGAGGGCAAGAGGTTGCGGGGTGTTGCGCAACCGAGATGTTATGAATGTTGCGCAACCTAGAGGTTGCGGTAGGTTAAAGAGTTTATGATTTATGTCTGTGATTTTTTTCCGGAAAAAGCGGAAGGATCAAGAGTAAGTCTGGTCCATCAATAAAGGTTGATGACCCTTCAATAAACTTTTCGACTCAATGATGATGAAATAATTTTTACCCTTTTCAAAAGGATTAAGAATCCAATAACTTTTATTCGTTTATTCAAAAAAAAAATCTTTTAAATATTTGTATAAAAAATAAGATCAGATTGAGGGACTTCAGTGTGACGTTTGGTAACAGGTGTTAAATAAATTTGAATTTCATCTCCGTCAAAGAGACATCTAGTGTCGCTCTCACATCCATCATCTTTATCGTACAGCGAAAAGAACCACAGCTTCTCACCGCATTTGCTTTGAACAGGTTTCAGACGACAAATCTTACGCCCACGGAATTTCATGTAAAAATTCTAAAAAAAAAAAACATAAAATATATGATATTAAAAACTTACACTAAAATTTATTAACTTCAAAGTATTGATATCGACCCCATCAATGGACACGGCGTATGTCTTCCGGATATATTCGTTAAGGGTAATCGAAATCATGAGGGCGGAGCTAGAAAAAGATTGGGGCTAAACTCCACGAGGCGAAAATAAGCAAATGACCTCATTTGCTTATTTTGTCTCCTCGCGATATGGCTGCGCCTATTATGACGGAGGAAGAGAGGACGCGC